ATCTTGTTTGTCTTTCCGGTAGTTAGCGGAGTGATCGGCTTCTCCGCTACTTCTCCAATAAACGCTCCTAGGATATCTTGTCCCAGTAGAGCGGCTAAGTCCGTGGAGTTCACCGCTCCAGACTTCTTGGCGTTACCGGTAGCTCCGCTAGCTCCGTTAACACCGCCTTTGTTCCGTGTGCCAGGCTTATAGGTAGTACCATCCCCTATCTTCTTGCCTCTACACTCGTGACATAAGTGGCCCTTCTTGCCACAATTCCAGCAGGTATACTGCTGTTTGCCTTGCATATTGCCGGACTTCCTTTGCGCTTGTCGGCCATCCTTAGCGGCAACCATGATCGTTCCGTTAAGACCGCTCTCACGTTTGACCTCCGCTACACGGAGATTGAACATCTGGCGGAGATCGGCAAAGGTTGTCGCTTCCTTGGCAAACGCCCTGACCTTGCTAAGCGATCTCCATTCGCTTTTGAGCAGGCTGTAGCTTGGCGGAAGTGCCCGGAGGAAGTAAGCGCACTTCTCGGCATCCGTTACCGTCAAGTTGGCGGATTCCGCCTTGAGTAGGAGAGCGTTAAAGTTCTCCAAAAACTTATCGGTATCATCTCCATCCGATAAGGTGACGTTTGTAAGATCATGCTTGATGTCAGACCGGTAGTCCTCGTTATCAAGCTGATGGAGGACCGCTAACTTTTCCCATAGCGCCTTAGCGGACGTGACTCCGCTAATCTCCATCCGCAAACCGTCAGAAAGACTGAGCTGAATAATACCCCTAGCTTTCATGTCCTTCTCCTTCCAGCTCTTCCAGGTCTTCAGATCCTCTAGGTAGAGCGATATCTCCGCCGAGGTTGGCGCTATCACTCCGTCCTTGACCTTAACGGGCATCGGCCGCTCCGGTTCGTCCGGTATGTCTTCCGTCAACACCGACAGCGCTCCAACGGATAAGAGGGTGTCTTGAACTGCATTACTCCACTTGTAATAGTTCTCTAACCCAACTAACTTAGGAATCTTTCCTAGAGTAGTAGTCTCCATGCTTGGATGTGTGATATTGGGATTCCGATAAAGGCGAAAAAGGGCGCGAGTTGTCCGGTAAGATCGGTAGGTCTTCTTGCACTCTGGATGAGCTAGATCAACAGAATAATATTCCTGAATGTAGTGTTAACTACCTGGGCTCATAACCTGTTGAGATGACTTGCATAACATAGACAAATGGGGCTAAGGTAGTACAATGATAGTATAGTCCGATATAAGCGTTAGCACCGTGTGGCGCGGCAAGTGCTCGTGAAAAACCGCTAGCGCGCGTATAGCGGACATTGTCCGCTATTTATGTCCGTTTCCAACATGAAACACATGTCTCAGATTCGTTCGAACCCCCGATCTTGATCGATCAAGGTTGATCAGCTCAGATCCGGTTGAATCATGCTATCCAGGTTGACGTATAGATGCTTATATCAACACGAAATCATCAAACATGCCTTTCAACACCCCATGCAGGACCTGCCAACAACAAGGCACCACCAGCAAAGCCAAAGGTACGTTAGTCGCATTCCAAGAGTCGCATTTTGGTGATTGATGGGTTATTCTTATATATAGGATGTAATCGACAGGATGAGAGAGGGGTACCTTGCGACAACTGTTTGAAGAGAGGATCACTATGCATCACCCGCCGTCAAGTCGCTGGCTCTTCCCTGTCGAAGATCGAAGAGGTGCGAACCTTTCCCGACTATCTCCTCTCGGAGGGAGTCAAGCGTAAGCTTATCTGGCGTATATCACGATAGGTCATCCTCCTACACTGTGACGACATGTACCGGCGGATCCCGGAAAACAGGATCCCGGAAAACATTATGGTTCTGAAGCTAGTGCAGTTAGCTGGCTGGTATTCGCACTCGCCACCTACATCCAGGGACCTGCAGGTACGTCGAGTTGATGACTAGCTAAACCTCGAACCCGAACCCCTAAACCGATCTGTTACGGCCGCAGCGTCTGGCCAGATGTGTTCTGCACTGTTGTCTGCAACAGCAGCCGCAACAGTGGATCAGCCAACCTTTGACCCTTGCGAAGAACTTGACCCTTGCGAAGAACGTCGAAGCCCATGGACCTGAGCTAGATTGGCTCATCGACGGCTTGCTTGGCAACAAAATTGATGAGGACGACGAAGAACCTGCCAGGAAGAAGGCTCGACTTCGTAAGCCAGCCATGCAAACCTTCTCGTCCCGCTTCTCCTGCTGACTCCAGGTTGGATCAGAATGATGAGCAACCAGACAAAAAACCAGACGAAGATGAGCGATCAGACGACGAAGATGTGAATGATGAGCGATTAGACGGAAGCTTTGCTTGTGTTTGTGTTTCAAGTTTACGGATGTTGTGTTTCCCAAGCCCCGCATGACCGGGTGCACCCTTATGTATATGTCTCTGGTCTAGTAGCGGACCCAAGCGAGTGTCTACTGTATTGTCGATCGATATAGTGCGTTGTCGATATGTGGTTTCGTATTGATCGTGACTTCAAGCGGTCCTTGACAACCTCTTGCCGCGTCCCGCGGACCGGCAGCGGCGACCCAGAGAGATCGATACAGATGATGGACACCATCACTAGCACTTTGTATGCAGAGTAGTCCATCTAGCATATGATCTTACGTCCTCACCTGCTCCTTACCTCCTTATCGTCTTAGGAGTCACAGCAGAAACCCTCGATCCAATCGATCCTCCCCGCAACGCAGACTCGATTCTCGTGGTGGGCAGCGTGTAATTTTGAAGACCATTCGAGTTTAGAATTTACAAACGTACATATTCAGCCCGCGTCTCAAGCCGGTGGTCCGATCCGCGTTTTATCCCGGTCGCGACGTCGCAATCTCAATTTTTAAGTTCCCAGGAGCCATCGTCGTCATCATTACTGTTCACTGATCACTGTTACGAGCGATATATGGACGGCGATGTCAACGACCTCTTCCTCATCATGTCGTCGTCGACTCCTTTGATCCCTCACCCCAGCCTACCACCGAGACCCGGAGTACAATCGCGTATCAACAGAGCCGTCCTAATGTCGACCTCGATGATGCGACCCGCCGCTTCGACCTCGATGATGCGACCCGCTGCTGCGACCTCACCGGATCTCATACTCTGCGCTCCCCCTTCCCCCGCGCCCCTCGAGAAAGACTACGTCTCGTCCGCTGATCCAGCGGAACGTATGGTCCCCCGGTGAAGGTCTCTTCGAAAGGCAAGGAGCCGGAGAAGATCGCCCCAGAAGAGCGGCTGAAAATTGTCTCGCTGACACAGGTGGAAAGGGTGGAAACTCTCGGCGATCTTTGAAACGATTCAAGGGGTGGGAGGATCTAGGCCGAGTGCAGATTGTGTGGGCCTCGATAGAATTGACCGGCAGTCAAGAGCACATAAAGAGTCTGGCAAGGTTGAAAGTGAGTCGACCAGATCCGGGTCGATTCGAAGAAAGCTGTGAGGCTGAAGTAGTATCTTGAAGGCTCGTCTTGTCGGCTTGTCGGAACCCCCACAACTCGACCTCGTTCGTCACATGATTTTGGCCCACTCGGACCCTTACAACTAGCAAGTTATCGGCTACGCGCTACAATTGGGGGTTGGCGCTGGTTGCTTACCGGTCGTTATGCCATCAGGTGCACGCACCATCAGGTACACACGCCATGGGGAGAGATACGATCGGGAGAGATACGATCGTCGAGAATATGGGAAGATTGTGAACGGCGGGACCCATACGGCAAACGATCTGGCTGAGGAATCGAAGCGGACGTTTTGGCTTGCGATGGCGATATGATACTATGCGATTTTCGACTCGGGATATTTGCAAGACTACGAACTTGACGAGCAAAGCCGGACATATACACGACTTGCTGACGGCCGGTATAAAAGTCACAAGCTCGGTAGAGACCACTTGTCGCCGAGATACTGGTTGCGACTTATCGCAGTGGATATTTGGGTGTGTAGTTGTGCTTGAACGTATATATCATGCTGCACAAGGTCGACTTTGCTGTCACAACATAGCTTCACGGCCACGGGAGGTTCGTGCCAGTGCTCGAGAGCTCACGTGGCCGAGATGGTCAACCGGGTCGAACGCTCAACGCTCGACGTCGGAAATGACGTTCTTTGCTGCTCGACGTCAACGACCGCGGCGCTTGGCATTGGGCGTCGATTTACTGACTGGCGACCGGACACAGACTCTCGAGGATGGCGCCGGATTTCATTCTCAGTATTAGGAGGTCTGTGGCGAATTGGCATGGGCGCCGGCGTCTGTAAGAAAGCTTCTGCACGGGCGCTGAATGGGGGGGGGGGGGGATCTGGGCGAAGTCGGGGCGTCGCATACGCCAAGTCGCGAGCTTTGAAACCTAGTACTCGGACATGTCGATCTATCTACTACAGTCAGACGTCCCATTTAAGTACATTCTCATGAGAGAATAAAACCAACGCTGTCCTATCTTCGGCATTGTCGGTAATGCCGTGAATCACTACGCCAGATCGAAACAAGACAAGATCGCCTGGCACATAAGCCAACTTGTATTGTAGATTGGGAGTGCCCACCACCAAATGACTTTCTTTGTGACTTCCAACATTGGTCATGAGCACATAGCCTTCTGGATCATCTCCTTGATCGATATGTGGTGTGACACGCAAGTTACGTACCAATGCCATACCTAGAAAGGGGCAAGGTGATTCGTGGAGATAGGTTGCCAAATCCGCATGCTTGCCTGCAAGGCGATCCATTCCTTGGCGATACCTCTGATATTCGTTGGGTGCGAGTGTACGAAAGAGATTTGAGACTAGCTGGAAGAAGGGTTCCAGCTTGCGCATGAATTGGCGAACATGTCGGTTGATGTACGAGCCTTTAATGCTGTCATTCGAAACGATAGGTCCCTTCCTGGTTTGGCGCTTTGCTATCCAGTAGGCGAAATGCAAGACGCCAGCGTCACAGCCATATTGTTGTCTAGCCTGAAGGGGCGGTGGGTGGGTGGGGCGGGTCAGAATATCTTTGTCAGACCCGTTCGATCACAATCTTTGTGGACTTGCCTCATTGAAATTGTGATGCCGGCCGCAGGAAGGCGCCGGGATATTCCTGCCGGCCCCAGTCCCTGCACCTCTGCCTTCACTCGCACAATTTTGACGATTTTTCCCTCCATGGTATTCGTCTGACTCGAGATCTTCCTCCGACTCGCAATCGTCTGACTCGCGATATTCGTCCGACTCGCAATCGTCTGACTCGCGATATTCGTCCGACTCGCGATCGTCCGACTCGCGATATTCGGACGACTCGCGATCGTCCGACTCGCGATATTCGTCTGAGTCGTTCGAGTCGTCGGGGGCTTCCTTCCGCTCCTCCCGCTCCTCCCGCTCCCTCTGCCATTCCTCTCGTTCCTTCTTCGGACGGCTATTCATCCAGCCATGACAGAGTGCATCGATCGTCTGTGTCAGCTCAGCCACCTCGCTAGGCGACAGGAGTCCACTGATCTTGAAACCTAATGGGACGGCATCACGTGTCTCCATCTTCACGGTGCCTGGGTCGATAAGTCGTGCGTCAGGTGTCGAGTTGCGGCGTGCGTTCCGGACATGACCAGCAGTTTGTATCAGGGTTACGCTTCTACGCTTGACAGGCTAGGACTTACCCTCATAGAGTGGCAGTTCCCGTGTCGACTGATCCCACCCGTCGACCATTTGATCCCAAACATCCCCCGCAGGCCTATCCTTGACCCGTTGATAGGCGGCTGCTCGCTTCGTTCTCGGTTCGTCCTGAAAGGCTGATCGCTTATCCCCTTGCAGGACTTCGTCCCACGTTTCAGGCAAGGTGATGGTGGTTGCATCTTGCTCTTGCGCAGCAAGTTTATCAGCCAGCGCTTTCAGACCTGCTGCAAAATGCGTTGAGTGAGCTTGCAGGAGTGGGATTGGGTTGCTTTTACTGACCGTTCGGATTTTGACGATGCAGGTGCTCCAACCGTCGTTTACTGATCTTGTTATGGGCGAAATCGGCGCATGCCGAAACGAATTCGTCTCGCCAAGCTTGTTCGATGTTCGCAGCGTCGGCTACGAAGTCCTCATCGACGAGGTTGGCTCCCCGGGTAACCACTGTGGCCGCCATAGCCTCGCTGTCTATCACCCACAGCAAAGGAGGAGGAGGATTTGGCGCTGCAGACGAAGCATCAGGCGGCCGGGCAAGAGGCGGTCAGCCTCAGAAACGATGGCCGAACCGGGAACGATCAGCAGACTTACCTGACGGCTCTGGCGTACCGAGCGAAATTTCCCTCGGAGATTCGCCGCCGTCGTTCCGCTGTGGTCCATCTTTCCCAGCGTGCTGCTCTGGACCACTTCCGTCTGTGTCGATCGGCTGAGTCGAGTCTCGTTCAGACGTCTCATCGTCTGCGTCGACCGACTCAAGAGAGACTCGCCCAGGCACCTCGCCGGGCGAATTCTGCACCACCTTTCTCCGCTTGATATGGCTCGCCGTATCGCCGCTGCCGTCGTCGTGATCGTTTCGGGTTCGAGGACGGTCGATCGTGCCCTTGGCGACCTTTTTAGAGACGCTGTTGCCAAATGAATCGCCGTCGCTGTCTTGATGATGACGTTTGGTCGAGGTTTGCGGGTCGCCATCGAGGGCCTTGGCGACGTCATTGAAGAGGCGCTCTGCAGGTGAATTCCAGCCCGGGTTTTTGGACTGAATCAATGATACCGCCTCCTGAAGGTTATAGGACCTGGCTATCTTTTTGATTGGCAAGAGGAATCGACGGCTAGGCGGCTAAGATCAGATTACAAACTCGTTAGTGCGTCGGTTACAGACAGTCGACCGGCCATTACGTACCTTGTTGAACTGGAAAGCTCTCCACCAATCAGACTGCCATCTTATACCGATGTACCGGTGTAGATTCTCTTGTCTGTTTGCCGCATAAAGGCGATCTTGCATTCGTCTTCGCATATCTGGCTCCAGGTCTTGGGGTTTGAGTATCGCCTCCTGCAATAGCCTCTCATAGATGTCTGCTGTCGTATGTTGGGCCTGTTCAACTTGATCTTCGGAGAAGGCCAGTAATTTGATAGCCGTAGTAGCAGGCTGCTTGGACAAGTATTGCATTGACGCATAGAAATCCCCCCTGCTGCATTTCTGCCATAGCTCCGGTACCGGCGTCGCCATGTTGCCGCCTGTTGAACGTGTTCGTCGACCTCTTTCTCTGAAAGTTGTCGCCGTAGCGGAAAGGTTGTGACCGTGACAGCAAGACCGAGGCTGTGACGGAAGATCGGTATCTGAAAGATTACAGCTTGCACTTCGACCGTTATCGAAGGCCTATCGACTCGAGGGCGAACGGTCCGAAGGGGTGCAGGCGAAGGTCGATCGGTCGGATCCGCGCGGGATGGCCCGGGGCGATACGCTGTCACGTGACCGTATGTACGTAAGCGGAGCTAGTCCCGTCGAGCCACTTTCCGATGGGCCGATGACGATTGTTTGTGACCCAAAGAAAATTGGGTCACAAAAAAACGTCATCGGCAATTCCAACGGGGGTGCGGGGACCGTGCGCGTCGCGCTATCCAAGAAGGCGCGCCTGCGCGACCGTACGTCCGTCTCCCTGCAGATGGGGTCGTCACGCCTAATTCACCTACGAGTACAGGAGTTGATCCTGGCCGCCTGTCGAAGGCGACTGTCAGTATTGCCAGTAAACAGAGATCTGCTCCCAGGCGAAATCCTGGGAGTTTTTGGTCCATTTCCGTTTCGCCGCGCAACTTTCCCAGACATCATGCCTCCAAAGAAGCCGCCCTTGCAGGCCGACCCAGCAGCGGTCGCGAAAGGGTTGAAAGATGGATACGACTGGTTCGAGGCCAACTTTGGGCAGGCCCTCGCCTCTCCCCAGGACCTGGACCTGCCAGCATCCACCACTGTTACCCATACTCCCATCTCGAAGACCATCGACGAGGACCAGGACGAGGACGCCGATCTGGTCTTCTTGACGGATCTGATCGAGGCTGACAGGCTGGACGCAGCAACGGGGGACTCTGAGGATATAGACGTGATCAGAGTCAAGGAGGGGGAATTCGAGGATGTGGACGTGATCGGAGTCAAGGACATTTCCACATTCGATTTCGAAGCCAAGATCAAGGCGTTGAACCACGACGCTGTGCAGTGGTTGGACCAGGCCGAGACGACTGAGGAGGGGCGTCAGATGGCGAAGAAGGCATATCCTACTGTGTGCAGACTCATGGCCAACCACCCGGCTTTTGATATCAATGAGGGTAAGCTGATATAAGGAGTCATTCTTCTGTTGTGCTACGTGCTGACCCATTGGATTCAGACGGCATGCTTGTCAAGACCACGGCATTCCACTCATCGTTCCCGGAAGCGCTCCTCCTCATTGACCACCGCCGAAGCTTGCAGGTGAGTCCCTGAGTCCCGAGCAAAGGGGTATAGCTTTGTAGGGCGTATGATTAGCGGGGCTGGGGCTGAAGAAACATCCAGTTATATGAGCATCTCCATGCAGTCGCTTTCTCGCTGAACCCCAAACTTGGACGAGCCTACAGCAACCTAGATCCCAACACGTACTTGACATCGACCACGTTGCTAGACTGCGGCATCGAAGCGGAGGAAGGACCAGGAATCTACACGTACTCGTGGGCCAAGGTTCCCAAGAATTACATTGGCAAATCCGTCCATCCTCGCAAGAGGCTAGATGAACATCGGAGGGGAGCAGCGTCGACCGGTGTCAATCGCTACGTTCGCTATGCCAAAGAGACCTGGCCTGTCGCTACGTGGAAAACCGCTGTCATCTTGGTGTTTCCTCCGGACTGCCCTCAGGGAATCCTCAGCGCTATGGAGACTTCGGTCATCGGTATGTTTGCGCTCGACTGTGTCCCCATTTTCTTTTCGAGCTAAACTTTCTGGTCCTTCAATACTGTAGCTGTTCACGGGTCCACTCTTCCACCATCGCCTGCTCAGCTCAACATCGTCGATAGACTTCGCCTGGTCCGCAGGTTCGTTCGAGCAGGGTTTTTGCTCACGTTCCCCATATACTGACTCCACTTGTCTCTCAGTCCCATGTCCGACGTTCAACTGGCTCAACTCTGTCAGCTCGTCGCCGAGAATCAAGCACCTCCCGTTCCATTGAGTGACAAGGAGACGTGGTACAAGTACGTTCGGACTTGGGCGTAGCAGCGAGAGTGTATCAGATCACTAACGAGGTCTTTCGTCTCATGATGAAACTGCTAGATCCTTTGAGAAGTTGAATGGGATCAACGTCAAACCCATCCACCTTCTGCGGTTGATGCGTATGCCAACAGATCTCGCTTTCGATCGGACTAACTGGAAGATCTCGGGGGGTTTATTGGAGGAGAAAGTCAGGTTCCACCGTATGCTGGTTAGCAAGGGACTTAGCAAAGCTATCTACCCGAGGCGTATCGCCCAGGGCATGCAGTACGAGCAGTACGAGCGGAAGGGCAAAACGAGTACAGATACCAACAAGTATCCGTTGGCTGGCGTCCGTCTGTTTGTTGGCGACCAACCCCCGCTGGATGTCAGCTGGGAAGACCAGCCGGAAGAGGAGGTCAGCTGGATGGACATTCGAGGGGAGGTTGAGAGCACCGCAGCTACGTTGTTTGAAAGGGTATATGGCTATCAACTATAGGATAGGGCCGATTATATACGCATCTGTGAGTGATATAAGAGTATACAGTAGTGTTTGAACGCCCTCTCGCCCTACTTTATCAAAGGTATCGCTGTAACGATCTGCATTCTCATTTGTTACTTAGTGTGTCCCTATGCGTTGCGGCTCACTCTGTATTGAGTGGCCTTCGGCGCGGGCATGACCGCTGATCTAGCTATCTACACATGTCGGAACGGAGAATAACTAACTAACAGCTAGGTCGAGAATCAATAGCGTAAGTACACGTCTCGTAGAGGATGGGAGAGGTGGGAGATCGCTGAGTCCGAGAAGTCGTCGATGTCGATGTCGTCGATGTCGATCCAGGTGGATTGTAGTAGACGACTGTCGAGTTCCCTCACCGAGTTCCCTCACCGAGTTCCCTCACTCGCGTTTCCAGGAACTACCCCATTCGACCCGTGCTGTGTGTTTCAGGCGTGGCATGCATGTCATGCGCCGTGCGCCAAAGGCCGCTCGCCTGCTCCCAAAACGTGTAGTCGCGGCCTCGGCCGAGGCGGTCGACGTTGCGGGAAGGCGAGCGAGCGGGTGACCTTATGCGCTGCGGCTCACTCTGTATTGTTATTCGTTGTGGCTGAGCACTCTACGGACCTCGATGATCATTTTCATGTTCTGCCACTGTTTGACAGGCGTACTCTAGTTTTTCAAGATCCTCAAGCCACTTGGCCGCGCTTTGGTTTACTGGGTCTGAGGCATCAGACTGCCGACCACTTGTACCATATTATCATACGACTCAATGTCCCGATACAGGATCGCTATACAGTGAAGAATCTTCATCCTCGCATCCCAGTCAATCCATCTATTCCCGTGACATTCATTTTGGCATCCGGTAGGGTTCAGGTCGAGGGCTGCGGCCAACGATCTCCACGAAGAAGATTGAGCTTCACAGTACCGCCATCATCGGCCCATTCGAATCACTCACAGTGCTATCGCGTGTGTCTAGTATCCCAGCGTTTGACCTATTGGCCCGTCTCCGGATGTCACGCACGCCTGGTTCGAAAGCCATGGTTAGCGGGAGCTTTCTTCTGCCACATGTCAGCCGCGACGAACAAGCGCTAACTTTTGCCCTGCTTGTGTTGCAACTGAGCGACCTCCTTGGAGTTGTATGTAGGGACTGGCGGAGGTTCCTTGGGATTGAAGTAGTCCTGTCCAAAGTTGTCCTTCGCAGCGTCTGGCTTTGCCGCCTTTGGGCGGGCAAGCAGGATGGGCAAATACAGCTCCGGCTTAGAGACGAGGTTGTCTGGGGCTCCGAATCGGTAGTCGTAACGCGAACTTGACATGTTAGCTATGTTGTGTATGCCGTGTACAGTGGGCGGTGAGTTCAAGTTACAATGGTTGCGACCGATCAATTGATTCATTAATTATTATATCAAGAAGCAAGAGGAAGGTCAGACGGGGCGCTTGAGACAATAAGCAGTAAAGGATCTGCGGTTCCGCGAGAGATCTCAGGCCAGCAAATTGCCTGGGCCGCTCAGCGAGCACGACGTTTGAATAATCTGATGAAGAATGTCAATCGAGTCTTCATGCGATTGACCAAAGGCTATCAAACACCCGCCAAATCTTCGACAATCGGCAAAATGCCACCAAAATCCAAGGCCAAGGTCATCGAAGATCTCAAGAAGCTCAGCGAACATTGCGAGGCCCACCGTAACAAAGCCGCTAATTGTAGCGAATTCTCAAGCACGGGCGAGCCTGACCTTCCTGAAGCGGTAGCACTGCTGTGCGTAATGAAGAGTAGTGGAACCGACTATGTACATGGCACCCGAAGACCGAATATCCACTACAAGTTCAACGAAGGGGATTACGATAACATGGAGGAGTTGAATACCGCTGCCAGATCACGGGTTATAGAACGTATCGAGGTGAGCACCGCTACCGCCCTTCGATGCACTCCTCAATCACCGTTTCGCGTGCCACCTCTCGATCACCACCCTTCAAACCTGACCTATATTCTTTCAGAACGTCTTTGGCCCCCACGGCTACAATATTCCCATGCCGGCAGTGCGTTACTGTATACACCATGGCCCCCACAACTCGATCCATCAACTAGCGAGGGCATGCATGATGCTGGAGATGACCCACGAGCCCTCGTCTGAAACGGCGTATGCAACCTGCAAGGACGACTTCTTGGATCCATCCCTCGATGACTCTGAAGCAGGAGAACAGAAGAAGCCGGCCAGTGCTACCGGGACGACTGTATTTTCTGAGGACCAGGTCAACACAGGATGTGCCACTTTGCGACGTATTTGCGGTGTGAGTCGAACTGAACTACTTCTGATTGAGTTTACCCCAGCTGATCTTCTTACGTAGTATTTTGGAATGTCGTCAATCCAGTTTGGAAGATACATCCTTGTTGGTAATCGGGATCAGTACAAGGACCATATCAAAGGAGCTTCGACATATGCTATTCTCTACGACATCGGATTATTGCCACGAGATGATGCCTCGGCAGCATGTTTGGCTCCGAACGCCCTGGTGAGTCCCTTGGATAATGTTGGCGGTAAGAAGTATATGCTGATGTTCCAATTTGCATTGAGGTAACTGCCGTTGCTACAAAATTTCTGCGAGACGAGGTTGTCCGCTTGGCATTTGATCTGGCCGCAGCCGATTTTCTAGGTCAATACAGAAGCTCAGTGAGGGATCCCATCGGTGAAGCTGACATGAGAGGTTGACTTTGCACGGCAGGAAATCCTACCCACTATCACGCGCTTCGAAATGCGATCATGGCAAGCAAAGGCTATGACAGTTGGGCGGACTTCATCACGGATGCAAGACGAGACCAGTACATCGTACAATCCCAGCAACAAGATATATGTGAGCGCCATCTTACTTGGCGGTGGCCAGAATGAAAACTGACACCTCCATCAGTTTCAAGGACATTCCGTGATCTTCCCGACATTCTGCACTCCTATGGAGAGTTCAACTCGGCAATGTCAAGATTCATCCAGAAGGCTTGTCGTCTGCCTCCACTCACCCTTCAATACTCAACCTTAGATATGGAGATCGTTGACAGATACTGGCTTGGCGGATAGTCAGTACCAATGTGATCGGTGATCGGTACACTGAAGAACCAAATCATTGACCGGTAGCTGGATACAACTCCCTCATTTAGCTCGGCAGCGCACGCTCTATGGCGGCTCAGCATTCTGACTGGCAAGCAGGAAATCAGAATGCAGCAATTTCTGGTCTATTATGCCAAGCGATGGACCTTTGGTGCAGATGGACGGCGAGTGATTGACAATCGGGTCCAGGCCAAGCAACAGGTGGGTATTTCTCCCTACCAAGGGTCTCTAGTATGTTATTGAAATCGGTACGCTCTAGGTCGAAATCCCGATGTAATGGAGGCGTTTCTACTGTATGGCCACACTTGTCTCACATGGCCACACCTGTCTCTCGACGTCGACGTTGGCCTGCGAAAATCAAACTGTCGAATATGTCGAGTACCCATATGATTGTCAGCGGAATTGCATCAGGTCGTTTCGTCCAAGGCGTGGTAGCATCTCCCATCCCTGTATGCGGTTTGCTTAACCTGTTCATTGTACCTGCTTTTCTGTTTCATGAATTTGAGGTGTAACGTCTTATCCGACGTTTATGTCGCCCGCCCGAATGGTAGGGGGGTTGGCGGAAGGCGAGTAGGTTTGTCGCGTTCGTAATCGTTAGAATGTTATGCTGAATGTTATCATTCATCGTTTGCTAGTATATCGGTTAGTACACCAGATTCTGATTAGCATTTCAATGTTCTGGTAAGCTGGGTTCGACTCCCAGGCGAACGTCTTCTTTTTTCGCCCGGCGCGTCTGGTGAGTCGCATCCCCGCGACTAGACGAGATCGTATTCACACAAACCAGCTTTTTATGCGCCGACTCCCATCGATCATACTCCGACTGAAATTTGACGCTCTAGTCGCACTGATCTGTTCCCGGAGCAGACCCGGGACCATCGCAAAACCGCACTTATGCATGCTTCGTTGACCTCGCCATTCAAGACGACCGTCACGCACGTCATATCGTATCTCCAAAGTTCCGTGTGATACCATCAGGGAGCATGTAGTATATATGTTCGCTATACAACCCCCCAAAAAACATCCCGGGGGACATCCCTCCCCAACGTCCTCGTCTCTCCCGGCGCAGATCATCCCAGGCGTCCAGGTTCAAAGGACCACGCATGCTCGTAAACACTCCATCTCGCAGCGCTTGCTTAGATGGTGGAAGGGAAGAGCATCTACAAAAGGTCAAATTTGTGGGTCAGCCTGGATGCCCATCCATCTCAGCATACGGCGACGAGCCTAGACCTACGATTCGGGCGCTGGCACCGAAAGAGTGGGCGGGCATGTTGGACGAGAACTTGGCCTTGACGACACCCGAGTTTCCGTGAGGCCTCGAGACACGTCCCCACATCACTCGGACCTTGGAACCGGCAATCTCCCTCTTGGCCTTGTAGACGTAAGCGACACGCTGTGAAGAACAGAGACAATTAGATCAGTTTCGTGTCGTCGGAAACATGCTGTTTTGACTGGCGAAAGCGGGCAAGGTTCGGCAGGGGGGTCTCGCGGATGGAAAGGGCGGCAGGTGTTGAATTGCGGGCTGGCTGGATTTGGCAGGTGTCGGCGTCGTCGGCACATGGTGATTATCAAGTCTAGGTGGTTCTTGCGAATCGATTTGGTTCTATCACGAGACCAGTGACTGGCGATGGTTGACAACAGAGTTCGACGAGGTTTCCGGTAGACTTCCGGCTCGTCTTCAACGCCAGAGTCGAGCGGCTTGGTTGTCATCGTGAAGAATTCGTATCTTTCGGTCCGCTGGTACTGGTATTCGCGGGACCGTCCCAACTGAGACTGCCCTTTCCGACCCGGGTTCTTCTTTCTTCATCTTGATGTCCCAATGCTTGATGTCGTCCAGCCAGATCCAATCCGCCGCCGTTCGTCCCTTTTCTGTTCCGCCCAGTGCCCAGTCCCCACGACATCCGCAAGACAACCCCTTTCGTCGAACCTTCCCCCGCCTCTCCCTCGCATAACTTCCAAACATCCTCGACGTCCGACACCCGACACCCACCTTTCCGAGGTAGAACTGAGCGGCCTCCTTGTTCTCAACGCCCTCGATCTGGACGAGAGTGGTGTTGGGTCGCGAGTTCCTCTTTGCTCGCTTGTGACCGAGAACACGAGCCTTGACGTAGAGACTATTTCAATGGAAAGACGTGCCCGGTTGTTCCAGTTGCGAGGTCCAAGATAGGTCGTTCGTGAATTGCAAGCAGAGAGTGCAAGGGAAAGAATAGACATGTATCCGTTCGTCAGCCCGTGCGTTCTTTCCTTCCACCATCCATCTGTCCAATTGCCCTTGACACTAACCGAGACTGTTCAAGCAAGATCAAAGGTCAGCTCCTCCCGTCTGCCCCCAGACACCAGCATCTCTCCCTACTCACAGAAGCCATTTTGTTTTTTGTCCGCTTGTCGAAGTTACTTGCCGGTATCGAAAGGTTCAAGGGTGAGGTCGTAATCGTCGAGGTCGAGGTCGTTCAGATCGATAGGCTGATCTCGACTGGCTGCTCGCTCGCAAACCCCAGCCCGGCCCAGGGCGAAGGCTGCCAACTCGCCCACAACCACTCAGCCCCACCCACGCTCACACACAACGAGCGAGCGGGTGAGAGCGACCCCCAAGGGTAGCACCCGCGCGCGCAAAGGGGGTCAGGGAAAGCGAATCGACTAGAAGCGCATTCTTTGCGACTCGCGCTTGTTCGATTCCACCAAGACTTCCCTCGCGCAGGGACTTGCCGAGGTCGATGGCTGCTTACCTAATCGACCAAGATCGGAGTTATCACCGAACCAGCTCTCGGCCTCGCCCGACCTCGGTCACACTCATCAAGACCCTCACCTCAACAACTCTCACCACCACTTCAACGCTGACCCGCTTCCCTTTTCCCCTCTCCCAGGCCTCGATGCGAGTAATCAGACTCGCTCTCTCTACGTCGACAAAACTTTTCTAGATGGAGCAGGAGAAACGGAGCGAGCGCCAGAACGATTTCGAGTTGGACCCAGAGTCTGGACGGGTCCTTGGAGCATCATCGGATCTTCCGATTCGATTGATAGGGGAATCCGTGTGGGACGGGTCTTTTCTTTCCTCCTTCGGGAGGTCAGGGGAGGGGACGATTGCTCCGAGATCAAGGGAGGTGTGTTCAGAGGGGGCAACCTCGATGGCTACATCTCCTTCTCTCGGGTCGTTCGCAGCTTGTACATTCAGGCGTAACTTATTTACAGACTCGTTTATATACACATTTCAATTCAACCTTGATGGCCGTCTCAACGGTTCGACATCACAACTTGCAGTCCGACGTGACCGCCCATTGTTGGCATGATTGTGAACATCACCGTCGTCCGTGCTAAATGATACAGTACCCATTCTATGCACATCGTCTATACGTTCCCGCCGACGCTCATACCATCCCGCCAAAGGCCAGCCTGACCAATGCGTTCCAATCCCAACCCTCCTTCCCGAATCCTCTCAACAACGCTTCCCTCTCTTCCCTCTCCCGTCTCGCCACGTCACTTTCCCTGCCGACTTGTACCGTCGAACAGTAAAACCTCTGCAGACCGAGCGCCAACAACTGCGCCTCGGCTTGCGTCAACGCGAGGTCTGTTGACGGTAATGGCGACGACACGGGGGATTTGGTGGACGACGGCGAGATCTCCCCTCGCATGAGTACGACCGGGTGAGCTTGTGGGGGCGCGGTCGGGTCGATGACCACCTCCGCTTTACCCTTGGCGTCCACGTTGGGTTCGGAAGGAGCAGGGTGTCCGAGGGGATTGTTGTGCAGGTCCGGGTAGTGGGTGAGTACCAACCATGGACGGGCCCACTCGCCCTTTTGCTTGTATTCCTCCAACGAGGTGAACATGACCGACGAAGCCGGTTGTCTCTCCACCTCGCGTGTCCTGCCGGTCGAATCCACATCCTCGTGGTTGACGGACGGCGTCGGGTGGAACGTCCATTGCAAGAAGAACATCTCCCAACTCGCCTCCCCTCCGCCGACCTTGCCGCCCTCTTGTTCTCTGGGCAGAGGGAGCAAGAAGACCGGATGTTGTTTGGCGAGCTCGACCATGCTCGCATACGTCCCTGGCGGGATCGAAGCCGAGAGGAAGGTGGGTGCGAGCGTTGGGTGGGCGGAGTGATAGGCTTGCCAGAGGGAAGAGATTTGAGAGGTGGTATGCGGGGACGAGTAGATCAGGGGGAGATTCAGGATCTGCGAGAGCGGCTGCGGGAACACGAGAGTGTCAGCACGACATGGAGAGCTACTGTGCATCAGCTAGGCTTGGAGACACTCACCTTGATCCCGGCTCGATCGTTGTTGACCTGAGCATCATCCTGCTTGGCAGCTGGTTTCCGTTTGGCAGGCGACGGACTCGAGGCGGATGGGGACGCGTTCGCTGCTGAATCCGCCTCGACACCTGAACCCGTTGTCGTTGCAGGCTTGACATCCTTCTTCATTTTGAGCGCGATCCTAGCTCTCAGATCATCGATCGATGAGACCTTTTCCCTGTGATGTCAAGACAGCGAGAGATTCGGTACATGATCAGCACAGGTAGTTGTACATCTCCCGCATTTGCCACTCTACCGAGACTCACTCCTTCATCCGCTTCTCGAGCTGAGCCTTGTACTTGTCCCTCGCCAATACTTTCTTCCTCTCAATCTCTTCCCGTGTCCCTATCAGCCTCGCTGGAATATCTTCTCCCTGAGGCGTAGACGAGGAAGCTGATGCCGCTGATCGATCGAGGTCGAGTCGGATCGGTGCGACGTGAAACCCTCGGCGGACACCCAAGGAAGGTCCGGCACGAGGCAGCGCCAGAGATCTCGAAAGGCGAGGAATGAGCATGCTTGCGGTATTCAGCGGGTAGATCTAGTAATGCAAAGATCAGCTATGTAACTGTCGATTCCACCATCCATGACGTTTCAGATCGTGAACTGACGAATTCGAGGTCGACCAACTCCTCGGGTTCAGAGGTGGAGGTCCGGAACGAAGGGTCACGTGAGTGCAGCTACCGGGAGTATTATTTAGCATCCGGCGATGGCGACATTTCTCCGGAAGCAAATGATGATGATGAATACCGAATTGCAGTAAACTGCTGGGCTGGATTGACATTCGATTGACATGTTCAAACAAATAACCAGCAACTGACATCACCTATCCTCCATTCCACACCACTCTTCTACCCTCTAGTACGCTCCATTCCAGTCCTTAGAGACGTCGAGCATGTCATCCCGATCGATCCTCCAACGAGCTCGAACAACGACCCGACACCTCGTATCATCCACCTCTTCCCGCAACATCTCTTGCTCATCGGTCCGTCTCGACGATTCGCCAATCCCCAGCCCATTTCAACCTAAACCTCACCTCCGACCAGAAGCTCTTCAAGGCGTCTTGCGTTATTCTACGTCGTCATCCTCGTCGTCTTTACCGACATCCTCCTCACACGCCTACTCTACCAAGTCCTCCCGACCCGCTGACCCACCTACTAAACCTAGCCCCGAGTCCCTCTTGGATACAAGCCGATCACACGAACACGACGATAGCAAACGCAAAGAACAGATCAAATATGATCAGGACCACGATGTGCGGTTGCACCACGAACACCTCGCTCCTGTCGCTCCCAAGCTACCGCCGAGACGTCGACCGAATTATCAAGCGGCCGGGTTCGGGTTGAGCGGGGATTACGGGCGGAAAGCTCAGCCTGGGCCGATAGCAGGAAGGCAGGGAGGGAAGAAAAGGACGACGGATAGAAGTGATAAGAAGGCGGTGGTATCGACCGAGGACAAGGAAGAGCCGGCTAGTCCAGATCTACCTGCCCAGCCGACGCCTCATACGTCCGCTTTCACTCGGCATGATCCGAATGTGCAAGTCTTGGGCACGGGGACGGGCGGGAATGTGCAGATGTCTTCCTCCGCAGGAGGAGTTGGAGGCGCGGGAGAGGTTCTAGGTGTACAAGGTAGTGAGGTGAGGAGGATGGACGAAGGTGAAAAGGACGCGGTGGATGGGAACGAGGCTGAAGCGTGTTACGTCGTAAGCCGAACCATGGCCTCTGTTTGACCCGCTTACTCGGCTTGCTCATTTCTTGTCGCTTGATACTATCACCCCAGCCTCCACCATCGACTCTGGCATACCATCATCCATCCCCTCTCCCGCTCATCTATTCTCCTCACCCCTTGCCAAACTATACCATCGCCTACGAAACGTGGGGCAACCTCAACGCCGATCGATCCAATGCCATCCTCCTTCATACAGGTCTCTCGGCGTCCTCTCATGTCGCTTCGGGCGGGAACGGGGTGAGCGAGGACGTCGCTTCGAGAAAGGGTTGGTGGGAGGATTTCGTTGGCAGTGGCAAGGCGATCGATACGGATAGGTTTTTCGTCATATGCACGAATACAATTGGAGGTTGTTTGTGAGTCGAACGACTGACGCTCTCGCAAGGCATCTTCGATCGATGATCGGCTGACACTGTCTGCTCTTCCCACACCGTGTCATTTCGCAGCGGCTCGACGGGTCCGTCCTCTCAATGGCCCCACGGCGAAGAAGGCGAACGCTGGGCTACCCGCTTCCCCACCCTCTCATTGTTCGACATGGTCCGTGCGCAACTTTCCTTATTGGACGGACTAGGGATCGACAAGCTGTACGCCAGTATAGGTAGCTCGATGGGAGGGATGCAGAGTCTGGCTTTGGCTTATCTGGAGCCGGAGCGGGTGGGCAGGGTGGCGAGTATCAGCGCTACGGGGAGGAGCGGGTTGGGTGGAGTCGGGATGAGGTTTGCCCAGAGGAGCGGTAGGTTGCTGAGCGCTATCAGTGCTACTTGAGATAGCGAGTCTAATCAAGATGATGACGATGTAGTATTGATGTCGGATCCCAACTGGAATCGAGGATTCTATTACGACGGTGTACCCCCTCACGCAGGGATGAAGCTCGCTCGACGTGAGTAGTCAACCTTCCGATTCGGCGCATCGAGTCTGCCCTGGAGCTGACACCATGCGACCGCTCGCCTCATAGAGATCGCTACGATTACGTACCGATCAGGCCCAGAGTGGGAACAACGTTTCGGAAGGAAGATGCTTAGCGAGACGGTAGACGAGCGGGGTGAAAAAGTCGTTGGTGTACCCAGCCTGAGTCCGGATTTCCTGATCGAGACTTATCTCGACCACCAGGTGAGTCGCGACCGGTCCCGTATTGTACCACGCCATGATCGCCGCGGGATGACACTGACCTCGAATTTACAACCGTGTTCGCAGGGCGAACGGTTCTGTCTGACGTACGACGCCAACTCGATGATCTACCTGTCCAAGGCGATGGACCTCTTTGACATGACCGACGACATGCTCGCCGCCCTCTCGGACAAGTTCAAGTCGGCCTACCCTGACGACCCAAACCCCTTCCCCCACCCTACCGACAACGTCAGCCCGGAACTCGGAGAAAACATTTCGTCTTCGAGCGTCATCGGACCCATCTCCAGCCAGACGGAAAAGCACAAGAAAAAGTACGCGGCGCCGTTCATCCCGACTTCGAAATCTCCGCATTTGGCCTCGCTCGCCAAGGGGTTAGCTCGACTCCAAAACATTCCCGCCCTCATTCTTGGTGTGCAGTCCGACGTGCTCTTCCCGGTCGAGCAGCAGCGAGAATTAGCAGATGCGCTCAAGCTCGCCGGGAACGAAAAGGTCAGCTATTACGAACTTGGAGGAGTGTGGGGGCATGATACCTTTTTGCTCGACGTTCAAGGGGTCGGAGGCGCCATCAGAGGGTTCTTGCATTGATAGTAAAGGAGGCACAGTCAGGGAAATACCGGTTGTAGTCAAGGACGAACAGGTTGTACCATCATGGGCAAATGTACCGGGCATCTGACAGGGATTTGGTCTCGTTTTGCAATCATCTCATAGACGAGTCTATAGCACTACAAAGAGACGAAAGGAATAGCTCGACCGGCGGCAAAGGAATGAAGATTAAGCGAGGGACAGAAGAGCAAAAGCGAAGGTGTCCAAGTATCGAAAAGGCGAAGGCATGGCGAAGTAAGAGGAGCAAGATCTATGCGTTGCGACTGCGGACCAGGGTGACATCCATGGCAGAGGCCAACGAGCTGACCGTGCTATTGGAGACCGAAGTCGTGGCGGAACCAGGGCGGGTACTCGACAATGCGGACAGGGATCGAATGGGAACGGGTTTCTGCAAACCCGAGCCAGTGCTGAGTTGCGGTAGTGGGGAATGGATGTCGGGAGATTGCTGGTATCCTCCGTGTTGTTCTTTACCCGAGGGCGGTTTTGAGTTGGCAAAGGGTGAAAAGCCGAGTGTCGAAGAAGGCTGGTAGTTGGTCTTGCCAGCCAGAGGCACGCGACTGCTCTGTTGAGACAGGAACGTCGAAGTGGCGGTAAAGTTGGACGAGGGGAAGCCGAGGCATGAGTCGGGACTTGCGATTTCTCGACTCCTCGATCTGGTAGCCTCCTCCATGATGCTCAATGGCGGCAATTCGTTAAGAGGGTACGGTGACGGACGAGCGCTACTGCCACCATCGAGCGAGAGCGCAGGGGTGAGGTCTCCCTCGGTCGAGGAACTGAGCCCGGACATCATGGAATGCGAACGAATGGCTTGCATATCGAGTCGGGGAGGACGTTCTGCCGATCCTCTGGCAAGGGGAGTCCTATTATTGGCCGGACCCATAGGAGTACGATCCACGTCGCTGTTCCGGATCGCGGTTTCAGGCGTCTCGGCCCGCCTACGCTCGTCCGCCTCGAACAGCGATCGCAAAGGGATCTCGGGCGAATCGTCCATCTCCATCTCAAAGGGACCGATCGAGCTGGATTTACTGACCGTGCGACGAGGCTTCCTTTCGCGCTTCTCTCTCTCAAGTCCGTCTATAAACCAGTACTCGTAACCGGGAGTGATACACCATTTCCGGATCCTAGCATTCGGATCGCCGTGCAGTCTTTGGACCCGAGTAAAAGCGGCGTTCGCGTTGATTTGGTGGCGAACTCCGTTGTAGAGTAGACGAGGATCCAATGTAAAATATGGGTACTTTGCGGCGATGGATTCGAACACCGAAGCCACATCGAGCTGATGAGGGCTCGGCGCTTCTATCAGAGCTTGCCCGATCAACATGCAATAGCTTCCCGTGGGCTTCTCGTAGATGGTGCCTGCCCGGGCGGCTTTGTCTTCCTTGTACTTCGCTACGATCGACTTGGACGCTAGAACGTCCCATACGTAGCCTGGGCAGTAAGACTTGATATCGGGTTCCTGCTTGACCTGCGTCGGGCGGCAAGACGGCAATTCCGCCGGTTCCTCTGTGACGGCTTCCGGTACAGGGTCGGGACCAGGTGCTTCGTGTGAGGTCATAAGATCGTCTGCCATGACATCGTGAGTAAAAGGCTGCTGGGTGTGGCCATCCTGGGGTAGAGAGCAGGTAGGACGGAAGCCTTCGCTACCGCTTGCTATACCGCTTGTCGGTTGATGGTCGGCAGGTGGCCAGCCTTGCGAGAGTGTGGTAGCTCTAGATCTGCGCGACCGGTGTTCCGTTTCGACTTTGGGTTGCACGTTCTGTGGATGGGTGGAACCCAGACGAGTCTCTCGAGCGGACACGGATCGCTGGTACCCGCTGATGGAAGGGCGTCTTCGACTGGGTCTTGGAATCGGCATTCCCGTCTGGTGTCCCATTCGTGGTACGGTGTAGTACGCCACGTATGTGAGGTCACCGACATGGTTGGGATCCAAATGGGGTACCGGCCCATACATGAAAGGCATAGCTGGCGAGGATGAGGACAGCGACATCTGTTGGAATTGGGGCAGGAAGGGACTCCAAGGGGTCTGACCCGCCAGAACGGGCGAGTAGGCCTCGCTCACGGCGGGAACCATGGCGTGTCGCGCAGGGGTACGTATATCGTATGGTACCCTTCTGCGTTGCTCGTGTCGATATGTCGAGGACTGTCGGCCGTTCCGAGAGCGCCTAGGGGGAGGCGCCGGGGCGTCGAAGTGATCCGAGCAGTCCGATTCGTCGCCCTCATCCGGCAACAAGGCAGGGGTGTCATCGCGAAGATACGACGAATCATCCCCGCTACTCCAGGAGTTCTGGTCGTGAGTGTAGCTGATGATGAAGACAGATTCATCATACGAGATCGTCAGAAAGTGCCTCTGAGCAAGAGCGATCAGGTCGGACGACTCACTGGTGTCCATCGAACTGATCATATCGGTCCTCAATACCTCTGCAGGTCGACTTCACCCGCGTTCGCTGATGATGAGCTGAAACGCGGGATGATTCCACGTGATCACGTGAAGATCGCGGAGCGACGGGACTCTCAGGCGAAGGGGACCTCGCTCGACTTCTTCGACCACCTTGTTCAGACTGATATATCACGACCCGTTGTCTATGACTACCAGCATCCGATTCTGGGCGGAAGTTCTCGTCAAAGGATGGCAGTGAACGGGCTGGGAAGCGGTTGTCCCGAAGAGGTGGGAGGGCGCGGGAAGAAGGAATTGCTTGAGCTCGCACAGAAGGCGCGTCCGGGGCATGACTTGGAAGGGGAGGCAGGGCTACCGTAGTAAACGGGAGCTTTGCGTTGTCCCGAAAAAGGTCTCGCCCGAGATGGTTGACGGAAGATGAGAAGTCCATTCTATTTGATCTATGTCTCGCGCGTGGGAGGGTATCAAAGTCTGATGTGATCCGTTTAATCTCTTACGATATGATTTCACCAAGAAAAGCAGAAAATCTCCGCCCGACCCGGTCGACCTATATATTCGTTGGCAGACTTGGAATGACCGACGTGTCCTCGCTGTCTGTCCTCACTGGATCGAAAACAGTGCCCCTACCCGACAGGTAAACAACCACACCATATGGCGAAAGGATCTGCGTTTGACAGCGATCTGCATATTCCATTGCAGATCAAACAGCAAAGGTCTGCAAATCCACCTCGCTGCATAGGGGTCGACCACTGCCTTTGCTGTTCCCACGCCTTGCACTGCACTCGATCACGCACACATGCATGCCGATGCCCCAAGATGTATGCCGGGAGCGGGTCGCCCTTCCCCTTTCCCTCCTCGTTCCCTGGCACCCGGGCAGCGTCGCGCGTGGAATGTGTAACCTCGGCTAGACATGAAACGCGCGCGTCGATCACACCGAGGAAAAGGGAGGAAAGAGGGAGGAAACAAGGTTTAGATCGGCATGATGATCTGCAAAGCAGTAAAGAAGGTTCTGGATATTCCGACACAGAACAAATGTCATGGCCGAGGTCTTTGCCTTTCGCGCGCTTAGCAATTCGTCACGTATAGTTGCCGCTTCGCTCTTTATTTCGAGAAGGAGGGGGTTCGACTATCCACCTTTGACGTACTCTATCTGAGCAGTGATGCCCTCTTGCCGTGTTAACATTGATACTCTCTTCCAATTGCCCCCTTGCCACTAAGCCCATTAGGGGAGTCCGATTGCCAAGGCGCGCTTCGCCCCTTCTGGCATGGAAGGGCACCACCGTGTCTCAGCACGTGACGCCATGCAGATCATGACGAAACTCCCTTTCGATTGCTTAAACCTTATCATTCTCGCTTTTTCGGGCAGAGGCGGGGAAAGATCGGGTGGTGGCACGACGAACGTTTCAAGTTGAGACGTTTTGATGAAGATAAGATTGCAAATTCCGATCGCACGGCGCGCCGGTCGCGTGATTATTGCGGGATGGGCGACCTCTTCGGTCATCATCGTGAGACAGCTCGGGGTGGTTAAAGATTGGTCCTGTCCCCTATCTGCTATCTGCTATCTGACGATCGGTTTAGCCGGCTGACACTGTTTCAGGTTCGATCGAGCCTTCCCGTGACCGATTCCAGCTATGAGAGGCGATCCCGGTCGATGTGAGACTAACATCAACCGAAATTCATCGTCTGATCTGGCATTCTAGCTATCAGGACAGGGTGTCATGGATTCTCACTCTCCAACCGAGTACCCATCCCTTCCGCGATACTGGCTTAGAGATGTACTGTCCAGCCATCGTTTCTATGGCTCAGTTATGAGTATCAAATTAAAAATGACCGTCCGCTCATTGGGGTCCTCTTGTTTCAGGTATCTATGGATTCCAGTAGATGGGTCAAGGTCCTTGTCTGCTTTGGGATTTGCCCTGTATCGTATAGAGCTAAGCAGAAACGAGGCAGAGGTCAATTTTGACGCAATACCCTACTAGTATCTGTATTATTGTGTTCACCCAACATTCAGTCGCACATGCATAAGTCGACCTCTCGGCTACAAGCCGTTTCGAAACTCAAACGCTGAGATCGCATTGAAGCCGATGTCCGGCATGACCTTCTGGGGCCGAAGTTTCGCTGGAGCGTAGTATAGACATCTTCAGGCAGCGGCAGTCGTCGCCAATCAAGTGATAGCGAGCGTTGTATTGTGCATAGAATCAACAAGCTACCTGGGATAACAGATGACATGAATTCTCGCTGTGTCGCAGAGAATTGCGGGACCAGCACTGAAGTTGCCACGTTGGGCTTGTGCAAACCTCATGATCCTTCTCCTACGACGGCGACGAGTACACGGCCACGGTATTTCCTGGGTGAGAATGATTGCATGCCGTGACAGAGGCTCCAAGGTATCCGAGGATCGACCTGTTGCTTTTCATGATGACGGAGGCATGGTCGTCTTGGTACCGTCCGCGCCGTCCGTAGTCAATCCACATAGACGACCCCATCTGGGTCGAGTCGGGTACCACCACGATCGCGCTCCGCAGGTCGGTAGTACAGGGAACCCGAGGCCGTGTGCGTGAGATGGGGCTTAGCCGTAGTAGGGCTCGAGCGCCCTTGCTTCTGGATATCCGACATGCTTGCAGAGTCACTTATCAGATCTTGGCATCTACAGAATGTTGCGAAGATGCAGTCAAGACGCAAGTAGTGATTCAATAATAAGATGGTACCGGAGATGAAGCAGCCTTCCTCGAGACTCTCGGCTTCGACCGACTAGATCGCTCACGCGAATTTCGACCATTGCGACCCAGCAGGATCAACAGCGATCAAACGTCATCAACCATCGCTACAAGCTACAAGCTACAAGCTACAAGCTACACCTCCATATCATCATTGCACACCTCAACCGAAGACAACGCGGACGGACCAAGGAGCAAAAATAATGACGTCGGTACTGCAAGACACTGTGCAATCAGCTCGAAGACAGCGTCTGTTGATCTTGGTCGGAGTCGTCGGCTCAGGGAAGGTATGTCGGGGGGATCATGTAACCAAGTGACGGCAACCGCTCGATTTATTGACTGTTGGATCAACGTAATTTCCGCCTTGATATTCTTTCAGACGACGCTTGCCCAAGAGATGGTCAAGACCGGCAGATGGGTACGAGCTTCTCAGGACGATGCGCCGACTCGAAGGAGGCAGGAATGCGAGGCGATGGTACGAAGTGGACTTCGACAGGGTAAAGACGTCGTCGTGGATAGAGTAGGCTTCGATTACCAGCAAGTCATCAGCTATATATCAGTGTGCCGATGACCTTTCCAGCGAATGCTGATGTCGTCTGTGCAGGCAGCGAGCACACTTCCTGAACATCGCGAAAGAGTTTCCTAATGTCGATTGTTACTGCTTGATCTGTAAGTAATCATGCGGTGTACTTGCTATATTTGGGGATGTAAGCTGAGCTCTGCATGCACAGTTGAAGCCCCTCGATCGGTGAGTATATCGACTAGAAACTGGCCAAGCAGTTTGATCCTGATATCCACATCATCACGGCAATCCTCCGCGAAGGCACTGGAAGCTCGCTTGAGACAACGGACGAATCACCCAACAATAAAGGACGCAACGCAAGCTATGAGGATCCTGGGCATCATGCTATCGACATACAGACCTCCTAACAGAGATGTCCCCGAAGGCTTCAAGCGGCTATTCGTTCTGCCATTCAGCAGGCAGCCGGCGGGTGGGATGTGGACGGAAGAGCTTATCGAACAGCTTTTGCAAGATGTGGAGACGAGCCCGGACGGCTGGAGCGATGACGGGAAACCAGTTGCCTGGACGCATAGTCCGCCCGCAGCGTCGAGCGGGCCCGGCCGAGGGTCATGGCGAGGTCGTGGTCAAAGCATCGGCTTCCGCCCTTATTCCAGACCGCCAATCGAGCACGGGTTTGTGGGACAAGATCCGCCCCCAGGGGGTTACCGTTACCAGGCTCGACCTCAACATATATCTCCTCAATTAGCGTTCCGACCTGGTCAGAGTGGGGGGCAGACGATGCTCGGGTTCCGAGCGGATTCCTGGCATACTCGTACCGATAGGCCGTCACAACCGCCTCCACAGCAGTGATCGCTTCAGGAGACCCGTTCGATTATGCGTTGTAATGGATACAGCACCAGAAGCTGATAACAGAATGATACAACCCGTGTCTATAATAATATGCATTCCGCCCTATAAGTTCCCTTCTAACGGTCATCCCCGACGGCTTGTCGCATCGCATGTTCAGGTCGTACACGAGCAATAATTCGGTGCCATGCCTTCCACTTGTATGCTCATTTCTTTGAGACCGCTAATTCGCCCACGAAGCGCCTTGTCTACTCGTTTCCGGACCTTCTCGGCATTGGCATAGACGACGTTCTCCCTTGCCCCGTCCAAGTATGCTGTCGTCGAAAATGCATCGACCGGTCGAGAAGGATCGTATGCGTTGCGTGAGACGTCGAGCTGGATGTGAATGGACCCGATGAGAGAGACCTCGTCTGCCGGCCAGAATCGAGCTGCGCCGTAAGAAGCGACACCTTCCAGGTTGGAAACCTCTCCAAGCGCTTGTCTGATCTCGGTAGCCTTTTCCGGGCCCAGCTCGAGGCACAAGATACGCCCGCTATCGACCACGAGCGGGATCACGCTGGCGACGATCAAGCCGGCGATAAATAGAGATGCGATTGGATCGAACACCGTTAAACCCGTATAGTTGATTAAGACGGTCGAGACGATGACGCCGACACTTCCGAGCGTGTCCTATCAGAGTGAGTGGGTCAGCACTGATTGTGCATCTGTATTATCATAGCTGAATGACTTACCGCTAAGACGTGCTAGAGTATGAAGAGCATTCGCGGTCGTTCAGCTTGAATTACATCCTGAAGCATTCTGCGGACAATCCTCACCAAGAAGACTCCCCGCATATTGGCAGAGTTTCCATGACTATGACCGCAATCACCGCCGCCGTGCTGTGGCCAAACAAACGATTGCGTCAGTGAAGCGAATATGTCGCGATACATTCTGCCGGAGACTCATACCGAATGCCCATGGTGGTGATGTCCGGTAGCATACATTCCCCACAAATTGATCGCCAGCCCGCCCGAACTGACGAACAGTAACTGCGTCATGTTTTGCATCTGTGGAGGGTTCATACTATTCGAAAGACGTCGAGCGATCGATGGCGATCAGCCAACAAACATGCTGTATCCATTCTGGTAGATCTCGACCGACTCACATTCGCTGAACACCTTCGAAGAGGATAAAGATCGAAATCAAGATGAGAAACACCCCATTGGCGAAGCCTGACAAGGTCTGGATTCGGTCGTATCTATATATAGGGCAAATCGACTCAGTCACGACGAGGTCTCCGCTGTTTCGTACCGGACGGGTTCATGACCTACCCATACGTCCACCTCCCACCCTTTTCCCACCTTGCCATCACGCTCGCTGCCAAGCCGACTCCAAGCGCAGCACAGTCAAACGCCATGTGCACGGCATCGCTGATCAATCCCAACGAGTTGGTCCAAGCGCCCCAGATTAGCTGGACAAAGAGGTAGACAAGGTTCAGCAGGAGGAAATAGAAGATCGGCCGTGATTCCGAGGAAGAGAGGATCGATTTCAGGACGGGTCGCATGGATTGCGGGAGGTAGTCGACGATGAACGGGTAAGGGTCTTCGCTGGATTTCAAGGTTGTTGTGGGAGCGGGCTGATAAGCTTCGGCGACGTAACCGTTGATCATTTGTTTCTCCTCCTTAGCGTGATCATGCGACGCGGATGCCGAGTCGATCCGGGGCACCGCCGACCTCAGACCTGTCATACAAGCCAAGCCATTACACGATCAGCATAACCAAGGGCAGGTCATCCCACATCGCACGAGGGACTGACCGGCATAGATCGTTAATCCCACCGCTCCATCGCCCCAACTCGGCGTCTCCTCGTTCAACAGGATCCCAGCTACCATGACGCCCATTGCTCTCCCGACGAACGTCCTCCTCGCACGATCCGCTCGACGCCTGTTTTCTGCTAGAACAGCCGGATTGGCCGGTCCCGATCCCGCTCCCGACTTTCTCATGCTAGATGGCGAGGTGACGGGGACTGAGAAACGGAGGTTGGGGATGATCGGGTTCAGGGTGGATCCTTCGTCCCGTATAGACCGCCGTGAAGCATCCAGGGCGATACATGTCCCCACGAGTAGCGAGATAAGAATAAGGGTAAGTGGGGAATGCAAGACGTGATGGTGGACGTGTATCCGAGTGGGTTCCTGGGAGCAGGCGATGAAAGATGAGCAATTCGTTTTCGCCAGCTCGACCTGATGGCACCTCATTTACGCCTACTCACGACAACTCCCGTCCCGGATAATCCAAGCGCGACGAGTACCATCCCTGCCGCCCCGCATATTCCCAGATCCACCTCTTGCATGCCCCTCCTCGACCTCTTCTCCTTGACGTCCCGTTCCCGCTCCCAAGCTAATGGGAAGGTCAAGGCCAGCCCTAAAGACACCGTAAGCATCGCCGCTGGAAAGATTGCTATTCAGTCGTACGCGAAAGCAACAGCAGAGCGGGTCAGCCACCCAGCTGGACACGAGCCAAGTGGAACGGTTGAGCCAGGAACGCACGTTTTGCTTGCCAGACGCTTTCGAGCAGGTAGAAACAAGATGTCAAAATTCCCGCTACCCAGCCGTATTCCTATGAACGATAGTGTAAGAGAAGATACATTTCGGTATCAGCGTGAGATACTCCACAGCAGAAGAACGACGAGCAAGCCCGAGGACTCACTTGTGAGATCTCGCTAGCTGCTAATACACCGAGGACCGTTACCGCACAGCTGTTCGTACATTCGGGCGTCATATCATCAGCTTTGTACATTCTTTCTAGGATCTTCTAAGACAAGCACAGACTTACCGGAGAGCGTCGTAATGTCTCATCGTCGTGACGATGCATATCGACTGGACCAGAAAAGTCACGGCCAAAGCGAACGTTCTCGGTATCTGTTCGTTCGTACACATTCCGCCCGTTCAAACACTTCGACTAATCAGCTCCGTGCGCAACCGCTTCAAGGAGAGTCCTCTTTGCCAGCCCTACTCACTTCCAGGTCTTCGGAGAGCTTTCCCTTGGTCCGCCGTATGACCCCGAGGGCGGCGACGACCCATACGCCCCCGACGAGTACGATCACATCGATCCCTACATGCTGAGAATGGTTGAGCGCGAGCAAGGTCGAGCTGTAGAAGAAGATCTTGGGTAATGCTGTATAAGCTGCATCGGATGATGGATCAGAATGCGAGCTCTGATGGTAAGAGCGACCGTGACCTTGGTTGTGGTTGTGATGCCGATGAGAGTGGACGTCGTGAAGTGATAACAATGACGGCGAGGGCCGGAGTTGGGGTATCGACATGATCAAGGTCGTAGCAGGGACGTCGTCTACCGGTTCGTCAGGTCGTCAGATTCGTGAAGCAAAGAGCTAGGCGATTCGCCAGTGCTTGCTGTCGTATAGGTCGTGATAGTTAGTGTCGCACTACTGATGTCGAGCCCAGCTCCCACCCAACTATCGTCCGCTGTATCGCTGTACCCTGTACCCTGACCTGATCAGTCCTCCCGACAATTCACTATTTGCTTCCGGAATCTACCCCCCAGGCCCACCACGCCGATCTGCCGTAAACCTCGTGAGTCGCGGCGTGGGATCCCGGATGTAAATCGATTCGCGTCGGTCTCGGCGAAGAGGGACGTGTCGACGGCCCAGCGATCCAGCGAAAAGGTATGTTCATGCAGAATAATATGGTCACATCAAGGACTCACACATCTTGACCGACTCGCAAAGGCATCAAGTCGAAGAGATCGACCCACTATCATGTCTCAAGCGGACACCAAAACCACCCAGTACATGGGTACCGTCGGACCTTGCGGAGTGTGAGTGTCAATAGTCTCGAGTGAAAGAAAGAAAAAGATAGAACGCGTTTCAAGCTGATCACCCTGCCGTTCTGTCACGCAGCCGGACTACCAACTGGCCTGCCATCGCCAACCCCAAGCTCCCTGCTGAAGGTTCATCCTCGTTCAGCAACGTCCACCTCTTCCTCTGCATCGTGCTCTTCCCCCGCTTGCTCCAGGCCATCCTCCCCTTCCCCTTCAGGATCTCAAACTCTTGGACATGGTACTTCTTCCTCGTCGCCCTCTTTGGTGTACCCGTAGCGATCAGCTATTGGTGGGTCATGAGCAGGATCGGAACGAGGGTCAACGAGAAGTGTGTCTTGCCCGGTCGAGGCTTGGAAGGTTACGTCACTATCAAGGATGAGAAGCTCAGGAGGTTGTATGGGGGTGTCGGAAACAAGATTCCTATGCAAGCTTTCCACGACGCCTATTTCGAGGGCAAGCTCGAGTTCAAGGGTATGTTCATCACTTTGTACCACCGGTCGTCCCATTGTCTTAGAACCTCTCGCTCATCGCCCTACCGTCCACCCTACCTTGACCCTACTCTTCGCAGGCGACGTTCTCGAACAGATGGAATACCGTCACGACTGGGCCACCTTCCCCCTCACCGCCGATCACTTCCGATACGTCCTCACTCAGCTCATCCCGGATGTCATCTTCCACTCGGAAGGCCAGGACGAGGATCAGGTCAGGGATCATTATGACCGAGGTGACGATTTCTACGAGTGGTTCTTGGGTCCACGCATGTGAGTGGGCTAGACTCGCTCGGGAGGGAAGAGGCTGGACCTGACCATACTAAGTTTGCAACTCGTTCTTCAACCTCGATAGGATTTACACCTCGGGGATCATCTCGGACCCTACCAAATTCGAGACTCTTGAACAGCTGCAGGACAACAAGCTCGCTCTCGTCTGTGAAAAGCTCGACCTCAAGCCCTCGGACAGGTTGTTGGATATCGGCTGTGGATGGGGTACTTTGGCTGCTTACGCTGGCAAGAACTATGGATGCGATGTTACCGGGGGTAAGCCTAACGCATCTTGCGCACGAGGTCTGTCTCCATACTGATTTATCAATTCGAAACGCGCCTAGTCACCCTTGCCAAGAAGCAGACCGCGTTCGGTAACGAGCGTCTCCGAAAGAACGGCGTCGAACCTTCTCAAGGTCGAATTCTCTGCACCGACTTCCGACACCTCCCCGCCGAGGCTGGCAAGTTCAACAAGATTGTCTCTCTCGAAATGGCCGAACACGTTGGAATCAGGAGGTACTCGACCTTCTTGAACCAGGTTTACAACTTGCTCGAGGACGATGGTATCTTCGTGTTCCAGGTCGCTGGGATCAGGACGCGTTGGCAGTTTGAGGATCTCAACTGGGGTCTCTTGTGAGTCATGTCTGCTTCTTTCGCTCAGCTGATTGGGAAGCTGACTGACTCGGATCGATCGTAATGGCAGCATGAACAAGTATGTCTTCCCCGGTGCCGACGCTTCCTGCGCCTTGAACTGGGTCATCGCCAAGGTGAGTCCTCCCGCATGAACGCTTGATGCGTTAATCATGAATCCGACCTGACCATATCCTTGACCTTGCCAGCTTGAACACGCCAACTTCGAGGTTCGAAGCATCGACGTTCTTGGCGTGCACTACTCGGCCACGATCCATAGGTGGTACCTGAACTGGGTCAGCAACAAGGACAAGGTCATTGCCAAGTACGGAGAGAGGTGGTACAGGATCTGGGTCTTCTTCCTCGCCTACTCGGTCATGTGAGCACCCAAGCGCAGAACAGTCCGCTGCAGAGAGATTCAAGCTGACCCTCATGATCCCGCTTCTCTTTCTTTGACGATGCAGTGCCTCGCGTCAAGGATCGGCTTCCGTCTTTCAGATCACCCTGCACAAGAACTTGAACGCTTTCAACCGTGTCGAGGGTGCTTTGGCGCACACCAGCTTGGACAGGCTGCGAAGTGGTGACCTCGATGGACTCAAGTCTGTCGAGTAAATGATGCGCTCGGTGCGAACCGATCGGCTCGCAGTAGCAGGTTGACTGAGAAAGCAAGAACAGGGGAAGAGTGCGGATGATGTGTAGATAAACACGAAAACGGACCAGGACGGCATTGGACGATAGATTAGGCAGGTGGAACCGAGTGCAAAGCCGAGCCTTGTCTTTCATCTTGTCTCTTTCCGAATGAATTGCATTGCATATTGCATAGGCATGTTTTGGTTTTTGGCAGATAAGCGAGATACTCATCGTGGATCGTGGATCATGATGATGGATTGGAATGTCCAGTATGTCGGCCAGTATCCGCGGTTCTCGTCTGGCCCCCCTTGGCCAGCGAAAGAATTTCCTCTGAATGCGCGTCGCTCTCTCTCTCTGAGGAAATTATTTTGTTATTTGGGAAAGAAGGGACGACGACGCTTCTCATCAAGATTTTTCCCTCTCTCTCTCTTACAAGCCCTTCTCTCCTTTCCTCTTCTCACACTTTCATCTCCCCACCGACCTCTCCTACCTCAAGGTCCATCCACGCTCTTTCACTGTAACGACTAGCGGTCTCTTTCCCTGTAGAAGAGCCGATCCGAAAAGAGAGAGAGAGAGAAGAACCACCACCACCGCGATAGACAAAAAGGAGGAAACAGCAATCTTTGCCCTCATCGTGTGTGAACCTGTAATACATTCACGACATTCATCCACGACCAATACCACGCTTCAAAATGGATGTAAGTACGGCTAATCCTCATTCAATTCTCGTCACCAGTACACTCATGCTGATTCTTGTCGCTGCCTCCCCTTCTGTTGTCTTGGGTTGTCACAGCCCGCAGTCATTCAAGGCATTCACCAGTGTCTCGAGGCCATCTTGTCCCCGGATACCAACCAGATCAAGGCTGCCACTGCCGAGCTCAACACTAAATACTACAAGAACGCGGAATGTATCCCCGCTTTGTACGAGGCCGCCGCTTCGTCCCCCAACCAGGGTGTAAGTCGCGCGCGTCCCCTCCGTCCTGCCCACATGCACGCAACGAGGACTGACCTCTGATTCGCTCGGACCGATGATCGATAGGTCAGGCAACTCGCCGCTACCGAATTGAGGAAGCGAGTGTTTGCCAAAGACTTCAAGCTCTGGGAGACGATCCCTGTCGAGTTTAGGCAGAGGATCAAGTCGGGCTTGCTCGAGCGTTTGTTGAACGAGGAGACGTGAGTGGTACCGTCTCTGTCGTATCAGCCATGACTCGATGCTGACTGATATCACTGTTTCCTATTCTGTAGTAAGATTGTCCGACACGGTATCGCTCGGGCCATCGCTGCCATTGGTGACCACGATCTTTACACCCCCTCGGGCGCACCTTCATCATCGACCACGCCATCTTCCAACCAATGGCCGGAACTCATCCCGTTCCTCACCCAGACGTGTCAATCAGCCAACGCCACTCACCGAGAGGCGGCCATTTTCGTGCTGTACACCGTCCTGGACACGGTCAGGGACAACTTTATCAACGACATGATGACTGGCATGTTCCAAATCTTTGGGACGACCTTGGCCGACCAGGACGCCGACGTCAGGTTGATCACCCTCCGAGCGCTTGGCAAGATTGCCGAGTACATCGAGAGCGATCAGAAGGATTTGGTCGTGAGTGTCTTGCGTCTTATCACAATCCTACTAGTATGATCGCTGATTGTTAATCGGTCTTGCAGAAACAATACCAAGCTCTCATGCCCCACATGTTGCAGGTACTGCAACAAATCCTTGTCGCTGACGAGGTCGAGGGTGCCAAGCAGGCTTTCGATGTCTTCGAGACGTGCTTGATCCTCGAGACCCCCTTGATCTCGAAGAACCTGAAGGAATACGTCGAGATCTGTCTCGCCATTGCTGGCAAGTCGGACGCCGAGGAGGACATCAGGAACGCTGCTCTCAACAGCTTGAGCTGGACGATTCAGTAGTAAGTTGTCACCAATTCCAACCGTCGTTGATGCAAAGCTGATAGTCCACATCGTCTTGCGTCGCTACCAGCAAAAAGGGGAAGGTCCAGTCGTTGGGACTCGCCGGTGTCATCATCGAGCGATTGTTGCCCATCGGTTGCGAGGAGGACCACGATGATGATGACGACGACTACCCGTCGAAGTTGGCCTTCCGAACGCTCGACGAGCTCGCCAAGGCTCTCCCGCCCCAGCAGGTCTTCCCTGTCCTGTCTGCTCAGTTGCAGACTTACATGGCTTCGGAGAACCCGGCGATGCGAAAATCTGCGCTGATGGCCTTCGGTGTCACCGTCGAGGGGTGCAGCGAGTTTATTCGGCCTCACGTCAACCAGCTCTGGCCCTTGATTGACAGCGGTCTTACCGACGCTCAGCCTACCGTGCGAAAGGCCGGTTGTATCGCTCTTGCGTGCATGTGCGAGTGGTTGCAGGAGGAATGCGCCGATAGGCACGAACACCTCGTACCCGCCTTGTTTGCCTTGGTCGAGGACTCCAACACCCAGAGGGCCGCCACCGCTGCGCTCGAGGCTTACCTTGAGATCTTGGGAGACAACATTGCCAGCTACTTGACCTTGTTGATGGAAAAGTTTGTCGGCCTGCTCGACACTGCTCCTGTCCCCGTCAAGATCACCGTAACCGGTGCCATCGGTTCCGCCGCGTTCGCCTCCAAGGAGGGTTTCCAGCCTTACTTCCTCGAGACCACCAAGCGAATCGTTCCCTTCTTGCTCCTTCAGGGAGAGGGTGAGGAGTCGACGTTGCGAGGCGTCGCCATTGACACGCTCGGAACGTTTGCCGAGGTTGTCGGCCGAGACGTCTTCAGGCCTCACTTGCACGACTTGATGCAGTACGCCATCAACGGGCTTCAGTCCGAGAGCGCCAGAATGAAGGAGAGCGCGTTAATGTTCTTTGGAACCATGGCTGGCGTCTTCGAGCAGGAGTTTGCCCCTTACCTCGCTCAGACCGTGCCCGCGCTTATTGAGAGCTGCAAGCAGAGCGAGGCCGACCAATTCAACGATGCCGATGGCAAGACCGACCAGGCCACCGTCCAGCAGGCCATTGCCGCGTTCAACACAGGTACCGCTTCCGGTAGCGTCTCGCTTGAGGGAGGTGACGAGAGCGACGATGACGACGAGTTCGAGGACATTGACGGGTTGATGAACATCAACAGCGAGGTCGCCATCGAAAAGGAGATCTCTGCCGAGGTACTCGGTCAGATCTTTGAGGCCACTCGAGAGGCCTTCTTGCCCTTCCTCGACGGGTCCATCCAGGCCTTGCTGCGTCTCTTGATGCACTACTATGAGGGCATCAGGAAGGCTGCCGTCAACGCCTTGTTCACCACCATCAAGACGTTTTATGAAATGTCCGACCCTGTTGACTGGCAGGAGGGTGTGAGTCTTTCATTTTCCATCAAGCACACACCCGGCCTTGTGCTGATTTGGACCCTTCTTTCCAGAACCAAATCGTTCCTTTCCACAGCCAGGTCGCTCAGCTTGTTGACATGATCTTCCCCGCCATCATGGAGATGTGGGAGACCGAAGACGACCAGTACGTGTCTTCTCTCTCGTGTCTTGTCGTCCGGGTTCCCGCATCCTCTATATCCCCCTTCCGAACTGTCCTTGGGACGAATGATGATACCATAACTCAGCTCACCTCGATGCTACACGCACATGAGATGAAACTCCTAACACAACGCAATATGTTTTCTGAACCAATCAACAACCATATAATCCTTTCTTTGCGGGAACCCACAATCCATTGTTTCCGATGAACTTGCGCTGATCCCAGTCGTTTTTGATGGTTGTAGGCAGGTCAACATCTTGCTCTGCTCTGCTTTGGCCGAGTGTATCGGTACCTGCGGTCCCGCTTTGGTTGAGGGCCGTCGTGAGGCCATTCTCGGTCACGTCCGTGCCATTCTGGAGCAACGACACGAGTGCCAGCAGACCGGTGGATTCGAGGACTTCGCCGATCTCGAGACCTCCGAGTACGAGGCCGTCGTCATCAGCAACTCGGTTGAAGTTCTCTCCGCCATGGCTTCCGCTTACGGTCCCAGCTTCGCCGAGGAGTTTGGTAACTTCTTCCCATTGATTACCAAGTACTACGTGAGTCGGTTTGCATCGTGGCCTCTCTTGATCCTGCCAGTGCTCAATCTGTCTCAATGCGTACAGAGCCCTGAGCGTGCTACCAACGAGCGATCGATGGTCGTCGGAACCTTGGGCGAAATCATCGTCGGCTTGAAGGGTGGCATCACTCCTTTCACTCAAAACATTTTGGCCTTGCTGTCAAAGGCTTTGCAAGACAGCGAGGCCGAGGTTCGATCGAACGCCGCCTTTGCTGCTGGTGCCTTGATCGAGTGGTCCGACCTCGACCTTAGCTCGCATTTCAGCGAGTTGATGCAGGTGTTGCATGGCTACTTCAACGTAACCGCCGAGACTCCCAAAGACCAGCTCAACGCAAAGGACAATGCCGTCGGCTGTGTCGCTAGGATGATCGTCAAGAATCCCACAGCCATGCCTCTCGATGCTGTGAGTATCTCGTCCCGGTGGTCTATTGTTCAGTACTGCTCAACATACTGATCCGCTGGACTTTTCTTAGGTCTTGCCCATCTTCTTCAGCGGTCTGCCCTTGAAGAACGACCCCATCGAGAACAAGCCTGCGTTCCGAGCAATTTTCTACCTGTTCGAGAACCAGTCTCAACTCGTCCTGCCTCACATCGATCACCTCCTCTCCGTCTTTGCCTACGTGCTCGATCCCTCGAGAACTGGCGAGATCTCCGTCGAGACCAAGGCTCGTCTTGATCAACTTCTTCAGGCTCTGCGACAACAGATGCCCGACAAGGTGTCCCAGGCCGGTCTCTAGAGGTCGGATGGAACCTTCTCAAAATAACGACCATCAGCAGTACTTTTTGGGCCTCTAGATGTGTGTGACACGATTTGACGATTGTACCCTTTGTGCAGAGAGCACTTTGCCATGACCCAAGCCTTTTGTAGAGTTATAATTATCGAAGCGCTCGATAACATTTGCCATCTTGCATCTTGAAATCATATCGGTCTATTACGCGGCATCTATCGGTAACGGCGGGACCGTATCTGACCTCCACCTTGCGAGCTCGATTGATATCGGCCTATACAGTATGCAATCACATGTCCTCGTTCTGCATCGAACCGTTATCCTATATAAACAATGACAGACTTCGAAGCCACCACTCGATAGATATGTCCTTTCAGCGACTCATAGATTCGTCTCTGGCTTCAGGGATCGGCGCGGCAAAGGTGAGCTTGAACTAGCACGACTATTCATTTGATGCCAGCCTGCAACTGCATCCTTCTGTCCGACATCACAGTGGTTCGGGTTTGTTACCCGACTGATCGAGAAGCGTACAGCTGGGGGAGACGAAGTCGCTAACGTTCACGAAGAGCTCTGGGGTATGTCTAAAATTCTGTCGTCTGGAACAGCTTGGAGCTGACTGAACCTCACGACAACAGCCGCTGTCCTCGAGACGGTGCACAAGTATCGAGGAGTTTCCGCAACCCCCTTGGATTACTTGCAAAGAACGCTACAAGCTGCAGATATACCGGCTGCTACTCTCTTGAGCCAGATCCTGTATTCTCGCCAAGAGCTGGACACAAGGACGTTCGACTCGATCGCGGCCTGCATATTTGGCATCCCGGTCACGCGGATCGAGGTTGCGATTCAGGCCGCTGTGACCTCACGACCGGCCCAGCTTGGCGAAGGAAATGAGCCAGTATACGTCGAGTTGTTCCGCCGATGCATCCACTTGGGCCAAGCCCCGTCTGATTATGGCCAAAAGCTTCTGATCGACGTCCTCGAAGCCCTGGGCCAGGCAACAATAAACAATACAGCTGGCATTCGAGAAGCAGCTCAGACCGCACTGAGAGATTGGGTCGGATCGGATCCAACGACCTCGGATGTTGTCATCCACGCCATCAGAAAGATCGCTGGAGGTTATACTGCTGGTCAGAATACGGAGGACAACATGAAGACAGCTGCTGCTCGAGGGTTGGACGATGTCCGTTCTGCTACGCCGGATCCACTAACAGAAACGCTCGTCCATGGGTCAACAAACACAAAGGCTTATACACATATCAAGACTCCCGTCTATATCACCTACGCCCTGCAAAATGCTTTGGAACAGACTTGGACTTGGCAGAGTTCCAGGCGACCAGATCCGACAAGCGGCGAAGGGCTCAATGAGGGAGAGGAGGACATTCGCAACTTACCCACTGCCTTTCGCGATCTGATTCATCTGGGTCCAATCCTGACTAGCAATCCTTCGACGTTCGCTCACTTTCTACTACAAGCTTCCTTCGAAAGAGTCTTCTCCTCCCTCCGAGATCTACGCCAAGGGGCAAAACGGGACGCACAGATGTCTGTCAAACCAGAGGACCAGATCATGGTGGATCTGTCGAATGGCACGGAACCATCCGAACGAGATCGTATAGCGACCAGGATCGTTAAAGTCGGTTGGAATGAGATCATTTGGCTGTTCCATAACCTCGCCGCATCATTGCGTTTTTGGAAGTGGTCGAGCGCAGAGGGAAGAGCCGGTTCAGATTGGCATCAGGATTGGCCGTACCCAGTATGTCTCGTAGCGTATGCGGATCCCTACGATGTGCTCATCTTCATTATCAGAATACAGTCGGTCAGTCGCTTAGGATCATAAGCGACCGATATCGCACCCAATTAGACGAGCTGGATGTCGTATTGAGGGGGTCACATCACGGCGGGAATGCAGTGCTGTGAGTCAGCGCAAGGTGATCATCGCCTACAATATTAACAGTCGCCGTACCGTTCTTCATGCCAGATCCACTTTCGAGATAGTTTGCTCTACGATGCGAAAGTCCACTCTTATTGCTCGCGACGAGCTGTCGACCTTTGGTGTTGGGGATCTTGCCGATGGGTTCGACGGTACAGATAGCGACCGGGCTGTGCAAAGCATCTTGGTAAGCACTCTGATCAATAGCGCAATATCGCACAATCCTGACTTCACTCTCCCGACAGGAGCGCTATGCTATGCTGACCGGCCCACCGGATTCGCAATTGGTCTACGATACATTGACACGACCTGCGTCTTGGGTAAAGTTGGGCGAAAACGCCTGCACCGTGAGTAGTCGCTGGCGGTCAGCCTGTCTCCAATACGCTCAAGGACCTGAACCTTGCAGCAACTCGCCACGTATTGGGATACTGCTTCGCCCCTGATGACAGCTATGAGCGACAATTTCCTCTTGCTGCAGCTCGTCTGCGTTTTTTCTTCACCAACCGCTATATTGACACACTTAAACGCTGCGATGACATCTGATCATGTTGCTCCGGCTATACAAAGTAGGTCGTGCCCGTTGACAGCATTTTCCCGTTCGGATGTACTCATATATCTGACCGAGGGTCTCTTCATAGACGATCCACAGACGACTCTTACGAACTATGGCGCTCTAGTCTTCCTTGCGTCTACCGTTTGCTTCAAATATGACGTGAGTACTTACAACTCGCCTACGTACAAAGCGAACACAGCTGAAGACAAATTCAGTTGCCACTACCACCCGCTCTCAGAACAGCGTCTCAAGTTCACCTGGTAGATGAATTATCTACAGAGGAGGATCTGTGGTTGAAAGGCTGGATTCAAGCAATCGTGTGTACAGTCGAATCAGCTCAGGGGGTCCGCTTGATAATGACAAGCCGTAATTGCCTTTATAGTTTGGCACAACCGGGATCAGCGATGAACTGCTGCAGTACGTTCAGCTTTTAACATGATTGACAGATTCGGTATTAACATATTCCATCGTCGACCTGTTAGGTCGACCTCGCCTGAAATGCTTCTCCGTCTTGCAACGACTCTTGTCTCCCAGGCGATCTCAGCTGCCATCTCAGAGGTCATCGACATTGAGACACTCCACAGCGGACTCAGCTATTTTTCTCAGCCTTTGCTGAGCTGGTGCTTAGCGGGCATTATAGATTGGCTCTGTTCGGAAATCCAGCGGCAAGGGCAAGTGGTATGCTTATTGGCAACGCGAATACTGTCCTCTGATCGTTTCGATGGCTATCAGTGTGTTTGCGGCTATATATCTAGACGTTTTGCAGCTTTTGCTAGGATCAGAGGAGCTACCACAATCGACTGTGGAGGCAAATTCTCATCGAACGTTGGCTCTTTTCGAGAAGGGTAACGGCTTGGAGCTAGTTCTTGATAGTTCGGATATCGATGCGACAAAGTTGATCGAGAAGCTTCGGCATGCACAGATGTCAATCGATAGTCCAGGTACGTAATTCGAGAAGTCGCAACTGAACATTGGCTGATCCGGCTAATGATGGAATAGTCTTGAAATCATCGGAGACTTGGGAAAGCTGCCTCCGCTTCCGACGGGCCAGCCTGAACGTTCCTCTTCATCAGGCCATTCAAAGCCTGGGAATGCGCCCGGCGTTGGAAATCCTCGCTCACGAACTGTGCACTATGCCTTCTGGGGACAAGACGTTTATCGCGCTATACTGTGGACTCGCGGAGGAGCCTTGCGCCTTCGAAGCGGCTCGTCAACAACTCCGGTCTTCATTCCTGAACGGCGGCGAACCAACGCTTCACGCATTCTGGCTGCGCGTTTGTCAGCTCCTAGTCAAGTTCGCCGTTTCCCCGGGACGAATGTCAGCGCAATCGATAACCGAAACCAACAGAGTCACACAAAGGTTCTTGTCTGCGAACGATCAAGGCGCCCAGGCCTTGAAGACAGCGAACCATCGAGGTCTCCGGACCGTGAAAGCGTCTTGATGGCTGAGTCTTATATTATAATCTCCTGGTACAACAGCATGTAATGAACTCATGCAGATGCCATCTTGACCATGTCGTCGAGAAGTACAGCGCGGAAGGAACCATCCTTCACCTGGGCATACACTGCATCATCGCCAACGTAGACGGTAACACCCCGTGCATCCAAACCACGAGCCACTTTGAAAAGCTGTTTTCCGGTAGTGGTGTGAGATCGTCCGGTCGGGATGAATAATAGGTTCCGGTCTGCCGCATACTGTTCCGCGATTGACCTGAAAGTGACTTCGCTCCCCGTCGGCTGTGCAAAAGCCGCAGTACGGCCTCGTGAGGACAGCTTGCTCTTCTTGTCGGACGACTTCCTATCGCGCAAAGGAATAAAGGTCGGTTTGACCAGACGTTTCGGTGCATCGGCTCCAAGGGCCATCGCATCGTTCATCAAGCTCAATCCTGCGCGGAATCCGTGATCGATTCCCTTGCTCTCAGTCAATCTATCGCCTTTGGAAGTATTGTAATTTGCGAAATGTTCCTTCCAGAAGTGGTACCTATAGAACAGATCACAGCGGCTGAGTACCGACGTAGATGGCTTGGGCAGATCACCATCCCGACTAACCAAGATGCAACTTCTCCAGCACTGTAGTCTGGCTGGATCAACCAGAAGTGCAGTGTATCAAGCCATGTCGGGAAGAACTTTTCTTCGATGATTTGGGCAAAAGTAGAATCGCGTAAGAGGCCGCTCCAGCGTAACACACGATCCAATGGTTCCATCTTCTGGTCCAACGGGTTGACCTCGAAGTCGCTGTCGATGTGGGCTGCGAGCTTCGGAACAATGTTTAACAGCATTAACGTATCCCATTTGCCCTTGGAGAACACCTGTAGCAAACACCGTGAGCAACAAGTAACGAAACACAGACGCGCACAAACTTACGTCTCTCCACAGCTTCCACTCGTCGGGTATCGATTCCTTGACAGACCACCGTTTCATCGTTTCACCTATCCTAACCTTGGCTTCGTCCAGCACGCCATCGAAGCGATCTTGTAGAACAGACAACCAAGGGAAAACGATGGAAGCGAGCGAGTATTCCGACCCGGGTCGTTGTCTCCTGGGATTCCACTCTCCGACTTGCGACGAGATTTTGGGCAAAATCAGTTGGTTCAAAACATTATCCCGCATAAATCGCGGTAGTAATGGCGACCAAGATTCGAGGAGCTTTACCGCAGGGCGAGGATCCAGAACGTTCCAGTCGTTACTATGCCGAACACGAAGTAAATCAACCAAGAAACAAGAAACCTGATGACGATAACAAGGTATTACTCACTTGAGAGCTGATCTGACTCTTGGCAGCCATAATTTATCCAGCATAGCTTCATATGGCGTCATTACACTGGAAGAAGCATCATCGTTAACAGGTGTTCTGATGACTCTGCCGGATCCCGACTTGCCTGCTATGAGCCCGACGACCACCATTCGAGGAGACATCCTCGCCAGTTCCGTAAATCTGTGAGAGCGTGGCATCTTCGTTTACGGTATCGGGGTCGGAGAAACGGAATGCTTTTCGCCATGGCCGTAGAATTGCAAGCAATGTGTCCGTATCTGCCAGTGGTTGCCAATTACGAAAGACGGTACCGAGCTGTTAATTCAAATCGAGATGAGCGTATGCGATCGAAGGAATTTGGCAGAAACGGCTCACAGCCTGAGTCATCGCTCCAACCAACACTTCGTCAAGATCGTATTCTTCATACTCGGTCTTGAATTGATCAATCATCTTGTGCATCTCGGGCTCGAGCGAGAGCAAGGGATCTGTCGAACGTTGATCGACCGTTTCAAGCTTGGCCTCAATCTCCCCGACTACCCTTTGGATCTCTTCGAGGCGTCGGACCTTTTCAGCCTCGATATCCTCTTCCTTTTTCAGCCGCTGCGTCTCCCGCTTTGCCCATTCCCGTCGCATCCGTACGGCTTGTCCCTCTTTGATGAGTGCTTGTACGTCGCCCTTCGTGGATTCCAGGATGAGACGCAGATTATGGCGGAGCTCGGGCAATTGCATTTTTTCGCCTGTTGGCGTCCATTCAGTCGCAGCACGAGCCGACAGCGATAGATCGGCCAGCGACGAGACCTCTTTCAGCTCTCCACCCCTCGCATCGAGGACCAGCCCGATACCCGTGGAGCCTGCTGCACCTCCCGCTGCTGCCTCTGCCACGAGTTCGTCATAGGTCTTGTGTTCCACCTTGACCTTGACCTTTTTCTCCCGCTTCCACTCCGCCTTGGCACCTTTGCCAGGTGCGGGCTCTTTCTTCTTCTCCTTCTTTTTCCGTCGCTTCTCCCGTTCTTCATCGCTACTGGCATCAAGAACCTCGCCTCGCTCCTTTGCTTCACGTCGGCTTTGTTCTGTTCGAACGCCCTTGCCGATACCCTGACCTCGAGCGAGACCGACATTGGCTTCGATGGGAACCGCTTTTCCGTCCTCATCTCGACCCAGACCTTTTCCGGGCGTCCAACCCTGCTTTGCCAGGAGTCGAGCTCCGAATGATCCAGCTATCGACCGAAGATGGTTTAGATCCTTGGCAGTCACACTGAGCTTTGGTTTCGACGAAGAGGCCTCAGGTTCAACTTCGGTTCTGAATGCCTGTTGCTGTCTAGCGGGGCGGGATCGCTGAGGGGTCGCTGGGCGCTCTCGACCGAAAGATTGAGGCATCGCATGCGCCGGATCACTTGGATATAACGCTTCCTCTTCAGCCACTTCGATTTCATGTCGCTTAGCGGTACCAATACCTCCAAGATTGTCGTTGGAGGCTCGGCTGACTACCTCTGGGCGGGGTTCTGGCTTCGTCTGCTGTTCCTTGGCTTCATTGGCATCCGCTTGGGCCTGCTCCGTACCCGTGGATTTGGCAAAACTTGACATGGTGATCGGCCTGGTAGGCGTGGAAGAACTGGAACCGAATCCAGCTCCGGCTCTAGTCGAACCTATACCAATTCCCCCGCCGCCTCGACCTCTTGAGCTCCCTATCCCACCGAAACCTCCCCGAGACGGCATGCTCGATTCTGAAGCTGCTCTTGCAGCACCCATGCCCAGTCCCAGACCACCTTGTGGCTCGTCGTCAGAGTAAGAGTTTTCTCTCGTCCGGACGGGTCCCTTGTCTTCTGGTTGTTGATCCTGAGCTAGCGGTTCCACGGCCTCCTCAGACGAAGAGTCTGAATCGGAAGATCCGTCGTCATCCGACGGGGCGATCTTCTCTTGAGGCTGCTTGGATGTGGTGGCTTGAGATTCAGACTTGGTCACGAAAGTAGGAGCTCTGTTTCCAAACAGGCGGAAGCGATCAATACTCATAATTTCGCTGTGGATGCTATTCGTGAACATGGCTTACTTGAACGCTGCATTTCGCTTGCCTTTCCTTTGCTCGAACCGCCCTGAATCCTCATCGTCCTCCCCAAAAATGCCTTCCCAAGCGCTCGCTTTCCCGTCTCCTCTATTTAGCCTCCTCTTCTTGCGTCCCGTGCGCTGTTCGAACAGCTCTCTTTCTGCCCGCTCGTCTGGATTGTCGTCACGATGCACATCGTAGCCATCCGAACCCGAGGCTCCAGAGTCGGAAGAGTAGTCCGAGGCGTAGTCCTTCTTTCGACGAGCCATAACAGTGCTAGGTACACCGACTCAGGGTGGAGTTTGTCTAACGTCTTCTGAGATGTGTTGGTGTTTGCACATGGCATGGTCATATGTAGGTAGGCTAGTAGGCTTTAGGACATCATGTCAAGGTTGAGGGATGCTCGATTCACGTCGCGATCGATATAAATGTCAGGTAGAGAAAGGACCGTCCAGGGTTTCATCATGACGGGCAACATGCTTGGCAACGCCTGCAGCATCAAAGAACATGCGGATCGATTGCATCTGAAATCGAGCAACTGTCTGCCTATATGTCTATGTACAACCTCGACGGCCGTTGCATCAGACTACTGCCCTTTGGTGTAGACCGCCTTGAGTCTTGTCAACGCAATCTATTACAACAGAATCCGGAGTCAGGTATCGGCTCGGGATAAACACTCGGATGTTGTGTAAGACTCACGTCATAGCTGTCCCGCAACGCGGATAGATCCGTCTCCTTGACCTTGATCTTCTTGACTCGGTCGAGGTGGTTCGCTTGTGATAGCATTTGTTTAAAGTGCCTCGCCTCTTGCTTCTCGACCAGTGTCCACGCGGTACCTTCTTTACCGGCTCTTGCGGTTCGACCGACTCGATGCACGTATTTCCGCATGTCCACCGGGGCATCATAGGAGATGACATGCGATACACTTGGCAGATCGATACCTCGAGCGATCAAATCCGAACAGATCAATCTGTGATAGGATTTCTTTCAGCGAATCCTATCACGTCTGACATCGATCTGAATGCTCACAGATCGATCTCGCCTTTGGAAAATTCTGCCAGTAGCTTTCTTCTCACGCTCGTGTCTAGCTCTCCTGAATAGGCCTTGGCGACGATCCTCTTTCCTGCCGTGTATGCGTCTTCGAAGAACGCGATCAGGCGTAGTAATCGTTCGGTCGAGTCGACGGATTTCGTAAAGCACAGTGCCGACGTGATCTCGGATTGTGGGGTATGAAGGAGATGCAACAAGTTCAAGGGTTTCAGGTCGGGTGGTAGGACGATCATTCGCTCCTACATAGATCAAGAAGGCAAAGTTTAGCAGGCCGTGATGGCTGTCTTTCTGGACGAGCTAATCGGACTCACTGTCAGAGAGGTAGGGATGGCGAACTGCTGGCCAGTCGCATCCGCTGAGGCTTCGATAGCATCGGTCTTGCCGGACCCCACGATGAAGTATTTCGGGCTCGTCAAATGTAAAGCTGCGATCTTGCCTGGATCTCGAGTTAATGTTGCAGAGAACAAGAGTTTTTGACACTGCATCGACGTCGAGTCAACGGGATGAGCAGGCATCATTCTGGGCATCGAACAACAACAGCTTACCGAGTTCTTCAAAGGTCTCTTGCCTTCCCAATCCCCTTGTCCCAGTCCTAGATCGTCGTACCAACTCGGTGCTACTGCGTCGTGCCCTTTCGACAGCCTAGCATCCAGGGAGACATCCATCGAGTCGGCCTTTCCTGGTGGTTTCAAGTGGGTCAAAACCTGGTTCAACCAGTCCTGGAATGATTGGGTTAACAGTCGATCGGCTTCATCGATGACCTAAGTTGGCACGAAGTACAAGAATAAGATCAGACTGCCGGATCTCACCAGGTCTAGGAGCCGCAAATCAGCTCACCAAGAAGCGCAGATGCTGCAAAGAAAAATTTGGCGTGTCCCGTAAATGATCCATCAACCTTCCCGGCGTCGCGATCAAGATGTCCACCTTGGAAGAACCGCCCAATAGCCTACCGTCCGTTAGAGACTAGTTTAGCCGACCAGTCACCGTTGCTTGAAGAAGAATTTATACGTACTTGTCTTTGGTGTTGCCCACCAGTGCCGTCTGCTCTTGCGCAAAAGAATGCTGACCGGTCGCAGTACCGATCTGTGGAATTTTCGATCCGTATCAGGTTTCTGTGGTCTTATTAGCGGCAGTCGTGAGCGCAAAACGACTGACCTTGAGTCCACTGCCTTTTGCCAATTCTTCTATCGTCTCCCTCACTTGCATGACCAGATCCCTAGTTGGCAGAATGATCAATGCTCGCAACCTCGTCACTATCCGTCGACTCAACACCTGATGAAGCAATTCAAACAATCAGTCTCGTCGTGTAGCGGCAGAGTACCATGTACTCTCAACTCACCTCGACGACGGGAACACCATAAGCCAAAGTCTTCCCACTTCCCGTCGGTGCCGACACCAAGAAATCGTTCAACATCTCCCCTGCAAAGGGTACCAGCGGCAACGACGCCAACTCTGGGATGAGCGCCGTCTGAACTGCGAAGAAATCTTCGATCCCCAAGTGTCGTAACCTCTCTTTGATCCGGTCTCCCAGACGTTCTCCTTCTGCTGCGTCCGGGTCACCTGCCCGGCGTTTACGCCGTGAGAGCAGTTTGATCTCGTCCAGCTTGACCTTGTCGTCTTCTTGTACTAGAACGGCGTCTCTCAACGCTGACGGGAGACCTTGCCGGGAAAGCAGGGTTTGGGACGGTTTGGCCGGGGCTTGTGGTAGGGGGAAAGATGGGATTCCGTCCGGATTGATGGACGTTTGGGATTGATTCGACGATGCAGATGACGAAGATTCTGCGTCGCTCTCCGAGCCAGATGATGAGCTCGACGAGCCGTCCTCTTCCTCCTCGTCGTCCGACTCTGATTTGCTGTCCGACTCGACCGACTCCATATCCACATCCTCATCCTGCTTTCCCACTGCAGCTTTCTGTTTGGCAGTTTCCCGCTTCTCCTTCTTCTCCCTTTCCTTTTCCGCCACGAGTTTCAATCTCTCCTTTTCCTCTTCGGCCAATCGTGCCTCTTCCGCCCGTCGCTCTTCCCGTTTGGCCTTTTTCTCCTGTCGACGTCGTTCCCGGCGTTGTTCAACGGTCTCATCTTCTGGCGGGACGACGGACTCTTTGGGTGTGGCTGATGTTACTGGAGTTGAAGTAGGTGCAGCAGGGGTAGTAACTGGAAGAACCGAGTTCTTTTTGGTGGGTTTGGCGACGGCTGGGTATGCCGATGTGGTAGGCGCGGGGAGCGTACTCGCAGCTCTAGGCTTGACAACGATCTCCTCGTCGTTTTCATCCTCGTCACTGTCACTACTATCATCATCCCCATCCTCGCTCTCCTCATCATTTGCACCGTCTACGACCCCGTCCTTCTCCTTCTTGCTCTTCGGTGCCGAGTCCTTGGCCGCCTTGAGCCTCTTTTTCCGCTTTTGCATCTTCTTCTTCAGATACCGTTGCTTGGCCACCGTCTTGTCCTTCTTGACCTTTTTAGGCTTGATCCCCGAGCTCGGATCCCGTTGAAGTGCTGCCAGTCGTTCGGGATTCATGTAGCCTACTCCCGGAGCGGCCGTGGTAGGGAGAGTCGGCGTGGGGGCTACATCGTCCGTGTCGTTGAAGGTTATCCGCTTTCGCTTCACACCGGACACGGCGTCTGATCCGCCGTACTCTGACATCCTGACCAGCAAACGATGAAGGGGGTTGACGGTTCTAGATGTCGTTGTAGGTATCTTGGATGATGATGGGGGATGTCATGTAGGCCGAGGTCGCGACTTTATTTGGAGAAATCTCTCTCTCTCATCTCTCAACTCTTCGGCTCTCTCCGCTGCCGTAAGGAAGGTCAAACCGTCTTTTGCATCCGCGAGTCCCTTTGGGCGGCGGGAATGACGAAACCACCCCCACCCACCGTGATGCAGCTGATCGTGTTTGTTACGAAACATGCAACCATGATCGAAAGGGATCACATCCCGACTAAATAGCTACTACAAGACAAGCTAGTAAGCTAGTACAACTATCTAAAGCACCTACTACTATCCAGCGACCTAGCCACGAGCCATCATCACTGGCGCACCATGTCTGAACGTCCAGCGCATATCGACATGCCTTCCTCGTCCGACCAGAGCGATACGGAAGTACAAGTCCCGAGGAATGCTCCAGGCAGACACTCTCCTCCTAATCTCGACCCGGACTTTAAACGTGAGTCGTGCCGTCCTCCCAATGATCAGGGTCGTAACAATTAATGAGAGCGTCGCTTGGGGCGGGTAGCCCGGGGTATCCTCAAGAATGCGTCGAGCTCTTATAGCATTCCGCAAGTGGCGGACGGACAACCTGGAGCCGTCATTGATAGGCAACAGGGTGACCAGTGCGTCGACTGTGGCCCTGTCACCCTCAAGGATTCAAAGCTCGGATGATGCTGATAGGTGAAACTTGTGACCCAGTCTGAAGTGGGATGAGCAAAACATCAATCTAAACGAGATCAACAAGGATTCCACGATGTGAGTCGTCCCTGTATCTGTGCCAAAGTTGCTTCGCAAGTCTCGCCCTTGTCGTTGTTAACATCCTATCATGCGGAGCTCGCCGTTGGTAGGAAGATTGACGAACCGAAGACTCCGTTCGTCACAAGCAACGAGTCATTCCCCGACCTCGGTATGTCGAAGCCCCCCCTCTGCCACCTGATCAGCATTCGAGCTCTGCTGACATATCTTTGATCTGGAAATCGACTTGAACCACAGAGGTACCGGACTTTGAATTGAGTTCCCCGACTTCCGAGAGGAGAGCTAGTATGGGTTCACAAGCTAGTCCCGGCGCGAGGAGGTGAGCTATAGGCCATTGCATCGCTAGATGGACCCCCGGCTGATGCCCTACCATTCAGACGGTCTGAACAGGAACTCGTCGCTCAGAACACTCAGCGAAACGCGGGGGTTCGTCGAACGCCTGGGTTTCCATTCTCCGAGACTGTAGACTCTGCCACCGGTACGCCCATCATCGAGCATGCTATCAACGCCACGACCAACAACCCGAACGGCCACAACGTCCCCGTCAACCCACCTCGATCGCCCATGACTCCTGATGCCCCGCTCACACCCGTCCGACCGGGAAAGACGTCGTCCACCCCGACGAGCAGGTCGGCGTCGTTCTCCTTGCCCGACGAAAAGTCCGGATCGGGCAGGCTCAGGAAAATCGTCTCGCCCGGTGGAACGCCGGGACAGCAGATGGGTGAAGAGGTCGAGGAAGAGGACGGGGAAGTCGAGGACAAAGACTTCAAGAAGAAGCGAGCGGGTCATTATGGTGGCGAGGCCGAAGCGATGAAACTGGCTCAGGTGAGAGGAGCGGGCTGTATGGGGAGCCGAGTCCTGTCGCTGATTCTGTTGCTGCGATGTTGTTGGTGCTCAAACAGGCTTTGATGGCGCAAGAGAAGATGGACGAAGAGGACGAGGAATAAATCTCGCCGTTGATATGACTGAACGAGGACTTTACCTTAACGACTACGAGAGTTTAGAACTGTATCGAGAACGTCGGGCTTGAAACGTAGCATCTGCTCAGCAGGTTTGGCATTCTTGTCATGCGATATAACTATATATTATTCTTGGCCTACTGAGCATCCAACGGTAGACTGTCAATCAGGCTCGGGTTCGAATGGATCTGCAGAACAGCACATCTCGACCCGTTCTCTTTTCGGCGCCTACGCAACGGCCGGTCCCGGATTTCGACGGCCAGACAGTATACAAACATGGTCTCATATGATCGCTTTGACTACAACCCGTAGCGTAACCGGATGAAAGGAAATATGGCGGTTCGGCTGATCGGCGCTTTAGGACAAGCTTCGACCCATGAACCTGTTCAGGCGTAGCGTGAAGTCGATCATCAGTCAAAGGTTCAAAAGCACAGGCGAGATTCGCGAACGGCGACTGACTTTCTCTTCTGGAAGCTCATCCACCATTTGCTAGGCTTGGTTACCCGCTGACCTTGCCTCTCGGCAGGGGTAGGTGTGCCATCCTGCTGTGTTTCAGGTTCGATAGGGTAAATCCTGTCACAGAGACGAGCGGCGAGTTCTTGCCTAGCCTGCAAGAGGTACGATCGAAGTGCGTCTACCGAAGCATACCCCATGGAACTGTTATCAACACCACACGTCGTGCAGCGGAACAGGCGAGCCGCATAGGCTCACCGGTCTGCGCCTTGTCCGAAGGTCCCTTGTACAAACTGTTCAGGGGGAACCCAGCTTCTCCGGGAACGGAGAAGTGGTCAACCGCTAGTGTCTGCAGTACCTTGGTTGCTTCGGGATAAGCAGGCGATGGTTTGCCGGGACTCGGTGCCACGCGGGTGAGGCAGTCGTGGGTGAAGAGGATGAGGTAGATGAGCGTTCGGTCGGCAGGCCCTTGGATCTCGAAGTTCCGAAAGAGGCAGTTGGCTCGGAAGCTTGAAATTCCCCAGAGTACCGTCAGCCTTTGTCGTTGATCTGACATACAGAGGGCAAGCAACCGAACTCACAGGTCCAAGCTCTCTTCAATGATGTCGGGTCTTGAAGGATCCTCTGCGGACAGCATATCCGTGGTGAGTGACTACGAACGGTGCGATCGTCGCATAGATACAGCATACCAGGAGTCGGAGCCGGTCCTCTGACCCGAGAGTTGAAGGGCAGAAGCCCGACGTTCCCGACGAGCTGTGTCGGCTCATCGTTATAAGACGAGTGGTAGGCCTAGACATGACGCGGCACAGATAGCAACGTCAGGTCCAGGTTGACTGAAGTGGATAGGACGCTACAGCTTACAGGCATCGCGAAGATAGATCTAGTGTCAGTCCGTTTGCAACGATGGCTTGTTAGGGAGTCAACTCGAGGGGTCAGAGAGCTAGACGACCAGATCAACGAGGTAACCCGGTGTCTCTAAACCACATCACTCCTTGACCTGTGCATGCTCTCGCTATGACGCGGACGTCGTTGACCAGAGACTCGTCGCGTACAGGTGTCGTCTAGGGGACATAGTGGCAGGGATTTAGGTCGAGGCAGGGCGTGGCACGAGAGGACGGTGAAATCGATTTTTTCGCGAAGTTGTTATGGTGCAATTATGCGATTTGCACCCAAAAAACGCGCATAATTCGACATATTGCGCGATCGATTTAGGTCGACCTAAATCACCTAAATCAAACATTTGCGCCCGTAGGGCGCCGCTCGGAGGCAGAAAGTTAGGGGTTAGGGGTTCAGAGTGGCTGTTTTACGACGTTTCAGTAGTTGTTTTGAGTTGTGAAAGTATATTGCAAGAGGTTAGATTTGCACTGAACAATCTGAATAATAACCTCGAGTCGGACATGTCTAAGTCTTTGAATTCGATCGTTTTAGAAGCAGTAAAGACCAGGTGCAGATCGTATGGTATTGCATAGAACAGTTACAACATGTACAATCACTTCTTGACCTTCTTATTGCCGTTTTTAGGCTCAGCGATTTCCCACAATTTTACAACTCGATTGTTCGAGTCTCGAGCCTGACGTTTGTCGTCCCCGTAGTAGCGCTCCGGGATCTCCTCGCACAGGTCCTTGAGAGCACCAAGGGCCCGTACAAGCGCAGCAGCCTTGTCTCGGATGGCGTGGAGATCGTCTCGATTCAACGCGACGACATCATTTTCGTCGTCGGGGTCGAGACTTTCGACATGATCGTCCATCAGCTCCTGCACTTGCTCTGCGACTCCCTCGCAGCCAATAGCAAGGTCCCAGCCACCTGGTTGAACCTTGACGAGGCCTCCCGTATTCACCCGCTTGTCGCAGACGACGCCATCGAACGAACACTGAGCACAGTTCTTGTTCGGTGCAGTTTGCTTGCATTGCACCAAAAGTCCGAACTCGCCGTTGTTGCCCTTGCGTTTGGGGTTCGTCCACATCGCACGACAATGTCCGCACCTATCCTGACCCTTCCTTACTTTGCCCTGACGAGCAAAGAGGGTGAGAATACCGGCCTGAGATATGATACGCACACGATCAAGATTTATCAGTTTGGGTGCAAATCTATCTCGTTGCACTGAAGCAGAAGAAGAACATACCTCGAAGTGATCCGGTCCTTTACCGTTGATACTCCCTCTCTTCTTCAAACAGAGCTCGTATAACCTCTGATCGGTCCAGTACTCCCTAGCCTGCCACAGCTTCTTCAGCCTGGCCAAAGCCTTGGGTTCCCTGTACCCGATCACCCTGTCCCCGACCGTTTTCTCGATCGTATACTCCCGCAACTGGGCCCACTCGTCTTCATGATCATCATCGACGACTGAAATCCCAGTAAGGTGTCTGTTTGTGTGTTCAGTAAGCAAGAACAGATGAGAAAGTGTTAAGTGCAGAACGGTAAGATTGCATCAAGAAGCATGACTTACTCGGCAGGGATCTCGTCGTCGTCCTCGTCCTCGTCCTCGAGCTCGTCCTCCTCTTCACTCAAACGCCTGCTGCTTTTATAGCTCGAACTCGAGCTCGAGGAGGAGCTCGAGCCCGAGCTGCTCGACGATGAGCCCGAAGAGCTCACCGGGGCCTTCCTCTTGGTCGTCTTGGGGGCCAACGGCGCCGTTGGCTTCTTCCCACCCGTTTGCATCCGTAGGGACTGCTTTCGAGGATGGACAGCAGCTTGAGAGGCTTGAGAGGACTAAACAGGACGTTTTAGAGTCAGTACAAGTCCGTACAACTCGATGCAAAGCTTCGGTACTGCAATAGACGACTCACTCCGGCTTCTGCGTTCGACATCGCGCTAAATTCACGTAAAGTGGCTGGTGGCTTGTTTCAGGTGGTTTGACGTGTTCAGGCGATGTTATCTAATGACTAGATTGCTATAGCTACCGTGTAATAACGATCTAGACGTCTAGATGTAAAGAAGATAGATGTGAATCGAGTACAGTGCAGATTCGACGATCGTACGTCTAGATGCTTCTCCGGAGGCAGATTTGCACCCGAGATCGTCGTTTCTTTTGTTCTCGTTTCGAGCTCGATTTTTCAAAATCGAGTCAGTTTTACTGAATCGAGTATTACAAGTCTAGAATCAATTATAGAGGCAGATAGTACATCGTGGGTGATTATGAACGTTGTGATAGTGCGTGACAACAAGAACAGAGGGTCTATCGCTTATATTAAGTCAGGAATCGATCGAGAAGCATGTACCGATCTAGTTCATGTCGACATCGTTGCTGTTGCCTCGGACCGCACGTTTACGGCTTTGGAGAAGTCCTGCTTCCTTCATGTGCTCCCTTACAGCCTTCATCACCTTCGTCAGAGTCCCTTGTGGGTATTGTAGCTCGAATAGGGCGATACCAGCTTCGGTGCAAATTTCCAATCCTGTCGTCTGCGTATAGGCACTTGCCAGTAATTTGCGCTGACCGTGAAGCACTTGCATAGCGGTATCTTCCTTGGTAATTGGCTTCGTCACCCACTCATCTGGCCACTCCATCAGGGCGTACTGGTGCTGTCGTTTGTCCCCTGTTCCTGCTTCAAACCACTGAAGCAGCGCTTCTCGAATTGTAGTAACTCGAGGGAGGTTCATCGGACGCTTCCCCATGATGACTTCACCGGATACCTTGAAGCGTAGACGATCATCACGGTTCGAGTGGTCTACTACCATCCTCGTACTGCCTGAAGCGGTGTTTCGAGGCGTATAGAATGGTGCAGAGGTGGGTGCAAGGTGTCCAGATTGCACCGGATTCGCCGTGTTCAAAGACAGGCTCGGTGGCATCGTAAACGAGGTCGATGGTGCTGGTTGCTGCAGCATAGGAACCTGTTGACTGCCTGAGAGGGTTTCCACCCTTGCCAGCAGCGTCTTAAGGAGTTCTTCGGCCTGAAACAAGTGAATCGATCGATCAGTATAAAGGTCAAGTTTGGTGCAATTTTGGGAGGTTGTCCCCAAGATTGTACTTACTCTCGACTCCGACTGCGAGTCACCACTCGGTTCGAACGTCTTGATATCTCGCAGCATGCTCCGTATCTCGTCAAACTGCTGCCCTGTCGATCGTTCCTGTTGTTTAGAGAAGGTTCTGAACTCTTGCTTGACCTCTTCTCGAAGACGTTGAATATCCGCTATTGTCGGCTGTAAACCGTCTCCACCATGCTGCTGCAGCACATGCCGGCTAGCAATCCATAGAGGATTCGTGGCATCTCCATGGTACCCTTGTATCTTACTCTGCTCATCCAGCAGATATCGCATCAGGGTCGTCGTCTGAAGAAAAGAACATTGAGCGCAGATCAGTCGATTTGCACCGAAGAAGAACAACTTTCGATCTTTCGTTCCAGAAGACTTACGTGCTCTCCACTGGCCCATCCACCCCACCAGCGGATGATAGGCAGTCCCCAACGGTACGGAGCATAGTTATGCCTCCACTGAGCACCTCCTCGTCGAAGAGAATGGCTACTGAAGTCCGAGGTGGGATTTTGTTCGTTCAGACCGGATTTTTCGCAGAGTTCATTCCAAATAGCCACCCACGACCTAGGTGGCATGGGTATAGACACGTCAAGCTTGCCACCAGCCTGAATGGCAGGGAGAAGCATGTCCGAGCCAGCTTCAGCGATGGCTGTTCGTTCTATTACGTATTTTCTCCATCGAAGGAGAGGAGGTATCGCCCAGACCTCCATCTCCTCTGGGTCCATTGGACGATGTATCTGGTACTTATTACCTATTCAGAAGACGCATGCGAAGGCCATAGAAAGGAGTCTACACGTCAGATAAGGATGAACCAGGTTTGAGCGCAAATCGTAGAATCTGCACCCACAATTATGCGGATCCGTCTGATTCGTCTTTCGCCAAGTCAGATAGATGAACGGGATGTCTTGACCGGGGTAATTAGGGTCTGAGCCATGCTCCACGAAGTCAGAGACCTTCAGCTTCAAGCACTCGTCCATCCTTGCCATCAAGAACCACCCCAAAGTAATATACGCTGATGCGTACATCAGCTGCGAATATCGCATCGGATTGTTCTCGGTGACCAGTTCTTGCTCGATGTACCGTACGAGGACCTTCAACTGGGGCAGGAGCAGAGGAGAAGACTGAGAAAAGTCAAGAACTCGATCAGTTTTGGGTACTTCAGCTTCAACGCAACATCAAGAATTTGCACCCACCTGCTTCGTAATACTCTCCTTAGCATGACGACGCTGTAGCGATTTAAACAGGTCCGTATTGTGGCCATCGTTCACAGGATTGCCTTCCCATCGACCATCGACCTGCCTCCACTCTGCAGCCTGTACGACAGGACAAGGGGACAACGGCAATATCACAAAATGAGTGTCGATTCATCTCCCCACGGATTTGATGCAGATCTGAGATATTGCACTCACATGACACTGATTCGGGAATTGTCCAGCGAAGTACGCTTTCAGGGCTGAACGACTCCCCTCGATCGATCGGAAGCCGACCTGATCCTGCCTGGAGGTCCAGAACAAGAATACCATCTGCGCTGACCGGATACTGAGCACGTCGAAGACGTCGGAGAGATCGGGGTCGTTTTCTGTTCTACTCGCTTGGTAGTTCTTGATCCAGTCCTTGACGACTCTGATATGACCTGCGTAGGCCTTGTTGGTGGTAAGGGCCCTGCGATGAAGGTCTACAGTGTCTTGTCCTTGTTGAAAGAGGGTATTCGAGTCGAGGACCGTAGGAACCGAAGAGGAGTCCCTTTGCGTGGCCGTAGCACGCTTTACTCTCCCTGAGCCTCTAGCCTGACCTCTCCCTGCTGGTCTACCACGTTTCTTAGGTACTGGGCCTGCCAGAGAATCAGCCTGTTGCGATGTTTGAGCCAATTGCGAGTTCGGTGCAATCTGGCTAACTTGCGGTAAGCTGAAGGCTGGACCCGACGATGAAGAATCACCCATGCCTGGGGGGTAGACGAATCCTGATGTACTAGGTTGGAACCTCTCCATCTCTGCCTCCATCTGAGCTATGTCTAAGCCGAACTGGTCGAACTCGAAGAACGCCGGGTCAAAACGGTCGTTCGATGCCGCGAAGGCTGGCTGATGAGGGGTATTTGAGGGGTTTCGGCTCATTTTGACGGGCTGAGTGATTGTAGGTGGTTTGTTTGTACTGCTAGTGATGTGTATAGCGAAGGACTAGATGTCTAAGACCTTATTTGATGTGTAAAGGCAGATTTCGAGAAGTTGCAAGGCGATCGACTTGCACTAAGTCGATAAGTCGTCGACTTCGTCAACATGACGTTAATAATTAATTATTACATTAACACATCATAGCTGTAAGCGGTAAATTTACTGATAACGCGTCGAATTTAGGTCGATTTAGGCCCTGCTAAAGCGTGTCGCATTATGAGGAACATATGCTGGTCATCCATCTCGTGGATACATGCTGCTACATCTTTCAAACATCGCCTACATCGTTCTCCTTGCCTTTACCCTTCGACTTGTTCTTCGGCTTTGGCTTGGCCTTGATCTCGGCCCCAGGGATGATCGGCTTTTCGTAAACAGGTTCAGCGTCCTTGCCTCTACGCTTCGCTTCCATCTCGTCCCTCTCTTCTTTCGTGATCGGCTCGTACTGCGCATCCCACCCTTGTAGTACAGCAACTCGATCTCCGAACCGTCGCTCTTCTTGTTGTCTCCACATCTCGTTGAACCTTTTCCTATCTTGCAAGTCGCGATAGCGTCGAGCACCAGCTTCGGTATCGTTCTCGACCGGACGGGCGGTCCGGTGAATCTTTCCTTTGCCTCGACCGGTGCTGTCGTCATCCAGGTCATCCTGAACGCCGGTCTGATCGAGTTTCTGGGAGGAGACGGGTCGAGGACTAGCCGTCCGAGTGATCACCACAGTCGCCTTGGCTGGAGCGCCTCGGCCTGGACCTCTTCCACCCTTGAGCTTTTGCGCCGCCGTGGGCACACCCGCAGAGCTTCCTCCGATCGTCATGACCTTGCGGCCTCCCGACTCCACCTTTGGCGGTACGTCTTTGGCAATTCCTCCGGCACTCATATTCAAGGTCGGGAAGGCTCCGCCTCCAGTTGCGGCAAGATAAGCCAACCTTTCCTCTTCAATGGCACGACGTTTCGCCTCGTCCTCGCGGCGCAGTACCACGCCGAGCTCGTCGTTTAATTTCGTGATGACCCGCATTGTGCCCGAAGGTCCGAGGAGAGTGGATTTGCAATGGGGACAGGGATGATAAGGGAGATGTAGGTTGCAAAGAATCAACCCGCATTGAGAGCACGCGGGTGTATATGGCGATAAGGGATGTGTTCGAGCTGATACGGAAGAGAGCCGCGATTAGCCTGAATATAAACATCCTCGTCGTCTTGAAGCTCACCCATGCAGAAGCATCCTTCCTGTCCATCCATCTTGCCCGCCTCGACCGCTTGCCCATTCGCCATCTTCTTGACGCCCTCGATCATCCGTTCAATCTTCTTCATCTCTCTACTCTTCGGCCTTTCGGGTTCGACAGGAGCTAGCTTTTCCCTTTTCCCTTTTCCATCTGGCGACTGCGACCTCGACACCGGGTTCGACAAACCGACGCCAGCATTCCCACCCGCGCTCGAACCGCGAGCGCTACCTGCCAGGCTCCGACTACGGTCCATGACGGTACCGTCCTCCTCTTCTACCGTGATCGTCGGCGTATTGGCACCTGTACCCGCTCGACTTCCCTTCTTCTTTCCTCCGCTTCCTCCCCATCCCAGATCGTCCTCTCGATTCTTGATGTACACCTGTCCAGGCATCCCACCAAAGGCCATAGCGAGATCTTCTGGCTTAGGAGTAGAGCTTCCGCTCTGACCGTTCTTCGCAAGCTTACTTGTGCTGCCGGTCGAATGGGTAGCGGCAGAAGAGCTCTTTTTCGTTTTTATCTTGGTCGCAACATTGGCAGGAAAGGCCTGTGATGGCGTAGGACCGGAAGTACGAGCGGTACTTGTCGGCATGGATGGAGCGGCTGGTGGAGGCATTCGAAGAGGGAACTTCCTGTCCAAGTAAGTGGCGATAAAAGGCGCGGACCCGCATAGTTCCTGTTCGATTATTAGGCGGGAACATCAGGCTAGCAGCGGGGAGAGGCGGGCGTGAAACCGAGCTCACCTGGAGGTGCCTTTCGACCTGGACTCGAGTGCTCAAGCTCTCCACATATGGTACAATCTGTTCTTTGGCATCATCTGTACCTGTATAAGACGGTTAAGACGGATGTCAGGTCGGTGGGCCCTCTGAAAGGCAATTCGTATCGGTATGACGTCTTACTGAGACCGAGAGTGTTGGATATCTGCTCAGCGAGCCAATTGGACGACATGGTACGTCAGCGATCCAGTACCCGAGGGTTTCCGCCAGAGAGATCTAGAGTAGGAGCTCTCGAAGCTTTGCCTATAGCTGAGGAAATTGATTGCTAGGACCTAGATGTAAACGTCGCTTGATCATCGAGGGCACCATGACCACATTCCTAACGCTTTGAGCATCGGTGTCAACGATAAAACGCATAATATGATAATTGGAATATGCGATCTGCGATATCCATTCCATCAAATGCTTCCGAATCTGGCTGGACGTAGCCCGAACCTCGACATCAACATCGCAAGCCGAGCCAGAGATCGAGCCAAGGCGGCTCCGGGTAGATCAATGACGTAGTTGATGATACGGGCCTGGGCCCAAGGACGTTTCACTCTGCCAGGTCCATACTGAGCAAGGTCGACGACGCTGTGAGAAGACCTGGGCGAGCGTGGTTCTCCTTCCGTTCACCGAGAACCGATGACGACGTGCGCCGCGAGCTGGAGCGAGGGAATAGAGAGGGCACGAAACAGACGCATTCACCGTATACGGCATTTGTTTCCACTCCCTTGGTATCAAACCAACTGGCAAAAGCCAAGGGTCTCATCGGCCTTGCAGCTTGCAGAGTACGCAGAGTAGAGTGCAAAGCCAGGAAAAAGGGATGGAGCTGGGAGACCATGGATGCGTACGCAATCCCCGACTGAAAGTCTCCGCCGCTGCCGCCGGGTCCCGGATGGCCGATCGTGATGAATGCGAAGAGGGAATTCTCCTGATCTCCTGCTCATATATCCCTATCGTTCGAATCGCGAGCCACTTTCCTGTATTTCCGTGTATCAAAGTCCTTCGCCCTACGTAGAACAAAAGCAGTAGCGCAGTAACAATCATCGTAGTAGTGATCAGCAGAATCACCAGAGTATCAAAGGAGGGAGCTAGCGATCGAGGGATCTTCACCCTGCACCCTCGTCCCATCCCGCCCGATACGCGTCGCCGCCGTCGTCGCCGCAGTTTATCGATTCCCAGCGAGCGGGTTCAGAAACACAGGCAGCGTCGTCGTCGTACAGTAGCTCAGTAGTGCACCGCCTCTTCTTCCTCCAGTCCCGATATATCCAAGACCTCGGCTTGGGCAGTCGTCGACATACGCCCTCGCCTTCAAAAGATCGTGCTTCTGGACCTCACTGTATCGCTAGGACCATATAGACTCGCGGTCGAACGGACGAAAACAGCCGTCTCTCTCAAGGTCGACCGTAATCTCTTCCATCTCGATCCCGGCCCGTTTCCTCGAGCACGATCGATTGGTCATCACGGAACAAGCATAATAGACTAGTCAGGGCAAGATGCGTTTGCCTTTCGTCAAGAACATCTGGGGGGTTGTGGTAGCAGGACTATTGTGCGTCAGGGGAGCCGATGCCCTGATCTCGGCCAACAAGCTTTGTAAGTCTTTTCCTGTCCAATCTCCCTCGCCCGCTCTTCTTCTGGCAGTCCGATCTCTCTTCCGATCGTTCCTTTTGGTCCATTATCGAGATCGGTCCCCTCAGAGAGGAAAGACGACCGTAATTCAGGCTTGTTGGAACCGCGAGACTCATCAGGCGACTGGTCTTTTACAGACACGGATTCGGTCACATACTGCTCAGAAGCAAAGGGTATCCTCGTCAACGAGTTTGATATTCAATACCACAAGAACAATCAGGTGAGTACATTCGACAATGGTATCATATTGACTTAACAATTTTGACCGAGGCCCGGGTTTCTGTTACAGAGTTTGACTTTTTTCATCTCGGCTGCGGCTGTGTCGGATGACCTGAATGTGGCCGTCAACCTCTATGCCAACGCGTACGGTCGACAGATCGTCAACCTGACAATCAACCTGTGTGATCTCTTGCAAGGCGTCTTGTGTCCCCTTCCGGCCATCAACTTTACGGGTAAGCTTTATCGAGACATACGCTGCTCTATCACGGCCGAGTATTGACAACTGCTCAACGTAATAATGATGTCAGGTGGCGGAACATACCCGATACCCGATCAATACTTGAGCAGCATCTCGGACAGTATCTGGGGGCTCGTCTGGACCGTGCCCGATCTGGAAGCGTTCGCGAGGGTCTCGCTGAACAACGTGCAGAATGGCGAATCAGCGGCCTGTCTGCAAGCCACCCTGTCGAACGGACTCTCGACTCAACAGACCGCCGTCAAGTGGGCTTCAGGGGGACTGGTCATCGCCGCTCTCATTATCGCGCTCATTCATTCGACTTTGCGATGGTCACCGAGCGCGGCGGTGTACCGGTGGTACGACATCCTCTTCATCTTCCAGGCAGCGGCGGCTTCTGGATTATTACAGATCAATTATCCCTCGAACTACGTCAACTTTGTGCTCAATTTCCCCTGGGCGCTCGGGCTGTTTCACGACGACAATATCAATGAGGCCGTCGTCAACTTGCGAAACTCGACGGGCGCAAAATTGCCTACGACCGCCTTCGCCGCTGTCGATTATATCAACCGAAAAATGTCGCCGTACAACGAAGCCATTCAGTTGAACTCGTTCTTCCGTGCCAATTCGACCGCCGCGGACTTCGAATCGTTCGTCGCCTTGACGACCCCGGTCGACCGTTCGTTTGTCGCGTCCGACTTCGCGAAGCGGGTCTACATCCCTACGGTTTCGCAGCAAGATACCATCTCCACCATCCAGAATGGAATTCCCGTCTTCACCAACTCTACCGGTATTCCAGCGGCCAGCGCGTTTGATACGATCTTCATTATCTACCTGATTGCCATCGCTGTCGTCATCGGCGCACACATCATCTGGGGAGCGATCGTCTTCTTCGCGGACAGGTCCAGGAGCAGCGAGCGAAGAGGTCATGGATGGCTCCATGAACAAAAGAGAGGGTTTTGGAGCTTCTTTGCCGGGAACATGATGAGGCTGGTGAGTCTCGTGGAATCGAGCCTATCGTTGGCATGAGTCGAAAGACTGATCCCCGACAATTTCACGCTGGCAGTGCCTCATCTTCCTCTTCCCCGTCTTCATCTTTGCGCTGTATCAGTTCAACATCGGCCGAGATGATTCGTGGCTGAGCATCCTGCTCGCCGCACTCTGTTTCGCGTGGACCGTGATCGGCCTTACCACCGTGCTCGTCTTTGCCGTCTTGCGTCATCGCAAAGACGGTGGCGAGTTTTCCTCCACTTCTCCCCTCTACTCGCGATACGGATGGTACAACTCGGCTGGGATGGTTTACCGGCAGTTCCGACCGAAATACCACTTCTGGTGGTTCGCACCCTTGGCTCTGGCATCGTTCGTCCGAGCCTGCTTTATCGCCTTTGGCCAGGGCAACCCGTGGGCCCAGGTAATCGGTCTGGTAGTCGTCGAGTTCTTGCTCCTGGTCACCTGTATCGGATTCCGACCCCACAAGGACAAGAAGGGAGACTGGCTCGGTGCCTTCCTCGCTTTTGCACGGATGTGCGCTTTCGGACTCATGATCGCGTTTATCCCGAGCATGGATATCGATCCAATCACGCGGACCATCATTGGGTTCGTTGTCATTGTCATGTTCGGCCTCCCTGTGGTTTTGCTATTCTTTGGCTTGCTCTTCAACCTTGGTAAGGTCCCCCTCTTAGAATCGAAACATGCTTAGAAACGATACTGACCTACCTTCGTGTCTTCACAGCTTACGGTTATGCCTTCCGACGCAACAAACGAAGGATCGAAGATGGTATCGAGGTCAACACGACTAAGAGGCATGCGTCCGATATCAACTCGACTACACCAGCCATGGTGCAAACCGGTGCTTTCGGAACTCCTCGAAACGCTACGCCTGATGCTTACGCGATGGGCGCTGGGAACGGTCTTCGTCCTTACGACTCCGGATACCCTGATCATCGACAGTCGTACCACCCATCGATCGACGGCGACGAAGCATCTCAGCAGCGCGAGACGTATGGCGGATATGGGAATAACCGATTTAGTCAGAATGACTACAATCAAGCGTATGACGGCTACAACAGTGGTCCCGTGCCGCACCGTCAGAGTAGTCACGGCTATGCGTATGGTGGCAACTCGAACGGCGTAGAAGGATACGGCACATATGGAGGGTTTTCAGACCCCAATATCGCTGGACACGGGGCGGGTCAGCGATACCAAAGTTAGACAGGCATCTCAGCATGACACGTGGATATCCCAGCCCACAGGAAAGATTTCATCGGCTAACGGAACGACTTTTCGAAGAACCCGCTCTCACTCTACCCTATAGCCCACCTGCAACTTTGCTCTCATTCCCTCCAATACATAGACCAAGTGACGGAATCTAGATTTTGCAAACTGTATCGATATCGCTGGCGGCTTATATTTCGTTGTTTCCGGCTCGCGGGATTAGTCTTGTATTCAGTATTACTTGCTCACGAGGGTATCTATCATAAAATTGGCTAGGAACAAGTCTCGGTCTATGCCAACTCAACGTCGCATAGCAAAACGGGGTATATGTCATAGGGAAAAAGTCTTGCCCCACCGCACTCGGACTGTGTTGTTCGGGGCTACATGATGCTATTTTCTGACTCGGTAGAACCTGCAGTCGAGAAGATCAGCTTGTGCGTGCATCGTTCAAATAGCCTTGCTGTCTTACTTGGGCAACACCTCTCGCAAGTATTCCAAGTGTTTCTCTCTAGCACTGGCCTCTTCCTGCGCCGCCGACGCATCCCACGCCCGCCTATCCGAGTTCGATCCAAAGACCACGGTGTAGGACGGGATGACTTCGGGCTGAGAGGGATCGAGGGCTCTGCTCCGCAGCGTGGTCTGTGGACCTGTTGCGCTTGACGTAAGCCTTGGATTCTCGCTTCGTCTCATGATTGATCAGTCGAGATCGGCGCACCTACGACACAGTAGTCCGACACGATGACGTCTGCCAGAACCTCGCAGCGAGCTCCGAAGTTGTTGGAGTTTCCAACGGACGCTTGGACCTTCGCTCCAGTCCCAAACTGATTCTTATTCCCTATTTGAAGCGTCTTTGAGGTGTCACTGCAATGAGCGGAGGTCATTGACTTGTAGCGCCCCAAGCAAGAGCGTATCCCATACATACGAGTTGAGGATATGAACGTTTTCCGCGATCACACAGTTGTCGCCAATAACAATCTCCCCTTCATGCGCCAGGATCTGAGCCAAAGGATGAATGACGGTACCTGTCCTGCCACATCATTTCGTGCCAGAACGAATCAGCTGATACAGAAGCGTGTGCGTGATGAGGAGGGCGTCGTGACTTGCCCTTGCCTATCGTCACTTTACCCTTGAATACCGCATCTTGCACGACGGTCGCTTCGGGGTGAATGACCACCTGGCTCTCATCATAGAGCGGCTCTTTCTTGCTTCTAGGTTTCGGCTGAGGGGCAGATGACATCGATATAGACTGAGTGAGGCTAATCACCGAGAGTTCAGCGACGACGATGACGATGATCACAAGAAGAAAGCGTTTCGTACGACTCGATGATGATGATGATGAATGGTATACTCATACCCCGAGGTACATTCGGCACATCGTAAACAACAACCCCCGCTCGCGCGCCTGAATGCCAACTAGAAGCGCAGAAAACGCCTCATAACCCTCTAGACTAGGGGCTGCGGGTCAGAGGTCCATACATGAATTCCCTTGTCATCAACGTTATATCACAAGGCAAGCCTGAAGCTCACGGTCAAGGATATCAGCCATCGATCACACAATGTCAAACGATACCCCTTCGCCTAGAGCCGATGACCTGATGGGAAGGGAAAAGACGCCCGACCTGAAGTGAGTGCAGCTACCGAGACCTGCCGTCGGACACCGGACTAATCCCCCGGACTGCCACAGAAGTGAGAAGGAGTCTGGTAGGAAAGCATCAGAGCTCAACGATGACCGGGAAGATGACCGTCGTGACCGTGACCGCCACAGAGAAGATCGTCACCGCAGGCGACACGTCTACGAGGAAGACATGGACGAAGAACGTGATGCCCGCAGGAAGCGTTCGGACCGACCCGAAAAGGACGACGAGACGCCTGAACAGAAGGAAGAGAGGCGTCGACGTCGTCGAGAGGAGGAAACCGACGAAGATCGCGAGGAGAGACACAGGAAGCGAAGGGAGAAGGAAAAGGAACGCGACCTCGCCCGTGATCGCGATGGCGACGAGGACGGGGAAAGGAAGAAGCACCGTTCCAGGCGAGATCGATCCGCTTCGAGGGAGTCTCACAGATCGCACCGCTCTCACAGGTCACACAGGTCTTCTCTTCGTGACATTGACGCCGACCGCGACAGGAGGGTCCGTGATCGGGAGGGACCGGGTTCTAGGGATTCGAGAAGGTACGATGATCGCGAGCGGGATCGGTACCCAAGGGATCGGTACGATGACGTGAGTCGACATCCACGTCATATCAAATTGTCAACCCAACGCTAAACGTTGACCCGATTTCGTAGAGGAGAGATAACGGCTATCGGCGAAGGTCAGTCTTTGTTTTGATTTGGCTCGATCGAGCCCGGCCTGACGCTTTGGTGTCGTGCCCGCAGCCCCATGCGACGTTCCCCTCCTCCCCGTCGACGATCTCCCATGTATGACGTACCTCCTCCGCGTCGACCTGAACCACCTAGGGACGAAGTCTCTGCGCTTATCGAGGAGGCTGCTTCGGAAGCTCGATCCGTTTTCGTGTCGCAACTGGCTGCCAAACTGACCAGCAGGGACGTTGGCATGTTTTTCGAAGACAAGCTCGGGCGAGGATCTGTGCGCGACGCTAGGGTCGTCACTGACCGAATCACAAGGAGGTCCAAGGGGTACGTTCACTGTGTTCTTGCCCGATTCATTTTACTGATTCCCGTGTTCCGTCCGCAACAGTATCGCCTACGTGGAGTTGTCCTCGGTCGAGCTCGTTGCCCAGGCTATTGCTCTCACTGGCACGATCGTCATGGGCTTGCCCATCATGGTCACTTTGACCGAATCTGAGAGGAACAACCAAGGAATTGCTAGCATGTCTATGGTGCCGGGAGCGCCTATGTCCGGGTAAGCATTGCTTACATAGAACTTGCAAACAGAATGTGGCTAATCGCCGAGTTTGTGCTTTCGGCAGTCCCGGTTCGCTTCCTCCTCTTCGACCCAATATCCCTGGTCTTCCTGCTGCCCCTGTGAACAAGGATACCAACGCCGATGCTGAAGTTCCATATTACCGTCTCTACGTCGGTAACTTGTACTATAACCTGAGTGCGGATGACATCAGACAGGTCTTTGAGCCCTTTGGCGAACTGGCTTTCGTCGATCTCCCCATGGAGCCACAGGTGAGTGTCTCACTGCTTCTTGGTCAATATCAGGTCCTTGCTGATTGCCTATGTGTATCTTGACAGACCAACCGGAGCCGAGGATATGCGTTTGTCCAGTACAAAGAGCTTGAGCCTGCTAAAATTGCTTTGGCTTCGATGAACGGATTCGAGTTGGCAGGTCGTCAGAGTGAGTGGCGTGAATTAAAGGTGGCCTTGATCATACTCAGGAACTGACATGTCATTTGACTAACTTTAGTTAAAGTCTCTACTGTTCACGAAAAGGGTACTTCAGGTCAGGCCCGTGCCCCTGTTGAGCAACAGCTTGAGGAGAATGGCAACTATGGTGAGGCAGAGTATTTTCGAAGTGACGATGTTCATCCGCTCATTGCAATCACATCGACAACTTGCAGGCACAAGGATGGATGCCTCTGCTCGTCAGCAACTCATGTACAAGCTGGCCCGGCAACCGGACCCAAGTGTCCCTGGCAATATGACTTCTCCTGACACCTCCGCGTCAGTCAAGAAGCCTTATAACGAACGACTGCAGCTAAAACTTGCTCCCGCTATCGAACGCCACACAGTAACCGTTTGAACATCCCTGCTCAGCAGACGCAATTCGTCCAGTTGTCCAATATGTTTACTGAAGAGTGAGTTAGCACCAGCAGGCCGTACCAGGTCTCGTGCTAAATGGTTGATACTCCTGCAGAGACACCAAAGCTGGTCCCGAATGGGACCTGGATCTTGCGGAAGACATCAAGGGCGAGATCGAATCCAAATATGGCCCGGTCGACAAGCTTGTCATCGACAAGAATTCGAAGGTGAGATATATCAGCTATCGGTGAGACCTTTCTGTGCCAGACCTGACTTGTGGTTGCTTCTGTTTAGGGGGACGTCTACCTCAAATTTACCGAAGTGGACTCTGCGGCCAAGGGCGTTCAAGGCCTCAACGGAAGGCTGTTCGGCGGACAGAAGGTCGTTGCCAAATTCATTCCTGAACCCGTCTTCAAGGCGCACATCTAGGTCCGCAGAGGCAAGTGCAACCTTGGTATGGTGATCAGAACCAAAGACAAAAGGCCTACGAGCGCGGACGAGCCTTGTTTACGGCTCCAAAACCTTCTGCTTTCGTTTGTGCTATAGCGTGGCCGATTGTAGATATTCATCTCAGCGTACGGTTGCGGTAATCGGCGCTCCTGCCCGTGATGGCTCATGACATATGCTCTTTTCTGATTAGATCAAAGTTTCTCGACATCATGGGTGCAGGTTTGGTCGGCGTGCTTGGAAATGGCGGCGGTCTCGGAATTTGCACTTATTTCTCTGGTTTTAAGCTCCTAGCTTTTTTGACTCCCTGCTCTCCTGCATCCTCAATATCGACACTCTGCCCTAAGCTGATCTAGCCTCGCGATTTGATAGACAAATCTGCCCTCGCCTTTTTCGTCCTGATCAGGCATCAGGCAGGCATCGTGGTCAGCACTGTAAGTTGAAGCGCAAGTCGGCTTGCACCTTGTAGGCTCTATGATTGTGTTATGATAGCCATGGCTCGATCAACGATATTTTCGTTGAAACGGGGTTACGTTAAAGACTATGGAGATGTATTCCCTCCATCTTGTGCTCTTGGCGATGGTCTACCTAGCTCCTAGCTTGTGATCGCAACCATGCTCGAGGCTAGCTCGAGGTCGATCATCGAAGTGCCCCGACTCGCGGAGGTCGCGTCGCGTGGACTTGTTGTTGTTGTTGGTTTTGTCTCGCGAGCGATCAAATGTCCCAAGGTCGCAAGCTGCTCATCATCAAGGTGCAAATGATCCTTCAGAGAGACAACGAATGCCCACTCCCTCATGGATGAAACGGAGTCTTGTTCCATGTTCATGCTCTTATCCAGTAGAGTGAATGCTACCTACAACACCTCGCCGCCCGGCATCAGCGGGACCGACAGGCCGTAATGTCATATCTCCGCAGAGTTTGAATCGACAACTGCCACAGCTACCTCCTTTGGGTGCTCCAATCCAGCTGGATAAACATGCCGAGTCGAATAACTCGCCTGCAAATGGTCCGGAAGCTAAGCGGGCAGTTCTGCTAGACGTGGTACTCGAAAGGGACGAAGATGGGGGTGTCTCTGAAGGTCAGAGGAGCTCAGGCTGAAAGGAGGTTCGAAGATCGAAGAGTTAACACTAGATCATGTATACAGCCGCAGAAAACATAATCAAGCAGCTAGGAACTCCCTTGAATGCATCAGCATACGCCTACAATGCCACTGCTAGCACGTCAACGCACCATAGGCAGGGAAGCAATAGCGGCGATCAGTCCGGCCGACAGACTGGCAGAACGCCTACCAAGCCCGTCAAAGTGGACAAGGCCAGGTTGGCAAGTCTGGTACACGAGCTACAGGACACGGAAAAGAGGTACTTGAAACGGATAGCATGTCTGAAGAACGTGAGTGATGAGACCGCTTTCTCCCGCTGGCTTCATGCTGTTGACCCGATTGGTTTCAATCCGTGCGTGTTTAGTCTTATGCGGACCCTCTACGCAAGTTCGCAAGACGGTCCGAAACGATGATCATACCCGTATACGATGCCAAGGTCATGTTTGCCAATATTGACACGGTGGTCGAAGCGGCAGAGAGGTTCTGCCATGACCTGCAAGAGGTGGATTTGACGGGCAGAGCGAGGGACAGAAACATCGGCGACGTCTGCCTTCATCATGTGAGTTAGCTACCATTCCAGATAGCCGATTCACAAGCTCATTGCTCGAATTTGTTCCAATTAGTTGAAAGGACTCAAGACGCTCGATTGCTATCGGACCTATTATGATAAGCAGGACGAATCGCAACGGAGCTTTCGAAGCATGTTGAAGCGCCCATCGTTTGAGACTTTTACCGACGTAAGTAAAGTGGAGTTCATCGCGTCAGCTTTTGCGCTGACTTTCCTGCTACAGTCTGTCAAGTACCAGACGTCCGGCATCGGGAACATTGGAGTTCGCGAGCTTTTGGCAGAACCGGTACAGCGAATACCTCGCTACACACTGCTTTGGCAAGGTGCATGTTGTTGCTACACAACTTCTCCAATCGCGATCACTGACAATCTCGCCAATAGGTATGGTTGACAGCATGAGTCCGCATGATTCGCAGAGGCAAAAACTCGAAGAATGCATCGAGATTGCTTCCAAGATCGCTATGTGCGAGACTGACGAGCGTACTAAGCGGGCGACCGTGATGTACTGTCTGGAGCGGACCGTTGACGGCTTCCCCGTAAGTCGCTTCGTTCTCCCAGACCCGCAAGCTTGCTGACGTCAATTCTGACAGGCGAATCTGATATCAAACAATCGAGACTTTATCGATTGTATCGATGCGGATGATATTTTATACGATCGACCGCAAGGACGACCTAGCCTGCACCTCTCAGCATCGAACCCTTCATTCTCCAATCTGAGTTTGTCTCCGTCAGGCCGACCTCTGTCGCCCGGTGGACACTCGAGCAGCAACGGCAACCTCAATTGCACGCTGTTCCTCTTTGACGACAAGCTCGTTATCGCCGAACGACAGCATCCTGCTGTGAACGGGAGAAAGGCTACGGGCTTGGACGATCTGAACAAGATGATGAGAGGAGGTGGCGGACTGCTCGGGCTCGCTCAGAGTGGGGCGCATTTGACTAAGGACAAGCTCAGCTTCAAGGGTATTGTGGACCTATTTGATATAACGGCTGTCGGCTTGGACGGCGGAGGTATGCAGTAGTTCGGCGTCTAAATTGTCGACGAGCTATATGACTGACGAAGAACCACAACAGATTTTCAGCTCGCTTTCCGCGCTCCTCCCACTGACCAAGTCGACAAGTGGGCAGGTCGGCCTGTGCGGAATTACACAGTGGTTCACCCCCCTCTGCCGCCCAACACCGATACCTCGGCCGCTAGTCTGGATCGACAGAAGTTCATCAAGAAATTGTGGACTGCACAGGCCCTGATGCGAACGAAACCTATCGCGTCAGCTCCGAAAGGCTCGATGCAGTCGCAGGGTATCGGTCTACCTACAGCTTACATGGCTGTACAAAACCATGTCGTGGAATCTCGTAGCCGCAACCGCGAACATATTGCCCTGTATACCAACCTATGGGCCAGAAATGCTTGGGAAAGCAGCCATATTAAGGTCAGTAAAGGTCCGGTCATTTCGCAATACATCAGCTTGCTGAGTTATGATGGTGAACGCAGACTAAGACGGTTGTGCAGATCAACTCAATGGCACCTTCCGCCGACCTTTCCGCGGGTGACAACAGCGATCCATCCACGATTGTGAGACTGGATGGTCATCAGGCTAATCGCTGCAAGTGAGTCATGATTGCTCGGCAGGAAAGACAATCGTCTCATCAGGCTCACATCAATATACGTTGTGTGGATACTTTGCCAGTATATCAATCGCTTACGCCCGGAACGGACGACTAGACAAAGATCAGGAAGACTGTGGTCTGGGCGATGCGATCGACCGCGCCATTCAATTGGGTAAGTGTGAAAAATCGTCAATCCTGGATCTGGCATGCTCACATAAGCGTTGGATACGGCAGTGCACGCCATCGGCGATCTCCTCCCTGCACCTGTGCAAGGCTCATCGTCACAGCCGACGACCCCAACCAGTGCAAGAAGCCGTCCCGCTCTGATGACCTTGGATACGTTGTCGCGAAGCCTCTTTGGAAATCAAAGCATCTCTTCGCGATCGAAATCGACTGTTAGCCGCTCGTCGACCCTGGACACCTCGCGATTCTCTATAGACACCAAATCCACTGCGGCTACTTCCTTCGACTCTGACCACGGCGTCAAAACGATGGGGGAGTACAGTCCCGGCAGAAGCACAGCAGGCAGTCGGTCGGGCAGTCAGGAATTGGATCGCTCTTCCGGCTTGTTTGCCTTGAACGAGATCGGGGGTGACTCTGAAGCGGATCTGAATGCGCGACTCGACCTGGCGAAGATCAATTCGATATCGACCACCCAAATGATGCAGGTGATGAGCGCTGACGATGTGTCAGAAATGGGAGGCATCGCCCGAACAGGTGAGACGAGTTTTTTCTGATCGAATACGTTTCCCGAATGACCGCTAACGTTCGACTTTCAGCCGTTTCGAGAACTTCGCCGCCTCGAGGAGCTTTGCATGTTCGAAACCGGACGCCTAGTCCTCCTCCTGATGACTCGGACGAATTGATGACTATCAAGCCAATCAACCTGCCAGTCAGCGCTACCAGGCCGTTGAACCTAGCACGTGGCCGGACACCATCACCCACTAAGGGACCGAGACCGTTGCCATCCCCTCGGCCATTGGGTGTGGACTTGGAACCCGCTTCGAGCACAACTCTCACTGCGACTGCCTCTACTCCGTTAGTATCTCCTGGCCGGTTACTCGGACCACGTCAACCGACGATCAAGCGAGAACGGTCCATTGCGCCGGCCGGCACGGCAAGAGTGGTCTCTGGTGCCGGTCGTAAGGTATCGACGGGAAGGCCGACCATGCCTCTCAAGGATAGTCCTATCGAGACAGATGTTTCGCCCACGTCGCCCTTAATCCACAAACGGAATCGCTCAGACGAAGTACTCGCGCCGCGGAAGAGATCGTTTGACAGGCACACCATACCGAAATCCTTCGAGAGCGAGATGGGAGACGGAGCGGACGCGGCGCCCCGGGCTCTGCCCAATCCACCACAGGCTGTCAGCGATTCTGGTATCTTTCCACCTCAGATGATGCTGGTCGAACCGACACCTCTGGAGCCAGAAACGGACGTCTTCTGGGATCCTAGTTCGAGCGAGGCGGATCATGTGAGTAGATTTGGTAACTTGTACCCCTTGAAAGAGACGAGCTGATTTGTGGTTCTGTTGCAGTCGTCAAAAGCCGCTACTACTGCTCGGCAACTCAAGGTCGAGCTCGAGAGACTGGACTCTGCCGTTGGAAAGGGAATTGCTACCAAGCAGAGACAGAAGTTGGTCGTGGAAGGGTCTCCGGGACTGATAAGATCCCCACCTAGCAGGAAATTATCGGTAAGCTCTACCGGTCTTCCATCAAAATACCCATCCGATGGCTGACCTTTGGCGTATGACATTGCAGACACACGTATCTGTAGACGCCGATCGATCGGCTTCGCTATCCTCGCGTCGCAATGCGGCGAATAATACGAGCAAAACGGAGCTGGATGCTAGTTTCATCCATCGTTGGATCACCAACGCCTCGGCGCTGCTCGAGCAGGTCACTGAGAATCTCTCGCGCGCCGAATGTGACAAGGTTCAGTTGAGAGAAGAAGCAGAGACGTATCATCAACAAGCGATCTCGGTGAGTTGCCCGGAAAGAGAGAACCGCAAGCGCGTGCAAACGGACATTAGTATTAAACGTGATCTCAAACCTTACATTTAGTCATCCCTCGAGGTCAACAGCTTACAAGGCCGACTGGCTCGAGCGACGTCTAAGGCGGATCTAGCGAAATCTCAGATTCGTGATCTAACGGCAGAGCTGGAGACGGTGTACGAGGTGAGGACATGATTTCGACGTCGATGGATCTCCCGTATTATAGAAAGCTGACCTTTGCCTATAACCATATCAACTCGCGGTAGACATTTAACGTCGAGCTCGACAGCTTGTTCACCGATATGCAGTTGCCGCCTACAGAAGCATTCAAGGCGTTGACAAGGGACGTTCAAGAAACCAAAGCGAAACGCAACGATTTGCACCTGGAAAACATGTTAGTGGATAGTGAAGAGAGCGCAAAGTGACCAACGGGTGTTCATCCATGCCTTCTTGCCCTTTGCAACAGACGCCTACGGCGAGAGTTGCAAGAGTCGAACAGACAGAGAGAAGAGTAAGTGATTAAAGTGGTCCGACATTATCTCCATCGGCAACTGATCAGATGGCCTCGGATTGTATCGTATTGCAGGCTGTCACGGCTGTTGAGGGCATACGGCAATACTTGATCTTGTGGCAGCATAGCCACCTTGCTGGAAATAGTGGCCTACTATAATGATGTGCGTTCGTTGTAATTTCATACGCTGGCACGTACCCCCATACCCTCCCCCGGTCACGATCGGTAGGATGACCTTGATATGCATGTATATGCGACGGGTATGAGAGGATCCGATGTTCGTGATGTTAACGACAGTCAGTGATCGACGAGAGGTTGGAGGATGTATCGGATGACTTGCTAGGTCGATCAGGTTCCGCCGACTATCAAGCGCGCCGCCAGGAACAACGTGCTTTGGGCGGTCGTTGGTCGATTGGGTTCTCGCTCTCCTTCGCCCTCGCCCTCGTCGACCTGGGTCGATCTTTTGATGACTCTTCTCAACGTTTTTTGTGTCTGCGTGCGTACATATCCGAGTCTCGAGGTACGGTACATGTTACGTTGTCGGTGGTGTGGTGGGTAGGATGTTCGTGTCCGTAGTCGCAAGTATGGCTCGTGGGCACGGCCGGGGTGGGTGGGGAAGTATATTTTGCGTCCTTAGATTGCGTCGCGTCCTCTTTGTTCGGATCTAGTAAGAGAGAATACAGTAGTACTCGTAGCCAAAATACTTGATCGCATCCTATGATGCTAGGTAGGACAGCTAGACCAGATCGTTCGACAGCCCTCGACTACTCGGGCATGGATAGAAGGACATGCCAATAGCCAATAGAGTATAGACATTAGCCAACTCCCTCGTGCAAAGTCGCACGCAACCCGTGGCCTTTACCTGAACCCTCCACAACGACACTGTCGCGAAAAGTTGAAGACTCGACATCGAGTGCTCAAATTGATCACCTTGCAGCTGCCAGCATCAACAGACGTCTTTATACAGCTCGCATAAGGTACTACATCGCCCCGGGTCTGTTCAGCCTATCATGCCTGACAAGCGAAGAGCCCCTTACGTGTCGAACGACCGGTCCGTCGTGGACCTCACAAAGCTGGGGGCTACCCTCGGTTCGCAAGCCGGGCCTACGATGCCTAACGGATATGTGAGCAATCCGGTCTTGAATACGGTCTCGGACTCAATAGGATCGCCCGTCGACGCAAGCAAGACGAACGGTTATGCGCCTCATACCGAAGGGATCTATACATCGTCCGTCTACAACGGAGACAGCACGAAACGACCACATCCTCAACCGCCGGTGTACGACCCTCGAAATAATCCATACAGCTTACCAGAAGGTCAAACACGGCGGCGTGGCGGATCGATGTCCTCGGTCTCCGTCTCTTCACCACAGTTTCAGACTACGCTCTCAAAACTGCTCTCCTCACCCTTACCTTCCGCCTCCACCCTCAAGTTTATCTTCCTATGCACACTGTGGTACGGTACCTCGGCCGTTTCTTCCAACACGGGCAAGGTCATCCTCAACAACTTTCGCTTCCCGGTGACCCTGACGATCGTTCAATTCTTCTTTGTGGCCGCTTATTGCTGGGCGATCACCGAAGGCCGTACATGGGTCCCTCTAGGCAGGTACACCCGAGGCCTGATGCGGAGGATCTCGGGGTCGAGGTCGTTGACGCAGAGTCAGGGGGGAGGGTCGAGGTTAAGATCGCCTAGCAAAGCGATCTTGAGGAACACTTGGCCCATGGCCGTCTTTCAGGTCGGGGGGCACATCTTTTCGAGCATGGCGATCAGTCGGGTACCCGTCAGCACGGTGCATACGATCAAGGTGAGAATGCTCGGGCGATGTAGGATGAGTGACGTATGAATTACAGAATGGCTAATCCGATGCTTGTTGTCTTGCCAGGCCCTCTCGCCGCTTTTCACTGTGCTCGCATATGCGCTCCTTTTCAAGATTTCCTATTCGCCCGCGACCTACCTCTCTCTCCTACCCCTCACCCTCGGAGTCATGCTCGCGTGCTCTTTTGACATTTCGGCATCCAACATCCTCGGCCTCGTCTGCGCCTTTGGTTCGACCCTGGTATTCGTTTCGCAAAACATTGTCTTCAAGAAGCTAATGCCTTCGACTGGCAGTGCGTCGGTACACGGACCGGCGAGCGGGACGATCAACCCGTTGAGCACCGCTCAGACAAGTGCCAAGTTGGACAAGATCAACCTGTTGTTCTATTCATCGGGAATGGCATTCTTGTCGATGATCCCTCTTTGGGCGTATTCGGACATGCCCACCCTGATCGCCCTCTGGCTGGATCCCGATAGTGTTCACCTGCCCATCAAAGTGAATCGGGGCGCACCTCCCAGCGTCCCATTCTACTTTTTCGTCAACGGCACGGTGCATTTCGCGCAGAACCTGCTGGCGTTTGCGATCTTGTCCTCGACATCGCCCGTCACCTATTCCATCGCCTCGCTCGTCAAGCGTATCGCCGTCATCTGTCTCGCCATCATCTGGTTCAACCAAAAAGTACATCCCGTCCAGGCGGCCGGGATCGCGCTGACGGGCATCGGGCTCTGGATGTATAACGCAGCCAAGCGGGACGTGGAAAAGGGAGAGAAGAAGGTCAGGCGAATGGAAGCCGTCAAGGACGGCATGTTGCCGCTCAACATGGCCGATCAGAAATTGCTCGACGAGAGGAGCGAGACCAGTACGCCCGTCCCGGGGGACAAGGGGATGTACGCTTCACCTGCGCCCTCATACGGCTTTGGCGACTATGCCATGCTGCCAGTCTCGCATTCATCCGCCGTCAAAGGTGGATATCCCTTTGACGATGGCAAGGTGAAGCGGGGTACTCAGCAAGGCTATGTCGTTCCATATCCATCAGTCTCGACGGCGCTACCATCACCGCCCCCGTCAAACGCATCCTCACCTCCTTTCCATGCGACAACCAACATACCTCCATATGATGATACAACCAGCTTCAACGGCTTTAATGGAGCGCGAAGGAGGATGTCGATTGAACCGCACTCAAAACTCGGGGTTACTCCGACACGGCACGTTCATGACGATTCGCGTCGCATCGGACGAGGTGTAGACGAGAAGGAAGAGATTCTCGTGGACTTTGAGCCTCGCAAGGGCTCGGGCACTGTAGCGCCGACGGGAGCTTAATCTCTTTCGAGACGAGATCTTCTCACTGCGGAATCATGGACTGGACATTCTTGCATCCCGCCTCGAGTGCGCCTTGATAGGTACATTCAGTGCGAGGATTGACATGCGGCTATTCTTGACCTGTTTTGTAACGATACCATTACGCGTACGACGGTGTGATAATGATAGGGTGATGCCTTCTTAGATGCGATTCGACATGGACATGTGGTCGTGTATGGTTCGTGACATTCGTAATGGACCCTTCTTGGTGATCGATGTTCATTCCGAAAAGAGTGGCCGATACTGGTGCGGACACGATACCGATGTGAGCTATATTCCCCGCCTCTCAAGGAAGATATGGTGCACTTACGGTATTATCCCCTTCCTCAACTTGATACGCTGTCATCGGCGCTTCCTCTTCCTCCTCATTCATATCGTTATCCATGTGGAGGAGCGACTTTCCTAATAATTCCTCGGCATTTCCCTGAACGCGTTGTATCTTATGCGGTCTCTCATCCCCGTCGTGCTCTGCCACTACCCCTGCATCGCCATTACCCTCCAATCCAAGATCCTCGTCTGCTTCCCAAATCCCTGCTAGCTCATCTTCGCCCATATCCTCCAGCTCTCTCTGACTAGCGGCGTGCATCAGCTGAGCTTGGCTGAGCGCTCGAGGAACGTCTTGTGAACCGCTAGGGTAGAAGAGTGGCTCGTTCTCTTCGTTTCCATTGCCGAACTCAGCCTGCTCGTCGCCATGGTGCTCGTCCGCTTGTAATTGAGGGAAATTCGGAGCTGTCTCGCGACTAAACTGCAGGCTGCTCTTCTTCTTTGCCGGCGTTCTTCCGGTAGGACGATTCGTCTGATTGCCTGCCGAGTCCCGTTGAGGTTTGGCAATCTCATTTTTAACGGGCTTCTTCGAGCTGGATGCCGTTTCGTCCATGAGGTCTTTAAAGGCTTCGTTCTCGGTCGTGGCGATCGTCAATTCGGCGATCGAATGCTCAGTGACCAGCTTTAGTGAGATTGGTTGTCCAGCAGTCGAAAAGTCGGTGCGCAACGGGATACCCCAGCTGTCAGCGAGCGTGATCGCTGCCTGCAGCACGGTACGCATTAGCACCAACAGCATTTGATACCTACACATGAACAGAATTCCACTCACTCTGAACTCTCTCAACGGAAATGTGAGGCAAACAATCTCCGCAACGTCGTACTCGTCGAACTCGGTCACACCGATCTTCAACTCGGTCGAAATCGCTCTGCGTGCGGCCGATCCGCTCTCCCATGTTCTAACTCTGATCTGTTCCGGGTGGAAGTACCATCCGAGTTCGCTTTCTTGGCGGTTTACGTTGCCTGTCGCCTCTGTGCCCGCTTTGGCCGTGGTTGATCCGGAAGCTGCAAAGTGATCCAACCAGTCCCGAAGCGTTCGAGCGGGAACCACGAAAAGGTTTGTCAAGGTCGCCGGATCCACCGTTGCCACCAGGAACGGCGAGGCGCCCAGGTTCAACGAGTGAGTCTTGATCACCCCTATAACATCGAACGTTCTTTTTGAGCTTTGATTGTCGAGGATGACCTCGCTCTGCACATACCATGTTTGCAGACCAACTTGAGGATCAACCGAGATTCTCTAGAGTTGGATTGTACATCCTCTTCGCTCTCATCCTCGTTGTCGACAACTCGACCCTGACCTTGCCGTCTACTCTTCAATTCCCTACTTGGATCCGCGATTCTCATTTCCAGTCGGAGGATGTTCTGAGACGATGTACTCCTTCCAAGAACCGACAATACTGACTGGAATTCTCGAACACATGATCAGGATCGCTACTAATCGGCTAAGGAGGAGCTGACTCACTTTCACTTGCAGTTTACATTTGATCCCCTCCAGGCTGGCTGCAGCCTTTCCCGTCATTTTGTACTTCTCAAACCCCTCGTGTGCAAGCGAGAACAAGCAGAACGCTGTTTTCGAGCTGTTCACGGTCGACATTTGGATCTACAGGTCGAGTGCTCTGTCAGTTTCTTGGCGGGAGTTCTAGATTGAGAAGGAGCCTTACGCCCTCATGCGTAGCCTGAAGATGAAGCTCATCCCCAAAACGTGCGATACACTGCAGGATCTTCTTGAAGTCTGAGATACCGCAGCACGCAAACGAATCAGCTCGCCAGTCATAACACGGACAAGGCACAAGGCAAGGCGCCATACTCACTCCGCACGGAGTGTGCATGCAGAACAGCTTCCATGTTGTTTGCTTGTGCAGCCCACTTCGTGCTGTGAGCTTTGACTGGTCGTTGCGATTCGAGGACATCAGCCCTTGCAGGCATGCACTCATACATGCATGGATGTAGGTGATCGTATTTACAATGTGGCGATCTACTTCCGGATACTCTCGCGGAAGTATTTACCACATAGAATAGCATCAACCGCCTGCTGGTTTAAGAGATTCATCTTCTTTGCGTTTGTTCCCTTCAACTAGATCATTACAACAATATGGAATTATGCAGATACAATATCGCGGCAAAAGATGGGCGAGATCCTTGGACTTCAAAGCAAACCCGGTCGTAAAGATGTTCGTGAGAGAATGCGATCGTTACCAAAAGGCACACCTGAAGCGTGAAGCAGCAGGTAACCGTTAGCTCCTAATTCGACTCGTTGGAGAGATCATATGAAGGCCTTGATAGGTTGCTCACCATCCGATGAAACATTGGCAGAGGTTTTCCAATGACGTTGCTTCGGCGATCAACAGCTGTACTTGATCCTGTACCGGTAATACGACGGTCGTCTTGAAATCTCGACCTATCATGCTTGTACGTCAGCTTCAAGCAGTTTCCGAGGGGTTCGACCCGTCATGCTCACCAGTCAGCTTGTTTTTCACGCGCTCAATAACCGCCAACGCCTTGCTGTTCTTGACCTCGGGGTGTTCGCCATCTATAGGCATTTTGATACTCGTTAGCCTAGATGTCTCTGCAAAGTCTCGGTAATGGAAGCCTTACCTATGATCTGGGCTTCGTCTGCCTTGGTTTTGCGTTGTCCCGGATATCCTCGACCATCTTGAGCTGGTTCAGCTGAGAAAGCCAAACATGTCTAATTAACCTCTACCACTTTGATTTTCTCGATTCATAGTATTACTCACGTTCCCGCTCGGCGTCCTTTGTGGCGTTAGCGATCAAACGCCATGCGATCAGAGGATCGTAGACGAACGCTTCGAGCACTGCCATCAAAGAATCCTTGTTGTCCCGAAGAACATCCATCGTTACCTCACAGCTCTTCTTGTAGCTTCCGTGTATACCGCTAACTTCCATTGCGTTGACCAGCATTCGCGTCAGACGGAAGGGGATCTTTTCGGGGAATTTATCACGTTGCATGGCGACTTCAAAGCAATCCCCCTTTTCTCCAGTGAAGAGAGAGAAACCTAACCATCAGCAAACCTGTTATTCGTACAATGGAATCGAAGACGCGGGACTAACAAAATCAATATGAATGACCTTTCCGCTGATTTGGTCAAGCATCAAGTTGGAAGGATGTCGATCCCCAAGTCCTAGAATGTAGCCGACCATACTGTTCGTTGCCAGTGACCTCGTATACGTGGTTCTTCGCTCCAGCCATGACTCGGAATTCTTGCTCTTGAGCCACAATACGCGGTATAGATCTTGCCCGGTAGTGTTGTCGAGGGCGTGTTCAAACACTTCGACCTTGTGGACTAACGGCAAACAATCGTAGTCTGGCGCCATTTGAGTCATTAGTCTGTGCTCGATGTTCAAGAGGATCTTGCGGTTGTCTCTGTAATCCTTGATCAGCACGTGAAGGGTGTCACTATGCGGCACCCATCCGAGCAGCCCGGAGTTGGGGGAAAGAGGAATGACCGCGTATTGCTGGATATGCAAGTGCCTCTTGAAACTCTCCGGGTCGACAGACAAAAGCGTGTTGACCAATCCAAAGAGCTGCATAACCCTCTCGTCTTGCCTCAAGTCCTCGTGACCTAAAACCCAACTTTTGTGAGATATGGTTACCTTGTGTATGTCAAGAAGATGTCTGTTCTTACCCTTCAGCAGATATTGGTGTTCCTTGCCATCCGAGCCCTTCATGCTGAACCGCCGAGGTCGTTGCTTGGAGCCGATCACAGCGAATGTCGGCAGTACATAAGATATTGTAACGATCGGCTTCCCTGGTTGATACGTTCCTGTGCGAGACGGAACCTGGTTGAATTATGTATCGCCATGGAACGGGAACACGAGGGGGCCTACCTGGAATAGCGAGCTCGAGGTCGCGGACCTTGAGGAGCTTGGGCGAGACGTATTGTAGCTCGATCGAAGGCAAAGTCGCTAGTTGCTTCGATAAGCGTTTGAAGACCTATTCAGGCGGGTTTTAGAACGGATCGCTTCTCATTTCCGAAACGTCCAGCTCACCAAGTAGTAAATATCCCATGCCTGGTTCAATTCGGACACTTCTCCGGACATTCGGAACCGTCTACAGTGCTCGCGAGCCGCTTGCAGATCGTGTCCGAAACTCTGCACGAAAGAGGTTTCTCGCAAGGTTTCGGGCCCCTAATCGTCAGAAGGATTTGTTCCGTCAACTGTGTTTTGATGCCAATTCTAACTGTACGGCTTACTCTGGCGACCATCTCATGCAGCGGCTCCAGAACGCCAAACATCCCCTCTGGGTTATGGTCACCGAAGTAGTGTTTTGAAGCTTCTTCTAAACCCTCTTGCCATTGCTCGTGCCACAGGATAGCGGTACGTATAAGTTCCGTACTAACAAGAGTCGCCTGATCGACCAGAGTCGCGCTGTGGTCGCGCATCTTTGCCATGATTTGCAAGGCGTTGTCTCTCCGGTGGACGACTTGAGACTTTGAAGCTACAGTCAGCGGATAGATCAGAGCTTGAGGATGTGCTTTTCCGACACTGAGCAACAGCTCCTGGATTAGCCTTCGAACCTTTTCTCGCGGCGTGTGCAAACGGGCGATAATCTGTGGGCAAAAGGTGATTTAGTGGTCACGAAACAAGACTGATTTGGGACAGGTCTCACCTGTGGCAGCACGTTTAGCCATACGTTGATGTTGACGGTCTTGAAGCCTTCGGAAATAGCGTCATTGACGCCCTGCTCGTATCCGTACGTAAACCACAAGGTCAAGAGACGTAAGGTGTCTTGTAACCAGTCCCCACGGGAGAGCGCAATAGACCGGAAGAATGCTATCGATTCCCAACGACATTAGCAACTGAACGCGAGCACGACCCCACGAAGATACTCGCCTTGAACAGCAGGCTTGATGTATACGTTAAATGCGTCGGCCGCTAGAACGGTCTTTTGTACCTCGAGGTATGTAATAACCTCGAAGTTGGCCAGAGCCCAAGTGTGCCAACCCTTGTACCAATCGGGATCGAGCTGGGTGGCATACGCGTAGTTGTTCAAGATTTCCGTTGGATTGTTCTGATCATGTAACCAAGTCAGCGAAGCAGTCGAATCTGCAAGAACAGATTGATGCGTACCGCGAACCAGCCATCTTGCAGGGCGACTTGCCACTTGCCGAGCTTGACATGACATCTTGCTAGCAGCTCCGTGTATGCGGCGTTGCTGGGGTGCGCAGCCACCAAGCGCCCATTCACCTGAGTCAAGTTGACGTCTCGGACCAGGTTGGCGGTGAACTCTCTCAGCCAGCCTAGGCTCTCCACTCTATCGCCCTTAGCCCAAGTGAATTTGTAGTAGGCATACAGGATATTCGGAGGAGCCCTGCCGCCTTCCACGTCGGTTCCTAGCGAAGAAGATCCCAGTAGGGAATTGAGGGTTTTCGCAGCCAAATCGAGGCGGTCGGATTTCCGGCACAAATTGACAAACTTGATCCACATGTCGGTCGCTTCTACAGGAGACAAGACCAGTGTGCGGACCTGCAGAATGCGCTGCCATACTTCGACGTCTGGTTGACAGCCCTTGAGTCTATTGTTTTTGGGTCTATCAGGAACGGAGACTGATGCCACCGCACAACAATTGGACATACCGCTTCATCCACACCTTGCGCTGTATAGCTTGTCGAGAAGGCTGATCGTGCCACTGTTTGTATGCGATGATCTCCTCTAACTCTGACAACATCTGCACGCGGACCACCACACTGTTTGAACGGGACAACATGAGCTGGTGACAGGAAAATGGGTGTCCGTCTGGGGCTCACTCGTAAGCACGACCATAGCTCTCGCTAGACAACGATGTCAGCTCTCCGTCCAAGAGATCCCGGGTCCGAGTGATCTGGGTGAGGGCCTTGGAATACTGGTTCCGGTGCACCGACAAGATGGCGCGATAGAATGGCCGATCTGGCGTGTCAGTCTTCATGACGGATATGTAGTCATCCATCAAGTCCCACTGGTTTAGTGACCAAGCCGCTGCAGCCGCAATAGGTGCCATACGTCGCCGCTCCTCATATGGAGCGTTTGTCCACCTCGCTTGAACGAAATCAGACAGGTTCTCCCACTGGCCAAGGGCGTGGAGACATCGAAGTTTGCCTAGGATTACGTCAGGATCCGGGTCGTCGGAATCTTCACCGTCCCGTTGATTGTAAAGATCCAGAGCTTTGTCCCATCGACCCAATTTTTCGTACCAAGCCTCCTGATGCTGAGAAGAAAGCGTGGTCTCCTGGGCAAAGTTCAAGGTTCCCCAAGCTGCATCAGTCTGTTGCAACTTGGTGTTGACGCTGATCAGGTCCTCAATGATTGGCCCAGTTGTTTCGGCGAAGAATTCGATCTCCTTGTAATGCAACGCCTTGGCGTATGCATGATAGACCATGGCCTAGAAAAGACGGCGAATCCTCAGTCGCTTATCATTTATGTTGCTGTCAGTCAAGCTTACATAGTCGCCGAGCATCTTTGGGTCGATGGGCAATGGCTTTTCATCGTGTTCCATGAACTCCGCCAAGGTAAGCAGAGTGATTACCACCTCCGACGGCACGTTCGGCGACGAGATGGCCAGCTCAATGTGCTTTACCAGATCCTCCTGCAGAAAGAGAGAGAAAGAGAGGACTTAGGCGATTCCAGAGGCGGAATGATCCTCTCGTACTTACGCGATATTGCTCGTATAGCTCTGTCCAACAAGATATGAACGCCACATTGAACAGTTCCTGCCCGAAAGGAGAGTGGACCTCTGCCAGACCGTGACACGATCGCAAGGCATGAGATGGGGACTGCCGCATCAATTCCAGGCCAAGTCGCTTCAACCAAGCTTTCCAGTCATTGGCGGCGGCTATTCCATCCGTGTTCCAGACTCCCTTTAGGTGCTGTTGGTTGACGACCATCCGATTCTGTTCCTGTGCAACTGTGGCTATAGCAGCCGATTCCAAAGCGCTGCAAGAGCGAGACGATTTAGAAGGTTTCCCCATTGATGCGCAAAGCTGGCTTGTGCATCTGCTTACGGATCTGGCAATCCGATGTCTACCGGCAAGACTTCACGATTGAGCAACTTCTGTGTGAGGGAATCGTACAGCGGATGTGTGACTTTCTGCGACAACAAGACCTGAAAATTCGCAGAACTCATTACGAGTCAGCTAAGACAGGTCGAGCTTTTTGACCGAGCTGAACCTTACCTTGTTGATCATAGGGATGAAGATTGCATAATCCGGTCCCAATTGCAGTACGATTGCGCATAGCGTATCCATGGCGGTTACCTTGAGCTCGGGCTCGTCGCCTGCCAACACTCTAGCTAAAGGGTGAATGATCTGCGAGATGTTATCGCTGAAGTTGACCTTTCGACAGAGGTGACCGATGGTCTGGATGGAGGTCGAGCGCAATTCGTAGGGAGCGTCCGTCCGCTCGAAACATTTCACGATGACCGGCAGAATCAAGTGCATGTATTCTTCCACGCTTGCTCCGAAAACGTAGAACGCTTTGATCATTCTCAAGAGATTTTGTTTCCTGCGATCAGAGAGCTTGGCAGCAGAGATGTCGCCTTCGAACGTCCTCAAGATCTCTTGAAGGAGTCTTGGCAAGAACGCCTTGAATTGGCCTTCCACAGCAATGGCTATCGATTCCACCAGAGAAGTGATCGAGAACTGTAGGGTAGAGTCGGGATTCCAAAAGTCGTGAATCAAGTCAAACAGGACGCCGAGATAATTCCGGATGTGTGCTTTGACGATGCCAACCAGCAGCGCGAGTTGATGGAAATATGTTTCTTGCAAGCTGGGAGGAGCCAAGCGGACGACACCCAGGAAAGCCGGTATGATCTGGTGGCGCAAGCTTGTCAGGTCAAAGTTCAGGAGTGACGGCGAACGCAAGCCCACCTACTTGACCGAGGTAAGGGACACATTTCAAGCCTTGCGTGGTAAATATCAACATGACCGCCTCCGTAGCTGACCAATGATTATTCGTCAAAGTCGGATCTGCGAGCACATTGACAAGTGCGTTGATAGTGACGGTTTGATAAAACTCGTCGGGCGCGGTGCCAGGCGCATTCATGAGCAGTTGCACGTCCGTGACACGAGCTCCCGACGCATCAGCATCTTGCTCATCCGTCTCGTCATGAAGAAGCTGGCAGACTAGCGTCAGTAACCGCATGAAACTTGACTTCGCCATACCAAACTCACTTTGTGACGGTAAGGGTCTAGAGCCCCGAGCATTCCCATGGTTCGAATCGTCTCCCTTCGTATGTTCTGGCTCTTCTCGGTCTTGAGGAAGCGCATGAGCATGGCTAGGAGATGCGGGTACTTCTGATAAGGTTCGATAACTGCTCCCGTATTGGAGGCGACCTGTCCGAGAGTTTTCAAAGCGGCATCCCGCTTCAGCGATGACGTTTGATCGGCCAGCATTTCCATGATCAATGCCATGATCTTGTCAACGCTCGGGGAGATCTCTTCCCCTCCGACTCGAGCGAGCTCTCCCAAACACGCCAGACAGTATGATGCCACTGCTGGATTTGTATCCTTGGCACTCGCGGTTCGCAACAGCACCGAAAGCAGCGGTCCGGCATAAGGCTTGACCAAGGTTGATGAGGCCCCAGATGACGCCTCGATCAGCAAACAAAGGAGTTTGGCACTCTCTTCTTTTTGCTTGCTATATTAAGAGCCTATGAATACGAGCGAGAAATGACATTCATAAGCATGCGCTAAAACTTACCTTGCTGTTGAATATTCCAACTCGGTGATCAGCTGGATCAACGCTTTCCGCAGCGATGGCATCACATAGGCTGGGTTGTGGGCCGCAAGCCTGCCGATGATTCCGATGGCGAGTTCTCGGTTCTGAAATACTTCATCGTTGAGAGCGATGAAGAGGGAGCGGACATTTTCTGCCTGAGCCAAATGGCGATCGAACTTCTCGTCCAACGAGCGCAGAACCGAGGTACGAATCCGGAAGTCTGAAGGTCGTAAAGGCCGTCATCAGCTCGGCAGCCTCCTTCATATGATTCAACAAGCTCACCTGGATCTGCGATCGCCACCGTCAATAGCTTGTCGAGCACATCGCTGATGATCTCGATCGAGTGGGTGCTGGTCTGATGGCAAATCGGGTCGCGCACAAAGAGCTTCGAGCATGTCATAGCTGCGGCCTGTCGCACATCGGGACTGTCGTTCTCCAGATACGGAAGTGCGGCGTGCTGGACGAATTCGTTGAGAGTGTGACCTAGCGACAGAGACATGAATTGAGACGGGATCTTGGGATCATTGCATTTCACGATGACATACCGCTGAAATCGAAAGTATGCAGGGTATATAATGCCAGAGAGATGATTTGCGGACTGTGTTCCAAGGTGTTCACCTGGAATACAAAGCTAGGGTCAGAAACTACGAAATCCAATACGATGCATGGTCCGCCTCACATCTGTCGTATTGGTAGCTGTTACTGATGTTCGTGGTGGTGGAGCGCCCAGGGGTCTATACGGCTTGCCGGTCAGAGTATTTGACAACATGTCCAGTAGACGGTCTGTGTAAGAGAGCGCGATGTGAGAGGTGTACATCAGATTGGCTGCATTACCCGGACTGACCTTGATTGCTACGCAATAATGGCGGAATATGGCGTGCGATCACAACCAGTGCCTGTCTCAGTGGTTCCGTGAGGCCCCATTGGAACATGAGGTCCAGTACCTCGTGCATATGTCTCGTGAGATTTGGCCCGAGAGCCGTTGCTAACATCGCGACGCATTGGAAGATCGGTTTCTCGTCTGGCGAGTTTTTCTTGCTGCAAGTTCGCCCTGAGCGTGATCAGTACAGGAAGTCACTGGTGTAAGGGTTGTAACACTTACCCTCGTTGGCGCAAGGCGTCTTTCACGTTCTTCATGATCTCCTCGATAAAGGGCTTCATCTCACTGCCAAGATTCACAGCCAAATGACCGATTGCCAGGAAAGCTATAAACCATGACGATATCAGTTAGGACTAGCTCTCGAAAGCGACCGCGCTGACTCTACATACCTGCATCTCTTTCACCGGGCTTCGACAGCTGCCCTTGAAGATGTGCCATGCTTCGGTGCAGGAAGACCTCCTCGAACCCTTGCTGATCGTACGTTCCCATAGCGGGTATCAACGTGATGACGGTTCGTCGAATGAGCGGTTCTCGGTGATCCTTATACTTCAAGATCAGTTCACATGATTGCTTGTAGTACTCTTTCATAAACTGCGGGAGCGAACTGTGTGATCAGCATACGCCGTCGGTCTCGAGAATAGGTTGCGCACCATTTCCGAATGATTCAGCAGGCTCTGGAGCGCAAGGAGACCACCATGGATGACATCTTGGCTTGGAGCTGGCTTGTTTAGAGTACGCTCCGCTTCGTCTAGAATCTTCTTGTATTGCTGCGCCTTGAATTGCGATTCTCGAGAATGGATGAGCTCGAAGCAAGAACCCAACAGCATTGAAGTTCGTTCTCGGACCACGGTCTGATAGCATACCAGATCAGTCATTGTCTCGGACGGCAGTGTCACCAAGCTCACTCGGTGATCCTTCAGCGGGGTCCAGATCATGTCCAGCACCGATACGACACATCGCATGAAAACGGCCGGTGCGTTGCTCGAAAGCTGGTAGAGGATTAAAACAGCTGCGTATCGTCCGATCTCTTGGCCCCCTCCTCGCATCATCTCGAGCGCGCGATCCACCTCAAAATCGAAGAAGCCCTCTCCTTGCGTTATCTTGGCGATGCGACCTACAGCATGAAAAGACGAATAAGAATATGTCTTTGGAAAAGAAATAGCGGAGGTCCTGGGCTCACCAAGAACTTTCGAAGCTTGCACCATGACTTCGGCGTCAGCGCAAGGCAACAAAGGTTTGAGGTCTGCTCAAGATGACCGGGATATCGTTCAGTAAGAAAATCGTTATGAAGATCGCTGCATCGCTCACAATGGTAAAACCGGAGCACCCTCTGCATGTGCTTCTCTGGGGCCACATCCTTCTTGGTCTCCAGGAGCCTATCGATTGCTGTGATACCTCCTCGGATCTCGAAACTCTGATTGCTGTGTATCAGCGAGAAGACCCGCCGGTTGAGATCGTTCCAGAGGGCATTCAGTGCGTCGTCCTGGGGATGGTCTTCGCTGTAGGAAGCCACCTGAAGCATGTCCTCGATCGATTTGCTTAGCCGGAATCCGCGTCGAAAGATTATACAAGCTAATCGCTCACGAAGTCCCGGATCTCTACTGCCGCTTGCTCTCTCACATCGCCGTTCCTGTTTGAAGAATTGAGGAAGGTTGAGCCGACTCGACCTACAGATTGACGTGGTGGAAGCGAGCTCACCTGCTCTTGAGCGAACCGAACAGGAGCGGCAGCGCATCCGCCGGCGAGTCCGACATGGCGTCCGAATATTATAGGTGTAGACTGTCCGTACAAGATACCACAGAGCCGGTCGCCAGGATGATCGAAAAGAGAGACAACGGGACTCAGGGCACAGAGTCTAGAGATGGGCGATGACGACCGCTCGAATGTAGCTCGATTCGCGTCCCGGTTGCCCTGTTGCTCTAGGTCGGCTATCCAGAATCTGGTGGAGAATTCGAGAAGCTATCAAAGAGCATAGAGCTGGGTATATCAAGATGCTCGAACGCTTGTGGATGGAGTCAAAGTCGGCTCTCGGCATCACGTTGGATTGAACAGTTGGTCGGTCGTAGAATAACACCTAGGCGAGCGTCTGGTCGGGGGGCTCGGGTTCATCGCGCTAAGCCGGCCGATGCGATAAGTCCAGGAGTGCGATTAGTCGAGATCAGGACCTATACTCTCCATGCCTCCGACGAAGCCCTTGAGAGATACCTTTCTTTCAAACAACCAACTCGTTTTCTTCGCTGCATCGATGGACAGCCTCTCCGAAGCTGAACGAAGACGAGCACAAAACCGGGAGAACCTCCGTGCGCATTACGGCTTGGCCCGAGCCAACACACCCCTCTCTCCACTCTCGGACTCGACACCGCGATTGGAATTGCCTCAAGAGGGAAAGTCAGACGAGGGGAAGGTCTCCAGGACAGATACGGATGCTTTGGATTTAGGTAGGGCGGTATCAACTCCACTGATCGGTCCAGGACGGTAGCTAAGACCCAATCGCCGTCTAGATTCTCCCAACTTCTCTCCACAGCAATACTATGCCAAACTCGTCACGACTGCTTCACTATCTCAACTCATACGACAGTCGACTGAGCTGATCAATGGCGAGTGTTTGGCCAGGTTTCATGTCGTGCAGAGCTACAGGCTGATGACCTGGTCTACACTAGATGCCAAGAACCTGAACTCGTCAAGACATAGTCTAGTCTACAATCATCATCACCAGGTGATCATCCATCGGACCCGAACATTGTGGCCAGGGCTGACGTCTCTTGCCGTATAGCTCTTCTCTGCTGGGGACACGATTTCACAGCTCAACGCCAAGACTCCGCAGCTACAAGCAATCGTCAACTCGCTCCAAGAGTCTTTCAACGAGATCTCCACCTTGGTAGAGATTGTAGAATTCCCGAAGGAGACCGAAGGGAAAGCATTCGATGGCAGCAAGTCTTGAGAAAGGCTGTCTGTCGACTGTGCTCCGCCTTGTATAACGCCTCTTTAACGACCCCCTCACGAAGATGATCCAGCTTTGATATACCTGTTGCTATCTGCTCGAACCTGGACTTCACAATCTGCTGTCGAAATGTTTCGCAAGCAAAAAGCCAGGCTACAGCATCTGGGATCAAGGTGTCGATTTCGTGCGGAAAGCTTGTCAGTGGTTCCCGACATCGCCCCGGAGTATTCGGAATCATGTCGTCAGATCCCGTGGCCGGGCGTAGCCTGCTCTATATCCCGGTCACGCCGTTATGACAAGTTCAGACAACCTCCTGCATCTGCGTTGAGCCAACAAGGCCTTGCCGGATGTCGTTTTACTAGACAGTTTGGATCGAGAAACATCGGCGTCGGAGTGCTTCACATCGTAACACGCTTTGAGTCGTTCGTGCTAAGCATGATAGGCAACAAAGTGGCAGATTCGGTTCGTACAAATAGAGCATCTTGCTTGACTTAGAATTGTTTCATTTCGACGTTACACTTGGTGTCATTTTTAGTTTTGATACATCGTCATATTGTCTGCACTTGATCAATCGACCGACTGTGGTCGATCTACTTGTCGTCCACTTGCGCACTTCGGTCCTTCCACGCTTCACCCAGACCGAGTTGCCTACAAGCCGTAAAGCGGGGTTAATGTTTACATCTAGAGAAAAGCCAATCGATGTTCACAACCGACTTACCCGGCCTTTGCATCTGGTGGAGGGTTCTTGGCAGGGATGGACCCCTCCTTGGCCTGCTTAGCCAAGACGGGATGAGCCGGACCCTGTCCGGTGGAAGAGCGAGGCAATTCCGAAGCAGGAGCCATATCAGGGTTAGGTGGGGGAGGCCTCTCGTGCAATTTGACAGAAGGGTAAGCCTGACCTGGAGCGGGCTATCAAATGGTCATCATGATTTAGTCAGTAGCGGCGATGTTGAGCACCTCAACGAAGTCCTTACGTAACCATCCTGAACGGGCTCGGGGACGGTAGAGTCTGCGTATCCGCCGGGAGGGTTGGCAGCCATCTGTCGAGCCGAGGTGGAGAACCTGGCCTTTTGCTGCGACTCGTTGTCAGAGTGCTGGTCAGTCGAGGCGCGGGCGGCAGACGATTTCGAAGGAAGGTGGGGAGTCGCGCCGGCCTGATTTAAAAGGGGAACATGACGGAAACATCAGGTCAGCAGAAAGTCGATCAGGGGACAGGTGAAGCATCATTTTAACGCACGTTTCCCTTTCCACCGTCAACCTGCTCGGGACTCTTGTGCTTCAAGTGAGAGTTCTGGTCGCCCACAACGCCTCCATCCACAGGAGTCCTCGCACCCTGCCCATCCTTTAGGGCAGCATCGGTAGCATCTCCCTTGTCGGCGAGGCGACGAGCAGAAGTGTGCAAGCTTCGGTACGAGGTGCCTCCGGCCGTCTTGTTGTCCTCGTGCTCCTTCTTGCTGGTTCCAAGACCGAGTGCGTTCTTCGCACTGGCAAGGAAAGAAGGAGCGGCAGCCTCTTCCTTGCCTCCGACCGCCCCGCTAGACTTGACATCCGAGTTCTGAGTACCGCCTCGGTGGTCCTTGAAGCTCCCAACCTGAGCCTCTTGAGTGGAAGAACTAGCGTCCTTGATGGCCTCGTCCTTGGCTTCGGAAAAGGCAGCCTGGCCTCCCTTGTCCTCGGCAGCCGTGTCGAAAGGCTCACGGTTGGGCTTGCCGTGATCGGCTTGATGCATAGCGGACTGAACACCAGCGGATTGGTTGTCGAGACCTCCTTCCATCGTTCCTGTCTTGTGAACGGCATGCCTCTCAGAATTGGGCTTCTTGGGGTCTTGCACCAGGGCGTAACGGGTGGAGCTGAACGCCCGGAGAGGGACGACGGCTCGTCGCGAGGTGACGGTGCGGAGTGATTGGGCGAACATGGTAGATTGCGATTGTTAGCAGAGGAATGATTTGTGATTCGGAATGGAGAGAGTGTGAGGGCAATTTCGATTGTGAGTGTGGTTGTATGTATTGGTTGTTATATAAACCAGCCCGATCCTCCTCCCCCTGCCCGGCTACTCTCGATCACCTCGATGCTCGATGATGATGAATTTGATGATGTCATCATGCAGATGCATTGATGCCTGCACCGCGGAATCGACCCCCGGTCCATCCGTATCATCTGACCATCCGTATCGTATATATGTGTGGAGAAACAACTACACAACAACTCTCAGTCTACATATCATGCTACACTGATTCTGCCGCCTTGTCGGCCACTTTGTCGACGACAGCCTTATCGCCCTCTGCCACTACTGGAGTCGCTTGCGTCTCGCCCTCCGGTGCATCCTTGGCGTTCGCCTTGGGGACGTGCTGAAGCAATTTGCCTTGCAGTTCCAGGGCCATCTTGGACGATGCGGTCTATTCCAGAGCAGAGAGTTGCACTCAGTTGAGATACTTCCGGTCTGTTTTAGCACGGTATGCGACGAAACTCACTCGGATGAGAAGGGATCGCGATTGACCGTCTTCGAACACGACCGTCCTGACATACTTGTCCGTTACCTCGATCGACATTCCGGGAAACATTGCCACGTTCAAGATCAACCGTAATACTCCCTCGGCTCGCATCACTAGAGCAGATTGTTCGAGTCAGTACGATGACAGTCCTCTCGAGATGCTGGGACCGTGCGTCTGCACTCACCAAGTCTCGGCGCGCTCGTCTTGTTCTTCTTGTCCACATTGACCCGGAGAGAGCCCGTCCCCCGCTCCCTCCACGCATTCGATTCATCCATGACGTGAAGTTTACAGCGAACCTGATAGACGGTATCCTCGTCCTCTTCCCCGGTATGCGCTGCAAGACAGATAGGTTATCAGTCATGCCCTGCAGAGCGACTAGAGCAAAAAGCGGGTTGGATCTCGACGCACCTTCTTGCTCTGCCAGATCCACCTTGGTCCTTTCCTCTGCTGGTCCGCTATCCTTCTTGGACAAAATGTCCCCAAATGAAGCTTGAGGCTTGTCCGCCTCGACAGTCTCCGAAACGCCTTCATCCTCGTCCTTGCTGTCAGGCTTGCCGGCGGTCGCTACAGGAGCCTTTTTGGGAGTAGCAAACGGACTGGATACGGTGCCGCCAGATGACCATCCGCCAAAGGCAGAAGAGGAAGTCACCGTGCTCTTGAAAGAGGACAAGGCGTTGCCCGTCGAGGCGTTCGAAGACGATGCCACGGGTTGAGAAGCGAATGCTGAAGAACTCTTCACGGCGCTGAAAGGCGAGGCGGTCGAGGAAAAGGCTCCAAATGTCGCCTGAGGCTTCTTGGCCGGTTTAGGAGTCGAGGGGGACTCCGGCTTTGACGGGGTGGAAGAAAGGTTGTTGGCCTCCCGGACTTTGGCACTGATATCAGATGATAGCGAAGATCCGATGGAGCCTCCGGACAGAGCCGACGTCGTGGGCTTGGCAGACGCAAAGGGAGACGCCGCAGAGGAAAACGAACCGAAAGTGGCCTGAGGCTTCTTTACTGGCGTGGAGACGGTAGGTGGTGAGACAGTAGGCTCGACCACAGGCTCTTTGACGGCGTCGGGGGTGGACCCTTCCATATCCACCGTTGAAGCGGTATGAGGTGGGTCCTTCCAAGACGAAACGTATAATTAGCATGGCTGCACCCTAAATACACGACTATCGACGTGCGACCAACCTCAAGATCGTCCTCCTTGATCCTCTTTGCAGATTCTCCCTGCACAACATTGGCGCTCTCGGCTCGGGCGAGCATCTTTCTCTTCTGACCCGTCTCGACTTCTCGCTCGTGCATGCTGCCCTCCATGTCTACACTCGCAGCGTCGTCCTTGTGTTCCTCCTCGTCCACCGTCAACAGCTTTGACGATACTCCACCTCGAGTCTTCTCCTCGTGGCTGAGCTTTTCGACCTTCTTTCGGGTCTCGTCGACAGAAGCGTTGTTTTCGGTTGAATCATCGTTTATCGGTGACGCCGATTCGGTTGATGACGGCCTGGGCGGTGGATCGATACGGTTCTTTTTCGTGGCGATAGCTGGTAGGCTCGAGGAAGCCGTCGCCTATAGTCAATTTCCGACAAAGGTATACGTGAGCAAGCTAGCCGATAACCCGGAGCCGGGCTTCTACCTACTCCGCCAGCTGCAGAGGGTTCCGTTGATCCTTCTCTATGCCGCTTCCTGGTAGCTCTCGCGACTAGGCAAAGTGTAGCAGGCTCAGTCAGACTGGACCAATCCGTTACTTCTTTTGGGAGACTCACCACCTGTCGCTTCCTCGACATCCTTTGCATCGATGCTTCCGGCCCTGCTCATGGCCTCTTCATCGCTACCTTCTCTTCTCGATGGGTTCCGCGAGCTGGATCTGGCTCTCGTAGTAGGCATTTTCTTACAGCCAGATCAGTCACGGGAGTCTGGTAGTTGAAAAGAGGGGTCTGTCCTGTCGCAAAAGAGGGGTAAAATCGAGATGGAGGCCGATGGCAGCTGCTCTCTCCAACTCGATCACCGGATAACGCAGTCCCAGGGAGCGGGCTCGTCGCACAATCATATAGAGGCAAGAGGTGAGACTACGCGCGAAGCGTAAACCCAAAGGCACGAGGGGTCTACAGTGTGGTAGGTATGGGGGATCGTAATTCATGCACAGTGGGATACATCAGGGTCGTACATGCAAGCCTTGAAGATCATCGAGACGCTCCTAGCATAGATTTCTTTCGGAACGCTGCTTGCAACTCTAGCTGTCGTAAACGAGCGTCCTCCCTCTCCTGCTCCGCGTTGCTCCTCGCGATCCGTCGTGACGGGGGCGCTTTGGTGTAAGAGTGGCCCTGACGTCGATCAAGCGGTCATTGTCAAGATGCATCCCCCCAGTAAGGTCATAAATATCCAGTGTACTCACGATGACATTGGGCCTTCGGCTACCCTTTCTCTCCTCGACGACCTCGCGCTGTGCTTCCAGAGCGTATTGCATCAAGTCTTCCTTTTCTCTCAACTGTTTAGCACTGATCGTAATCACGCCGCTACCCTCTCCAGGCCCATAGCTTTCTTCCTCGGCATGCCCTGTTGCAGCCATACGTCCGGTGGCGGATCCACTAGCGATACCAGCCGCACGCAAGATGGGTTTGGACCACTTGTCGATCAGCTGGTTGGCCTGCCGGGTGATCTCTGGTTGGACGCGCTTAGTTCTGGTGTAGAAGTTGACAATCTTGCCGAGCCCCGAGGCTTTCAGCATGTCCTTGTCAATTACATCGAACTGATGAATACAACGTGATCAGAGCCAAATTCCCCTCTCAATCCGGTCCCTGTACAAACGTTCACTCACCTTGTTGAGCTGGCTCAAAATGGACCTCTGGATCGTCAAGGAAGGCAAAGACCCATCCTTCAGGGGCTCGATGAAACCAGTCAACTCTGACAAGAATTCGCTGTTTTCCAGCAACGAGTCTTGCAAAGACGCGCTGTTCGCAAGGTGGATGTTGAGCCGGAGATTTCCAACCATTCAGTAGTACCATGCGTCTCACTTTTGCATAACTTGCATGACCTTGGGTAGTAGCAGAGTCTTCTTGATCGCAGGCTTCTTCTCGTTGTTCAGATTGATGTCTTCGCGGATCGCACTCGTCATCAGCGCCGTGATATCCTCGATCTGCTTGTCCTGCATCAAATCGTCGCCCTGAAAGTTTGCATGGAAGGCACATGTCAGTTCTGGAACGGGCTTTCACGAAGACAGGATGTAGGCTCCATCTACTAACATCGTCTCCTCGCTTCTTGGGTCTACGCTTGGCACCTGTCTTGCCGATTGCATCGAGTTTGGCATCGAGTGCCCTTCTGCGCAGAGTCTGCTCATCGACCTCTTGCTCGCGATCTCCCTCCCCGTCTCCCGAATCGGCCCGTCTCCTTCGTGACTCGGCTTCAGAATCCTTCTTTACCCTCTTCTTTCGCTCACCTTTGGGCTTGCGTTTGGGAGCTTTGGCAACGTCGTCGCCCTTTGAGCGATATTTGTCCTCCTCTTCCTCGTCATCTTCTTCGGCCACGGCATTGTAGCTACGCTTCTTTCCCAGCTGCTTATAATCGGGTTGATAATCACCACCCGTGTACTCTTCGTCGTCGTCCTCCGAATCACTGCTGTCTCGAGCGACAGCAGGACTGAGCGATCGTCGTACCGGCTGCTTGGCAACTGGACAAGCAAATCGGGCCGCTTAGTAAAGCCAGCAATCACCTCTCGCGAGGTCAAGCTACAGACTACTGACCTGGTCTCTTTTCGTCCTCTTCGTCAGACGATAGGTCCGAATCATCGTCATCTCCCCCGAAAACATCAGCGACGGTAAAAGTCGGCTTGCTTGCGGCGGCTGCCGATGTCGATGCTTCAGCCTCGGCTTCTTGCGGCTGGACCACGTCGGTCACCACGTCCATCGAATCGTGCTTCTCTTCGTCGCTCATGATTCGGTTGTATAGCTACGGGAGTGCCAGGAGAGCCTGGGCGATCAACCTGGGATAGGGAGTGGATGACCGTTCGGATCAAGCGTCGCAAGTCCATTCAACCCCTGAAGCCATGCCCGAACCCTCGCTCGTTGAGCGCGTCGCGTCACATGAAAGAGCCCGTGAGAAATGAGACAGATTGTGGAGGAGGACGTCTCATCCGCTACAACTAATGGATTACAACCGGAACATCAGGGAAAGGGACGATGATACAGGGCGTTGCTGATTGCTACGGAGGCACGAAAACAAAACAATCGAAGCCGAGGTCTACATGAAAAAGGTCGTCCTCGAGACTTCCATCTTGGGCTACAAGCAGAACAAACCACCGATATCAGCTATCTACGGGACCTTGCTGTTCTTCTCGTATCAATGCGGCCTAAGCTTACCTTCCACTTCCACTCGTACTCCTGTTCCTCGTCGAGTGCGGGAATCTTGACCCCATTGACCATATCCTTTCGCTTCTTGCCCTTGATTTCCTCCTCGTTCGCGTTGGCCTCGTCATCATCGTCATCCTCATTTTCGCCGGCCACGGTTGGCTTGTCAGTCCTCTCCATGTCCACATCGGCATCCTCGACGTCCTCGTCCGCGTCTTCCTCGTCCTCCGACTCGGCCTTGTCTCCGCTCCTAGGTGCCACGCCGTCGGCAGCCAGGACGCTGGGTAGGCCCTTTCTCAACCACCTGAGCTTCAAGGTGAATCGAGGTCCAATCTCCTGCAACCTAGCCTTTTCCGTTGACGCAAACATGTATCTGATCGAGATTCAAATGCGCAGAAAATCTGAGCAAGCCATTTCCAGGCGATTGCAAGCTCTAGTTGGAGGTCAGCTCACCGATGTCGACGGAAGAACAAGAAATCACGCTGATTATGCAGCGTGACAACCTGTCGACCTCTAAACTGAGGCATGGGCGGGAAGAGGGACCCGAACAATCTTCCCACGTTCATACCCAGCAACGTGGAAAAGTTGTTCAAGATGAGTTCGGGAGAGTGAGGAGAAGGACGAGCGTGCCCGCTGATCTGTTGACCGAGGACGACGCTAGTCAACTTGAAATAGGCGGTTGGCCCTGCCGGGAGGTTGATGACGGTGATAGCGTCTGGGATAATGTCCAAAAATCAGGATTGAGGTCCTTTGAGAAAAAAACAGAGATTATGCTCTGCGATGACTCACTCGGTGTCTTGTGGTCCTCGTTGACGATGACCATCGCCTTGAACTCCCTCTTTGCGGCCCACCTGGCGATCCTGCCAACCTCGAACCCTCTCCCCTTTAATCGCTTGTACACTTCGCCGCCGGGCAAGACGGAGCGCAGCTCTCCCATGAACGCGTGGGTCGCCTGAGTGGCATGAGGTGATGTAGTCAAGAGGATCCGGGGAGGTTCGTCAGAAAACGGTCCGGTGGGGAAGGGGGACGGTTTCGTCGACGTCTCGTCCTCGCCATCCTGCTCGCCCTCTTCGGCATCGGCCTCGCCCTCGTTGTCCTCCATGTCCTCATCCTCGTCAGTCTGACGCTTCTTCATTCTCGCCGCCGAGGAAGGCCCGGGACCCGCTCCATTCTCATCATCGTCCTCCTCGCTCCCACTACCCTCGCTCTTTACCGGCACCTCGACCTTTTTCTTCTTGCCCATTAACCTCGACCTCGCCGCCAATGACGCCGCGCTAGTAGGATCTGCCGTCAGGTATGACCCGGCGTCGAACTGACGAGCATTGTCTAGCGTCCTAGGTACATTCTTGGCCAGACGGGCTTCTCGAGCCTTGTCACCCTCTGGGTCTTCGCGCTCGGTTTTTCTGGTCTGTGGTCAGGTCGGCGAGATGGACAGGGCGAGGTCGTCGTAATTTCAGACCCGGAGTGGGTTGGCAGGTGGCAAGAAGCACGATGAGGGCAATGCGGGTCATGTGATAAAGAGGGCATGCAAGGAAAAACAATTTTATAGTAAATAATCTACACATGACAACGGGGAGACCGAGACCGGAAAAAGATGGTAACTAAAAGTATCGAGGTGGGGTACGGGGAAGAGGGTATATATAGAGGAGAAAGTCGAGGAGTTCATCTAGATACATGACGAGGAAACAAGGAGGAGAGAAAAAGGGAATCCTGGAAGACTCACCTCCATCCTCCGTTTCAGCTTCGCCTGAGCCTTTGCCCGCTTCTCCTTCCTGTGCACCTCGGACCGCTTCATAGCGTTCAAGATCCGCTTGTCGGGAGGCATCTTGGGCGATTTTTTCGCGCCTTTGATTCGAATTACTAGGGGTGTCGCCTTTCAAACCAGAGAAGATGAGAGTAAGCGACATGATCGAGAGTATCCGGATCAAAGGTGAACAAGAACTGGTACGTGGGTAGAATTTCAGAAAATGCGCGAGTGTTTTACGCCTCGGATCCGTCTACCTAGATCACTCCACGGTCCATGGACATCTCCTCAAAGGAAGAGCCCTCGGGACCATGGAGAGATCCGTACGGTAAATTTTGTAAGGATCCTCATACTGACGTGCAAATTGTCTTGGCAAGGGTTCATCACGAGAGTGAAGAGGGAGGATTTGTGGCAATTTGTCGAGAGTAGAAACGAGAATTAGCAACTCACAGTCTGACCACGGATTATTGAAACGAACAATCTGCGTTGTCTGTCCAGAAGAAACGATCAAGATGCAAGATGCAAATGATGTCGAGGTTCCGAATGTTCCTTTCAAGAGGTGTGTGTGGTGGTCCTGCCGAATTTTGGCTCGTCACGTGAGTGAGAATCGAAAGCGGACATCAAGACAAATATATATTTCTCGGTCATCTCGTGATCCAATGTCCGCCTCTTGTTTTGCTAAACTCGGCACTCGGCTCGGTCAAGTCCGAAGATAAAGTAACCGAACCAAGGCAACTCTCCGTCTCTCTCTCTCTCTGCATGCACACTTTTCAATCGAGCTCCCCCATGTTACGAGCACCGGGTCGCAACATGTCACGACTCGCGGTCCTACATCGTCTCGGCACCTGGTTTCGGACCAAGCATAGAGCTCTGAAATCAAGCGCTATTGAGCAGCCTTCAATTGACCCAACTGTCCCGGCGGACCAAGCCAGGAAGTCGCGGCTTGACATTCCGCCTACCGTCGATACCCCCATGACTCGCTCGATCATGCACAAGCGGGATGACCCTGAAACCGCTTCCACCAGCCCGACCCTCATCAACTCTCTACCTCTGATCAAGGCTGTTTCTCATGGAGTCGAGGAAGCTGTGGACAAAGAAAAGGCTATGCAAGAGATCGAGGCCGAGCGGGGTGAATATCCAGGCGACGAAGGGGATGGGGGGGAGAAGGAGCCGGACGTATACGATAGGTTTCCAAAGAGTAAGAAGAGGATAATCTTGTTCATCGTTTCCTACGCTGCATTCCTCGGTCGTGAGTCTTCATACTTTCTCTCAGATACATTCCGATCGTACAGCGAACAGGCTCAGTCAACAATCACTATGCCTGCCAGCCGTAACCTCATCATGCTTCATGCCTTCCATACCTCAAATCGCCTCCGATCTCTCCACGTCCGAGGTCGTGATAGGTTACACCGTCGCCATCTTCATCTTCACCATCGGTGCCGCTCCATTGGTCTGGTCCACCCTGAGCGGGTTTTACGGCCGAAGGGTGATTTACCTTTGGAGCATCCCTATCTACGTTGCGAGTAGCATCGGGGTGGCGAGGTGTAACTCGGTAGGGGCTTTGATCGGGACAAGAGTGTTGCAAGCGATAGGTCGGTCGATATCACCGTACAGAGTCTTGCTTGGGATAGACTGACGAGATACCTCACGACTAATACAGGCTCCTCCGCGGTCCTAGCAGTAGGGTCGGGCAGTATCGGGGACATCTACCGCCCCATCGAGAGAGCGAGAGCCATGTCCGGTTTCTACGCTGGAGTCGTGTTATGAGTGTCTTCGGCTCCCGCTCTATGGTCTCTCGGATAGGCGCATCGGGGGCTTATTTAGATCCATGATTCTTGTCCTGAAACACAGGCCCGGCTCTTTCGCCGATCATCGCCGGACTGTTCCAAGAGTATACAGCTGTAAGCCATATCATAACATCCATCAGATCAACACCATCATCACTGACCATCAAACTATCTTGCGCTCAGCAAACATGGCGTTCCATGCAGTACTGCCTGACTGGCTTCGGAGCCCTCGCACTCGTTCTCATCTATTTTTTCCTTCCCGAGACTTGGCATGGCGAGACCCCGCATGCCAAGGCTTGCAGAGAAAAGGGGAAGAAGTTTATCATACATCGCTTCAATCCATTGAGCAGTGTCGCGCTACTGAGATGGCCGAATGTGGCTTGTATTGTGAGTTTTCCTCACTGTGCTAGAGCCTAGATATCGGGATGACCGCGCTCATAAGTGGGGATGAAATACAGTCTTTCAACTCGTCGGCGGTCATGATCTGTACATACGCGGTGATGGTACCTCTGAGTAAGGACAATGTCGCTTGTGCGAGCGCAAGAGCCATGTCGGAGACGCTGATCGGTCTTGCATGACACACTCCTGTACAGGTACAATCTTTGTAGGTCAAGGGCTGGTCTTACCGCCTTGCTTATTGACCCGCTGAAGCTCTTGTTATTTTGCACAGAAACGAAGGTATCGACTCGACAACGCCGCCATCCTAGGTGCACTCTATTTAGCACCCGGTATGGGCAACCTCGTCGGATCCCGAATCGCGGGAATCCACGCCGACCACACGGTCAGGAAATGGCTGGACAAGCGGGGGTTCCGTCGACCGGAAGATCGCCTGTATGCGACGCTTCTGGGCGCGCTGTTTGTCATGCCCGCTAGTTTACTCATCGCTGGATGGTTGATCCAAACGGGGCAAGTCGTCGTCCGTTCACAGGAACCGATCGAGTTTGCCATGACTGACACGTCGAGTCTTGCACAGTGCTGGGGGTATGGGACCCCCTTTGGTTTTCTTGTTCTTCAATGGAGTCGGTTTAATGCAGGTTTTGACACCATCGAACGTCTACCTCGTCGATGCTAGCCAGACGAGGAGCGCGGAAGCCGTACGTGTAAGAAGGCGTGTAGGCAACGCTATAGAGGCTGACTTGAGCGGCTCCGCAGATTGCGATCAATAATTTCGTAAGGTATACGTTTGCAGCGGGGGCATCAGCAGGAGCGTTGCCCTGCATCAACGCGATCGGTACCGGATGGACGAATACGATAGCCGCTATAATAGGATACATAGGAGCCGGACTCATCTTGCTGACCCTGCGCTATGGGGACAATTGGCGCCAGTCCGCGAACGAGAGGTACGGGATAACATACAAGGAGGCTGATGAGTGTCAAAAGGCATCGGAAGAGAACAAATAAGGCGCTGTACGATTCTCGGTTGGAAAGGGGGTGTAATAACATGGACTGTATCCATAAATTCGACTCCTAGTGTTTGAAATCCCCTAGTGATTGCGACTGTGGCTCGACGAGATTGCCAGTGGCGCTTTCGAGTTTTGATCACGCAGGCGGGAGAAGAGGTCGTCGACCAGCTTGGAACGGCTGGACATGACCAGGTCAGAGTCGGATTTACCGTGCGTGCGTGCCGTATGGAAACCGAACTTACGTGGGCGTTTCGTCAGAAGAGATGGGTGTCATCCAGTAATGTCGTCGGGTTTCCTTGGGACCCGACAAGGTGGCATAGTCCAGGTGATGAACTTTGAACCCTTGCGCACGAAGCTGGTCGATGAGGACGGTTTCGTCGACTGGGTACAGCATCGACATCTCATCTGACGCCTTGTTATGAGCAGTTCTCGGCGCAGTGCTGGTCGACTCGATTTGGGGGAGCTCCGCAGGAAGTTGTTTCATCTGTATCGCGCCGGACGTAGTCGTGGCGTACCGGACGGCTCGTTTGTCTCGATAGGGCGTCATTTCCAACGAACTCTGCCCAAAGTCGTTGTAGGGAGCGAGCGAGGGATTCTGGGGTAAGGCTGGCATCGTTTCAAAAGCTTTGTCGACTAGGAAAAGTTGGCCGTTGAATCAGACGAGTTCGCTCACGATGGAGAGTTGCGTGCTCAACACGATGGCCTCACCCAGTTGATAATTCCTCATACTTCTCATAAGCTTTTGACCTAGCGAACGGCGAGATCTCTGGCCGTCGATATGTTCTTTTTGGCTATCGTCCGAGTCGTCAACGTGCTGTTTGTCTTGTTTGATCGTCTCGTCGAAGTCGTCCGAGTCCCACGCGGAAGGCGCGCTGTTTCGCTGATATCGCTTAAGTAGGAATCGCATGATGAAATTGAGCTTCAGAATGATGGATTGAGTGGATGTATGGTTTAGTAGAAGGGTACAGACGAGAAGGAAAGCGGAGGGATGAAGGAAGAGAATAGTGAGTGTTCTTGAGCGATTCTTTATACGGGCTGGTCGGGATTGAAACGATCCGGACTGGGATGACGCCATTGGCGCGCCCGCGTCTGCATCTACAAACAGACTGCGTCATGGCCAGCTCTCAATCAGCGCAAACAAAGTACTCGTAGCTATATCTTTCAGTCGTTAGCGCATCATGACCCTCATGTCGCTCGTCACAATTGTCAGCATTGCGCTTCTCATGCGTCGGCTCAGTGGCGAAAACTTACTTACTAGTACACCGTGATATGGAGGTAGTTCCCTCCAAGTGATATGGAGGCAGCTCCCTCCAAGTCAGATACCAAAGTAGCTCCGTGATGAAGGATGAACCGATGTATTATATGACAAGTATCAACCTATTTTACAACGCAACTCCAGCAGTGCATGCACACTACTTGTTGGACGACTGGAAAACGACAGCCTCGGTCGCCTTGGTACCGCTCATCCCCGTTCTCACGGCCTCGAGCATGGCCACATCCCGTATCAAAAACCCGTACCAACCCCTGGCAATCAGGATGGTTGCCAAGTGCCATAAGGAGTGGGCATCGATGATTCGGTGAAATGGAGGGAAATCGAACAGTTCGAGTGACATGGCCGCCGTAGTCGCCATGACCAGCACAGCACTCCGACCGCTCCATGGAGGTTTAGGCGTGATGGTGAGCGGGTCGAGTGGGGGGTATGGGGTCGGGATGCGGGACAAAGGCCAGGGCAGTCGGATGGAAAAGGACAACGAGAAGAGTGACCACAGAATCAGATGGGTCGCTCCCATGATCAGGTTGAAGAGTACGTTCCAGCCATAGTCGAATCGTGGGCCCGACAACAAGTAGGAGACGTGCGAGAAGTAGGCGATGAGGAAGACGATGATCAAGGGGTATAGGCTAGGTGCTCCGCGAGGTCGGTCGGGTTGTTGCGGAAAGAGATGGAAGGTGCGAACCAATGTGTAGAGGAGAGTGCACATGATGGTCGCCGTGGCCGAAAAGTAGTCCATCTTTTCGGTAAACGGGGTGTCTGAGATGGAAATTTTGTCGGTCAGTCTCAATTATGGCGATGACGACCAGCATCTCGCGACATACCCCGTGTATGGAATACAGCACTCCAGAACCACGTGTTCATCTGAACGATGGCCAGAGCCATCACCCATCCCTTCAGATGGACGCCTGTTCCATTTTTTATCCTCGTCCGGACCTTTCGTAGTCCCTTATAGTGAACCCATGCGTTGCCGAGGGAGAACAAGACGCTGGCGGGCTCCTGGATCCCGGCCAATCGCCAGAACGGCCATTTGCCGTAGAATTGGTGGACGACAGGACGTGCTGACGGGGATGATGCAGAAGAGGAGGCGAGAAGCAAGAGTCCCGAGGTGACCGAATGCGTGCAGTGATACGCGCAATCGCCTCGGCATGACCATCGAAAGAGTCGTAGCATCGCGTCTAGGGGAGGTGAGTCGGGAGTACACCGATTTGACACACATTGTGAGAGGCAAGATTGGAAGGCCGGGAGGCGATCTCCAGACGAGGCGGCCACCATGGGCATCATACAGACGATGGCGAGCACGACACCGAGGACGAGGTTGGGCGATGTCGGAGAGGAGAATGGAGAGGCTCGACGCGAGGCCGTTGTCAACAGTGGAGCGCGGGCCGAGGTCGTAGGAGAAGAGGGCCGCGGGGAAAGGAGATTCGGATCCGGGTCCTGGCCACGAAATGTCCTATGGCTACTCGCTCGAGAATGGGGTCGAGACGAGTAGACGGGCTGGTCGTACTCGTCGTGCTCGGCTTGTTCGTCGGGCTCGTTCGCGTCCTTCGGTGTGGCTGCTGCTTGCATTCCGACCTCGTCGGCAGGTCGTCTCCCTTTGATGAGCGAGTCGACGAGGCAAAACTAGCGGGTCCGACGGACAACGTTGGGTTAGCGATGAGCCGCTCGAGGCCGCCAGCAACGATGACTCACCTGCAGCACGTTCATGATCAAGGGGAAGACGGCCATGACGACGATGACTTGAACGTCCTCGCCCATCCAACCGATGAGCCAGCCAGCGAATGGCAGCAGCAGCTTTTCGGCGCAGAGGTAGAAGAGCAGGATGACGCCGATCTTCATCAGCGTGAGGGACACGAGGTAGATGGCGAGCTGTAGGAAGAATCTGAGGGTGGCAGAGATATCATGAGCTTGGTCGTGCTGAAGCCGGTTGCGGTGCGAGACTTGCGGTTTATAGCTAGGAGGATCGCCATAGACGCCGCTCCTGAACCCTGGTTTCTGCCCGAATATGCGTTCGCACGTCCAGGTGAAGCCCTGAATGGCTAGATATAGAAACAGAACACCTGAGAAGAGTTTTGTGGAGCAATTTTTCGTGAGTCGCGGTTGTCAGGTCGACATTGGCACGGAAGATGGGACCCGTCATCTCACCGATCGTGGTGTCAATTAGGACGTTTAGAAAGTATAGGCTGCAAGGGTTGATGTCGCCCTCGTGTGATGCAACACCGGCCGATATCTACCGGCAAATTCGTCGGGTTAGCTGAGACCCCATCCTGCCCGCACATCTTTGCTCGCTCGCCCAACTTTGACTCACCCACACGTTCAGAAAGTGCACAAATCCTTGTCCGATCAACTGCTTGCCGACGTCCATCGACCAGACCCTCCATCGACGCCGTGGTATCCCCTTCTTGGCATCACCTTCATACTGCCGTTTGACAACTAGGGACAGGACCACAAACACGCCCATGCAGCCCTGCACGACCAGTGCGACGGGACCGAGGAGCTGGCATTTCTTTTCGGCGTCCTGGAAGCCGTTGTGTGCGATGAGCGGCGAGAGGTCCAGGCGTGATGTCGAGGATGACGTCGAGTTGATGTTGGCGAGAACCATGGTGGTCTCGAGGGACGGATCAGGCCGGGTCCTGAATCAGGTCGTTCTCGAATGGATGAGGTCGTGTGATTCTCTCTCGGAAGGGGGATGACCATGTTGCCAGAGCTGGATGATGAGCGATCACCGAGGCGAGGGGGGGAAGAAAGTGAATATTCGTTTACAATAGCGACCACGCCACGCAGCCAGATTGGGGTTTCAGGTTGGCATGCGGCATGCGGTGCATCGTGCGTACGACGAGTACATGTTGTAAAGATGGCATTCGCCCCGTTCGAGTATCCTTGAGATCTCTTCGCCTATTGCTGCTGGCAAAGTCTCTACCCACAGCGCCATCGCCCTGCTGTTTGGGATTTCGGATGTTCTGCGCGTACGAGATGTCGCTGGTGTCTAGGCACTCCGAAGGTGTCCCATATGGTCCTGCATCATACTGACAGTGAGATGTCGGCGTGTAGTCAGGCTGGAGGAACCAATCTACGGGTAAGACGGGTAAGATGGCAAAGGCTTGAGGGCCGATGTCGCAACCCCCCGATTAGTAAATTTGGATTGCCAAAGAAAAAAAAGGAGAAAAAGTTACTTCGAGCTGGGAATCGAACCCAGGTCCCCAGAAGGCCCTTTCGGAAGACTCAGAATCTGGTGTCTTAACCATTGGACGACTCAAAGCGCGGATGACGGCTATATCAAATCTAGAAAATGACCTGCAATCGTCTTTGCCCAACGCCGTAACCGCGGCATCCACGATGAGCGCCCTCGGCGTTGAGCAGCTCCGGTGACCACGAGCCAAAACCCAACGAACTTGCAAAAGCACCCACCTTATCGTTTTTTGCCATCTGAGTCGTTCTTCTTGAGTCCACTCGCAGCCCCCCGTACGACTCGATCATAATGGCAGTCGACTGTGAGATGCCGAGCCCTTACCGACGCAGCCTACTCCACAAGCTCGAGGAAGGCTTCAACGTCGATGTAGACAGTATCGATCCTTCTGCCGCCAAGGCCATGCCGTTCAAGCCTCATAACCGTGACTATGGCGCTTTCGTTGTGGCAGTTATTACGAGGCTGACGCTGACCGCCCTGCAGAGACGTCCAATCAATTCATCGTCGGGCAAGCATTGTCTCGGCCCGAGAACCAGGAACTCATAATCGAAACCGTCAAAGAGTTTGAAGCGCGAGGTTGGGAGTACGTCCTGGATCGCGTCGTGAGTCGCTGCATCACGTCGACAGGGCAAGCACACCTATTCTCAACCTCAAAACCCTCTGAGAATTCGCCAGTCCGTCAGACTATGTCGCCAAAACATTCCCAACCTTCTCGACAGGGTCCTGCTGCAGACCTCGCCGAGGTTCGCCTACGACACCGAGGCGACTATCGACCACGCTCGACGGTTCGCTAGCATGTTTGAGGAGGAAGGGATCGATCGGTAGATCCGGCTGGCTACAGCGAAGCACGCCAAACCCCACATGTGCTGATCTGTCTACGCTTTCGACCAGCACCCGTTTCTGTCTCAAGATCCCTACGACGGGTCCGGGGATGGCCGCTGCCACAATCCTGAACCAGGAAGGCATCAGGACGCTAGGCACGATGGTCTTTTGCCTACCTCAGGCGGTCGGCGCCAGCCAAGCAGGATGTCTGTATATCAGTCCTTATTATAACGGTACATCTTTCGGTGTCATGGCAGAGGGGGGGTGGCTCATGTCGGACTGACAAGAGGTTCGCTGCATAGAGCTCGCCGCGTTACTGGACAAGAGCTTGCATGTGGAGTACCAAGACACGGCCACGCAACACCCAATGTCGTACCGAGTCAGGCAGATGATCGAGACATATGCCAAACTCGCTCGGGAGTCGGGCAAGGAACAACCTGGAATCATCGTCGCCGCGTGAGTTATATCTCGGAAGTGGAAGCCCTTGTAAGCCATCGCTAAACCGCATTCATACGAGCCGTTAGGATGACTACGGTCAAGGAGGTCGTGGCTGTAGCGGAACTGCAAGCCTTCGGAGTGACTCTCTTTCCCGACCTCCTCGTGGAATTAGCAGAGACAAAGGACGAATCTCTCCCACCCTCCGTGCCACGCGGGGAGTACTCTTACCTCGACCTGGGCCCTACCCCTGAACGTCTCGTCGGCCTATGTCAATCTGATCCGCTCAGCAACCAGCCATTTGACGCTCGAAGAGACTATACTCAGGTGGACCTTCTTGCGAACGACGGGAAAGCGTTGGATCAGGCCGTCGAGGAGGACGAAGCCAGTAGGAAGAGGTTGGAATATGCGATCAGGTTCTTCATCGAAGCCGAAGAACGGGCAAAGGCCGTGATCGAGGGGTTGATGCAAGGGTAGATACGGACATTTGCAGCGAGGATTTTGCAGAGAGGGTTTTCACCGAACATTGCAGGGCCAGGGATTCGTGATTGTAGTCGAGGGTGTTGTCTAAGTTGAAGTTGTAATGGATGTCGTTATGAAGATAGCCATGAGCACACAGACTGCGATGGTCTCGCCCTTCTCGAGATGGTCTCGTCCTTTTTGACGGCGGTCGTAAGCGTCGCTTCGCGCCTCACGCAGCGAGCTCGCGCGGACTGGCGGAAGGTATGCCCAAGAATGTATTGCGAAGAGGCGAACATGTGCTGTCCGCAATGGCCCTTTCTGTGGGCATGACTCGAGACTATACCAGCACCTCTCCTGATCCTGAACTGTGCTCGATTCTATCGGCTGAAGCTCTTTCCTTGAACTATACAAAACAAAAGTCTATCTCGACTGGTTTTACAACTTGACACGCTCACACTCGAATATAACCGCTCTCCGCTCTTCCTCACCGTCTACCCACTCGCATCCGACAACGGCATCCCGGATGTACTATCCAACCGGGTCCGTTTCGGTGGATACCCCTCGTCCTCCTGCCGAGCGCGCTTGGCCGACCCGCCGTCGTTCTCGCCCATCTCGCCATATCCGCCGCCGACTCCTCCCGATAGGCTGGGTTGCCGCGACATGGGCGTGGCCGGTCGAGATCCGTTGGGCGATCGAGTGTCCCCGTCCACCCCGTCCATAGGATGGGTAGATAAAGGGATGCCTGTCGTTCGCATGGCCGCCGTCTCGGAGAACCAATCCGGGTTCGAAGACATGACTTCGTCACCCGGATGAGTCGACAGGCCCAGCCCGGACGTCGCGCCACCGCCATTGACACCACCGCTACCGTTATGATTCGTCGGCCACTGGAACCCGCTCGACATGCTCATCGGATCGTGACCGGCCGCGACGAGCTCGTTGAACCTCTGCACTGCGTTGCCCATCATCGCTCCGTTCCCACCTGCACCCTGACCACCGAACCCGGATCCGTGACCCCCCGTCGTGGCCGCCAACAATTCTCTCCAATGATCCTGCTGTTGTCTCTGTTGACGCAGATACGCCAACTGGGCCTGTTGAGCATGCAAAGCCGCTTGCAACTGAGCCGCCGCCGTCGCCTTGTTCCAATCGATACTGCCGTCCGGGTTGATCCCGTGATCGACAGGCAACGAGTACTGAGCGTATGCCTGTTGCTGAGGGTCAAAGTTGACCGGTGACGGCGTGGTCATCTGGTTCATGTGCGACGAGGCGGTTTCCGAAGTGAACGCGGGCGGTGGGGGATGGCTCTCGAACGGAGGGTAACGCGGGCCGTCCTGCCGATAAGACGAGGACGGGTTGAGGTCGTTGCTGCTGGAGGGTGTGAACGAGTTGCTACGGTCGTGTTGTGGCTCTGTGCGAGATTCAGCTCGTCGTTGATAGAGCGAATACATGGAGGGTTGCTTTTGTGGCGGGTAAAAGTTGGTCTGGTGTGCGCTCACGTCAGCTCAAAGGTTCAGTGCCTTATGTAGCGACTGAAAGGACAGCATCTACTCACCCTCTCGTGGTAACCTCCGTTCCGATCGTCCTGTTCGTAACCCGCACGCTCATTCTGGTATCCACCCTGACCCGTCCACGAACCCGTCACCGTTCTCGGAGCCATGCCGAGAGTGGAAGGCGCCATCGTCGACCCCTGCTGCGGGATGGCATCGACGCCCGAGCCCGAGGACGAGCCAGATCCAGGTCCTGAATGGGGGTAGACGTTCATCTCCCTCGTCTTTCCCTTTACCTCTACCGGCGACCTCGCTCGAGCCCTGGCATTCGCGTGGCCATTACCGTTCACGCCCTTGCCGACCTGTCTACCTGCAGCGTCTTCCTGCTTTGGCGCACCTGCTAGGCCTACTCCCGTCCCGTTTCCCAGACCACCACCAGCGTTTCCAGGCAGACTGACGTCCTTCCACTCTTCCTTTCCCTTCAAGCTCATCCCTTTCGGCGCGGTCGAGCCCTCCCCACCGCCCGGATTGCCGGCGAGCTCGTCCTCGTCCAAATCGGAGCCGTCGTCTTTCCCGCCGCTCTCGGCCATGGCGGCAAATTCTGGAGCTCTGCGACGCTCGATCGGACCCGAGTACTGTGGAGGCGCAAAGGATACGCGAGAACGTGTGGGCTGGTAAGCTTCGTGCGTGATAGACCAGACGTAGATACGTTGATACGAAGGAGGCGAGCGTGTGTGGACGTACAGCATGGTACCGGTCGATCGAGCTGTCCAGGTCTGACGACGAGAACTCGTAGCATTTACCGTTGTGCGAAAAGATGAGGATCGAGACCTGTGTATGACGTTCCCGTCGGTGGTAGTGGTAGGACGTGAGAGGGATGGATGCAGGATATTGATCAGATCAGCATTCGGTTGACGTGATCCGTTGCGGGTCATCTCACCTCGGCGCCGCAGAGTACTGAGAGTTCCCATGCCTTTTTCAAGAGACCGTGTTTACGCTGAAAGGGTCGTGGTTCGAGACTTGGTTAGCACTACTGCCTTCGCTCCGGTCCGAGAGTGAGCACATCTGATACTCGCCTTGAGAAAGGTGACGTTCCTGTTGCGATCTTCGGTGAGACGCTTGATGATGATCTTCTTTCTGCCCATCTTGGTTGCTGGTCTGGTCTGCGCCTGTTGTTCGAGAGAGTAGGTAGGTATAGGTCGTCGCTGTACGCTGTGTGTTATCGAAGTGTCCTCCTGAAGTGAATGGACCCCTATACTCTCTCCTTGCTGCTTGCGAGAGTTATATTTGGGTTCACCGTTCGGTCGATCGTCCAAGTTTAGCAAATCAGAGGGAGAGAGGAGGTGTCCGGCGGAATCAAATTACAGGAGGGAGCAAAGAGAAAATGCTTCCGATGCATCCCTTTCCCCGCAGTAACCGACCTCGCGATTCGGCCGGGGGAGGGGTTCTCGCAGCACGTTTCACACAACTCGCTGCGGGTCAGTCGTGTTTCATGTGACTCGATCATCAGCGGCGATCAACGACGCCACCCGACGACCATCCTCTCTTTACCATACATGTCCACCCAGCACTCGGTCCTCCCTATCACGCCCCGACTCTCGAGCTCCATGATCCGTCTCACGCGTCCCGCCTGGCCGTCCCCGATCTCGACTGCCACCCTAGGTAGACCCGCGTCGTCCCAATCGTCATCCAGCCCCGACGACGTGACCTCTGGATCGACTCCCAACAGCCCGCCCAGATTCCTCGCCAACGCACGATAATGCGCCAACCCATCCGCTCGCACCCTATCGCCCACCTCTTGACCCCGCTCCCCATCGCCCAACAACGCGTCCACGTCTTCCCACTCCTTGACAGAGCCGGGCAGGCGCTCGTACTCCTCCATGGGGATATAGGGCGGGTTGGCTACGACCAGATGCGGACGGCCATCCAGCAAATCGAGGTCGGTCAGGCTCAGCGCATCACTCTGCACGAAATCGACCTCGCGCGTCAATCCCGTCTTTTCCCGGTTGACCAATGCCAGTTCGATGGCGAGCGGGTTGATGTCCACCCCCAAGGCCCGGAAGTTCAGCTCGTGTTCCCGGTCCCATTCTGCTGGTCGACCAGCGTGTCGAGGGCTCGATCGGAGTTCGTGAGCGATCAACAAGGCGATCGCTCCCGAACCCGTGTAGAGGTCCAACACCTTCACGTCCAGCCTCGCTTCTCCTTGCTCCTTTTCCAGCGCTTGACCATCCGTCTTTCTCCTCCTACTCAGCCGCCCTAAGCCTGCCCGTACCAGTGAAGCCAATCGCTGAAAGACGTCCCCCGTCTCCGGTCGTGGAATCAGGATCGGCGCACGGCATTCCAAAGTCAGGGGTCCGAAATCCGTAGAACCTATATTTCCACCGGATCGCCGTACGGGAGGATGACCGTGTACACGTCCGGGGGGCAATGTATGAGTAACAACGAATTTCGGTTCTGAAGAGCTATGGAAAACCGGGGGACTGACCGAGGATATACTGCAATGGTTCCCCTAAACTCCGCCTCCTCACCCTCCTTTCCACCTCACGTTCAATCTCCATATCTCCCGCATTCCCCTGATTTCGAGTCTCTTGTTCGATCCACCCTAGTTCAAGCTCGGCCTCTCCTCCTTCCTGAAGTTCCGGGTTGAGACGTAAGAGAGCCAACAGGGCGTTTATCGAAATGGGCCGTAGAGATGAGGTTGTTGTTGTTGGAGGGTCTTGCGATGTCAGGGAAACCGAGGCGGAAGTATGGAATCGACGAGCATGGGCGAATCTGAGCAGACCGGATGAGATCGTTTCAAATTCAGTTCACCGAGGATGGCATGCGGATCGGGGTATGCGTTTCATCGCGACAAAGATATTCCGAGGGGGGTTGATATGGTACAAGGTCGCAGCGTCGTTCGGATCGGACGTGCGCGTACAACGTATGCAAGCGAAAGGAACAGGGGGTACGGATCTATTAGCTACAGTGAAGAGCAACTCGGGCAAGTCTCGGTCGGGCAGTACTGGTGGATGGATCGGCCCCGGGGAATTCACCTGTCCTTGTTCGTCCTTGAATTTCTGTCCCTGATTGATGATGTTTTCGAGGATGCCGATGACGTTGGAGGTGATCCGCCTACCGGGTCCTCGACCACGTCTACCACTTTGACCATCGTCTCCCCACCCATTCCCATCCCGGCACCTACCATTCCCACCCCTGGGATGGTCTGGTATCCCTCGCTCTCCGCTGCTCTCCCATGCCACAACCTCGCGCTCAACCACGCGCCAACCGACTCGCCAGGCAAGGGTCTAATCGTCTCGACTAGGTGTTCCGTGACGAGGCCCGAAATGGGCGAGAAGGTGTACAGAGATGAGGTCTGCCAGGACGTGGGCTGCGGAGAGGGTTTGTAGTTCACGACGGTCAGTTGCGGCTTCCATGTTGAGAGTGTTCAACCACGGTCGACTCACCTCTCGCTGAACGCCCAGTCGAGACATCCCACAGACTTCGAGAACGACCCTGACCTGCTTGCTTCTCCCGAACGCCTTGCTTTCACGTCGGACCCCAGGGGGTTCTTGCTTGTTTGACGTTGATGTTGTCAACGTAGGTGTAGGCGAGACGGCGAGTTTGTGCAGCGAGGCGTGTAGATCAGTGTGAAGAGCTGTGTAGACACAGAATGTAAGCGTGGTTGACAAGCAGGGAAAAGAGCCCAGCAAGGGGGACTTGCCGTGCATTCCATGTCGGGCTAGCGCAAATGTCAGGCTATACAGGGATAAGGACGAGATCTGTCCACCCAGAACATCCAGAACGCGGCATTTTAGTCAGTGCCCGTGATCTCCCTTCCGATTCTGGAATCTGGCCTTAGACTCACTTTCAGGGGCAACGGCGCGGGCAACCTCAAGCTGACGTGGTTACTGTAGACTGTCGGGGGGAACATCTCCCTCGGTGGATCCTGGTCGAACAGGTGGGGCAGTGTGGTTCGCAGATGAAGAATCCCGGATCCTACACAGAATAGGCGTGTGTGGTCAGAGGTGGTCCAGGTGTCGAAGCAATATCAGACCTTTACTTACCGACCCGTAGTGACCATTCCTGATCGTCCACCAGCTCTTCGTCCCCTGGTCTGACTGGTTTCTTCCCCTTGCCTCCAACGCTACTGCTTGACTGCGAAGCCGATCTGTCTCGGTCGTCTTGCTGAAGCCCCGAGTTGGGTCGGAAGAACGGATTCGGGGTGTGGTCGTAGCGGGAGAGGAGGACACGAGAGGAAGAGGACGATGCGGTCGTGGCAGTGAGCGTAGACCACAGGCGGGTCGGTGTGGTAAGAGGCGGCATGCGGTGCGGTGGCCTGTGTGATGCTGGTCCTGCTTGTCAGAGTCGGGAATCTATGACCTGTTCGCCTTGGCCAGAGACTGATGGCAGGGGCCAGGACACTAGAGCCCTCCGAAGAGGGTGTACAAGTTGTATATCCTCGACCAACTTTCGGAGTGAGCCGAGGGGGGGTCGTCATGAATGAAGGGAAGGGAATGAATCACGTGACCATCGCCGAGGGAGGGGCACCTCCAGCATCTCCCAGGCAAGGGGCAAGGGGGATCATCATATCATCATTGTTTTATCGTTGTAACGATCAGATCATAGGCCATAGGATCATATCGATCATCGAACTCTTTGCTGGTCTGGACCAAATTGGTCGACATAGCCCCATCGATTCAGAATCATGTACCACCTCCTCACCGGATTATATGAACACTTGACGCGCAAGGACGAGTACTCGGTCGTCATCATAGGTCTCGATAATGTCAGTTCCAGCTCGGGATCGACCGTGCGATTGCTATTATTAATCGTCTCATACTCTCTTCATCGTACGACAGGCAGGAAAGACCGTATGTCAAAGATGTTGATGGGGAACTTGAGCCAAGCTGATAACTACTTCCGCGGTCACATTGAAACAGACCATGCTCGAGAAGATCAAGACGCTGTACAATCCTATCCCCGGAATGCCAGCTGACAAGATCGGTCCGACCGTAGGCCAGAACAGTGAGCATCCCCAATCTCCTCCGTTTGCTTGGTATACGCTCAGATGGCTCTAGCAGACTCAATCAATCTGGACGCTAACCCGAACGTCCTTTCTTTCACCGCGTCGCAGTCGGAAAGATCTCTCTCCCCTCGACCACCCTGCACTTTTTCGACTTGGGCGGTCAACGTGATATCCGTCAGATCTGGGAGAAATACTATGACGAGTGTCACGCCGTCGTCTTTGTCGTCGATGCGGGGGATCAGGGGAGGTTGAGCGAGTGTTGGGAAGTCTTTGGTCAGTCCCGTCAAATCCGAGTTGCTATTACCTTGTGCCATTGAGATTGACGTTTTCTTTCATACGGTGATTTGGTAGATACGGTTCTGACCTCGCCTAGACTATTAAACCTCCCACTCTTGCTCCTCGCCAACAAGCAAGACACGCCGACCTCGCTCTCTCCTGCCGAAGTGCGCGAATCGTTCGACGCCTGGCACCGAGCTCGATCAGAATCCGACTTGAACGACTCACTCAATCTTGACCCTGACGCCAACCCGGACGGAGAGAACGTATCAGGAGACAACATCGGCGGAAACACGGCCAGACCTATGAGACTATCCGATGTTGACGGGGCCAAGGCGGAAAGGATGGCAAGTCTGGACGTACTCGGGGTGAGCGCGTTGACCGGGGATGGGGTCAAGGACGCTGTAACCTGGTTGTACGCGCGGGTCAGAAACGCCAGGCGAATGTGAGTTGCAGTCGTCGGGACGGCTGACGGCGCGGTTCAGGGTCTCGAGCTGATCCAGAATATTCTCCTAACGCTGCAGAGGCGATCGGGATTGAGGCGGACGAGGGTATAAGATGATGGGTCAGAGCGTCCCACATGAGTCGTCCGCATGGCTCGTCTATTTGGCGTCTAGGTGGCTTCATTACAACAACTCGGAAAGCGTTAAACAGCGTTATGGCACTATGTGCTACCAAGCACGACCCACTCGCCCGCGGCTGCCTCGCCGACGACGCCTTCGACTTCGACCAAGTACCTCGGTCCACTTTGTGGCCCAGATGCAGCCACGCCAAACTTCTTCTTGGACACGGACGTGCCAGTCTCGTGCTTGTGCAACTCGAGCACGCGATGTTCTTCCGGCAAGTCGTGAAGCGACGAAGGCGAGGAAGTGACGAGAAAGGTCGATTTCCCTGTCGATCTGGAGATGATCGGAGGATTTGGCGGGAGGTTCCTCTGTCGAAGTAACAAGAACCTGGTGTAGTTTTCTGCTCAATGCGGTCAAAAAGACGTATATATAAGAGAGCATTCGACTCGCATACACTGCTATTTCCGGACGCACTCACCCTTCACGTTCTGAACGCTCTCGGCCACAACTTCGAGACTGCTCTCCAGACGTTCGATAATGGCCGAGGAACAGATGGCAGCACCATGGCCGCGAAGCCTTTCGTCGTTGTCGTCCGTCACTACCTTGATATCCTGACCTACGCCTGCAGCGCCTCCAGAGATTGTAGTCTTGGAGGAGGAAGACTCCGAAGAAGCACGCGAAGCTAGGAGGATAGCGGCTTGGGCGGTAGATGGAAAAGGGATCCGCTGGGCTCTAGGGCAGTGATCGTCCAGATACTTTGAGCATTGGCCTAGCGCCTGACAGGTTCACGATTAGATTATTCAGTCAACATGGACTCCATTTTAGATAATGTTTGACAAAGACTGACCTGCTCGTGGCTTCCCACCCAGTCCACATCTTTCAACTCGACTCCCCGCCGTACGACCAAGTTGTGCTGAACAGACAGAGTATGCGACCCGACAATTTCCCACTTTGTTGCTGCTGAGCCGTTCTCTGATGCGTGTGTTTCGGGATGTATCAGGTTTAAAAGCGTCTCCTGTACGACGCCTTGAATGGTATTCGAGATGGGCACGACGGCATAAGGCGTTGAAGCTTTAAAGACGTCTACAAGCGCAAGACGGTATGAGCTCAGAGAGGCGCTCATCACAGACAGCGATTATCGTGGTTCCGGACTCACGCACTCGTTATAGTCTGACATGGTATGATCTCCGCATCGAGCCCATCTAGGATCTGTCGAGTCGCCTAGAATTCGGGTTGAACTGCTCAGTTCGGGTGTCCCCGTTGGCTGTTGACGTCACGCAGGACCGTCGAGGTAGCCGACTTGTTCCACTCACGACATGGCTGTACGAGTCCTCCGGTCCCAGGTAAGAAGCTTGCATGGTTCTCGTCTGCCAAACCAACTGAAAACGCTGTAGAAGGAGGTGGATGATCGAGGTATAGCTGTTGGACGATGGATGGGTTATCAAGTAGCTAGGTAGGTATGACTCAGGAAGTCAAGGTGGGGTCGATGCGCTTCTAATTGGCGCGCGCGGCATTGTTAGCAAAAGGAGGGGCCAGATACTCACAGATGACAATGACCCCATTGTCACGATCACATCTATGCCATCTAGCATACATCTCGATTCACAATAGCCACCTACGACCCGAACGGATAGTTCCCACTAGATAAATACTCCAGAGAGACACGCCCAAAATGTCGGCCGACGCACCTCCCGCCGAGGAGCCCATGTTCGCCGGATTGAAGAAAAAGTCAAAGAAGGCCAAGGTCAACTTTGACGAGATTGACCTCGAGGGTGGCGAAGACAAGGCTATCACCCCGGCCAACATTGCTAGCGAGACCATCGCTCAGGCCGAGGAGAAGCTGGATGGTGGAGATGCGCCCGTAGCAGCCGAGGAGGACATGTTTGCCGACCTCAAGAAGAAGCCCAAGAAGAAGAAGAAGGAGATCCCTATGGATCTGGTGCGTCCTGCTGGCTCGCATGTACAGTGATCGAGAAGCGCTTGGGTGCTGACGATTAAGAAATGACCTATCCACCTGCCTTCTTTACGTATCCGCTTGACCCACCTTGCCACAAACGACCTGACCAATCTCGCAGGAAGAGCTCGCGACCCCCGAAGGCGAGACCGCCACTCCTGCCGAGTCGGCTGGAGTCGACATGGGCGAGTTTGGTGACATCAAGAAGAAGAAGAAGTCTAGCAAGAAGAAGGCCGCTTTCGACCTCGAGGCGTTCGAGAAGGAGGTGAGTCTGAGCGTGTATGGCAAAGCGATCGCGGGTCGAAGCTCACTTCGATCTCCGGATGTGCTACCTCTGTCGCGATTTCTAGATTGGCGAGGCCGAGGCCAACGAAGATGGTGAAGTCGACGACAACATCCCGGAGGGAGACCTCGGCGATGACATCTTTACCTCGAGCAACGACGCCGCTCCTTCCTCGTCCAAGATCGGCGAGGAGGCCTGGGTCGGAACCAGCCGAGACTACACCTACCCCGAACTCCTCAACCGATTCTACTCGATGCTACACTCGCACAACCCCGAGCTTGCCGGTGACAAGAAGAAGCTCACCTTGGTCCCTCCTCAAGTGACCAGGGAGGGAACGAAGAAGACCATGTTTGCCAACTTGGCCGAGATTTGCAGGAGGATGCACAGGCAGCCGAAGCACTTGATGGAGTTCTTGTTTGCCGAGTTGGGAACGAGTGGAAGTGTGGACGCTCAGCAGAGGTTGATCATCAAGGGACGATACACGCAGAAGAGTATGGAGAATGTCCTCAGGCGGTATATCGGTGGGTATCTCGACGTGACTGCCATGTGGGTTGGTGGGGCTGTCATTGACCAATTCAACCGTTCCATCGCGCCAATAGTCGAGTACGTCGTGTGCAAGACCTGCAAGTCACCCGACACCCTCCTGAACAAGGAGAACCGTCTGTACTTTATCACTTGCGAATCGTGTGGTTCTCGTGAGTCCACCCACGCTCACTTACTGCTGTCTCTCGCAAGGACTTTGCTAATCGGCACTTTCTATCTGTTTGCAGGACGATCGGTCGCTGCCATCAAGACCGGTTTCCAGGCCCAGGTCGGACGAAGAATCAAACCTGCGGCTTAGAACGCTCAATGATATGCCACTTTTGCCGCATCTTCTCCTTCCTCTTCCTGTCCTCTTTGTTCGATACGCTACATGTTTGGGTCTGTGCGACGAGTGAAACGAGATGACTGCTATGTATCACGTATCGCATGATGTGTCGAGTTTCGTCGGGTTGTGACAAGAGATCGCTTTTCAAGACGGCTCCGGCTCCGTCGGGACAAGTGATTCGATTCCGGAGTTGGCCGATCAAGGGTGCCTCACTTGTTCCAGCTGCTGCTGTGTATCACCGTACAGGAGGGAGAGTGCTAATACATCCTGATCAGGTCACCGTTCGCTCGAGGTAGCCATCCGAGTGTGACGAGGCATCGGAAAAAGAGTCAGGAGACTCACCAAATCATCCTGTGGGGCACGCTCTGAAGCAAAGGCCACCTGAATGTCAAACCCGCGTGCGATGCCCATCTTGGATCCCCGAGATTATGGTAGAGATGGTCGAAGGGATAGCGAATCCAGTGAGCAATCTCGGAGATGCACCGCAGTGGCCGAATCTAATCAAAGTTGACGCTGTTTCTGCTTGCGGTTTAGTGCAATCCGAGTATGGGGAGCCTTCCTCCTCGACCCTGAAGCGTCCCTCTACAGATGGAACGCAGGTGAGCCAGGCGGCAGGATACAGCCCCGGCCAAAGCTGGCTTACTACCATCAAGCTAACCAGTCGCTTCTGGATCCTTTTGAATGTTAGACATCGTCACGGAAGAAATCCAAGGTGGTCACGGCTTGCTCGCAATGCGTCAAGCGGAAATCCCGATGCGAACTCGTCACCGAGGCGGGATGTCATCGATGCGTCGTCCTCCAGACCGATTGTTCGCTACGAGGCACGGTCCCAATAGCTGGACCGTCATATTCGAGCGCCCAGTCTCACAGCGGGGAATCTCCAGAGCAGGTCGGGTCCGAGCTGCATTCACGGCTCGAACGGATAGAAGATCGTCTGGATCGCCTGTTGGACCGCAGGGAACATAGCTACGTCCAGCCTCTGTCTGAGCGGGAGGAAGCGATCGACTGGGTGACGATGGCCCCGGATTACAATGCTACCGGATCGCTATCGTCGCATGCATTCAAGGTGATGGGACGTCCAAAGCTGAACTTTGAAGATCCCGTGGCTTCGGGGATCGTCAGTGCAATCGAATTGAGATGCGTTCATGACAAGTGAGTCGACTCTAACGTACCGTACAACATGGAGAGCTTACATGACAAGCTCTTGTTCTCTCACAGGTTCGTAGCGGTCTGTGACGACATCTTCCTCGTCACCCAGCTGGGTATATCAAGCAGCTCTCCACCGTCAAACCTCTTTGTGCAGACCTGCATGCTCTACTTTGTCGCCTGTTTCAAGGACTCGACCTTTTCCATGCCTCGAGAACAACGCCATGCGATCTATGCCCTGATGGATCGGCAATACGTGATCATGTTACGGGCAGATCCGTCGAGAGACCTCGTGCTCGGGCTATTGATCCTGGCGTTCTCGTCGTTACCTCAGCTCGAGCAGAACGTGATCTACGCAGACCCGTTTCGATCTTCCGTGTTGGCGTACAACATGGCGGCCGATTTGGGACTGGAAGAGTCGATGAGGAAGCTCAGGCTGCTTCGACCATCAGAGATCACGTGGGCGGTCTATGAAAAGCTGCTCAGGGATGTCGGATTGGTGAGTACGCGGAGCGTCGATGCATGGCAGTATACCGCGTGGCTGACTATCGAGGTCACTGCCAGTGGTACTCGATCTCGCATCGTTACGTATGGTCAGTGAGTTTCAATCTAGACTAGAATTCGAGGCCCTAAAGGAATTGCCGTCTCAGGAGCAAGATCGTGGGCAACCCAAACTGGGAAGCCGGGCGAGCCTCTGTGCCCTTTCACCTCCTGGCGCCATTGGATACCGAGTTTATTCAACAGTCCAGCCTGTTGTCACACCTTTGGTTGGAGTCTGACTTGCTGGACACCGCTTCTAGTCCGGCCCGGGCTTGTGGGAGGATGCGGATAGAGCAACAATTCCATCAACACCAGCTCGACGACTACGCCCTGGATCTGGAGCGCGCTCAGGCGAGGATCGTCGAGCAGAGACGCGCCATTCAGGCGACCCCTCGTCGTGAGTCGAGAGAGCGGGGCCCGAAATTTCCGATGCTAAAGCTCTCGTCGCGCGCCTTTCCACAGTCAGGACGGCCGCATACCTCGTCCTGGAGTCGTATCATCTCGCATTTTCGCTGAGCATGCAGGGATCCACCGAAGCGCGCAACATGCCTTCGCCCCTCGCCGCCCAGTTGCGTATCGATTGCCTCGTGCGGTTCGGCTCGAAGATGATCTTCAACATGGGCCATTATCTCTGGCACATCATCATGGCAAGACCGGATCTGTCGACGCTACCCGTACATCTCTCACCGCCCATCTACCTCGCCCTGTCGACGATACAAGGCTGGGATCTTGGTGCGGCATTGCACCACCCACAGCGAGCAGGCGTGTCTTTGGATGTCGAATCGATCTATCAGGTCTTGCTCGAGGATCAACTGTCGTCTCCGCCCATTGTCGCGCGGATCAAGGCCATTCCTAGATATCGACTCGACACTCGGCAGGTTCAGCGGCCCGAAAACATGCCCGTGCCGGTGGGAGGGGAACCAGTGCACGGCAACGGTGATGTGCATCCGCCCATGGGCTTGGCCGACGGCATGGCGCCGCAGTTTATGCAAGCGGCAGACGCATACGGCGGGGACATGTCGTGGTTGTTGGATTTCGAGTCGGATTGGATGGCGCTGATGAATGGGCGGGGCGCGGGAATGTAGAGGTCGTGGTCTAGTGCGGCGAGCGTTGTATGACAGTTTCATCTCGGGACCAGGATTACACTCCAATGTGTTTGCGTCAAACAGTATATGCGCGAAATACCAACGAATCATCGCTGTTGCAGGTGCCTTTCAAGTTGACGCTTCAGTCGCGCTCGTAACGTTTTACGGCCTCGTCTAGCCAGTTCGGCTTCATGTCGAAAATAGATGGTACACTTTGAGCGAAGATATTGAGGGCAAGTCGGTCGGGGCAAGCCGTTCACCAATCGATTGCGACCTCTGCGAATGTCTTGGGCAACGCCTACATGGGATTGTTCAGGTTGAGTCGATAGCAGCCTGCTTGTCAAGCCTGCGCTGTCACCTGACGCACCCGTTACAGCACAACGCTCGAACGCCGTGCATGTCGAAAGCAAAACATCAACATCGAGTAAAGCGCTGCAGCCTGCGTTTCACCGATGTGAATCAACGAAATGGAATGGAACCACGCATGAGCAAGGGACAGGGCGAGAAAAGCCTACTGTATCGCAGACAGATAGTATAATATCATTTGATGTGAACAGAAAATTTGTTGCGTCTTGAGAGTTTGGAGTCCCGGCTTGGCCGTATCGGGCTCTATGATTGCCTCTTTGTATGTTACTTGATGATCTACAGTGCTGCAATCTGCATCGGATGGGCTACGATCGTAGCAGCGATTGCTCTCGACTCGTCCAAGGTCGACTGCCGTTGCCTGCGTGCAACGCGCCCTATCGCTAGGGCCTACTGCGAGCACAGGGCATTGACGCCTCACAATCTCGCCCTGGCTGATCATCCTCGCGTGGTCGTGGAGCACGAGGCAGCCTTCCAGAGTGATGACTCCGATTTGCCGCTGTGTGGTCCCGGCCGCCACTGAATGTGACGCGCCGCTCATGAAACGACAGGGAGACGGAACGGCCCACGCAGCGGCTTGCGATGAGGTGATTTCTTGCCTGGACAGAGGAGTCCTGTCGCTGTAGGGCTCCGAGACAAGATTCCCGCTTGGACATGCGCCTGGCCATTGCGAAAAACCCCTCCTGGAAGAGGCGAAAAGGTGCGTAAAAGCGCAAAAAGGTCAATTACTACCACCGTTCAATCACTTTACTGGGAGACACTGTAGCCGGGCAGGGTTGCATGTCTAGATGATTGAACATTATAGTACCAAGACGTCCATGCATCATCCCCGGGATTTAAAAAGGTACTTGCAGGAAAAGATTTTATCGTGCCAAAACCGCCCAAAAAGGGCAAAAATGTATGATTAGAGCCGGAATCGAACCGACGCAGATTTCTCTACATGAATACACCTATACAGGTAAGCTTACGCTTGAGTCATGCGCCTTAACCGCTCGGCCATCTAACCATGAGTTTGGGTATTTACGTCTTACCGTCTTATCCCACACAAAATCTCATCGGTAATGGCCACCATGTGAATTCGTTCATAATCCTTATCACACTGCAACATTTAGAAGTCACAAGTGAGATCTGGTGGCCAACCTGGTTACATCAAAAGAGTCCGGCACAAGCTCCTCTGACCATGGAGCGTGTTCTCATAGAGGCAATTCAATGAGAATTCATCTCAGACAGGCTGACCCCATCTACTCTGGCCTTCCCGCGCCTCCCCATGATTTCCCCTATAGACCCCTCAGCAATGGGCAATACGCACGCAACCATCCGGGACTGCTCTCCTCGCTCGACAAGACAGGGATATATATGATCACGACGTCACGCCCAGAAACAGAAAAAAAATCGATACAAAAACGGTCTCCCCCCTCGCCCGCGTCTAAAACCACACCGCCACACTCAAAAGATGACGTCCTCGTCCTTGCCCTGATCCAACATGTCCTTGCCGCCCGCATCTCCACCCCCGATCCCGCTGTCGGCACTGTACTCGACGCCGTCCTGCTTCTCGGCGGCCATCTCGGCCTCGGCGGCTTCCGTGTCTCGCTTCTTCTTTCCCTGAATCTTTTTCAGTCGGAAGAACTCTTCCCTGCGGGGCTCAAAGAGGGGTCGGTGTCAGTGTGAGGTTTTCAAGGGCCCGGAGTGCAGACGATACAGAGACCCCGTCGCGACCCACCTATCCATCTCGTCCAACTCTGAATTGATGTACGACACGGTGTTCTCCAACCTCGGAATGACGACGTGCTCGATCGCGTTGACTCGTCGGTTCGTGGCCTTGATGACCTCGTCCAGGATCGTAAACGCCGTCTGTTTTGTGCGCACACATACGACCGTCATGTCAGTCATCGGGTATACGTTTCGGTGCACAATATGTGCCCAAAGACTCGGCGCTTCTCACCTGCAGGGAAGCCAGTTCTACCAACGTTCCGACCGCCTTGACGTAAGTCTCTCTCGACTTTTGAATCTGCTGTCCACCTCGACTCAGACCGGTCAGGTTGAAGTCTATCTCCCGACGTCCTGGGTCAGCTCTATGATATCCTCACTTCCTGACCGCGACTCACCGTTCCCCTCCTTGCTCCTCACGCCCTCGAATGCCGGCAAGACGACTCCAGAGACGTTCTCCTGTTTGGCCCTGACGGTATAGCTCGCCTGTCTCACAGACTCTTGAACCTGGAACCCAATGTCTCCCGTAGTGTAGGTCACCTCGGCCAGAGAAAAGGAAGCTAGTTGGAGCACCCGGCCCATTAGACGTTTGGCCTACAGTCGACGAGTTGACAGTACATTCAGCATCGGCGGGCAAAAGGGCCAAGGGCAATCAGGCAGCTAGGGAAACCCAACACTCACCTCGTCCACTTTCCGCAGGATTGCCCTGAACCTGGTCATCAACGCATCACGCTTCTTGGCCAACAGCGAATGACCCGTCTGAGCTCCCTTTAATCGCTGTTTCGTCAATGTCAGGTTCATACGGGTCGGGCTGCGAGTGTTCAGTGAACAAGGTCGAACATTTCCAGTTAGCGTAAATTATACGAGGCAGGAGGTAAACGTGGCGAGGCTACAAGAGCAAAAACTCACAAGACCGACTCTCTTGGACCTTGACCAGACATGATGTATGCGTTTGATTCCCTTGTTAATGCTCGACTTCAATCAAGGCTATGGTAGGACCGCCCGCGTTAGCGATGTGTGATGCCGAAATGAATGATCGACAACACTTCTCACAGAGTATAGTCTCAGCAGTCTATAGAGCTTGGACTGGTTGTTTGGTCGCATAGATCGATTGTTGAACGCTCGACATCGACGATGATGATGGATGATGATGATATCACGAGGTTAAAGGTTGTGGGTGTTGGTGCTGGGCGAGGGCGAGAGGGGGACAGAAATCCGCGGATCACCCTCTCTCTCTCACTTGGCTCCTATGCGAACACGCCCGAGCAGCAATCGAGCAGCGAAACTAATCCATCCTCGACCGTCATGTAGCATGTAGGTAGTTATGCCCATGACATCCTACACCTCTCTCTCTCTCTCTCTCTCTCTTTGCTATTCCTCGAGCTCGTTTCTTCCTCAGCTCCTGCAATCCTACTCCTTCTCCCTCCACGATGCAGGGCACCATTCCGGGCAAGTTTCCGCCCAACTTGCTCAAGCTATTCGCTCCCCGACCCCCACCTACCTTCATCAAACCTCTCGGTCGGGACCCTCACGAACCCGGTCCCAACAAGCTGGACGGCGTGGCCGAAGTCCTCAAACGTCTACATGCCGAGAATGAGGAGAAGATGTTGACCGAGGAGCAGACGGGACAGGGGAGCGAGGCCGAGGGCAAGGAAAAGGGGTTCACGTTGGCCAGAGAATACCAGAGGCAGTTGAAACGGGAAGAGAAGAAGAAGCAAAAGGAAGAGTACAAGAAGAACCTCGAAAAGAATTGTACGTACTGGTGTGCTGTATCGTTGTCACACAGTTTTTGCTAGTATCGCTGAACATTTAAACCTTTCTAGACAACCCGCAAGAGGATCCCAAAGCTGAGGGTGACCCGTACAAGACCCTCTTCATCTCCAAACTCGTACGTTTTCGTCCTGTGTCCTTCTCTACCTGTATGCCAACTTCCTGTCCTGAAACTCTGCCTCCTCGACCTACCCACCTCGCAGTCCAAAAAAGTCACGGAAGAAGACCTCCGCAGAGAATTCGAAATGTACGGCGCGATCGAGCGAATCAGGATCGTCAAGGATAAAAAGGGAAAGAGCAAGAGTTATGCGTTCATCGTCTTTGATCGGGAGAGGGATATGAAGGGTGAGTCTGATGTCGACTGTCGCGAGCATGTCGAGATGAAGGATGCGCTACCATTTCGGTGACTGATACCTGTACTTACTCCCGATATACCTACCCCGGTGCAGCCGCCTATAAGGACGCCGAAGGGATCCCGATCCACCATAAAAAGATCCTCGTCGACGTGGAACGAGGCAGGACTGTCAAGGGTTGGAAACCCCATAAACTAGGAGGAGGCTTGGGTGGTCGTCCTAAACCCGTAGATCCGGTTGCCGTCGCACCGCCCATGGCGCCCGTCTTTGGAGGGTTCCGAGGTGGCATGCGAGGAGGTGATCGGGGTGGATTCCGAGGGGTGAGTCGGGATTTTTCGTCATGCTTCATGTCGTCCATCTTCTTAGGCAACGAGCTAACATGAAAACTCTGTGCACCGACAGGGACGAGGTGGGTTCCGTGGCGGATTCCAGCGAGGAGGATTCGGTGGTGGGGATCGTGGTGGCTTTGGCGGTGGTGGATTCGGCGGACGAGGAGGATTCCAAGGCGGACCACCAGGCGGTGGATACGGAGGGTGAGTCGCGGCAAATCTTCCTGCTCCGAGCGATGGCATGGATCGAGGCTGATACCGCTTGTGCTTGTTTCATGTCATTTTAGCCGTGGAGGATTCGGGGGCGGGGATCGAGGCGGTTACGGTGGTGATCGAGGCGGCTTTGGCGGAGGTGGTGGTGGTGGTTTCGGCGGCGGTGACCGAGGCGGGTACGGTGGTCCACCTGGAGGAGGTTATGGAGGGTAAGTCTCGCCGTCCTACCTTGTCCTGCGTGTATCCTGTTCGCCCAACTGACCCTCGATCCGACTGGGACGTCTCCGTCACAGCCGAGGCGGCTTCCAGGGCGGCGGTGGAGGTGGCATGAACTATGGCGGAGCACCAGATGCTGGCGCACCAGCAGGTGTAAAGCGAGAATACGGTAGCAGCGGCGGTGGAGGTGGTGGTGGATACGGTGGTGGGGCATACGGAGGGGGTTACGACGACAGGGACTCGAAACGGGCGAGGTATTAGCGGAGGAGCGAGGATCCTCTTGAGAGAAGCCAGAGCTGGGCCTTGGGATCAGTCGGCCTGACGGCGCCCCGTGGTAACAAGGAACTCGGGCGTCTACTATGTGTTATTTTTGCTTTTGACGACGCATTTTCCATGAACCAATTCGAACTCGGCATGGGAACCCTCAAACATGGGGGAGATCTGTATTATATATACCTGCCGATATTCATCTTTACCCGATCGAGCTTGTTCTTGGACATCTAGCTCCAACGAGATGAGCCATGTTCCTCGACATCCCCTCGGCACAATCGACTTTAAACCCCTCTCGCGGAGTCGATCTCCCCTCGGCACCGCCGACCTCTCTGTTCCAAGCACCCAACTTGACATTCACGGCTCTCCTGGGAGTTGGCACTTCGGACTGCCGCTTGAATGTCCCTCGGAAGAATATCAACCCATCTTGTGGGAGGATTGGCAGATTCTCAACGATCCCACAGGCTGGATGACCGTGTCATTTGTCACCAATGGGACTCGCCTACTCGGCAGACTGGCCCTCCACTTAACAGCCGCCGCATCGCTCTCGTCTCAGTATAGCATGCATCGCGAGAGTGGCCAGTGGCCTTACTCTGTTCGCGAGGCCAGTAGCGCAAGTAGGATGCATGTGTAGTGTGCGCCTTCAATTTGAACAGTCGCTTGGTTGTATGCCCCTCATCCTGTATTGCAACATCTTTGCTCTTCCCATCAGGCGCAAGAAGCTTGGACGTGAGAAACTCGGCAAGCCGCTCTGCCGTCCTGTATCGAAAACAGCTTCGACAGTAAATATACGTCGATAGTTGCCTGTCTGTTCGTGCTAAGTGCATCGATGATCGATGAGTCGCGAGTCTGCAGATGGCGGACAAGCAAGATATTCAGCCAAGCTTGCGTCATGGATATGTAATTTCTTCGCTTTTGCTCTTCAACACCCCAGAACAGGATATACCTCTTCAAGGCTTGCAGGCAAACCTTCAGCAACGATCTCCAAGTTCTGGTAGAACATGATACCATGTCGCAGTCAACACACTTCATCCTATGAGACTTGTTAAACTGATCACTTGTTCTCGTTAACAACCCTGTCGACGACCGTGGATGATATCTTGCCAGGATCGAAACGCCCGACGAGCCAGCGAGGAGCAGCCAAATGCATGGAGGACCAGGCTTGTCGACCTTCGCTCAAGCGCTGATACATGGCAGCGACTGCATGAGTCTGTGAGTTGTTCCGATCGCGATCGAGTGAGCGGAAGATCCGGAATTTTCAGCGTTATTGAGCCGGAACCAGACTGCTCCACGCTCGGGCATCTTGAAAGAGCGCTTGAAATCTCACCATGGACCACCCGATACGCATATGAGACGTCGGACGAAAATTGACGAGCTTATGACAATCATGAAACACGAATGAGAAAGGCTCTTCCTCCTCCTTTACGGCGCCTGGATTACGCGGAATCTGTTGCGTCCAAAACCAGTCTGGGCGAATCTATCAACAAACTCTCACTCGACAAGGATACGCTGGACCACTGACGCGGAATCTACCTCGATTGATTGATTCTGATTAAACAAACTGTGTGTACATCTCGGTGGATATTCGATCGAAGGCGGCGTACGGTGACCGGGATCAAAGGTTTGATATGTGTCGGATCGGGACCGGGACCGGGTGAGGCGCGATCCTGAACGGGAGGATTGGATGTGGGGAAGAGGGCAATTGCGCTGGAGGTGTAAGTAACCGGAGAATCAAACTCACGTTCTCACCTTTCCAACATCGATGGATTGTCAACCGTGTGGCCATGCAGACCCGTCGTTGAAACGAGATTGTTCGTTTGTTGTGATCGGCGGATCCGGGCGAGGGGAGTTGGTACCTCCCCGAACTTGGTACTTGCCTCTTTGGGATTCTTTCCCCGGAAAGGCGCCATTTGTTTGCGCGGGGGAGGGGAGAGGGACAAGGACGATGGGTTGCATCGACTATCGGGGTTGTCTGTGCTTCTGAACACAATAGCCGGTATATCGTATCAGACAGCGTGATGACATGAACTGCGAGGAGCCGGTCGAGTCTCAGAGGTCGAGAAAGATGGGCAGGCAGAGTTGACTGATGGTCTCCACGGGAGTATGGGTTAGTGGTCGCCCTAGAGTCCGAGGACTGAATCCTATTCTACAATTCCGGGGCGGTTGTGGGCGCTATTTCTTCTCCTTTTGGGCAAAGAGAGCGGTCAGTTTTGGGTCGACCCGGGGTAAAGTGTACTTAGCTACTTGGCAACCTCGCACGTCGTATTCCTGCAGAGATCAGAGATAGACCTACATCAAGACTGTTCGCTCTCGCCGTTATCGATCGTTTCAACCTAGGAACGAGGTCGATCGAGGGACCAAGGGATCCAGACTTTGACAACAATCCCGCGCACAAGAGGGAAACGAGTCTCGCGCAATCATCAAATTCAATCAAAATCGATACCACCACACTCATCCTGACCTCGAAGCTCAAACCGTTTGACCTCTTCGACATCCGATCACATCACTTCCTCGTTCTCAGACGTCATCGTTGAACACTCGTCGTCCCTTGGCAATCCAAGTAGATCCGCTAGATCCGCTACGATAGCTGAGCCGGTTTATACAAGCAACGTACCATCAACCTGGTAACCTTACTTTGGTCGATTCCATCAACACACGCAATCAACCGCACGCACGCCTCCCCCATCCTTTGACAGATCCATTCCCTTTACACCGTCATCTCTCTACAAGGATCCTCACCGCTTGAAAGCCACCACATATACGATCACCAATTATCCACCTACCGATCTTGCCAAACCCACTCGCTTGAGACCCCGAACTATACACAAAAGAATAGCTCCAGCCACGACCTAGTCTCTCCCACAAAGAGCTACTACGAGAGGGAAGCGAGAACGTTCCGCAAGAAGAGACTGGTTCTCGTCGCCTGTCATCTCACGACCCTGTCATGAGCGGTAAACCGGGAAGTCCTAGCAGGAAGATCAGACACCCACAAGCTAGCTGTGAGTGGATAACGAGCACACAGCTGTACCTCGGAAACGAAGAAGGGCATGTCGGTTTACCGTGATCTTGCTCACGACCTCTTGTCGTACCGCACAGACACCGGCGCTCAACCCCTTTCACCATCATCCCCTGACATGTCTGGCAATTCCCGCTCGACTAATCCCAACGGGACCGCAGGGATCTCGAGGACGATCGAATACACCCGACCTTCGCGAAACTCGGCTCACATCCCACCTGGTCAGGACATGTCCATGGGCATGACCTCGACCTCGGGTCCAGGTTCGAATGCGGCAGGACCTGGTCCTTCATCGACGGGAGGAAGCAAGCTGATGTCGCCCATCAGTGATCTGCCAGGGTCGAATGCTGCCTACTATTCGGGCTCGGGATCAAAGTTCGATTCGCCCTTGGAAAAGCCTTGGGATCTGCCCATGCCGAGTCGTACGGCACCTCAACCGCCTACACCGAGCGGGGGTTTGACACCCGGAGGTCTCTCGGCCCACGGGGGATGGGAGAGGGACCCTGCCGGCCAAGCTTCGCCAGGAGGAGCGTCGACGAGGGGGAACAAGTCGGCGGGAAACTCGCCCAACCCGAACAGGTTTTCGCAGAGTTTCGAAAAGGCTGGGATGGCAGACTATTCAAATGGGTCGGTCAGCGCACGAGGCGCAGCGAGTGGGACGGGCGGACCTCCTCCTCGACCTTCACGGGCGGGTACGATGCCCCTGCTCGACGCTCATACTGGCTTGACCGCGATCAACACAGCCGTAGGACCTGGAGGATCTCACGGGATCACGTCCCCGTCAGCGTCAACCGGCCGACCGACGAGCTCGCATTCGCCTTACCTCGCCTCGCCGCATATGAACTCATCCATGTCAGCGTCCCCGCCCATGCCCGCCGTTCCACCAAACTATAACCGAGCACCTGCATCGACATCGCTGTTGAACAATGCGAACGGGAACAGCCCTCATCTCCCCGCTCCTCCGATGGCGTTGCAACCTCCTCCCTTGCATCATCAACCGTTCTCGGCACCTGGGAATCCGTACGCCATGGCAGGGCTCGACGGAGAGGTCGAAAAGGCTGGACTCGGGGTCGACGACAACGAAAAGTCCAAGGGGAGGGAGAGGAGCGGGACAAAGTCAAGCACCAAAGAGGGCAAAAAGGGCGTGTTTGGATTCATGACGGGTGAGTTCGGGTCTGACTGGGTCGGCGGTGAAGCCGGGGTACTGATCTCTCGACGACCTTGTTTAGACCTCTTGAACACCAAGTCGGCCGTTGTCATCTCGGCACCCTACGATCCGGTGCACTTGACTCACGTCGGTTTCAACTCGGACACCGGCGAATGTGAGTCGACTGGTGGGAGGATGATCGTCGAACGCTTTAGAGCTGACCAATGCTGGACTTTTGCGCAGTCACGGGTCTGCCCAAGGAATGGCAGCAGACGTTGCAGGCTAACGGTGTAACGCGAGAAGAACAGGAAAAGAATCCCCAAGCTGTCAGTCGCCTGGGTACTTGCAAATGTCGACGTGATGTTGTGCTAATCGTCTGTGTTTTCGCTCTTCGACAGGTCCTGGATATCATGAAATTCTACGGAGACAACATGGCCAACGGTCACAGTATACAAGAAGGCGTCTTTGACAAGATGAAAAACGCCGCCGGGTCTAACCGGAGTAGCGGCGAGGCCGAAGGCGAGGCTGGTCAACCAGTCTCCTTGTCACAGGCGGCAGAGATCGCAAAAGCTCACGGATCTGAGAACGCGTTCATGGCCAAATATGCTCATCCTGTAAGTTAATCATATCACTCAGTGACACTTTTGAAGGGGTGTCACTAATGCGTTATTTATCCGACAGCGGACGGCTCCTCCACCGCCACCGCCAACGAGCAAAAAGGCTGGTATGCCAAAAGTCCCCGGTCAGGTCAGTAGATATTCGTCCTCCGACCGAGTTGTTGACGTATTTCTAACCTTGGTCTCGTGTTCAACCTAGGGAGATGTTCGGAGCGCACCCCCACCACCAGGCCCGCCTAAACCGTCGAGAATGCAGAACGTACCTACGGGGACTTCTGTGCCACCGGCGCTCGATCGATCAGTCTCGCAGCGAGCACCTCCCACCCAGGTCGCACCGAAAGCGCTCGACCGGTCCATGTCGCATCGGCATCCGGATCCTCGGCAACCGCCACCTCCCACCGCCCAGCCAAGTCAAAAGGCTCCCATGCAGTCATCCCACCCGTCTCGCGCTCCAGGCCAGAGCGGCAGTGCTGCCACAGCGGCCCTGTCGCGTCAAGCGAGTAAGGCCGCCCCAGGTAGTGGAGCGGCGACCCCTCGACGACGGGAAAAGCCCAAGGAGAATTTCGATGTAGTCGCACGGCTCAAGGCGATTTGCACGGATGCGGATCCGACCAAGCTGTACAGGAGCCTGGTCAAGATCGGACAAGGGTGAGTCACGTTCGAGCGTCTCGAGCGATGCATTCGAATCTGACGAACGACCCATCTCTAGTGCCTCTGGAGGTGTCTACACTGCGTACCAGCTCGGTACCAACGTCTCAGTGGCCATCAAGCAGATGAATCTCGAGAAGCAGCCGAAGCAGGACCTCATCATCAACGAGATCCTCGTCATGAAGTCGTCTCGCCATCCCAACATTGTCAACTACATCGATTCTTTCCTTTACAAGGGAGATCTTTGGGTCGTGATGGAGTACATGGAGGGCGGTAGTCTGACCGACGTGGTGACCTGCAACATCATGACCGAAGGTCAAATCGCCGCCGTGAGCCGGGAGACGGCCGAGGGTCTGCGGCATTTGCACTCGCACGGTGTCATTCATCGAGATATCAAGAGTGATAACATTCTGCTCAGCATGACCGGTGATATCAAGCTCAGTGAGTACCCAGTCCCGAGGAGCAGGCAAGCCAGCTGGCCGATCTAAAACCCCCACCCCACTCACTCAACAGCCGACTTTGGGTTCTGTGCCCAAATCTCCGATCCGGCCAACGCCAAGCGGACGACCATGGTGGGAACGCCGTATTGGATGGCGCCCGAGGTTGTGACACGGAAAGAGTACGGCCCCAAGGTCGATATCTGGAGTCTGGGAATCATGGCCATAGGTAAGATCGGGGTTTCGCTTCAGAGCGTCGAGGCAAAGTCTAACTAGTTCGAACCCGTGTGCAGAAATGATCGAGGGGGAGCCGCCATACTTGAATGAGAACCCGCTTCGGGCTCTGTACCTCATCGCAACGAACGGGACACCCAAAATCAACAACCAGGAGTCACTTTCTCCGGTGTTCCGTGACTATCTCGCGCGATGTCTCGAAGTCAATGCCGACAAGCGACCCGATGCAGCGCGACTGCTCCAGGTGAGTCGGCAGTGGTGAACCTATGCTATGACTGTATTGACAACGTCTTGACCTTGCAGCATACGTTCTTTAAATCGGCCGAACCTCTCAAAACGCTGGCTCCCTTGATCAAGGCGGCTCGAGAGCAGGCCAGAAAGTAGGGGCCAAACAGTCCAAGGACGATAAAAGGCCATCGACCGTTTCCTCACCCCTTATACCTCGGGCATGCTAGCATGTCTCTTCTTTTGCGATTCGTCACCGCAAAACCGGGCTGGACTGGATCAGACGTCTTTCTTCGCTGGTAGCCGGTGCGCTCATCCCGGCTATGATCTTACGTATTCCCTCTGCCTGCCGGTCGCGCCCCTCCTCTCTCATTCTCCTCCACCCCGACCTCCTCTATTCTTTGTCTCTCTCTTAACGAACCTTCCTCCCTGCATCTTTTGTTGTCTTGTTTCTACTGGCTGCAACGCCACGATCATGACGATGGTGATGATGATGACTTGCTGTATTTGCTCCGGGTCCCGAACTGAGCAAACGCTCGCGCGTCCGGGTTATCCGGGGTCGTCCCTCTTTCGATCGAACAAAAGCGATCTCTCCAAGCATTCCACGCGAAGACTCGGCGATCGCCCAGTTAGTCCGATTCTCGTTCCTTTTTGTCCGCCCAGGAGAGACTTGCATCCCTCGCTCTCCCTCCTCTTCAGCCCTCCTCTCGATCGTGGACAATCTGATAGACCGACCCATCTCTCTATCTCTCTCTCTTGTTGGTGGCTTGTGGGTGGGCGTTGCTGGAAAACGTTTCTAGAATGTCTAACCGAACCGAGCTCATCGAAACCAGGAACCAACTCAAAGCGATGCGGTGAGCCGAAAACACCTTGCGGTCGACGTTCAAGCCAAGGCGGTGCTCTCTCTGCGTCTCCCGCTATCGATGATCGCTCTGGGGTCTCGATGGCGACGGACGGTAGTGTTGCGGTTTGAGATAGATTGATCTTCCTACCTCGCTCCATGGCGGCGTCCCGTCTTGTCCACCGCTTGGAGGCACAATCTCTCCTTCGAGCTGCGAGCCATCCCGACGAAAACCTTGGCTTCTTGTGGCAATTGTACGCGTCAGCCTCGGTCATTACAGCCACCCATCTACAATCCACTATCTCCCAGATACCGGACGAGCCGGGATGATGGGTCTTGTCTGACTCGGAATGGGGTGACACCCCCACGCACCAGGCCCCCTGGACGTCGCTCTTTGTTCTTTAGCCACGAGGCTGGCTCGCCGGGAGCGAGACATGAGCTCGATGAGTACAACGATCAACGATCGGCTGTGGGCCCAAGACATGGTATCAACACCGAATCGGTGGATAGATACAGCCACGGAGATCGTGGACACATGGCTTTGAGTCCTACGTTTCGTTGATGCCTTTTTTTTTTGTTCACGACGACCCATGATCGAGGGCGTATGAATCGTGTGCAACTCTGCTGTGTTGATCACAACATGGATGCCCATCATCATCATCATCATCTTCGTGCACCATTCCTTCGTCCGTCTCTAGTATTATCGTGATATCGTGTCTGCGTTTCTACATCGTTAGCAAGATCTCCCGCCCAGAACCATGCATTCACGCGAATCCAGCATACAGATCCTCGACATGAGCGATTTCGACGAACTGGCGGACTTCGCCGACCTGTTCACCGTCCCGCCGACCTCGACCTCGTCCAAGTTTTCTTCCTCCCGGTCACCGTTTTCCCCAGCAATAGCCTCGACCTCGACCTCGTCCGTGTTTCGACCCGAGTCGATAGCTTACCCTTCTGGCATCCCGCTCGAGTTGGACCTGTTTGATGACGAGGCCGAGTATCTGCACCGGGCCAGCCCGAGCTCTGAGAGTGGGGAGAGCGGGAGTGGAGTGCGGGCTGGAATTAGGATGTCAACAGCTGATGCAGAGGGGATCCTTGCAGGTGAGCCCAAGAAGCGTTTCATATCGGATAGATCAAACGTACAGGGCGGCTGATCGGGAGTTTCGCCAAACAGAACTGAACATGGACGAGGACGATTCGATCAGCCCGACGCTTCCGACGTTTGATATGAGGACGCGCGTTTCAAGGGATCAGACCGAGATCCGGGCGCCATCACCATCTTCATCCTCGACGTCAGCGTCATCGTCGTCGTCGGGTTTCATGCCGATCATCTTGGAGATGAGACCTGGTGAAACGATCCTCGAACGTCATGATGACGCGATGCAACGTGAACACTCCTTTGGATCTTCGTCAAAGGACCCTCGTGGTGGCGTCGCGGCGGGACGATCATCGCGGTACCGAAGTCGACCTGCCAGCCTGGCCACGACCCTTCGACCGAGACGGGCGAGCACGGGCGCAGGACTGTCTGATTGGATCTCGATGTACGACCCTCAGACGCCGACGGCCATCGTGGATCTCGAGAGGATGGCGAGCGGGTTCCCCTTGATCCCTCAGGCGGTCGACGAGGAGGAAGACGTCGAGGACGGTCTGAGTGGCGGGACGAGTCGCGTCACAGGGCTTCCCAGGGGGTTGGACCATGATCGGCTGGATTCGATCACGAGTTGGCAAAGGGATTGCTGTGAGTTGAAACGTTTTCCATCAGAATGTTTGATCATCGGGAAAATCCCCCCCCCCGTGACTCGGGCATCCATACCTTTTTCTCCCTGTCGCAATGTCGCGCTCCCTTTGTTGTTGCCACCTCGGCGACAGTCGACGATCATCTGAAACCTAATCAAACATGCACAAGCGAGACGACACAACGTCCGTGCGATGATCGTTTCCATCGATCGATCAGTCCTTCGATCGAACCTCTCTCCCGCTCTCCCTCTTCCTTCCCGTTCCGTTCTATCGCCTCACCCTCGATCGCTGACAATCGTTCCACGTTGTTGTTCTGTTATTGTTCGTCGCCGTATACCATCAAACATCATCACCATCACATCAAACACCAATGCCGACGCGATCCAGGCATCAACTCGACATCGATTTCGGATTCCCATAAAGATCCAAGGAGAATCGTATCCTGGGATCCGACGACGACGTCGAATGAAGTCGATAGACTCGGTGAACTCTGTTCACTCGGAAGAATAGTCATTCAGCGACAAGATTCCGATCGACCCACGACCACGAGATCATCTCCCTCTTCGTCATCACTTTTACTTCGAACCAGATCCCTTCCGGATCTCGAGACGGCGTTTTCCGACCACACGAGACGTCAGTTCCATCAAAGGATCCTTCAGTGGCTGCCCGACAACATCATGGCAGGCTACCTTCAGGTAGAGACCGGTCTTCAGATTTCAGACGAATCGTCAAAGGACATCCACGCTCGGAGGTCACCACGACTGTCGACCTACTCGGCGTCAAACAGGCACCTCGCACCGCCTCAGCTGCCAAGGGTACCCGAGGAGTCTTCGTTGACCGACATTCAGTTCTCATCGCCACCTCAACTTCCTCTGCGACAATTACCTGTTCGATCGTCGGCACACTCCATACATTCCAGTCGCTCAGTCGATACATCCTACTCGATCCCATCACTCGCCTTGTCCCATACCGAGTTCTCGCCAAGCACCTCGACCTCGACCGACACGGGGCTTATGACCTCGAGTTCGAGCGGCTCCGGGACGTTTGGCTCAAAGGCCAGGTTAATACGACATCCACTTCCCAAGGACGACGCATATTCCGCCCGAGAATCCGTTCGTATCAAGGCGTACGTGCGTGGTCAGGAAGACGAACGGGAGGAAGAAGGAGGGCTGTACGCGAATCCTTTACGGGAACTCGACCTCCAAAGGCCTGTGAGCAACAAGTCGAATGGGACTCGACCTGATGCATCTTCAAGACCCAGTGGACACTCGTCATCCCTCGAGACCCTCACAAAGGACCTAGGATCCGATTCAAAGGGACTTTCCACTCCTCATGGTGATCAACAGGCTACGATAGATGGCTCCACCACCAGGTCTTATCGATTCCCCATAACACCAGATGGCGGTAGTCCGCTCTTTTTCGACGTCACTTCGGTCCTTGAAAAGGGATTTGACTACGACAAGGAGAACGACGTTAGCAGCACGGGCAACCCGGATGAAAAGCACGAGGTGGACATCAAGGTCGATCCATACTCTCCAAACGTTAAATCGCTCTCGTCTGCCTCTTCACGCCGAGGTACAGGAGCTAGTGGGACAGACACCGACGTGCATTCGATCTTCGCCACATCGAGCGCTTCGGATTTGCACGGAAGAAGAAATCAACAAGGTTGGGAATCAGGCGACAAGCGTTTCGTGCTGGAAGAACCCATCCGCACTGTCAACGACCATATACGGGTAGAAAGGTCCGGGTCGATCTCGACGACCGCTTCCAAGTCGACTCAGTCTTTGACGGTACCCAGCAACAACACCACCATCAGACCGCTCCACTTGTCCTATAACCCTTCGTCACGCAGGAGTTCCCTCGCTGCCACTCAATCCGACAGTGGCTCTGCACACCCCTTTGCCTCGCGCAACTCGCCCAATCCTACCACATCGGGCAGCTTTGAATTCTACAATCATCATACGGGAATGAACAGCCCCGGAACACTCGGTTCGGCACGCGGGATGACACATTCCATCAGTATGCCTCAGGTCACATTGGTCGCTCCGGAGGACATGGAAAAGCTCGATGACGAGGTCTGCGTGATCTGTTGCGAGAGCTTGAACCCTTTGTACCGCTTGGCAGGGGAGAAGCCGAACGTCACCTCCGCCTGTGGTCATAGTCTGCATCATGTGAGTCTCAGAGTCTCGATTCCGCACAGGCTTTGCGGTGACTGATCGCTTCAACGTCTGACTCCCATGACAGGCCTGTTTCACTGCGGTATATGGTCCCGTAAAATTGGCGCTCTCGCGTCGAGACTTGGGCGTGTGTGGCGTGTGTCGTCAGCCGATGCGCTTGGACCAGGATGAGGTGTTCCAGGGAGGCGGGAACAAGGGAGGCGGGAACGACAAGTTTGCCGCCATGATGGGTTTGGAGGGAAGCAATGGGACGAACCGCTCAAGACGAGGCAACAACATCACGACGTCGTCTCGTGGACAGCTTCCGAGCGAGTTTACCAAGGCGACGAGGAGCCCCATGGTTGACGCGGCGTCTATGTCGTCGTTTGCCTCTTCAGCCGACAAGAACGAGCAGGAAGCCGACGACCCCGTCGACATTCCCCGGAAGACCAGTGGTAGCGGGTCCATGATCCCCCAGGTCGTCGTTCCCACCATTACCGTCAAGGCCGAGCACAGCATCATCTCCAAAAGGGTTGATAACGCCAAGAGGGGTTTGACCTGTATGATCACGGTACAAGTCCCGCCATCAGGACGACGACCTTTTTACAAAAGCAGGGATGCGGAATCCCCAGCTTCGATCGACAGTCAATCTGGAATGCCGAGGGCGCGGACGATAGGCGGTCTCTCGAGCGCGGTGCCTGCCACTCCAGACAGTAGCGTCCCACCTAGCTCTGCGAGGTCTCTAGGCCCGGACCCCTTTGCTCACGTCGCAGCCGATCTGAAGCATCGACTAGCCGACTTCAAGAGCAGCGGACTCGATACTCTGGGCCGGATCCGCCTGTTCGACATACTCCAGGTCCGCAAAGGACAGTTCGTACTGGACATCATGGTCTTCTTGTACGACATGGCTATCGTCTGCGTTGCCGAGGAAAAGAAGCGGGGATTGAAATCACTACTCACTTCGAGCTCTAGCAGCAACAATCTTCGTGGCGGGGATGACAGAAATTCGAAAAAGTCTAAGGCGCCTCTCAAGTTGAAGGGCAGGATCTACTTTAGGGACGTATCTCGGATCGTAGACTCCTCGCTCGCAGGAGAGTTGAGCGTGACCATTCAGATGAAGGCGACGAACATCGAGAGCTTCATTCTGGTCTTTCGCGACAAGTCCGCCCAATCTCTCTGGATGAACACCCTGAACATGGCTCTAGCGGAATGTAACGGTGCCAGCTCCGCTATACCGATGACACCCGTCTCACCACCTAATTCGGGCATATCGAGTAAACTCGCTCGGATGGGGATCCAGGAGCAGGTCGTCTCGGCAACGCAGTTCCGAAAGGAAAGCATGTCCTCGGCTGTTTCACTGCAGACTACTAGTGACGTTTCGGTAGCCAAGCCTCTTGCACCTGTCCATACCCCCCTCGACCTAGTCATTGTCGTCCCCGTCCCTTCGATGAAGAGTCCCGCGTCCGCTTCCACAACCCTCAAGCTGGACCTCGTCTCTTCTACCCTCAATTTTATTGTTGCCTCCTTAGGCAATCATGACAGGATCTGTATCGTCGCTTATCAGGCCGGATTTGACGGTTGGGTCAAGCGAACTCCTTTCCTCAATGCAACCCGCTACGAGAGTCGAAAACGCCTTGACAAATTTGTCCTGAGTTTGGTCGATAACGAGGGAGATACGTACGAGCAATTTGCCGTGCCAGGGACAAGAGATGAGCAAATAGACATCGTGAGCGCCGTGAACGCTTCGCTGGATAATACTCTACAACGAAAAGGCAAGAACCCGATCAGCGGTATGATCGTGGTCAGCGACACGGGTGGGATTCCTAGCCGGTCCAGCATGGACTTGGTTATAGCTCGACTCGAAGCAGCCAAGTCAGTTCTCTATCTGCGCGCCTGTCATTCACATGAACTTGCAACTGACCCTTCCTCGCAGTGTACCGATCCATGCTGTTGGTTTCACCAAGAGCCACGAGCCAAGTCCTCTATGGCTGCTTTCCAATGCCACGCATGGCACTTATGTCTCTCTGACTCACGATTGGAATCAGCTCAGAGGTGAGTGGCTTGGTTCGATACGCCTCTACCGCGATTTCAACATCTAACCATCATCATCTTGTAGACGTCTGCGCCGGTATTCTGGGCGGCTTGATGAGCATCGTCATGGGTTCGGTCAAGTTGTCGCTATCGGCAACGGTGCCTCAATTCCGTATCCGACGCGTTCAGGGAGCTCAAAGCACCATGATCTCGACGGATGGTCATACAAGCGAAGTCGACTTGGGACACCTGGTATCAGGATCCAAGATCGAAGTTCTGGTGGACTTGGAACGGGAACGGTCCGGCTCTGTGGACGAGAATGGCGACCCTTCCGATGACGATGCCCATTCTGCCGGATCGAGCCTCCATCAAGTCCAAAAGACGAGAAGCATCGCGAATGCCGAGCCTCACTCCGCCGACTCGAACCTGAACCAGATGTGGGAAGAGGGAGCACTGGAAGAAATCCCGTTACTGTCCGTCGACTGCCAGTACATGGACCCGGCGGCTAGGAGACAGATCGCTCGTCTCAGCGACCCTCGGCTCCTCATGATCACGCTTTCAGCCTCTCAACCAAGCAAGCAAGTCGCCGCTCCCGAAATTCTGCGACGCAAGGCAGAGTTGCTTGCGAGTGAATCCATGACCCGCGCCGTGCTGCTGGTTTCGCGCAACAACTGGGCACAAGCGCGCCGCATAATTTCGGAGACGAGCAAGATCTTGGCGTTCAACTTGTCTAACGCCATGAATTCGATCCCGAATACCCTTCAACGAGCCACCCCATCAGCCATCCGCAAGGAGACCGAGGCTAGAGTCACGACTCATCTATACTCGGCGATTCTAGAGGATCTCGACGTACTCGGTGAGGGGTGCGATGAAGAGGTCAAGGAGGTGTTTGAGCGCGATCAGCGAACATACTCTGCCCAGCAGGTCAGTTTCGGATGGCGACTTCATTTCGATTACCCGGTCTTTCGTACTGACGTAACAATTTCATCACGATAGGCACTTATACTCAGAAAGCAGCTGTCCTGGACATCGCGCTCCGCGACGGAACAGCTATATATCACGGAGGGTTCGCAAGAACTGCTCGGCATCTCTCGCTCCTGGTCGCAGCGCTGAGAGACTCGATAGACCTGCATTTAGATGGTCAGGACGTTTTGTATTTTTTGCTGATAGCGTTGGTCGAAATAACTGTATGGCTACGATATGACACTAAAGTGACAAACAAATTTGTTCCCTCCACCGAAGGATCCGCTTCTTGATTTTATGACTTCAGAACCTCATCGATATTTTCATTGGAAACATAGAACAATGCAAGGTTCTGGCTCACCCCAGGGATATCTATCTGACGACTTCAGAAGGTTGGAACCGTTACCAAGTTGATATACAAGGATAGACGGCCCGAAGAACATTTCAGAGCCAATACAAAGATGAAGATGTTTTCCTTGAATTTCACATGACAGTCAACAAAGACACGTTCAAGATGGAGATGGGGGCCCAAACTAAGCCGATACGCCCTAGCGTTGCAATCGAGAGCATTATTTTTGCCGCCGATTTGGAAGATGACCCTGCCGTATGGCAGCTCTGCTGGGATACGGAGCTGACGTTTACTTCGTGCGTCATTCCCCCATCAACTCCTGCACAAAGCCGAATTCCCAGGGCTCACAGAGGCGGACCTACTCAAGCCGGAGTACCGTGAAAGGGTGACCTATTACTGCCTCTACTACAGCCGGTACCCCATTTGTCCGGGTGGCGTTCAGTCAGAATTGGAGAGCTTGAACAATTACCTTTCCCGCTCACTGCCCTACGACACCTGTATTACCTTCTCTGAACTCATCAACGTACAATGTGTTACCGTCAGGGCCTTCCAGGACGAAGCGCAAAGCCGTGCCAGGATGTATATCCGACGAGCAGCATACGAGAGCCAGCTTACCATGTTCACCAACGCAGGAACTCATCATAGATCATGAATTGCTTCGGGTTGACAAGGCGCACGGACGTCCTGTGCCAACAAGCCATCAGATGCGCATTCTCAATCTTGTTTCTCCATGGTATCATAAATACACGTTTGAGCGCCCTCGAAATAGAGAGACGACGGGAAATGAAACACTATTCCACGTCCTAGCCGAAGCGGCAGTGAACGGGGCTAGGAAGCGTACGAATAAAAGCAGCACAAGATACGGAAAAAGAGGAGTCGTCTATTGCCTCTCGTCCCCGTTTGACCCGTGATCGAATCAAGGAAACAGAGAGCCTAGAAGACGCCACCGAGAGAAAAAGCACAAAAGCACGGAAATTTCACCGTCTATCCTGCCACGCCCTGCGTCACGTCCCCATCGCCGTCGTTGCTGCCGTGATTACAGCTCACGACCTAACGATCAGGTAAGCGTCCTCCTCCTCGGGTACACCCTTGATGGCCTTGGCCAACTGTCGGTAGACGGGGTCGCTGTCGACGTGCTGGAAGTACCTGAGCTGCCAAGACGATCCGGCGGCGGCTTCGTCTTTTCGCATTTGCCTCTGCTCGTTCTGTGGACGCAAGGGTCGGTTATACATATGCATCAGCTGGTGCCGGTTTGCGCAAAGCTGCTCTTTGCGAAAGACTCACCTCGATCCTGCTCTTGTCTCGCGAGGCGGCATCGTAGTCACCGGTCCTGATCCCGTTGGCCACCTTGGACCACAACCTCCTGCTCTCCCACTCGCCCTGCTCCTCGATGGGCTTGACTGAGACCTCGGTCTTGGGCACGGTCGAGTCGGTAAAGACCTCTTCCGTCTTGTGGACCTTGCCGATCCCGGTCCAAGTTCCTTCGTAGCTCTTCACCGACTTGCCGTTGTGCGTCAAGGTGGCCTTGTACGAATGGGCCTTGCCCGAAACCCATCCTAAATGGTGTCGCCAAGGGTCAGCTCAGGGCCACAAATCGATGCACGGCAAGGCGGTGAGCGCAGACTCACCCTTCCCCTTGTAATCGATGGTGGCGACGTAACCGGTGTCACTTGAGATGGCGGTCGAGTCGGCCAACTCGATGTAAGGCGAACCCCAGATCAAACCCTGGATCTGCAACTTCGCTACAGAGGTCGTCGTAACGTGTCAAGACAGGTCAGTTGCGTTGCAAGGATGATTGAAATACATGTGGCGAAACTCACGCAGGGTGATCAAGTAGTTCTCCTTCTTTCCATTCGGAAGCGTGATGGTCAAGGTGGCATGTCCGTTCTGCTTGACTGTGAATTCAGATGAGTTAAAAGGTCAACTCTTGCCCTTCTCGCATCGCAACGACGACGAGCAGCCGCGTCGGACTAACCGATAATGGAACCGCTGCTGAAACTGGTCTTCTGCCCCGAGTGACCCGAGAGCGCGACACCAGCCTGCTTGTTCTCCAAGTGGTAGGCGGTCTGCCCGGGTCGTACGGTAGATCAGTGTCAATCGCCTTGGGCTGTTCGAATATTTGTTCAGGGCAGGCTTACGATAGGGGGGTGGTGAGAGACCTGCTCGACGATCAAGTGGGTGTCCCCCCGTCCGTTGACGTTGGGCCAGACTCCAAAGAATTGCCTGTTCAACGACGATCGAGCGATACATCAGCGTCCTGCGTGAGTGGGACAATGTAGCAGAGCATTAGATGACAAGGACTTACTCTCCCAGTACGGGGTTGAGGGGCTTCTTCTCGGATCCCATCTTCTCGTTACGGGTCTGACCACGCGATACCAGCGTTATCAAATTAGCCTTCCCGACCGCCTTCCATCGCCTGGAGGGAGAAGACTCACGGTGTACTGTCCCTTGAGGGTACAGATGAACCACCTCAAGACCCTCTCGGCCCTCTCCTGCTCGTCCCTGCCTTGAGCGATATCGGCAAAGAGCTCGGGTCGTTCTCCCCAGTAAGCGGGGAACTCGGTGAGCGAGGTCGGGGAGAGGATAAAGGGAGGGGCAGTCATGCTCGAGAGATCGCCGGTCATGCTGGCCAGCGACTGTTAGGGCACAGGGAAGACGGTGTCGGCAAAGTTAGTATCGAGCGAGAAGAGAAAGAACAACATGGCGGAGACGAACCTTGATGAAAGACGACCATCCGGCCTTCTGTGCCTCGGGGACAACGTTGGTACCTGTCAGAGAACCAAGAGGAAAACGAACGAGAGAGTTGTCAGCGATCTCGATACAGGACAAATCAGCGTTTTCGAACGGAATCCAGGAAGAACAGAGGGAGGACAAGGGGGGTTGAATGCCTCGGTGGTTGATGACGGCCAGAGAGGAAATACACCGATTCCATCCCACGGCCATCCCCGAGAGAGAGCATCTGGATCGTGTTCACCAATATGCTCCTGTGTGTTCGGACCTCAAGGTGGAGCCGGACAACACATCCCGTTTGTCTGCTCGTTGTTTCCCTCTCACACCACATCAACCGATGCGCGCGACCAGCTCGAGAGGGTTCCACGCTCATCAATCGATCGATCAGGGTCGACCGTCGAATCGTCCGATCGCCTGAACCGCTGCAATTCCTTGCTTCCTGGATCTTCCATTTTCTACCTATCGATGAGTTGCCTGCCCAGGTTCTGGTGGTTGTTGATTTCCTCTTCGAGCGCTTTCGATGATGCGACGTGGGTGTGGGAGACGAGCGAGCGGAGGGGGAGAGAAAGGGAGGATGACAGGGGTGTCTTACCTTCGTCAGCCATATTGTGTATGTGTGTTTGCCTGTTATGTGGTTGTTTGTAGGTTACTAGGTAGAGTTTGAGGAGGCTGTCCAGAGTGTGAAATGATGGGTTGATGATCGGTGTCTGAGGTTGATGTCCCTCTGTGTGTCGCAGTGGATGGGATGACGAGGAGCGACGACGACGACCAGAGGGGCGAGGGGGGAGAGAGAGGCTGCGCGTCATCAACCACACACATCAAGCACGCACGGACATCCATGATAACCCTGATAAACACTTTGATGTCCGCTAAACCGTGGGCTACCCCGGCATCTCTAGACATGCTAGACATGCTTCTATGATCTATGATCATCATCGATACAGTCTAGCATCGAACAACAACAACCCAGCAACTACAAGACGACAATGTCATCACGCTACGAAGAGAGAGACGATCGATACCGCTCGGACGACCGTCGTCGAGACCGAGACCGGGACGAGCCCGCATCATCCGATCGACATCGAACGAGAGACCGGGATGTCGACGATCGCGAGGCAAGACGGCACCGCAAGGACGACGATGATCGTAGAAAGGGCAGGAGTGATAGTAGGAGTAGGAGTCGGGAGAGATATTCGAAGCGACGGAGAGATCGGAGCGAGAGTCGGGATAGGGGAGAAAAGGACAAGAAGAAACGACACCGGTCAGTCCCGCCTGCCACTTTCAATCCATCTTCATTCTGCTCGGTGACTGAAAGAACCTTTGTCCAATCCGCTCCGAACCCTCCTCATAGCTCACGATCCCCCTCCCCTCACTCGCTCAAAAAGGCCGAGAAGAAGGCAGCCAAAGCCGCCCGCCGCCGTGAAGCCGAACTCCAAGCCGCCCGTCAGGTCGCAGAGATCAGCATGTATACGGCCGAAGACAACCCTTTCGGGGACAGCAACCTCGGTCAACAGTTCAAGTGGGTCAAGAAACGGGAACAGGAGAAGAAGTTGGGGATCAGCGACGAAGAGGCCGCGAGACGGGATCAGGTGAGGAGGTTGGAAGCCAAGGAAGAGCTCGAACGTCTGAACAAGCGTCGAGCGGAACGAGAGGTCGAGATGCAGCTCCGGGAGGAAGAGGAAGCGCGTCTGGCCCGACTGGCGGAATCGGCGCAGATGGCCGAGTGGGTGGCGAAAGAGGACGATTTCCAGTTGGAACAGTCCCGACGTCGAGCGGGGATCAGGATGCGGGAGAACCGAGCGAAAGCCATCGACTTTTTGGCCATCAACTTGAGATTTGCGGATCCGACCAATGGAGGGGACGGCGGTGCCAGGGCCGGGTTGACGGGACCGGGCGAAGAGGACGTTTGGGGTTGGGAGGACGCGGGGTTGGAATGGGATATCGACGAGCCTTGGTTGATATTCGAGAACCTCACGCTGGAGGACATGGAAGAGCTGTCGGGGGATATCAAGATGTACCTGTCCCTGGAAAAGGCGCCCGTCAATATCGAATTCTGGGAGGTGAGTCGAGCGAGATTCTCCGAAAAAGACTTGCTTAGCTTCGCGAATCACACTAACATATATTCAATCGAACCCCACCCGCAGTGCATGGAAAAGATCTGCCGCGATCGGATCCGTCAAAAACACCTCGAACGCGACCCGTCCCTCAACGCCGCCCAAGGTCGATCGACCAACGTGGCGGTCGAGACGGACATTGCCCGGCTGCTCGAGGGCAAGACGCACGAACAGCTCTTGGCGCTCGAGCAGAGCGTGAGGATGAAGTTGGCCAGGGCTAGCAAGGAACCGATCGATGTGGATTATTGGGAGGGGTTGTTAAGGAGTCTCGAGGTGTGGAAGGCCAAGGTCGGTAGTGACGAAACTAAGTTGGGAGGTCTCGTTGCATGCTGATAAATACCACGTTCTTCTCGTTTGAAACAGTCCAAGCTGCATCAAATCCACCTGGTCGTCATGCAGAACCGACTCGAACAGCTGCGTCAACGTCAACGAGAACAAGCGCTCAAGGTGCAGGAAGAGCTCGGTGGCAAGATGGCTGGTGGAGACTCGCTCGACCCGGCAGCGGCGGCGAGACAGGCGGCCGAGTTGGCTGCAGAGGAGATGGACCTTGGGGACGATCTGGGCGAGGCTGGAGAGGACGAACAGGTCGAGCCGTACGACAGGGAAATGTCGCCCGAGCTATTGGACGGCAAGGAATTGTCTTACGAGGACCGATCGCTGCCCATCGTCGACGAGGAAGAGAGCCTGCGTGCCCTCTTTGCCGCTCGTCGACTCGTCACCTCGACGACCTTTATTCCGCGAGCACAACGCGCTACCAACGTTCAAGAGACGGTCAACGCCCCCTCGTTCGCCGATCTCGCTGCCGAACGTTTATACAGAGAGGAAGCCGCGAAAAATTTGGACGAGGACGAAGAGTTCTTCAACCTCGACGAAGGGTTGTTCAACCCGGGGACTTATACGTGGGAAGACAAGTTCAGAGCGAGGAAACCGAGGTTCTTCAACCGGGTCCATACCGGATTCGAGTGGAACAAGTACAACCAGACGCATTACGAGTGGGTCTGAGCGGCTTGAGGTGGCTATGTTTCGTAATCATCTTGCTGACAATCCCCGTTCCGCCATGTAGTTCGGACAACCCGCCTCCCAAGGTTGTCCAGGGTTACAAGTTCAACATATTCTACCCCGATCTCATGTGTGTACTAGCCCCATCGATATTCGTGACTCCACAACTGACTAGTCCCATATACACAGCGACAAGACGGAGACCCCTTCGTACAAGTTCGTCCGGGACAAGAACGACCCGGACACCTGCTTGCTCGTGTTTACCGCTGGACCGCCTTACGAGGATATCGCTTTCCGTATTGTCGACAAGGAGTGGGAATACAGTCACAAGCGGTAAGCTGGGATGTGTCTCAGCATTCGTGCCACGAGGACGATGCTCATCAGGACGGCTTGTTTCTCGATAGGGGTTTCCGTTCCTCGTTCGATCGAGGTGTTTTGCAGCTGTACTTTAACTTTAAGCGACAATTCTACAGGCAAGTGGAGACCGTCGATTTGATCATCGTGGCGCAGTTGCTGATATGGATCCTTCTGCCCATTATACAGGAAATGATTCAGTCATATATTGTGCCATTCTGTTTGCGAGTTGCTGCTGGATCTCGCTCGCTGTGCCTCGTGTGCCCTCTCATTTGTATCAAATTAGTCTTCTGTCATGACAGAGTTGATATCTACACAACGTTCACAATGACATCCATATGAGCGACAGGATAGGTTGAGAGATGCATAGCTGGAGCTGGGTATTGATCGTATAGATCGTGCTGTCAGGTGTTCTCTCGTCTCACTGACCTGAGACTCTTCGCAGACCTTGTTGTATTTCTCTTTATCCGTCCCGCGCGCGAGGCGGCTCGTGGGTTGCGGCTCTCGCATTCCCCAAGCAAAACATCACCAACCCGCTGCTCTCAAACTCCCGATCAAGTGTCGATTCCATCTTTCACATCCTACACCTACTCTCTCCCTGCTCCTTTCCTTCTCCTCCCATCCTTCAAGACCACCTCAGACCCACACCCTCCAAAACAATGTCTTTCAGGGCTGCTCTGCGTCCTGTCGGGGCTCGAACTCTCAGGGCTGTGAGTGGTGACAGCGACGATCGGCAATCATCGACGACGACGACATGGTCGAGCTGACCTTGTCGCCTCATTGCCTCTCTCGACAGTCCTCACTGAAGGTTGCCGGTGTTCAGGCTCGATTCTTGGAGACTTCGGCTGCCGCTTCGTCCTTAGTTGGCGAGCTTCCCGAGGGAGGTTCAGAGCCTGTGAGTTGGCATGGGTCGATCTCGATGGCTAATGGCAAGATGGGCGTTGCCCGTTACTGATACATATTCGATTTACTCTAACAGTTCACCGTCAAGCTCTCTAACGACACTTTCCATTCGTACCGATGTGACCCCCCTTCGCTCGAGGTCACTACGACCAAGGACAATATGGTCGAGCTTTACTCGCAGATGGTGCGTGATGCATTGCCAAACCGAGTGTGAAGAGCGACGTCAAGGCTAACCTCAAACCCTTTGGCTCGGTCTCAGACATTGATGAGGCGTATGGAGCAGGCTTGTGACGCTTTGTACAAGGCCAAGATGATTCGAGGTTTCTGCCACTTGGCTATCGGTCAGGTTAGTTCGCAAGGCTTGTGAAAAGGCACACATGACCGACGGCTGATCACTATATGTGTCAATCGCGATTAACGTCTCGCAGGAAGCCGTCGCTGTCGGTATGGAGAGTGCCATCAACGCCGACGACCGAATCATCACCTCGTACCGATGCCACCCCTTCGCCGTCCTCCGTGGCGGTACCGTCAAGGGAGTCATCGCCGAGCTTTTGGGACGAGAGGCCGGAATGTCCAAGGGAAAGGGAGGATCGATGCACATCTTCACCCCCTCGTTCTTTGGAGGTAACGGAATCGTCGGTGCCCAGGTTCCCGTAGGAGCCGGTATCGCCTTTGCCCAAAAGTACTTGGGCAACAGCACCGTCACTTTCGCCATGTACGGAGACGGAGCTTCCAACCAGGGTCAGGTGTTCGAGGCTTACAACATGGCCAAGCTGTGGAACCTGCCCTGCGTGTTTGTCTGTGAGAACAACAAGTACGGTATGGGTACCTCGGCCGAGAGGTCTTCCCAAAACACCAACTTCTTCACCCGAGGTGACCAGATTCCCGGTATCCAGGTAGGTGTCGAGTCGCACGACGAGTTCCGGAATGTGATCACCGCAAGCTGATGACAACTCGTACTCGACGCGCAGGCCAACGGTATGGACGTTCTTTCCGTCCACCAGGCGTGCAAGTTTGCCAAGGAGTGGACCACCTCAGGTAAGGGACCTTTGGTCCTCGAGTTTGTCACCTACCGATACGGTGGTCACTCGATGTCGGACCCCGGTACCACCTACCGAACCCGAGAGGAGATCCAGAGGATGAGGTCGACCCAGGATGCCATCAACGGTATCAAGACCTACCTGAGCGAGTGGGGCGTGCTCGACGACAAGGAGTTGAAGAACATTGACAAGAAGGCCAAGGCCGAAGTCGAGCAGGCCGTCACCGAGGCCAAGGAGAGCAAGCCTCCCGGTCTCGACAAGTTCTGGGAGGACGTGTACTACAAGGGTACCGAGCCGGCGTTCCTCCGAGGAAGGTCAGTCGAAAAGAGGTCTCTTTACACACACGACGACGCATAGAAGCTGACAAGCATCCGTTTTATCTCTGTTTTACACATCAATACAGGACTCAGGACGAGATGAAGTACTTCTAGACGGGACGATTTTGGTCGATAGAGAGGGGCACGCGCACGAGATTGCAAGCCAAGTCGGAGTGATCAATAGACCGAAGTGTCTGATAGTCTGGGCGAGCTGAGCAGTTCGGGAGCGCGTGAGGGTGTATTATTCCATCCGGTGTAGAGTTTTTCTCGTTTGGGCGATATCATACGGTCTTTTCTGATGTCTGAGCCGTGCGATGCTTTTCGGGCAATGGACTTTCAAGTATGCATGTCACTATGAGAAGTCTGTCTCAAGGAAAGAGTGCGATTCAAGGTATGGTTGATTGGACTAGTCGATTTGATCAGAATGACATGAGTAGCGGGGTGATAGATGGAGCCGTGGAGGACGAGCACAACTTCAGGTGACAACAATGACACTATCAAGACGTCCTTTACCTCACGTTGCATTCAAGAAAGCGCACGAAGCACACACATCTGCGACATTCAACGATTGTTTCATGTCGACGTGAAACTGTCGTTCGGGGGAACGGGTGGAGGTGATTATGGTTTGGGAGTCATGGTATGACCGGTATGAGCATGAACGCGTGAGAAAGCGATGAAAAGTGACCCTCTTCCGCGAGAAAAAACGGGGGGCGGCCAAGTGTTCCGAGCCCTGGTGGCCTGGGGTGGGTGGTCCCGCGGGTCGCGCTTCGTTATTCGCTGGCAACTTGCACCCGCCCAAACATATCCACGTCCCTCCCTCCTCCTCGCCCTCCTTCCCCATCGTTCTCTCTCTCTGGTACGACATCATCGTCGATTAATTGTCACTCTCCTAAAACACCACTCCTGCCTCTTCCGCTCTCCTCTCTTCTTTTCTCGTCGTCTCTTTCTCCCCTCTCTCTTTAAACCCAAAAAAAGGAGAACACAAAAGCTACAGACAAGATGCACTCCGTCCTCCGAACTTCCCTCAAGACCGCCGCCCGTGGTGTCGCCGTCACCTCGGTACGTACATACCATTCCATGTCTTGTCAAGACGTCTGTCTGTCAAATGGAGGAGGAAGGAACAAGAGGTCGAGACTCTACCCTCCTACACCAGCTCTGGTCGATCTCGGAGGATGAGGCGGGCAGGTCTCGACGGGAGACACGTTTATCGAGATCGATCGAGGAGCTGGGCAGGAACGACACGACCTCTGTTTCTTCTTCCTTGCATCGACAAAGATGGCGATGCTCTTGCTTTAGCTGGTACGCACTGGATTGCATCGCTAACCCTCTCATCTCATATCGTATAGGCCCGAACTGCCGTTGCCCGTGGTGCCGCCGTCGCCGCTACCAGGTCTTATGCTACCGCCAAGCCTGGTAAGCCTCGACTCTCTTGCCCCAAGCATAAGTCATGATGCGAACGATGCTAACTGTTGCCTGGTACAGCCGCCTCTGAGGTCTCTTCCATCCTCGAGGGCAGGATCTCCGGTGCCTCCACCGGTGGTGAGCTCGAGGAGACTGGTCGTGTCTTGAGTGAGTGGAATGTGTGCCTCCTGGTCCATTGCCAACGAGCCTGATCACTGACCATGTCGCCGTCGTGTTTGTTCGCGTACTACAGCCATCGGAGACGGTATCGCCCGTGTCTACGGTTTGAGGAACGTTCAGGGTGAGTGGCGATCAGCGGAATGCAAGAACGTTCATGGCCACAATCATCCGAACTGACCTGGTCGCCTTTCTATTCGCTTCGCAGCCGAGGAGATGGTTGAATTCGCCTCGGGTGTTCAGGGTATGGCCTTGAACTTGGAGGCCGACAACGTCGGTGTCACCATCTTCGGTTCCGACAGGGCCATCAAGGAGGGTGACTCGGTCAAGCGAACCGGTACCATTGTCGACGTTCCCGTCGGTATGGAGCTCTTGGGTCGTGTCGTCGACGCGCTCGGTAACCCCATCGACGGAAAGGGTCCCATCAACTCTACCGAGAGGCGACGAGCCCAGTCCAAGGCTCCCGGTATCTTGCCCCGACGATCCGTCCACGAGCCCATGTTGACCGGTCTCAAGTCGGTCGACTCGATGGTTCCCATCGGTCGAGGTCAGCGAGAGTTGATCATCGGTGACCGACAGACCGGAAAGACCGCCGTCGCCCTCGACACCATCCTCAACCAGAAGAGGTTCAACAACTCGTCGGACGAGAAGAAGAAGTTGTACTGTGTCTACGTCGCTGTCGGACAGAAGAGGTCCACCGTCGCCCAGCTCGTCCAGACCTTGGAGGAGAACGACGCCATGAAGTACTCGATCGTCGTCGCCGCTACCGCTTCCGACCCCGCTCCTCTGCAATACTTGGCTCCTTTCTCGGGTGCCGCCATGGGAGAGTACTTCCGAGACAACGGAAAGCACGCCTTGATCATCTTCGACGACTTGTCCAAGCAGGCCGTCGCTTACCGACAGATGTCCTTGTTGTTGCGACGACGTGAGTCTCTCGAAGCGTCCATGCGTGACCCGGGCCGATCACCGAGCTGACGTGTCCTGATCTCGACGTTTCGCTCTCCTCTAGCTCCCGGTCGTGAGGCTTACCCCGGTGACGTCTTCTACTTGCACTCTCGATTGCTCGAGCGTGCCGCCAAGATGAACGAGAGCCTCGGAGCCGGTTCCTTGACCGCCCTTCCCGTCATTGAGACCCAGGGAGGAGATGTCTCGGCCTACATTCCCACCAACGTTATTTCCATTACCGACGGACAGATCTTCTTGGAGTCCGAGCTCTTCTTCAAGGGTGTCCGACCTGCCATCAACGTCGGTCTTTCCGTCTCCCGAGTCGGTTCCGCCGCCCAGACCAAGGTCATGAAGGCCGTCGCCGGTTCCTTGAAGTTGTACTTGGCCCAGTACCGAGAGGTCGCCGCTTTCGCTTCGTTCGGTTCCGACTTGGACCAGGCCACCAGGTACTTGTTGGCCCGAGGACAGCGACTCACCGAGTTGTTGAAGCAGCGTCAATACTCTCCCATCGCCACTGGTACGTTTAGGGCTGGTGATCGGTACAACCCACGGAAATGACAATGATTGACGATCTGCGACTTGAACTGCTTCCCCATACACAGAGGTCCAGGTTCCTCTCATCATGGCCGGTGTCCAGGGTCTCTTGGACAAGATCCCCGTCGAGAGGATCGTCGAGTGGGACGCCAAGTTCCAGGCTCACTTGCAGGCCAACGAGCAGGACTTGCTCAACGAGATCTCCCAGGGAGTGATGACCAAGGAGCTCGAGCCCAAGAGTGAGTGCCCTGTTTCCACGCGTCTGAGATCCTGTGCCACACGAGCCTTGCTGATTCGTTCTACCTCGTTATCTTGCAGTCAAATCCACCATCGAGAAGTTCAACGAGAGCTTCTTGTCTGCTTAAAACTGTTAGCGACACAATGGAGGAAACCTTGCGTGTAGTTAGATGAAAATGATGCGATGAATTTGAAAATCGATATTGAGAGTGATGGTCCGGAATTAATGGCTGTGGAGCTTGATCGGGTCGCATGTCGTGAGAGGGTCTTCGTTATGGCTTTAAAGGAAGCTTCTTGATTTTGACAGGTTTGAAACGACCGGCGATCACAGTCTTTTTTTTCCCGCTCGCAACCGTTACGCCCGTCTGCATCAATAATGGCGACGTGAGCCACTGAGGGTGGTATATTCAACGGCGTTTCTACTCGGTGGCCAGACATTGGGTGTTGTCATCCTCCCTCGAATCTATGACTTCGATCGTTCCAACCAAGACACATTGACAAGACCGTGCAAGGCTGGAAGTCACTGAAAGATTCATGACCACCATCCCTTTTGTATCGGCCTTTACATTGGGTCAGTTCCTAGCCAGTTCAAGGGAGGGTCATCCAATCGCTCGCCCAGGTTTTTGTTTGCCGTCTTATCAATCGAATGAGATGTACAAGGTGAAGATGATCCGATCAGCCCGGATGTCGGCTCAGCGCGAAAATTAAAACGGCAAACTGTGAGCACATTCCATGCATTCGGGGTGGCGACATGTCATTTGTAACAAAGGCGATGCGGGGAGAGGGGATACTGCGACAAAGTGAGGCGGCGGTCACGACAAAAGCCACCAAGTCGGATTCCATCGATATCTTGTCAGGCGACCACGTCACCCAAGCGGCCCAGATCATTGACCACATTAACGCTTTGAGCGATGTCTTCTACGTCGTCAAACAGGTTGCTTTAACAGGCCTGTGGTCCGTCAGGATGCCCCAAGACAGCGCTCGGCAACCAGGTCATCATCGTAGATATTCCTCTTGATCGGAATCGATCTCATTCTTCACCCATGACGAAAGATGCAGCCCAGACATGCCAGGTGGACAAGACGACCGCAGTCGGCCCGTTTTACAGCGCTTGCTGGTGGCACATGAAATGGAGAGATCGGTAGCTCAACCTGTTTGATCGATCTTTGGCCAGTTACGAGGGTAATGAGAAATCATAGCCCTGCCCTGCTGTCCCGGCGCTCCGCATTTGCTCAATAATGAAGAGTGTCACTGTATCGCCTGATCTCGAATTGTTGATCTCATGTCCCGGAATTGCGCATCGCCTAGCGATGTGGCGAGAGTCTTACCATTGGTCGAGGAATGCTCTTTTTGTCTGACAGCAAATAAAGACATATGACACACAGTATGAAGGAACCTAAGCATGACCGATATCTCAAGATATTGGTTCTGATGACGGGCGCATGACTATGTTCGAAAGGCGCTACATTCGCTTGTCGACGATTCTTGTTTTCTTAAGAAGAGGGGTCGCATTGAAAATTGCAGGGGTCGAATCCTCCAGATCCAGAAGGATGGCTGTAGTCAAGAGCCAAAAGAATCGGAAGACTTTGTGAAACTTGGACTTGCGCCAGATCGTCCCAACGTCATGGTGGCTTTTAGATGCCCGGCCCGGGGTATTTCTTAGACTGGATGAACAACTTTGACACGTCATGTAAGGCACTCGCGTGACGATTCGATCGCATTGTCAAGAAAATGAAAATGCCAAAATCCCGCGAAATCCCGCATCTCTATAACGCATAAGTCGTCGCGCGGCGCTATCCCACTCGTGTATGCATTTCCTCCAATTTCGCATAAAACGCGTCACGCGCTCAGCTTGCAGCTTGGTCCCCCTAGCCCGAGTTGTGACAAGATATAAGTCAGTTCACATCGACCTCGATCAACCATTCAATCCAGTCTACTTCTCTCCTCCTTCTCACCATCACAACTACACTCTCGAGTAATCACTCACCCACTACACTCTTCACCCCTCACCAACCCCCCAAACAACAACTCTAGCAACAATGTCCGGTCGTGGTAAAGGTGGAAAGGGTGAGCGATTTCTCTTTCTTCGACGCCGATTCGGCCTTCTTCGCCTCTCTTTGCTTACCATCATCTCGACATCGTCTTCTCGCTTCAGGTCTCGGAAAGGGTGGTGCCAAGCGTCACAGGAAGGTCCTCCGTGACAACATCCAGGGAATCACCAAGCCCGCTATCCGACGTCTCGCTCGACGAGGTGGTGTTAAGCGAATCTCCGGATTGATCTACGAGGAGACCCGAGGAGTCCTCAAGACTTTCCTCGAGGGTACTATTAGGGACGCCGTTACCTACACTGAGCACGCTAGTGAGTCTTCACAACGATTCCATTCACTCCAACTTTTCACATCTGATCGTGCCTCCCGTATATCCTTTCAGAGCGAAAGACCGTCACCTCCCTCGACGTCGTTTACGCCCTCAAGAGGCAGGGAAGGACCCTTTACGGTTTCGGAAACTAAGCCGTTCCCTTCCAACATCACCAACCTTCACAATACAACATTTCGCCTCTTCGTTCCTTTTCTTTTGGCTTGAACAACCAACCACAACCATCTTCCGACATTCGATCTTCGCTCTCAATCATGGCACTCGCCTCTTATCATCTTGACCGCCATTCCGATTCCTCGAACAAGGATCCACGTGCACATCGGTGCTTTCGCCTGGCCAGCAGGGCATCGAGGGTTCATTCGGGCTCGGGACGAACGACAGGGTGATTCGTCGGCGGGCTTAGCCTGTACCACTTGAAACCATTGTGTTCGACGCTGTTCTTTCTTGTATCCAATTAGCAACAATATTTGCATACCGTGCTCGCGTCGAATATTTTTCTCTTGTGGCCCACTATTGCTGCCACGACATGTTCTATCTACAACGTCTTGCCCTCGACCGCCTTGGACCAGAAGCGATCGATCGCTTTGGGCTCAATCTTCGACATCGAGATCTCATGCACGACCAAGTCGTATGCTCCTTCTTGTGGCACTTGTCCTTCGCATACGTTCCCACCCATGGCGACATTGAGCAAGATGTTCCACTCCTCCATCGGTCTCAACCCGCCCGGCAACGATGTCCGCATCACCGGTCGACCTTCCATGACCCACACCAACCTCTTTGCCGGCGCATCCCAATAAAAGTCAAACCTGAGCGGCCTGCTTCCCATCCCCTTCACGCTCGTCTTGACGGATCGATGCTTGCCAGCGTCCTCAGCCGTATAGAAACCCCAATGGAGACAAGAATGATTCTCTCCCGATCCATTCCACGTCTCGGCGATATCTACCTCGCCTTCACCTGGCCAGGTAAACGGCTCAGAGGGAAGCAACCAGAACGCAGGCCAGATGCCCGTCGCACAGGGCAGTGTGAGGGTGGCGAAAAGGTGGCCTCGAGGATGGGTCAAGCGGGTACGACTAACGAGCCGGGAGCTGGTCGGGGTTGCGCCGTCCCTCGATTGGATGGCCCGGAGGACCAGCTTGCCATCAGAGGTGCTGCACGGCGGTGACCAATTTCAATCCCTCAACGATCCCGCACATATCACCTTTGACACTCACTGAAACGAATTATCCGGGCTAGAGGTATAGCTCTGCAGCTCGTTATTCCCCCATCCACCCTCGCCATGTCCCAGTTTGTGCTCCCATTCCAAAGAGACGGGACGAGACGGATCGAAAGAAGGGCGCCAGAATGTGGTTTCAGCGGTCGAGTCTCGATCATGCGGGAAAGTCGAGCTCCCGGAGGAGTTTGTCTTGAATCGTTGGATCAGGTTGCGGAACGACATGACACCGGTAAGTAGAGACGAGGCTTGGAGGAATCGTTGTTCTGGCTTTGAGTGCTCGATTCAGGCTCGATCGTAAGTATGCCTCTGCTTGGCAAAGAATTCGGACATTCTGAGGCTGTGTCTCTTCGTTGCGCTTACCGTTGATCTGTCATGATCTGCCAATTATCTGTCTGGAAGCAGGGCGAAATCCACCTGCTTCGTTATCAAACTGAAATAGATACCAATATCGACAGTCAACAGATGACCTATGGTACCTTCGTCAGTCTGAGAGTTCAGCAAGCAGCGCAGACAAGCATTTGCTGATCGATTGATGCGTTGAATAAATGTGTACAACCAGGATGTTTTCGTTACAAAAATCGTTCGTTATGCCATGATATCGTGTCGACACTTCAGGTGACTGTAGAGATGGGTTGTTGCGGTGGATTAGCTTGAGGAAGGTTGCCAAAGAGCTGTCATGACAAGATTATGAGCTCGCATACATCGATAGGACTATGCTTCTTTTGAGGCGTGGGCTACTCACATCTGCGAGACTCTGTGCCTTGGCGACTCCGGCCTTTTGCACAACGTATTGATATAGCGCAGGCTTGATTGACGGCTGTTTGTCGATCAACTCTTTAAGCTGTTCTCGTGGCAGTTGCATCAAGGCTCCGAAACTGGCAGGAGCTATCGCTTTGACACAATGCATGAAGCCGACCCATAGCTGGGGGACTGTCCAGATCTTTTTGGTAATAAGCCGTGATAAAAGTGTAGTAGAGACATAGCCGACAAGGCTCTTGTACGTTTGAACGGACCGAATGACCTGGCGTATCGATCGCGAAGGCAGGATTAGTATCTTGTTCTTTTGTTAAAGTGCTCCGTCCGACTTACCGTTCGCATGAATAGGATGGGCAAGGAAACCGAGTCGATAATTCGTTGCATGACGACCGCCATGACCTCCGACGGGAAGCGGTCCGTGAGCGTGAAACAGATATCGATTGCTGTAGCAGCACAGGTACTATAAGTCACTTGCAAGTTTGCCTTTCGCGCAAATAAAGCGTTACCCACCTTCTTTAGCAGCAGACACGCCGATCGATTTTTCCTCCTCGTGCAAGAGCACTAGCAGATCTGCAGCCGAGAGCTCTTCTGGCTTGCTCTTCGGCAGATTTGTCGACGCACGGATATCTGAGATGGGTATGATGTTTCTGAAGACGGTTCTGATTGTTTCGCGCTTTTCCGCTGGTGATTCGGAGAGCACGCTGAGGATTCGCGGCAAGAAGCGATAAAGCTCGGCCTAAGAACAGCTCGAAAGCAATTAGCCTGGAGAGCACTAAAGCCTTTGCGCACCGTACTCCCTTACCCTATTCATCTGAGAAGCAATGGGTATAAGGAATTGCGGGGAGAGTTCTCGCTCCTCTGCCAATTCCTTGATGACAGTGACCAGCCCAGGGCTCGGTCGGGCGGTATCAGTAAATACTGTGAGAACGTGTAGCGCAAACGCCTCGGATTCGGGCGGGAAGTGTCGAAGGGATTCCAGCATTTTGACGTGCTTCGAGCCCAGTGATCGGATCAGCGGGGTAGAGATGGCCTTCAATGCCTCTTGTACAGATTCTTCACATTTGGAATATGTCGCAAAAATCCTGTGGAGCAGATGCTAAGCCCAGCTCAGATATGGGAGGTGGAGTAGCAATCAAAGGGCTTACTCGTCAAGTAGCTGAGGCTCTCGAACGCTCAACGCGAAGAGTAGCTCTACATGCTGCTGCACCAATTCTTGGCTGGCGGGCTGAGGAAGTTCCCGAGGCAGGTAGGTATACATGGCCCCGTCTGCCTCTGTCTTTGAGTCGTCCGAATCGGATGGCCGCTTGAGCTTCGAAAAAGTTGACTTTGCGAAAGACAAAACCATATCGCTCATTGCCTTGGAATCGGGAACCCATCTTTTGGCGGTGTTGATCGCGATTAATCGGATCTTGCGGTCTACAGAAGCAAGATGTATGAGACACCCGGATACTGCCGACGATTGTCCTCAACATACCGGCATGTGTTGTCATATCCAGCAGAAGACCCATCGCAGCTTGCCGCAGAGGAGGTCTCAGCGTGACAATATCTCTCAGAGTCGAAAGGCCAACAGCGGCACTGTATACAAGCATCAGCTTGGTTTCTTTCTCGAGCTCAATCATGGCCTCGACTGACTGACCTCTGAGTCTGTTCGCAAAGCCCACGCAGAATCTCCAATATCTCTTGCGGCAGGTCTGGTAGATCAATCAAGAAGGAGCTCAAGGAGTTGTCCGAGCTATCGCCATCTTCGATCTTTTCCAGATATCGGGACAACAAGACCTTCAACCATTTCGCGTACGAGGATCCGATGGCCTGTTTGTACCGAATCAGTTTAGAAGCTAGACTGAGAGTGGACGAGTGACTGACCTGTTCTGGAGGCGCGATCTGTTCGCTGTACCACTCCTCGTTCAACCAGACTCTCGCTAGCTTAGATCTACCGTCATGAAACCATCTCGATAGGTCAGCTTCCATCAATCGAAATACCCTATCCCAGGCTTACCTGGATGCGAAATCTTCCATCACATAGTCGCACAGGGCCTTTCTTACCCAGTCGTTGTCGGACGCAGACGAGTTTTCGCCTGATTCTCTTTTGGGGGAGACCCGCGGTTCGCTTGATCGACTTGCCATCCGAGCTAGCAGCAATACCCACATCTCTTTGGGAGAAATCATCGGACCGGCGAGACCTTGGATGGCCTCACTGTCCTCGTCCAGCATTCGCACGTCCGTTTCTTCAGCCATCTGCTGTTGGACATCACCCCCAGTCTTGCATATTCGTCTCATGACCTGCAAGACCATTTCTTGCCGACCCTGATCATCCAGACTCTCCACTTCTGGCAAACTAAAGTCGATGAAACGCATGGGCAGAGCTTCATCTATCGGACCTTCCGTTGGGGGTACTTCCTCCGGTATCACGATCTCCGGTACTCCTTCGGGTTCTTCGTCTTCCACCACCATGTTCAGCGGGTCCTGAGCGGGGCCTTCTTCTAGCTTGATGCCAATCTTTCGGTCGGCGCTCATCACAGCAGCCGAAGGGATCGCAGAGTCCTCATCGAGCGGATCAAGCAGCATGTCGTCGGGTTCGTCCTCTTGGAGTCGCGATGGCAATGCCAAAGTTGAGTTCTGTACCGCTGAAGGTGCAACCTGGGTAGACTGGACGACTGGGATGGTTGACGAGGATGCACCCAAAGATCTTGCTAGCGCAAGGTGGTGTGGGGCATCGGTTCCTCGCAGTCTATGGCGGCTTTGCTATAAGTCGTTAAGAAGAGCATCAGCCGTGTTTCGGGAAGACACCCGAATCATTACTCCTCACCTCGATTGCATTCCGGACTGCATTCTCGTCCATGGCATTCAAGGTGACAAAGAGAAGCTCCAGCATGACGTCAAAGTCCAGCTTGGTGACATCGACATCGGGTCCAAGACCGTCCCCAGGGCGCCCGCCGGACAGTACCGCGCCATCAACTTCGACCCTTTGGCGCTTCCCCGCTGAAGGTTGTCCGTCTGTCAATGCCGCTCCAACCTGATCGTGCTCTCGCTTGACAGTGGTCGAAGACGCGGAAGCTTGGACTCGGCGAGCGGCGGCTTCGTAGCGTGCAGCCTTCTCTGCCTTTAGGGCAGCGCTCGTTCGAGCATTTTGCTTGCTCAGCGCATCATTCAGCTGAGCACCAAACGCGGGAAACATTCCAGTCCTGTCGTATCCAACAGCGGCTTTTGTTAGCTGCGCAGCGGATTGCACGCTATCGATGTGTATAGACCAACCTCAACAGATGGACCATGGTCACCTTGAGCGCCTTTTCGACCGATCGGATCTGACTGGCGGATCTATTTGCCCCCTGCATAGCCGATGGGGTCCAGGCAGTGAGAGAGGGGACGAGGTTCGTGGCCAACGCTGGTCTGGCTTTGAGTAGCGGAGGGATCAAGTTGAGGATAGGCTGTAGAACCGCAGTCTCCCTACGATAGGCGCAGAAGAAGTGACAATATCAGCCTTTCGAACCCGTCTCGAAATATTGATACGCCCAACGTGACACTAACGTGCTATTTGTCATAGCCTGGCTAATCTGGGCCAACAGCTGGTTCGTCTCGTTCATCAGGTCCATCGTCTTAATGAAGGGATGCGTAGGGGGAACGAGATTGAGGTTCGGGTCATCCTTATTTTGCGATTGAAGCTATAGAAAGACCACGTTGGTTCGATGCTCGCTGTACGATTGACACAACGTATAGGTACGCACTCTTGGATCGGCACTTCCTCCTCGTGTGGCTACCATGAGGGATCGCTGGATGAACTTCCACGCCAACGAGCGTATTCCCACATTGACATCCTTAGGTTGACCGAGAGTGGCCGGCTCAATTGAGATGGCGAGAGCAAAAGAGAGAATCTGAGTCTTGGCCGCCGTCAAGAGCTGCCATTGGTCTTCTCGAGGTGGCCGGGCCAGACAACTGGTAGGTAAGACGAATCCGAGAAGAATAACCTTTATCAGATTCTATTTCTGCCGAAGCGATTGCCTATGTATCGACAACTCACAGAGACCTGAACAACAGAGGATACATGCAACTCAAACATTGTACCGCCAGCTTGACGATAGCAGGAGATGGATCTTGCAATAACTGGACCATGTCTGACAAAACCGTGCTTGCAACTGCGAGGGTGAGGACAGGTTTACGTAGGTCAGGCACTTGCAAGCAGAGGAAAAGGTTCGCAATACAACTGGTTCTCCGTGGTGCTACGACTACATGCTTGCTGAACATGACAATCTTGACAGGCTTGCGGTACGTACTAGTCGTCTTGACTTCCATCGACAAACTGCTTCGTCCCAACCCAAAGGCAATGCTGTTCAACACCCATCGCTTCAAAGCTGTATCTCCCGTGTGTTTGATGGCCTCGAAGAGAGGCAAGCAGAACTCCGTTACTCCAGCCGGGCGTTTATCCAGTAGATCCGATACCACCAAAAGAGCTTCGACCTGTTCCTTTGACTCTGCCGGCTTTCCCAAAGCTACCGTGAGCGCCTGGTATGGATCCTGGTCGGGTGCATTATCGGAATAGAGCGACATCCTGGCCCAACCATATAACGGATACGCTAAATCGATCGAGGGGATACCGGCAGGTTCTCGTCCAGCAATGAGACTATACAAGAGGAGCTTTTTCAGCTTGAAACCTGGAACGGGTGTCGGTTGAACGACATCTTGCACCTGGATTCTGTATGAGCAGCTTAGGCTAGCTGAGGTCGCATCGAGATCCTCCGGAATCGATTGTGTATCCGCGGTGCGTGTCGGGACTCCATTGACTGATTATGACGAGACCGGGGTGCTCATTAACATCATCATCAAGGGGAGGGGGGTATCTAACTGCATAAGTGATCACTCGAACCGTCCAATCTAGCCAGTCAAACGACAACTATCTAGCCATACATCAATCGACCAAGGATCGAAAATATGGTCTGTAAACGGTCTTTGGACGAACATCTCGGAGCTGTAACGCCATCCGACGACTGAACATGACCTCTTTCGTCCTCTCGCACAGACGTCTTCCCAAGGAATTCAGACCCTCTTGGAAGCGGAGAAGGAGGCTGCCAAGGTGGTGCAGAAGGCTCGTCAATGTATGTCAAATGATCGTACCATGTCACAGCGTTCGCCCGTCCGCGTTTTAGCTAACGAACTTGATACTAAAACTACCTCAACCTGCTGCAATATCTCATGCCTTTGCTCGGCCGTCTTTATGGAAATCAACGTAGACCGAGTACAGAAGCTGAAAGATGCTCGTGCGGAGGCTGCTAAGGAGATCGAGGCTTACCGAGCTCAGAAGGAGAAGGACTTTACCTCGTTCGAATCCGAGGTATGTGATGTCTCGGCCTGTCCTCAGTGTCTCGCAACCACGACCTTGTGCTGATAGCTCGTGAAATTTTGTGTCTCACAGCACAAGTCTCAGACCAAAGACTCTCAGGCTACAATCGACAAGGACACCGAGAAACAGGTGGAGACGCTCAAGACTGACGTCGAGAAGAACCGTTCGGCCGTCATCGACAAGATCCTCGAGCGTGTGATCCAGAACGACCCCCAGCTGCATCAAAACCTGACAAAGGTCGAAGCTTGAGTGAACGGAGTGTCATCGTAGACAGATCTACGAGGCCGGAACGCGATGGGAAGAAAGGGAATCCATGGGGACAGGGACCGTCGCCGAGACGCTGGGATCCCCGTCCTTTAAGGGGGCCCCGTTGTATGCACCATATTGTTTTCTGTTTGACAAATGTTATCGATTCCTATACCACACTTAATATGGTTTGGGATGGAGGTATCATGCTACCGCGCTACCGAGATTGTTTGCCATGTACGACAAGACAGCCGCGACCGCGATCACCAGTCTCGAAATCCCAGCCAAATGTCTAGCTCCTGCCTTTATCGCCAATGGACCTCAACTGTCGTTAATTATATCTGAGTTCGTCATGTATAAGCCTTACAGCTAGTAAATAGGGTATAGGGCTAGCCAATGGCCTGTATCGTAAAACGCCTATATCGCGTTATCCCTTTCCTGGAGTTGCAAGCTCGTCATCGACTGGCAGCGGCGGCGGCGGTCAAAACGGCCAGACCGGACATCCCATTACTACCCTGGCTGCCTTGCCGGAGAGATTGCTCTGCTCTCATCGCTCGGTCTTCACGATCGTCGTCCCCTTCCGACCTTCTCTCCGTCTGCCCAGAAGAAACGTTTCCCGTCTCGATACGCCGTCTCTTCCTTTCAGGGTCCGAATCAGTCTCTTCGTCGTACCGGCCGCTGAGAATGGGCGACATGTTGCTGCTAGCTCGTCTAGATTCATGAGCTGGACTTCGAGGTCTTCCTGTGCCTGCGCCGGACACAGCGCTGCGAGGCGAGAGACCCGATGGTCGATCCGATCGAGGGCTTTGAGCTGGCTCGTCCAATAGGTCGAAGAGTTTACGAGGCGTGATATTGGGAAGTCGTTCCGGTTCCGAGCGACCTGATGTTGCGATCGGTCGCGCAGGCGGCAGCATTATCTCTGACCTAGATCCATCTAGAGGTGATCTCTCCTGAGGTCTCATCCTCCTATCGGCAGGTTCAGATACAGCGGGACGTCCCGTATGACTGAGAGGAGGAAGCTGTGTCCTGCCTGAGCGGCTAGCAGAACTGTATGCAGGAACCTCCGGCGCGACTGGCCTTGGAGGGATTGGACGCCGCTGAGTGCCCCATATTGCAAACAGGTCCCCGTACCACTGTTTCAACCGCATCTCGGTCTGTTGGTGGGCCGCAGAAGGGCTTGCACCGGGGGCTAAGGACGAGGCGGTGTGCGTGATCCAATTGGATACTATGTGCAGAGGAAAGAACACTGTGCATCGACGACGTCAATCAGCTTGAGTATTGCGGACCTCAGAAGCTAGACAACCTACTCTGCGGCGAGTGTCTTCCGATGTCTCCGATCGTATCCAGAATCACAGCCAGGTTATCCACCGCTTGTGATTGTCGTCTGGCCGTCATACCAGCATCAACGTCTCCGGATTGAGCCGCTATAGATTGCAGGTAAAACTGGCTCGACTCGGCCAGGGAGTGTGAGAGCGCAAAACAGAACCCGGTGGCCGACATCCATGCGACGGGCGAAGCCAGTTTGTTCAAGCTGCCGACAAAGTTGACCTCGTCGAAACGCAAGTGCGGTGGGAGAGAGCAGGCCCAATTCTATAGCAAGCTTTGATTGAGCGACAGGCTTTGATCCCAATGCGAGCGTTGCGGAACTTACCCTCAAAGAGTATGACAGGTCGTCCGGAGAGACGTGCGGGAGCTTCCCGCTTGAGCAACGGTTGGAGAGTTCCATGATTCGAGAGAAGACCGACAACTAGCGGAAACGCACGTAGTCAGATTACGGAGATCGTTGTCGTGTGGTTTCTCTTGACTCACAATCCTGACGACATGACCGAATTCGCCGACATCGTATTTATCCAAGGGAACATCCGCTCCGAACATTGCCTTTGGCTTCGTCGCCGTATAACCCCCTGAGCGATGCCACAAGGATTCGCTTCCAGGCAAGGGCGTCGAAGTAAGCTCGGCGTCAGTTAGACGTCTGGCCCGACCGTCAGCCGACGCTGAAACATCCGCCAGGTAGAGCATCCACAGCGTGCGTGAGCGGCATTCTACCAGAGTGGCGGTTCTCTGTTCGTCCGATACAACTTCATCCTCGATTGCGAGGTTATTCGGTTCCCCATTCCTAGGTCGAGCTAGCTCAATCGCGATGTCTGGAACGATGTGTGGGAGCAATCATTCAGTTGTATGATCGAAATGATACGAATCGAAATACCTGATCCCACTCACCCAGGTACTGAACAGACTTGTGCGGCCTCCCCATACTCTGTTCATACAGCCCGATCAGACAGATAGCCTGGATCATCTCGGTGTCGGTCCAGGTCAATTTGTAGGCGGGGTCGTTCCTGCGCTTGTTGATCCCCTCCATCAGATCGTCTCCCTTGGCGATTCCGGACGCCCTCAACCAGGCGTTGGCCTCTTGTTTAGCGCGACTCGCTAACACTTCGCCTCGCGCATGTGCGGGAAAGTGGGCGTTCGATTCCGAGATGGAAGGCGGAACGAAGATCGAGTGGTGCATGAAACGCACGGCGAATGCGTAAATGATATGCAAGAGCGCAGACGGGACCCGGTCGAGGTAACGTCGGTAGGCAAAGGTAGGTTGGTGGAACATGAGCTGGTAAGGGTGCACCCTGGCGAAGAATTGATGACACATCTCTTCGACCAAGATGTCATCCGCGTCGATACGCTCGACGACCGAGAGATACCACTCCTCGTCCCTGTCGCGTCTCCTGTTGCTCTCTTCCGATCTTCTTGGTAGACCGTCGGGGGGGCCGCCTCGTCCGGCCCCGTTTGGTGGTTGTCCCGAAGACGAGTCTCGACTAAAGTTGGAGTTGCCAGAGCTTCCAACAGATCCAGAGGCGTGATACGACTTGGATGAATTGTTCGGTAGTCCGGACGAGGTCGTGTGTCCTCGTGAGCCATCCCCGTTCAAGTCAACCCCGAGGCCGTTGAGAAACGGGTTGACATGGCCGTTTTGACTACGTTCGAGCGCGATAGCCTCTGCCACCTCCAGGTCCCTCGCGTCTAGCCACGATGCTCGATCGTCTGCGGCTTCCTTGTCCGAAGCTCGTCTCGCATCTTGAAGCATGTCGTATACTCTCTGAGACTCCCTTTCGACCGCCCAGGTCAGGTCGATCGAGCGTCGAGGTGCTTGGGCAGACCCGTGTGGAGCGAGTGAGGGATCGGCCATGTCCGGCCTGTTCGTGTCATCGTCCGTGGGTTTCTTGTCATCGGGAGATTCCGACTTGTCAACTTGCATGGCATCGCGAGTCCGAGGAGGAGGGATGGCTTCTCCCGCGGCATTAAGATACGAACAGACCCGAGATGAAAATTCGCTGTGAAGTCGAAGAAGGAACGAGGTGAGATTTCGAGGATTGTACTCCACGTATGGCGTCCGCTCGACGTACCAGTTGCTGCACGGCGCGAATCCGTCACATCTTCTCTTGTTCTTGTGGCAAGCCGAACAAGCCTTTGCCAACCTTTTCCTCTTTCGTCCCTTCGTCGTCAACTCGAGATGAAACGGATTCGGAGAATTGCCCGTTCGGGAAGAAAAGCTGGATTGACTGTCCCTGGACATCATCTCGGGACGTTTGGCGTTGAAAGGATGCCCCTTGTGTTCCCCATAACCTCGATCGGAAGGGGTGAGGGGACCCCTGAGATGGGCCGACGAGGCTGAGAGACCCGACATGAATCGCAACATGTCGGGTCGACTGGGCAGAGGAGCGTCGGACGTGCTGTTCCTATTCCAAGAAGAAGGACCTTGAGACGGGACGGCCGTGGATGATGACGGTAGTTCCTGTCGAGTCCGGGAAGGAGGTGGAGTGAACGAGGACTCGTCGAGATGATATCGAGGATTGGCCGTCGACTTTGAAATGGATTCTCGCCTCTGTGGCGACTTGGAAGAAGAGGCGACAATGGGAGGGGGATGCTGACCAAAGGCCAGCGTGTCGGGTGGACTGTGGATCTTTATACTGCTACGGCGGCGAGAAGAGGCACTGGCGTCACCGTCGTTGTTGTCGCGATCGAGTGCATACGCTGAGTGATGCTGATGATGATGATGCTGATGCTCAGGGATGACCCCTGAGATCTGACCGACAGAGACGGCGTTTGAGGTCGAAGATTCCGTCATTCCAGCAGCAGCGCCAGGGACACTGCTTCTAGCGTTCGGAGGATCGCTAGGGGTCGTCGTCGTCGACATGACGATACGGGGTCGCGAGGGCTGTGCGGTTGCCGCCCGATCGTTTGTTTCGGGTTGATCTGTGATGATCCGACCCGGTGGAAAAAAGGGGAGAGAAGTCGTTGATCGTCGTCAGCTTTGAACCCCCCTGGATTAACCGAAGGCGATAGAGAGACTGGGTGGCTGGGTACGAAGCGAGGTGGATAGTAGCAAGTAGCAAGTAGCAAGTAGTCATGCATCGGATGGATCGCTTCCGAGGTTGGGGGGGCTGTGACATGATGGCATGAAGAGGGTCGTGCGTTCGACTATCGCTCGCGCTCGATCCTCTTGCAACCTCGATCAAGATGACCAATGCGTGCCGATCAGACTTGTCCTGGTGACCATCACAAAGAGCTGCCAACCCCCTTGTTTCACTCGGCACCGTCTTGAGCGGAAGATCTTGACTCGGTCACAACCCGAAGCCGACAGGCCGAGCCAGGCGCCAGAGGCCAAAGGAGGGGACATCACATGCTTGCGCAAATGAAATAGGGATCTAGAGAGACGCAGCCGAACGCACCTCGGCTGGGAAATGTAAATGCCTTGGCCTCCCCGTCGTTATCTGCCTGCTGGTCCTGGTGATCCTGGTCTACTTCCCAAAGGACGGGTCGGGTAGAAGCCGGAGCCGTAGAAGGTCAAGAATATGATCGAGGTGCGATCGAAAGGAAGGGGGCGAGATTCGAAACGGATCAGATATGGATTGCGCGATCAAGGGGAAAGGAAGGGCGACGATCGTCCTGAAACACTTCGGGACGTATTGTAAACTCGTGCGACTCACCAGATCGTCCTACTGAGCAATCTTCTCGCCTTCGATCATCCTCGTCAAGGCCATCGAAACCTTCACCTTGTTGTCGTTCGTTCATGACGAAGGAATGTCTTGATCGAAAGGTCTCGTTTGTCGCCTAGGTAGAGTAAAAACTCGGACACTTGCGGTTTAACCGGTCCGGGGTGAATGAGATCTGCAATTCTGCAACGAGTGCGCGGTTCAACGAGCTCAGCTGTTCTGCATGACGACGATGATGGTGCGTAGTCGAGTCGTGTGGGCGTTCAACGCACCGAAGTAACAGCGATCGGATGGGTCGATCCACCCAAAGGATGCACGAGGTTGTTGCTTTACGCCGAAGTAGACAACAAGCCCAGGAGCTTCCGACGAAACGTCCGAGATTTCCGGCACCGGTGACTGGGATCTCTCGATTGCTCTTTTTCCAAGGCACGCAGACTACTGACTTACCCAAACAGAAATGCAGGCGTCACGTTACACAAAGATGAGAGTGGATGATAGCTGTGGAATGCCCAAACGTCGAGATGGAAACAGATCGATGTTCTCGAAAATGGAGTCCTCAGCCGGACATTGCCGCCCGGACGACGGTTGTGCATCGACGAAGGAGTGTCATGCGTTGAAACGAAACCCTCACCCTCCGTCCGGAGCTCACTCTACCGAAAATTACCAACCCGGTTGGCCCCTCGCTTGCCCCGACTACTTGCAATACGGCCGGCGGTGGGGGCTCGCCTATCGCGGACCGAAGATGGGGAACCGCAAGCGAACGTGGACGGGAAAGAACAGGGACGCGGAGCAAGTGCCGCTCGCGTGAGCGCGGCAATTGCGGCAATGGGGTCGACGCCGCCGGGTGAAAAAATGTGGAGCGGGGGACGATTCCCCGGCGGAAGATCGTGAATGCCAGTGTCGATGAGTACATCTGCTGCTGTTGACGAACGCGATTACAACTGCTCCGAGTCTGCTGGGCTGACCAGGGCCATCTTGACCTTTGATCGTTGGGTCTGCTTGTCCTTCTCGAGCGAGATGTCAACAACGACGGTATCAAATACCGAAATGTCGACTTTGTTCCCTTCGCTGTTTGGTACCGCGAGTTGGTACTGCTCGGCATCATATTCATGAGAGTCCTTGCTGAACGTGATCAGCCCCTCGAGCCCGAGCCTGTCAAAGTGATCGACGTCGATCAGCGGCAAATTCGAGACGCATCCGGCCGAGAACGAAACTCACGTGGGGACGAATACGGCCAAACCGTTCTTGAACACTCTGATAACAAAGGCGTCCTCTCGAGTGACCCCACCGTCGTCTCGCCCTGCTCTCTTTCCTCGAGCCTTGAGCGCCAGGCCAACATAGAATTCCACACTCGCTCGACCAGCCATTTGAGCCAGACGATGTCTCCGGTTGACGACCGACATGGCTCGCTCCACGTGAGACTTGGACAGCAGAGAAGGATGCAGTGTCGTATATCCGATGGCAGCAGCCAATTGACGATGGGCCAAAACGTCGGCATATCGACGAATAGGAGACTGTAGATCGTCAAGAGCGAAACATGAGAACAGGAGACACACGCCGCAACAGGGACGGCGGACTGACTGTGAAATGTGTGTAGATGGGCGTCGCCAATCCGTAATGCCCAAATGTGTCTTTTGACACACTTCCGGCACAGAAGTACTCGGCAGCCAGCATACATCGAGTAGCCATGATCCTGACCAAGGTGTTGAATTCGGGATGTCCGGGATCCTGCAGCAGGCACGAAAGTCAATGGGAGGCCACCGCAGGTATGCTGGGACTTTGGCTTACCACGCATTTATCCAACGAATCGGCAAGGGCTTTCGAAGACGACACATCAAGAGACAGTCCCTTGCGCTTCGCCAAGATGTCTTGCAGTGTCTCGAAATTGGTTTGGGGCGGCGGCATATGTCGACTGAATGGGCATATAGGGATCGTCAGTAACCGGCTGATTGAATAAACTGATTTTATCGCTTACCGAAGGACCGCGGTTTGGGGATATGCCTCTTGTATCCGCTTGGCAACGCTAATGTTGGCCAGCAACATGAATTCCTCTACCAAGCTATTCGTCTCCAACATTGCCTTTTGTTCGACGTCGATAGGCTCAGGCGCTCCCTCGTTCGAGTTGAGGTGGATTTTCAACTCGGGGGAGGACAGCGAAAGAGCCCCAGCAGCGATACGTTTCTGCTTCAGCTTGATGGCGAGTCTGTTTAGCAGACGAATGCCCTCAGTGAGAGGGTCCTGCAGAGACCTACGTAAAGCAATCATCGACATCAGCCCCAGGCAAAAATAGTCGAGATGAACTGCCACCTACTTGTCATCCTTGCGGTTTTGCGCTGCCTGATAAGTAAACGCCTCCTTCGATGCGATGACCGACTTGGTGAATCGCACACCGACAATGTCACCATCAGGTGTTAGTTCCTGGTGATGTTCAAAAATCAGGTCAATACGTTGGAGCGAGAACATTGGTACAATGAGACCTACCCAGATGGCTGAAAAGGCCAACCGCTCGACGAACGGCCTCAGCGAGCAAAGGTTGGTACCAAGAAGACTAGGCAGCATATCGATACGCTTGTCTACCAGATAAACAGTGGTTCCCCTCGAAGCAGCCTCGGCGTCCATCGGGTTGTCCGCATGAACGAAATGAGACACATCGGCGATGTCTGCGTCCAGGAGTTGAATCAGTCGCCTTGTACTGTCGCGATGCCAGAGGGTCAGACTTACGGACACCGGCCTCGATGTTTCCGTTGGGAAGCGGTCGAGCGTGCAGAGCGTCATCGATATCTTGACAGCCTGATGCAGAACAAATGTATCAGTGATACAGATTACCTTCAGTAATGAGAGGCCCCTGAGAGACTCACCTGGAGGGTCGATACTACAGATAAGCAGATCCCGCAAATCTTCCCTGTCGCGCCAGATAAGGTTGCCGTCTTCCTTTGGTGGCACAACCCAGCTCTCTCCTTCGACTGGCAGGCAATTAAGAATGGCCCGTCCAAACGGCCTGTATGGCACTTCGTATTCGAGCAAAAGACTTTCCTGCTCGGCCTCTTTGCTCTCTACCTTTCCCAGAGCCCTGACGAAATGCCCCTCCGGGTAGCGCGAGTGAGGAGGCCAAGCGTCGATGGAGATGAGCACTTTCTGATCGAGCAACGATGGTGCCTGACGGGTCCTGAGCCTGATTCGAGGCAATTTACGCTCCAGGGGAGTGGCAAAGACCGTTTGCTGGGCTAGCGACGTAGCATCCTTGTTGGACAACGAGCTTGCATCCAGGTGGCAAACATAGCTGCGGGGAAAAAGAGGGCCATAATTAGCGGGCTGAAAATTTGCGGAGAAGAGTACGCGAAGAGTACGCACGCTCGCCAATTCCGTTTGACGATTCCTACGACCTTTCCGGTAGGTCTCTTCTCGACAGCGTTCTGCTTAGCCGCAGAGGCAGCGGTCTTCTTCTCGATCTCTGCCATACGTGCTTCTGACTGCTGGCCCTCCTCAGCGTCTCCCTCCTCGTCATCGGCATCGTCGTTCTTCAGGGCCTCTACGAGAATGATTGCGAATATTAGCATGTGCTCTTGATAAGATTGCTGCAACCACCGCACCATCTTGATCGAGTACCTCTTGACCCGGCGCCTTCCACTCCGCTTCGGGTAGCATCTCCACTACAACGACATCTCCGTCGATAGCCCGGTTCATGCTCTCCCTCCCGACAAGCAAGATGGGCTTGCCGAAAGCCTGGGCGTTGACATTACCCTGAAATGAACACAAATCAGAATTGGCTGTGGCTGATAGGACTGTCAAGTAAACACTTACCTCAAGGTAGTTGTAAGGGTTGGCATTGAAGTAGCCCTGATGAAAGACTCCACTTTTGACGCCCGCGAGCAAAGTGGCTTGCGGAAGGTACTGCAGATAGCGATGGATCAGCATTTCTTAACCCTCCAGCGACGTCACGCCGAAACTCACCTCCGGGTACAGCCTCTTGGCCGATCCACCCTTTGAGCCTGGAGGTCGATCTCCGCCTTCTGGTCCGTACTTTACGGCAACGAGGTCGCCGAGAGTGATCTTGGTCAGCTCGTCGGTCATTCCGTCAACGTATTCTCTAGTCGATACGGCGTGAAACCCGGACGCAAGAGCCTTTTCTCGATTGCCACGATCATCTGTTAAGAGGACCAAGGAGGGATGTGTCGCAGTCGATCGGGAAGGAGTGATGGTTTTGAGATGGTTTTGGTAAAATTCCAGCGTCAAACGAATGGCTACAGAAGCGGCCGATAACGTCAATTGCGGGATACAAGTGATGGATCCATAACATAGCTCTGCTTACCTCGATCGTTGCGATCGTTCACCGTCTCGCGAACAATCTTGCCATCCTTGTCTTCGGTCTCAATGACATTCATGCCATCCTCGACATCCTCCTCATCTCCGGTCCTGGACGCAGATTCCTGGCCTCCTGTCCGGTATCGCTCAACCTTGGTGGCCGTTTCTCGCCGCTCTTCGTTCCAGAAGATCCAGACCTTCCTATCCTCGTCCGCGAGCAAAGATTGAAGACGGTTGTATAGAGGCAAAGAACGGTGTCTGGTCTCGGCCAAGGTCGTCGATGGGAGGATGATAGGAATGCCGGCTGGCAGCGATTCCAAAACATCGATCTGACCAACACGGAGTACCCCGTCATCAGGGAGGTGGCCGGCGTACACGCAGATCTCAGGGAACGTACCTGATGTAACACAATGTTGGTATCGATCACGAGCCAGTGACCCGCTTTACTTGTGAACTTTCCATGACCTCGAGCTCCCTCGACAGGCAAGACCGCCTTGTAGCCAGGATACGATGAACACTCAGCGCATGCTTCATAACCACAAGGGATATCGGAACGAAGGTAACGTTCGCGTAGGACTGCAACCGGCCAAGCTGTTGAGCTTTCGTGCTACTCGATCGGAATGGGAAACTAATCTTACTCTTAACGACTCTACCCTTCTTGGTCTTCTTCAAGAATTTCTTCTGAGCGAAGGCCAGATCCTCCCGCGTCCGTTTCAGAATCGTGATTTGGGGTATCGAGAAGTTGCTGGTCATGTTGGGAACACCTGAATCTATCACTGATAACTGAGAACCGTCTTATGGTACTACTTGTTCACAGGTGTACGTTGTAGTTGTCCGCCCAAAGCCAGTTCAAAGCTCAAAGATCGAGGCCCTGGTTCGTAAGCTCTCATTAGCGAACTTTCAGGCCTGAGACTTCTCGCGAACCCGTGTTCAATCGGCACTCTCCGATCGTCAGTCCTCGAGCATCCACGCTGAGCCCAAAATGCACATATGCACAAGAGATACTCTGAATCTACGGCGGGCTTTGCATATAGATTGCATAGAATTTTAGTAGTCAAGCTCTGCCGGGCTGCAGTCGATCCAAACTTCTGAAAACCGCAATATAGCAGATTCACTACCGGCGCGAGTCGCTGGACCTCTCAACATAAGATGGAATGAGCCGCTACTAGGAAATATAGCTCAGTATGCCTAGGGACTTGTCGGTGAGGTCCGCTCTGGACCTCATCGCCTCGAGCAAAATCACAGAGAGGCAGGAAGGGCTGGAACTTCTCACAGAGATCTGTTCCAACGCCAACAACTGCAGATCTCTACAAAATACGCCGGACGGAACTGGCTGGTTACAGGTATTTCAATGCATGTTCGTGCTGGTCAAAACCGAACGTGCAGCTGCTCTCAAGGGCAGTAAAACTTCGAAAGGTCAGTACTGTCTCGATCTATTGGTCAACAGCGATAAGCTAAAACGTTCTGCGTGAATTCAGCCGCCATATCCCGACTACAGGTAGCTGCAGGCAAAGTTCGCTGGCTGGTAGAAGTATCTTATCCCTATCTTACGAACAAGCCGCTGGTTGCGCTTTATACTCATCTCAATCAGTCCATCGTTCACGACGGTGGACTAGTGGAGTACATATCGACCGATTACATAAAGGCTCTCAAGGTGCTGCTCAGCTTCCCCGCTCATCTGGAACATCTGGATGAAACGACATGGCGATATCTCATGAGCATCGTTTGGGATGTCGTCCTCGATGGAAGGGTTGAGCACGACCGGGATGACTGGGATGCCGAAGCGCAGGAAACATACGAGACCGCTGGCATTCCGACTGAAGACGAGTCTGAGGATGAGGGAGGAACTATGAAGCCTCGACCTGGATCATCAGCAGTCAAGCGGACCAGGACTTCGAAATCGACAGGAAGCAGTGACCTGGGAACTCTACCCAGAAGGAAATACAAGACTCTCTCGGCCGATGCTACGGATCTGCTCTCCCTATTTCCTGTACTGCTCAGTTCATCTTCAGCGCCGATTTTACCACGAGCACAACTGCGAGACCCGGATGATACGCGGTTGCCTCATCGTGCAGGGATCCCGCTGCTACGTCGGGTATTTGCGTTCTTCGAACGATACCCATCCGAAACCAACTCGCACAAACCCGTCTTGCAAGGGCTCAATATCCTCTTAAGGGAGCTTGAGCTCAACGCTATCGACGAGATGACGCGGATGGGTGCGAGGATGTTCCCTCTTCTGGTCAAACTCTGGTCGACCCGGGACTTGACGCTGAGGGATCACGTACTCGTGGCTTTACGAAAGTTCGCCCCATTCCTCTCGCGAGAAAAGCAAAGGTCGGCGGTAGCTGCACAGCTCACACAGGCGCGCAGTCTCTCCCAGAGTGCGGCCGACACAGACGGCGACAGCGGGATACTGGGCGAGAGGATGACTGCTCCGCTTGCGGAAGCGATGCACGAGCTTCAAACCCTGATCTTCAAGGATGCTGGAACCAAGAGAGGAACGCTACCGCTCGATCTCGCCGCGTTGCATCTGCGTCTTCCGGAGTCTGACACCGGTTCGAAGCCCCGATTCAGCTTGGAAGACCCCACATTTCCTCTACAGTCGTCGATTATCAGGGTACGCACTAGGCATTGCTTTGGAGTCGATATCGCTATGGAGAGGCTAATCTCATCCCCGACAGGCGGGGCCGTCTTTTACCGCTCGGTTGACAGCCTCTTGGGCAACTTTGGAGCTCAACGCAGACTGCTGCTTTAAGGTATGCCTAGTCTGACTGATCTGTGTGCGCTCAAAACGGCCAGCTGCTGATATTATATTATGTCCGGCAGCTTCATCAAGTTCCGGATACTGTCGAAAATTCTCGGCTGGTCGGAAGTGCACCTGCCACAAAGCGAATAAAGAAGAACGATAGGACGAATCCGATCTTGGCGCTCGCCCCGTTTGTACAGACATCGCGACAGCCGGAATCGCGCATGTTGGCATTGCAAACGTTATATTTTGTCATTGAGCGGCACTGGAGCGACCTATTCCTGGACGTTCAAGCGGAAATCTTGAGCCAGCTGCTTTCGCTAACCAAGGATTCAGACTTGAACATCCAGCAATGGACGTTTGTCTGCCTTGCTTCCGTCTCTACGAAACGACGGTTAGAGGCCTCTCGGGAATTCGGGGACCGCAATACGGCAATCAATGGGACGGTTGCCATATTGAATCGCACGGGCGACGAGGAAAGCATTTGGCAGGAGGTATGGACCATCGCCTTGCGCCGCACGAACTTGGCATCCGGAACAGCTTGTCGGGGCGCTTGCCTGATGGTACATGCTCTTATGCTTTCTGGGACTGTTACGGATGCCAGCATATCGACCGCTCTGTCGGGATTTTTCGAAGAGATTATCTCTCAAGGCCCAGCCTATACGTCGGACGCGGTGTGCGCTTTTGTCAAAGTCGCGCTCGACTACGCCGAAAGAGATACCAAATTATATCGCCTTGATCACCATCAGAAGGTGATTGCGTGGTTCAGGTACAATTGGCGGATAGCCCAGGATATACGTACAGGTACCAATGCCGTGTCGACCAGTCTCACACCGGAGGCCGTCGAGCTACTTGCCAAGGTCGCGGGATCCTCAGACACGCCTACCATGTGGATAGAGACCCCTTTGATTGCATCCGACGTCCTTCAACACATGACTGAAGAATTGGAGACCAGTCCAATTCGGCAATACTTGTTGTATGCTGCCTTGCCGATTGAACAGGCTAGCCGCTCGACGAAACATAGGTTTCCGCTCGGCGTCAAGCTGGACACGCTCGAAGGAACCGCAACGCAATCGAACCTAAAGAAGACTCGACAGATTCTGGAGCTGCTGCACGACACTGTCAAGGACGTCTCGACAACGATTGATTTAGCCTCGGCTTTGAAGATGAAGAATCTGATAGATCTTTCTATCTTCGCCATCGTCGTATCGGCCGTCATCACGTCTTCACAGGAAGACCCCGAACATATCGCGGCTGAGACAGCGTGCGATCTGCTCGAACGGGTGTTAGCTCACACTTTCAAAGAGAGCAATCATGGAGCTCACGAACGTGCGATGATCCTGTCCAGTCTCACGCCCATCCTCAGTTCATCTGGACCGCGGCGCGTGCGGGACAGCCGGTCCGAGATGTGGCCGACATTGACATTACCTGATGGCAGAGCCGGAGTCACAACACTCCCATCTTCTGAACAGCCTGAAGCCCTCGATCATTCCGATCATCCGCTTACAGACCGTCTTCTGGTAACGGTATGGCGAATCGCCAGGGTGAGTCGCTGCGTTATTCTCCCAATCAACCTAGCTGATACACACCGCTGGATCCTTGCAGCTCTCGGAAGTCTTTCAAGCACATGCAGGTCTGTTCCGGCAGTACCTGGCTTCCGGTCAGGGATCGCAAGGTCTACGATCTCTGGTCGGAGATACGACCCGCCAAGGTGACGATGACTTTGGTCCGATACGTCAAGAAGAAGACGGTGGCGTTGCAAACGATGGCGATGTCGGAGAAAACCTTCCTTTCACGCGCGGGTATTCTATCGTCGTGCGTGCTCTCACCGATCCGGCGTATTACGCTTCTGGCATGCAAATTGGAACCAGAGACGTGGAACTCTACAACATCCTGATCGAATCCGAAGAATACAATACCTACATACTGGGTCAAGCCATCTTTGAGGCAATCGGCGAGCAACGCCTTGTATTGACACGCAAAGCTCTGTCGTCCCTGGTGGAGCTAGTGACAGACGTGCTGAAGATTTATGTCTATAAGCGACTCCCAGCTACCCGACAACTCGTCTACCAATTTCTATCAGCTACCCTCTACACCTGGATCGATGTAGAAGAATCGGTAGCTTCGGCAGCCGAGGAGCTCTTGCCCTTGTGGCATTGGTGTTCCGATTATCTGACAACGGGCAAGCTGGACGCCTGGCAAGATCGGTATCGGATCATTACCTTGTTCGATGAAGTCGTTCTCAGAGATCCGTCGGAAACCCGCTGGCTCGCTGAAGGAATGACTGACGGGGAGCGGGAGACGCCCTCTCAGGTCATGCTTCGGTCACTGGAGGATTGCGATATTCGAGTTCGCTTCCGCCTCGCTACATCGGTACCCCGCTTACTACAGCTGGACATGCCGATCGCAAGCAAGCCAAGCAGCTTCTACCTGAAAGTTGCGCGATATTTCAGGTTTCAAGGCAGAGACAAAGAATTCATTCTCTCGCGAGCAATCCTTATGACGAACGTTGTTATTGCAAGTTCCGGGGCAAGGAGGGCACCGTTCTTCCATCTTTACGACACCGTCGCAGGACATCCCTCGCTGCACACCCATATCGAAACCGCCTTCTCGGCCATCACAAGACTCTTACAACTCGCGTCCTTTTCACGTCTATACCTGGAGTACGCGACCAGGTTACTCGCAGCACAAGGTAGAGAGGATCAAGACCCCTTACATATTCCCGTTTCGCTATACGGATTTCAGTCTCGAGCGGTCTGGGCTCGAGAGACTATTGGGACAGCAGGAGCCTCTTTGCTGCTTAGCCCAGAATGCGAAGGATTTTGGGAAAGCTTGGTCGAGCTTGCACAAGTCGACAAGGCTGATACTCTTCACCATAACGTTTCTACTGCGATTGCCATGGCAGCTGGGATGAAAGCTTTAGCAGATGCGGATGGTCAGGCGTTCCGAGCGGAACTCGCGAGGCTAAAGGCGCGGTTCTCCAAGTCGACTTCCCGGCCCAAGAGCAAGTGGGTTTTCCAGAAGAGCGAAACCGCTAGCATGGTAGCCACTCTGTTTCAGCTTGCAGACGAATCCATATCACCCGCCGAGATACACCAGTCGTTTTTGCAGGGTAGTACCGAGGAGACCGTTCGACAGGCCGCAATATACAAGGCCTTGCTCTTCCCGAACGATTACGATCCGTCTATGGACTTGGAAGAGACGATCACGCCTAAGAACAGTGCCCAGGAAGTTCTGCGTGGGATACAGCTACTCGCCAATGAATTCGACCTGGATCTCCGCTTGATCGCCTGCAATACTATCATGCAAATCATGTGCAAGATTTCGGCTTCTTGCTTGCTCAATGAACGGCGCAGGCTCGTTTACAGTTTGGCACTGTTGATCGCAACTTACCCGGACACCATCATGGAACCGGAAATATTCGATCTCTTGTTGCGCGCTGTAGCCTGCCTGTACGAGCAACCAGATTTGGGCCGCCTTGTGGTCAGTTTCTTGGCCTGGATCTTGGAACAACTATTGGATGGATCAGCTCGTTGCAAGGCGCCTGTTCCCGTGCTTTCCGGGTTAGCTCAATCAGCCAAACGGTACACAGAAGGACCGAAAGGATTGACTTCAACCGGGCACGACGCGCTCTCTTTGATGGAAACGTTCATGAATCGTCTGCTGCGGGAAGATGCCGGCACCTCAGATCCGTGGAAGTCCAAACTTGGTCAGCAAATCGCTCGGCTATTACCTCTCTGGCCTCGCACCCTGCCAGAAGGGCTAGAGAGAAAAGTTTCCCGCTTGACTTACGGGCAATTACGTGACCAAGCGTCTCATACGGATGTTACCGCAGGAAAGTTCACCTTGTCGAAACAGCTGGCTAGATTTGCTCAAGCACGTCTGCCCGCTTCTGCATATCGCAAAAGCACGTTTTGGCATTTAAGATCGAGTATAGCCAGCGCTCCCGAACTATCACACGAGGATATGGAGGCCTTCATGCTGCTGGCATACACCTGTGACGGTCTGGCGGAGATACCAACTCACGAGACCATCGAGAAGCTCAAAGGGTCTGCCGGAGTAGAGATTGGTCTTCTGCAGCCTTTGAGTCGGAAATCTGAGCCGACTGCCGCCTCGAAGCGTCGTATACTGTCTCTACTTTTGGACGATATGAGAGGAACATCCTTGACAAGGGTCTCGCCGGCATACCGAGCCCTCGCCGGTATATGCGCCACTGCACCCGAAATTCACCAGTCGGCGGAATTGGATCCTGTGTCACAAGGGCAACTCACATTACTGGCCTCTAACGTACCCTCACCGCGACGAGATGCACTCAAGATGGACGATTTGACAGACGCAACGCTGGACCGAGGTCCTTATGCCGAATCCCACAAGGATGCTAAGGGCTGGTCAAGTGATTTTGGCCGACTGATCGTCCAGGAGCTGGCGTCGGCACCTGCTTACGCAGCACTCAGCTATTTGCTGGACATAATGACCATGTCCGACGAACTGATAGATGATCTGATACCGCCCTTGCTTCACCTTCTCTTGGATTTGGAAATGAGAACGACCCCACAACAAGCTCCCAATCGGCAAATTATTTCTGGTTATTTTAACTGGCTGCTCGCTCGGAAAGAAACCGCTCGTAGTTGCAGCTTGAACATCGTTCATTCGGTACTATATCTTCGAAACTTTTCCCCAGCTCGATCCACGGCTGGCAGTCGGCCCCTTGCATGGCTAGAGCTAGATCTGCGAGCTGTGTCGGTAGCCGCTCTTCGATGCAAGTTGCCAGAAACAGCGTTGCTATTCTGGGAGCTGCATCGCGATGGAGCTTCAGACAACTCGGAGCTGGAAGAGGACGATTTGTCGGTAAGCAGAGACAAGGAGATCTGGAGGATTACTGCATGCCTGACTGTCTTGTTGTCCAGTTGCTATACGAGATTTACGATAGTGTTGAGGAACCGGACGGTTTCTACGGAGTCCCGTTGGCTGGGGACGCACGTAGTGCAGTCTTGAAGAGGCTTCATCACGAGGAAGATTGGACTCAAGCATTCAGCTATCACGGTGCTTCCTTCGAAATCTCCGATGCACGCAACGGTGCTCTACCGCTTGTGGCCAGATCACTGAGAGCATTCGGCTTCGATACTCTCGCTGGCACTTTACTCCGAGAAGTCGCCAATGACGGCGGACATATGCCATTGGATCTAGCTTGGAGAACACGTCAATGGGACGTTCCGGTGGAGGCCCTCGTTAATTCCGCTGCAGAGAGACCGGGCGCGAGCGTGTACAGAACGTTGCGATCGGTACACCATGCACGTGATACCAGTCAAGCTTGGTCAGTGGCAAGAACGGCCCTGAGCGAAGCCTTCAATACCTTCGGCAGCATCGGACTCGAAGATATGGCGGGAATCAGACAGGGACTTAAGACACTTCTTTGCTTGCGTGAGGTCGATCTATGGTTTGCGGACCTCTTACCCCTCGTACACCTCGAAGACTTTGCGCATGACAAGTGGCGAGCTTTTAGAACGCTGCCGGCAAACATGGAGTGAGCGAGAGATCAAGTTGTGATGCAGGCACGAGACTGATTTGCTTGGCTCTTGCAGATATCCCATGGCCGATGATATCCTCAACGTTCGTCTAAGTCTCTTGCATGCAGCGAAAGCATCGGAAGGCCCACAGATTGGCGACCTTCTGTCAATAAGAACGGCGGGGCTCGTCTCGGTGGAACGAGACTGTCTGACGGCACTTGGGGCTCTGGCTCGAGCTAAAGGAGATCTCTCAGGGGCAGTAACTGCGCTGACCAGAGTTCAGAATCTGACGCAAGCTGACGCGAATGACCACTCGACCGAGTTTGCCGAGGTCTTGTGGCTGCAAGGCCAGCATGGCCTGGCCCTGGAACAGCTCAAAAGGCTTCTTCGCACGAAAAACTACGCACGACCCTCAAAACCCCAGGAGTTCTGGCTTAGAGCGAACGTCCTGTCTCTGCTGGCAAGTCCCTTTGCCGACGCTGTCCGAACCCACGCGAAGCGTACTCATCGCAACGATTTTTCGCAATCTAGGGACAATGGACGGCTGAAGCCAAGCAAGCGACCGAGATCGATATTCGGGAAGACTACTTCAAGCCGTCACAGACCGCCATATACCATGCAGAAAAGGGAATAAGCGCTCAGCAGATGGCCGGAGTCTTGTTGCGCTACGCACAATTCGCGGATCAACAATTTCAAGCAATGTCCCAATCGGAACAGATTAAACAGCTGAAACCTCACCACGCTCGTCAAATGGCTGAATACGAGGCTCTTTGTCATCATAGGACGAAGGCCGCAAGAGATGACCCTGTTGTGTACGAAGCCCTTCGATCACTCAAGCAGGAATGCCAAAGAGACAAGGAGCGCCTGAACAAGCACGAGCTAGATCGGCTCGAGTTTCTGCGGGTCGCACTCCTCACGTATGCCAAAGTCATCGCCACAACGGATTCGCACGACAATCTCGTGCTTAGGTTTTGTGCCATCTGGCTAGCTACCGAATCGGACGCCGATACCAACGTTTATATCCGGAAAGCATTGAAGGATATTCCCTCCCACAAGTTTGTTGATCTGGCTTACCAGCTGACAGCTAGGCTTCACCCGAACGAAGAGGGTGCAAGCCACTTCCACTTGAATCTATACGACTTGGTCACGCGTATCTGCGCAGAACACCCCTTTCACATGGCGTATCAGGTCATCACACTAGCCGCGCCTGCGGTAAGATCGTCCAGGCGGATGTCAACCAACGTTGGGGACCGCGAACGCGCCGCATTCACGCTCTTAGCGCAAGTGAGGACATCAACTTCGAGGTCCGTAGAGATAGATCAGCTCGAGCGATTTGCGAAATGTGCCATCGCGTGGGCGAGAGAAGATAACGGCAAACGAGGCAAAGACGGTTATTACCTTCCAACTAAAGACTCGGTGATCCTTTCGCTCCGTGACATGGTGATACCCGTACCGACCGCGAACGTGCCTACCGATCCAACGATGGCGTACAAGAACATCGCTAGGCTACGCGCTTACGAGCCAAGATTCTCGGTAGCAGGAGGCATACATCATCCGAAGATCATGACTTGCTGGGGATCGGACGGAAGAGAGTACCGGGAACTGGTGAGTAGTCAGGAAATGACAACAAGCGTGTTAACCTTGATCGCGGGTTGACGGCCAAGTCTTTCCGCAGTTCAAAGCTGGAGACGATACGCGACAAGACACCATCATGGAACAGCTCTTCAAACTTGTCAATAATCTCCTCGACACTGACTCTGAGACGAGAAGGCGAAAGTTACATATGAGGACTTATAACGTTTTGACGCTGGCTGAAGAGACCGGTGTGATTCAATTCGTGACCCAAACGATGCCGCTCGCCGAGTATCTGATGAGTGCTCATGATCGGTACGTCTCGGCGCTTTTTCGACCTTGACAGACAAGCCGGGCTGACGGCCGCGTCCACCATTTAGGTATCACCCAGATGACATGAAGGTCAAAGAATTTCGGGAATCTATGCGGTTGATACAGTCAGGAGATGACCCGAATCGCAATCAGAAATTAGTGGAGACCTTCAAAGAGAATCGCAAGCGCTTTCGACCGGTCATGCGTAACCTCTTCATCGAGAAGAAGAAGGAGCCTCTGAGCTGGTTCGCTATGAGATTGGCGTACAGCCGGAGCTTGGCGGTTTCTAACATCGTCGGCTACATCGTCGGTATTGGAGACCGACACTGTTCCAACATCCTTATCGATCACTCCAGTGGTGAGATGGTTCATATTGACTTTGGGGTAGCGTTCGGTCAGGTAGGGACAAGCTTAACACGTGCGCGCAAAAGTAATGTAAGGGAAGCTGATGAAATACGTATTTCTCATCCTGCAGGGACGGGCTTTGCCAATTCCAGAACTGGTGCCATTCCGTCTCACAGCCGACTTGGTCGATGCGCTTGGCTCTTTCGGTACCCAGGGTGTATACCAACGGTGCTCAGAGAATACGCTTCGCGTGATGCGCAATACATCCGAGCACATTCTGGCCATTTTGGAAGTCTTCAAGCACGATCCCCTACATAGATGGTGAGCTCGCATCTGACTCCTACTCTGACGGCGAAATCTGACAAGCGACGGTATGCAGGAAAATCACGGCAGAAACCATGAAAAAGGTACAGGACGGACTTCCTGTACAACGCAAATCCTCGAAATCCGCATCGGAGATAGGTGATCGTGCCAGCGGTCATGCTGACCAAGCACTCGCCGACGTGATCAACAAATTGGATCAAAGGATGAGCGTCGAGTATACGGTAAATGAATGGAACAGGAACGCACAGGCGCCGGCTAATTTAGCAGTTATATTCGTCGGTGAGTCGAAATGGACAGGTTCCCAGGGCGTAGAACATTGTTTAAATGTCTGAGGAATCTTGCAGGTTGGCAGCCTTGGCTGTGAGGTCGGCGTGTCCACCACCAGACTCCCTAACGAGATTTTCACGAATCTTACGCCCTTTTATAACGATTACGAGACACTCACATGGTCGAGATTATCACAAGATGAGCCAGGTCAAGACAGAGTATCTATCACCATGTCGCATTGATGTCATTCGCCGACAAAGAGCGAAATGCATGTCAACAACGTATCTTCTCTATATGCATCATTACAAATTAGGAACAAGATGAAGGAGGCAGGCCGGAACAGCTGCCGGTGCGCCGGCTCGAGGTCATGCGTCGTCCATCTAGTCCGGTCCCGATCAATTGCTGTGCACTTCGAGTTTCGGCAGCGATCGAGGTATGAATCCTGCCAAAGAGCTCTCCGGCGGTGGCGTTCTCTATCTCTTCTGCGTCGGCGGTGACAGAGTCTCGGGCCTTGAAGCCCTCGAAGCTGGTCTGATTAAGGATGGAGCCTTTGTCCCCGAGCTGAGAAGACCGGTCCGAGCCTTCGTCTAGACCGACGCTACCAATCCAGGACCGCTCCGCCGCCTCGTCTCCGTCGGCTTTCAGAATAGTCGATCCGTGTGTAGTTTTTCTGACCGTTCCTATGATCATCTGTTCCGGCGTTGCGGCTTCGAATACGGCGCGCGCTGCCGTTTGTATAGTACCCAAAGACGACGTTTCGCTCCCGGTATTCTGAAACGGGTTTCGGAACGGCGAAAGAAAGGCGCCGCCCTCCCTGCTGAGATCTTCGCTGATGGTGTTCAGAACTCGATCTCGAGGGTAGAGTGTCCTGGGCGTGGGTGACTCGTCCGAACTGACCTCCCCCTGTCGTCCCGCAGAATCGGGAGACGAGGGGCTGAATTGTACATGACCGCTTCTCGGAGTGCTAGTCAAGCACCGCGGGCGTCGATGAGACGGGGTTTGACTGAAGTTGCTCTCCTCTTCGTGATCGGATTTTCCCCAGAGCTCAGTGTCATGAGAGAAGTTGGTAAACACTGTCGAGGTGGAATCAGTAGTCCCTCGCTTGCCGATACCCTGAACTGCGGTAAATAGCCCTTCTCTCGATAAGACCGGTAAATCTGGAACGCTCGGAGGGCGTCGCAGGTGTGATGATATACCTTCGGTACCACTACTTGGGTTTGCCTGTGCGATCGGGTTGGATATCCTCTCTTTACTCAAAGGCTTCTTGTTGAACCTTCCGCTACTGGAAACCGCTTGCGCTATCCTCCGAGAGAAGGAGCTAGCACTCTTGCTCATCCTCACGACAAGCGAAGAGCTAGAGGGTAACAATCGCTGCGGAGCAATCTCGCCCTCGAAACTCTCGACGAGTGTCTTTGCCGAGTAAGCGTCGCTGTTGTCGAGCTTGTCTTCGCTTCGACTCAAGTCCACGGTCAGGTAAGGTTCACCACGTTGACCCTTGGTAAACATCCCCGTCTCTGGTCCGAGGCTCGCAGAGTGCCTCATGCTAAGGCTCGAGCAGAAGCTGAGATCACCCCCACGGCGTCTCTTGTTCAAGAGGTAGATGATGAAGAAGACGATGGCCAGACAGGCTATGCCAACGGCTGCTCCTAGAGCTGCTTGAGCGCCGGAACTTAGCGTCGAAGAGCCAGATACATCCTCGTCGGGCTGATCCGAATGGGTCAGGTCCAGCTGAAGGGACAGTATGCTGATTGCGTGCGATGTGGTATTGGTAGCTCGGATCTCGAGGGCGACAATATCGTAATCGCGAGCCTCTGGGAAACCCCCCTTCAAGCGTAGCGTCCCGTCGGCTACCTCTACCTGGATTGATTGATCCACAGGTTCATGGTCTGAGGACACTTCGAACGACAGCTGAGACAGGTTTGAAGCCGCAAGGTACTCGCTCAGGTCCAGATCTCCGGTTGGTCCTCCGTTCGCGGTCTGAACAAACGTTCGTCCACCGAGAACCGTCGGAAACGTCTCGTTGGTGGTAAACGCGTACGCTTCGACCTGCACTCTCATTGCCGTTTGGAGATGACCGCCGAATGCGTCTTGTAATTCTACGGGGATATCCATCGCTTGTCCTGCCATATCAGAGTCTGGAGTCGCAACGATATCGCGAGTCGCTCGATCGAATCGAATCCAATCGAACGTCGAATCGTTGATCAGGAGGTCTGTAGTGTTCTCGGGTGAGATTGGCTGTCCGTCCAGCTGAAGTTGAGGCCAGACCGAGGCGGACACGGCAGTAGGGTATCCAGCCGTAACGTTGAGCTGCGGCACGCTGCCCCGCAGCTCTAAGCTATGAAGCCCGACGGTCAGGTTGAACCCTTGCTCAACGTCACTGTGTCCGTCAATGTCCGAGGCCATGAGCTTGATGTGAAACAGCCGAGTCTCAGACTCGTCCGATGTGGCGGGCGAATAGCCGTTGAAGGTGACCGTATCGCTGTCGAAGCCGAGCCATTGAGGCAAAGCTGATCCATCCTCGAGGCAAGCCGAATGGTAGATGGGTCGGTTCCCATTGGTACCTTCGGGATACACGAACGGATGAAGGAGACCGATCGAAAAGCTCCATCCGGGAGGAACCCTGACACCCGGGTAAAAGTTGGAATCATTGGCATAGGCAAATGCACTCGATATGACGGCTCCTGGCTTGGCATCATCGGTCTCCGAGGCGGTGATCTGGGTAGCCAACGGTAGATTGACGATGGGTATCACTCGATCCAGAGAAGCGTTTCCACGATCAGGGGTAAGAGCAGGATTGATAGCCGGTACCGAGGGTTCTTGAGGGATAGGTCTGGCCAACACAGATGGTGGAAGGAAGGTTGCGCCAGCGAAGAGAGCGATAACGGGAAGCCGTTGTAGGAATGACATGATGGGAGTCTGTATAGAGGAAGGTTCACGCCAACGGGTGAGTGCTACGATCGTGGACATAGGCGGACGGCGGACCACTCACTGATCTCGCTTGTGTGGGGTGATATGATCTCAATATGAGTTAGTCTAATTGGCCGCTTGGGTGCTCAGACGCTTCCAATGTGTCTGATAGTCTGTTCTGATCTTTGTCGCCAGGACGATCGGTGACGCGGGATAGGGGTACCTTTGACCAGCTCAAGGTTCTACGTCAAGCCGCAGGATTGATCGGAAGGGGCTTCGTCGATTCGAGGGTGGGCTGGGACGATACGAGAAGGGTATGCAGGGTTATGAGTTAAAGCTTTGATATGGACCGATCGCGAACAAGCCTCACCGTATGTCGTTGCGAGAGATAAACCGTGAACGATTTAGATGGTTGCGCGTAGTACGTTATGGGTGGACGTGATTCTGACCAGTTGGTATCTCAGTGTGTCGGGAAGAAGGAGTGAGAAGTATGATCGCAGTGAATGTAGGGTAGCTCCTGAAAACAGTAGATAGTCGGACACAGGAGGTCAGCATGTCACGATCGTTGAGGTTCGTTCGGTCACCATTCGATTCTCAGGCATGGAGTAGTCGCATCACTCAGCAAGCAAAGTGGATATGACTCACTTATTATGGATCCAAAGGAGAGAACGGAGGTGTCGACGAGAGAATAGATGATACATATGTGTGTGTAGCGGAAAAGAAACCAGGAAAGTGGAAAATGAGATGAAGATCGGTTTTTTTCTTGAAGAGTGGCGATGGGGTGACCGATGGGGAATCGCGGAATCTTTCTGATCTGATCAAAACAAACAAACGAGTATGTGATGATCAGTCGAGAGGATTGATGAAATTGATGGAATTGATGAACTTCGATGCGGGGCAAGCTGCACTGACGCTGCGAATGGGGGAAAGCCATTCGCGCTAGAAATCAACATGGGCGGCCTCGGTCTCAATTACGGCAGTGTGCGACTGAAACGATCATCGTCCCAGACTCCTCTGTTCCGCGACAAGGACAGCGTCGCTCCTTGACTTGAGAATGCCTTCTTGTAAAGAGGTATCGCTACTGCTCACCAAAGATTTAAGCCCTGAGATTGACTGACAGCACCATTCTCGCAATGGCCCATTTCGTGGCAGTCCTGCAGCGCGGGTACAAGTAAGCGGCTAGCCGTTTCGGTATACCTCCTAAGTACATTATTGTTCTATCCCTCCGCACCGTTCCAGCGAAGACAATGTGGTCTCAGTCCTTTCGAAGTGCAGTCTTATCCGTTTGGGGCATATGACCTGCGAAGCAGGACCTTGCAGGTTAGTCGCGGTGAATGACACGTTTGTTGGCCGATTGGCTCTTCTCCCCGGCCCTTTCCAACGAAATGGACCCCCGCAACTTGGTCAATCAGAACGACCGAGCGAAGTCAACCGGCGACGTGAACGGTTGTTACCTGAGACTGTCCTAATTTCCCTGACGGCCATCTCGGGGACCTGGACAGGACCGCCTTGACAGCCTGCCCGCTTCGCTGATAGACCAACATGGCAGCAGGACAAGTTCGAGATTCACATGTATAGCGTTTATACATGCAATCTAGAGCGAGGTTGTGTATCTCAACTCGACCAGATACAAGATGAAACAAATGTATAGAGGCAAGGGAAAAAATGGTGTATGGGAAGATGTGAGTCCGCGATAGATTTTGGTGTGAATAGGCAGAAGGGCTTGTGAGTGATCGGGCGTTTAGACCTTGACCTGCAAAGAGACAAACGTCGGGTCAGCCACCGATACGAGTGGCTATAGCTGTAGACAGCGAGCGACTCACCTCCCTGAGACCGTCCTTCCAGAAGATCATGTAAGGGGTGATACCGTCCTCTCGGTAGTTCATGAGGACGACCATGCCGTCAGGGTCCATGGACTCTCCGGTGAAGAACTCGTAGTCCTTGAAGTTTCCGATCATCTTCTTGGCGAAGGCACCGGCGGCGGTCTCGAAGGTGGCGAGACGGGCCTTGGCATTCTCGTCACCGGCGTCGGCCTTGGTCTGGAGGGCAGCCTTGGTCTTCTTCATGTATCCCTTGAGGTAGGTGAGGTAAGACTGGATCGAGGCGGAAGATGCAAATAGATCAGTTACCGCTCGGACTCTCAATTGACGGGCTCGTAAAAAGATTGCTGGCTCACCTTCTTGTCGAAAGAAGTGCTCTGCAGACGGAAAGAGTGGGCAACGTTGTTGACGGTGACGGCACCGTCCTCGGCACCCTCCTCGGCCTCCTCGGCAGAAGGGTTGGCACCTGATCAATTCAGCAGCATCAAAGTCGAAGGAATATATCAGCTCTGAATATAGAGAGGCTGTTCGTGGCAGCTACTTACCGATATCGACATCACCCTCCTTGATGGTGACCATCTTGGCGTCGACCTCGTAAACGATGTCGTCGACCAACTTGCTGAAGACCGACGAGATAGATTCATTCCAAATTTTCAGGACAGTAAGAGCAAGGTAACGGGCGAGCAGGAGACAGGTCAGCCTATAAACTCGCTACGCTTTTGATTCAAAGGGACCAATCCAATCATGACTGACAGGTCGAAGGCATCCGAGATCATCTCATCGCCGCAGTGAACGTCCTCGTAGATAATCATTTTGTTGTGTTGGAGAAGTTTATTAGAGGATAGAGGGAGAGACTTGAGGTTTGAGGAGAACTCGCATACCTAAATGGAGGTAGAGATGAATAGGTTGATGTTTTGTTGGCTCTCGGTATCCCCCCCCCCTCGGCATGGCACGACGAGGAACGTGATCCAACAACCGCGACTGGGATTTTTTTTCCTTCCACGCGAACGAGGGGCGCCATTAGCCATCCGCGGATCACGATCCGGACATGCACGCGCGACCTCGAGGACGCGACGTAGGGGGTTCAAACAGCCAGAAGTGCAGAACCGCCAGAGCCGGAGGACAGTAGATCTTGTGATCTTGTGCATAATAACGTTACAACGAGCGGCTGAGCAAGTATCTTGCAAGGCCGTACTTCAAATTATCATATGATTCGACCGACATTCCGCTCGAGTCCGTCTCGGGCGGAAACTTTGTAGGAATAGTAGCGGAAATACATCTGCACGCATTGTCGGTAGTGGAAGAGGAGTAGACGAGGGTCGGGAAAGTCTCTGGAATCGTTCACCCTAAAAGAGGAATGAGGCACTACCCGCCCATGTAGTTTCGCGATATCCGGGTCATCTGTGTTGAACACGTGTAGTACCATGTCCGTCTCCTGCTTGGTGTGTAGCAGGACACGAGTGTAAGTTCCAACACCTGACCTCATTGAGCGACTCTATCTGAGACAATTTCGCGACTCACCCTTGGGAAGAATGCCCATTGCAATGCGTCAAAGCTCTTATGCAAATCAGGTGATAGTAATATCCCCATATCGACCGCATATAAGGAAGATGTCATTTCCGGCCCAAGCAGCATCTTGTAGAGCTAGGTACAGTATAAATCATTGCGGGGCGCGATTAGCTGCGCCGTTGATCTTGGCAGATCGACGTGGTCTTTAACAAGTGATCGAGACTCACATCAGGGCGACTGATCGGAATAATATGGGCGCCGACATTGTGATAAGAATTTACACCCGTAGCGAGACAGGTCCCATCCCGCATGGCCAGTTGTAACTTGAATTTGTACTGACAAACAAGGTTCAGCGGTGTTTGGGATACATGGTGCAAGGACACAGAAAGTGACTTACTTGTCCCGCTCGAGCGGTCCGGGAGGACACGCTCATGCTATTCTGACTTCCAGCATCGTCCTCTTCATCAATATAATCGTCATCCTCGTCTTCGTCTGGCTCTTCCCCATCGTCCGGCTGAGGGAGCCTGCCGACTCGTCTACCGCAAGGTCCCTCTAAAGGCTGACAAGGAAGCCATTCCCCTGTGGCTTCGCCTTGTTGTGAAAGCGACACCAGCGGATGAGCTTGATCATCTAGTTACATTCACTAAGAGGCGATGTACTTTGGGTACCGAAGATGTAGTTACCGGGTATAAGCCATACCGACTCGTCGATCGGCGAGAGACCCCCTGGTCCAGGCGAATAGAGTCGACCGTTGTTGAACTCCACGCAACAGCCAATGATGGTGACTATTTGCTGCCAGGCTTCTGAAGCAGATCCATGGGACAAAAGATTGGTAGGGATGATAGCGATTCTACAGCCGTTGACATCGTAGATCTTGATGAGAGGGGATCCTCGCCAAAGACCCTGCCAGGCTGGAACGCCCCATCGGATAGTTTCGGCCTGGTCCGGGAGTGCCGAGATATCAAGATGGATACCGTTCGTCGGTCCCGGCATGACGTTCTATCTTACGATCAGCTTGAATGCAATTATACAGACCATATGCTAGCCAGAAGCTAGAAGCCCGTTGGTCATGACCCACAAACTCTAGCTTGGGCATGTTTCAGACAAAGTCGCGAGCTGATTAGACTTCCGGTCGGAAGCTATTAACCGGTGCGTTTGCATCCGATCGCCTCGTTGGTCACGTGATCGAGCACTTCCCCAAGGCTGAACTTTGGTGAACTTTACGGAGAAGACGACGAACATCGATGAGATGGGTGCAACTTGGACAGCGACGCAGCAGTCCGTGACCAGACAACCGTTTCCATAGCCACACATATAGAGAACTTGGACTGAGGATGGAGTTCTTGCCGCTACCCAAATTATCTCGAGGCGATGGGTCCATCGCCGTTGCCAACCCGCACAGCCGTAGGTGTGGCATCCCTCAATCGAGTCGAGCTAGACATTGACCGCTCCTCGCAATCTGCTTGTCAACAGGCTATTATCACTCTTTCCGACACCCTCTCTTCATTCGTCACCACAACCCTATTACATCGATCCACTTTGCACCTTCCAAGCCTCATCGATTCGCCATTACCTCTTCCTCGCGATTGCTAGTCTATGCGCCCCGGACAGGAAAGGTCATCAAGACCATCACCCGGTTCAAGGATACAGCAAGAGGTGCCGAGATAAGGAAGGATGGAAAGTTGATTGTCGCCGGAGGCGATGAGGGTATCGTGCAGGTGTTTGATATCAACAGTCGAGCGATCTTGAGGACGATGAAGGGGCACGAGCAGTGAGTTACTGTGAGCAAGCGTGGAAGTCGGCGTGGCCTCATGGTAATCGGTTCTGCTATGAAGGTCTGTACATGTGACCCGGTTTTCACCCAACAACACCGAGATCGGATCAGCATCTGATGACGGAACCGTCCGTCTATGGGACATTCCATCCCAAACCTGCTTGCAAACCTTCGACGGCCATACCGATTACGTCCGATCCCTCGTCTTCAACCCCAATAACCCCTCCCTCCTCCTCTCTGGATCTTACGACTCGACCATCAAGCTGTGGGACGTCCGAACGGGCAAAGCCGAGATCACCATGTCGCACGGCTCCAATCTCTCGGTAGAGGATGTCCTGCTCTTCCCAACCGGAGGATCGAACGTCGCGCTGTCTGCAGGAGGACCGATCTTGCGGGTGTGGGACTTGGCGATGGCGGGTGGCAAGTGCGTGAGGGCATTAAGCAATCATCAGAAGACGATCAGCTGCATGACTTTCGATGGCGGCGCGAGGCGAGTCTTGACTGGAGGTCTGGATCAGATGGTCAAGGTGTACGATGTCGAGGATTGGAAGGTCGTGCATACGATGAGGTACCCCGCGCCGATTATGAGTCTGGCCGTCTCGGTGAGTCCCTCTCTTTTAGTCGTTCCAGGTCTATGGGATGTACTCATACTGACCGAGATGTTCCTCCTTCCAGCCCGACGACACCCATATCGCCGCAGGAATGTCGGACGGCACACTCTCACTTCGTCGACGAGACCCGAAAGCCTCCGAGCTTGCCTCGTCAAATTTACAAAATACGGCATTGAAATCCGGTGCCTACGAATACTTTGCGGACTTCGAAAACATCTTTGGGACCGGGCACGTCAAGGACAAGAGCGCTGCTACAAAGGGTCGAGAGGAGAGGGTCATTGGAGCTGTTGACGAGTTGAGGGTGGAGAGCGTCAAAAGGAAGAAGTTGAGGCCATACGACAAGTTCTTGAAGGAGTTCAAATATGGAGCTGCGCTGGATGCTGTCATGGAGAACGTGAGTTCAATGACGTTATACGGTGATTGGGATTCGCTAATTGACACGCTCGTTCCTCGCTTCAGAACATCCGACCAGCGACCGCTTTTGCCCTCATCCAAGAGCTCGTCTACCGAGACGGCCTTCGATCAGCACTGAGCGGCCGGGACGATGTAACGCTAGAACCGATCTTACGGTTCTTGTACAAGTACATTGCGGATTACAGATTCGGGCAGATGGCTAGTGAAGTTATGGATGTCGTATTAGGTAAGTGAGTGCGATATGCGTCTTCTACACAGACCAGCTGACGCGCTACCGCCTTTGTAGATCTCTACAGTCTCGTTCTAGGGCAGTCAGCCTTGATTGACGATATCATTCGCAAAACCAAGTCGAGGGTGACTGGGGAGTTGCGCTTCCAGCAGGAGCTGCTAGCTTTGAATGGGGCGCTGGATATGGTGCTGGCTCAAGCTGCTCTAGGATAAGGCACATTCGTTCCATCGATATGATAACGACCATTGTATGACATTACGACACGGACATTGTATCGATCTTTACGCAAAAGTACTCAAAGCGACCCCGCAACTCCGTGTGTTCTCGCCGTTCTTGGAAGTCCAGACAGCCTGCCTCTGGACAGTCTGCTCTCCATATCTCCTTTCAGTTTCGTAAAATAATCTGAAATCGTAGAGGATCAACGACTCTTCCATACTGGAGAACGCAAGTAAACTAACCATCGGGTGTAGCATGTGAGAGAGCATCACGTCTCCACGTTCTGAAAAGTTTATCCAGCTGAATTAAACGACCATTTACTGTCGCAGAGGGATCGATGTCTTCCCATTGTGTGTTGGATTGTAATGTGATGCTCCGGCTCAACAACCTGTTTCATCCAAATGATGAAAGGATGAGTACCTGATATGAAAGCAAGATTCGTTTACTCTCACAGGTTTAGCATACTAATCCGAGTTTCTGTTGGAATTGGGTCCCAGTGCCGTCTTAGTAGGGCCGAATACCTTCGACGCCAGTCGAAGTTATAAGTATGCAACCGTTGTAGGAGCTCGATAATCCTTACCATCTGTCCTTACAGCGATAGGGTGGCCTCCACCGAGTCAAGTTTTCCGCGACTTGGCTCCATGAGAACTGCCGTGGAGGCGGCTCAGTAATGGACCAACCATGGGCATGCATTTGATCGGTGATCAATTTCGTCAGTTCTTGATCTTCCGCTTCAGACCATGGACCCTTGACTACGCAGATTTCAGTTTCACCAGAGATATACACAAGATGGTTCAGCTCACCGTTAGCTCCTCCACGTTTGCGCGGCAGTATATAACTCTGATATCGCAAGTGGACCGCATCGGGATCTCTGTCTACTAGAGATCCAATCTTGGTCCACTGCCGAGGATACATTTGCGTGAGACTAAAGCGCAATGCCTTGCATCAGCTTGATACCATGTGCGAAAACCTGAATATCTCCATCGCGTTTACCCCCAGACCTCGTCTTCTTGAGCTTCTGTCCAAGCGGCGCCATTGTTTTGCGAGTGAAACCATTTAGCAAAAGTCGCTCTTGTGAGCTTCAAGGTTCTTCCCGGTAGATTGCGAACTGAAGATGGCAGGCGATTCTCAGTCTCGTTACGAAGCCTGCACAGCTTTTCAATGACGTACCTACGTGTGAAGCTGCTGCTCGACGAAGGCTAGCAGTCTTCCTCGTTTTGACCGTAAGTATGTTCTGTAATTCTGCATGGCTCATACCATGTGCCTGGGATCTGAACAGCTCAGCGCGACCAACACAAAGCAAGCAGTCTTACTCACTTTTCGGAACCGCTCGACTTCCGTCAACATGATTGCCTTCTCCGTCTGCGAAAAGCGACCCTTGCGCAATTTAACACCTTGACACAAGACGAAGTTCTTTTAGACCATAGAACGCTTGAAAAAAGTATCCGTCTTAGTTACCTTTTTCTGCAAGCTTTACGTTCGTCATTTCTACTGAGCAGCGTAATTCCATTTTCCATGCCTCCTCAATCTCTTCGTCCGGTCGCTTGACAGGTATAGCAGCATTGCCGACCTCGAGCATCATCAGGTTGAAGCGATCCTCCGCCTCTCTCTCCTTTCTATCTCGGTCCTCAACTGTGAGAAGTGGCGACGGCGATCGTTCGCGCTCCTCCTCGATCACTATAGGGATCTCCTTCCGACCGCCCGGAGCCCAAGCGGCTCGTAAAGTCTTCTTCTGCTTATCCTTCTTCTTCCCCTGCTTTCTGGCAGAGTCTGTCGCCCCTCCTACGTCCAATGCTGCGACAAATCCCGTACTTGTCACAGCCGCAGCACTATCCTTGTCCTTATCCTTCCCCGCTCGCTTAGCCCTTCTTTCCGCCTTCCTCGCCCGTCTTTCAGCTCGAGCCTGTTTCCGAGCTGCCTTTTCCGCTTTTTGCGACTTCTTCTCCGAGCTGGAGACCTTCTTCGTCCGCATCGTGCTCGAGGGAGATATAATTGCGATTGTCGTATTCGGAGAAGATGTTTGGGGGATTGGCGTCTTCTCTCTCGAGCTGGAAGAAGCTATGGCCGTCGCGTTCATGGAAGGGATATGGGAGGTTGAAAAGGTCTTTTCCTTTGAGCTGGAAACCTTCTTCTTCTTCATACCCGAGGAAGATACCACTGCTGCTGCTGCGCCCGAGGAAGAGACCTGGATGGTCGGTGCGCGAGAGGGGTGTGAGACAAGCGTAGTAGGTCGGACATCTTCGTCATCCGTATCCAGGATCTCGATGATCTCCGGTCCGACCGCCTGGGCCACCGGGACCTCGACAGCCCGCGAGGGTTCCACGTTGGGTCGTTTATCTTTCTTGGGCTTTTTCGGCTTCTTTCTTATCGCCGGAGGGTTTGAAGCGAGGTGGGTTGGTGTTTGGGATTCGGGTAGTTGTTGAACCGGGGTGACGTCCGGCAGCAAGACGATCTCTGATGCAGAAGTCGTTCGACCAACCACAGATTCCTGCGAAGTTTCGGGACGTTGTCCTTGAGCAGCAGCAGCTTCTTTGAGTAATTTTCGTTCTTCCTTGCGTTTCCGTTTCGCGATCACGGCCTGGAAGAAATTCGTGATCCAGGCTGAACACAGCTGATTGACGGCTAAGGGCTATGAAATGATGCTCACCTCGACGGAGAGCGTACCGCTAGGCGGTTTCTTCTTCTTCTTCTTGATCACCTCTCCATTCTTCGCTTTAGTCCCCACCGCCATCTGTTGCGGTGTCGACGGCGTGGCAACCACCTTGCTCGACGTCTTTGCGGGCTTCTTGACGACGACCACCGAGTGCGGGTCGACGGGCTTCGCTTGATGGAAGCTCGCCATCATATTGGACAGGAATCTGCGGTCCATGATGAAGAGCTACGTCCATGTGAGATCTTGTATAGTACCCGTTATATTCGTCGAAGTTCAGACAAGTGTTACGACTTGCACGATTTGTTGATGTCGAAATCGGCGCAAAAAAAAACGAGAACAAGTGATCAAAACCGAAGGGTCAACGATCAATTGCATGATGCGAAGTGCTCGGAGATCAGCCGGAGGCAAAATGAGCGGAAGCAAGATACCCTGAATATTTCACGTGATGGTATCCACGCTCTGCTCACGTCATCATTAGGGGTGTGGGGTGGTGGAGGCAGATCAACGTTTCCGACTTCACGTTTCTGCTGACCAGCACGTCCAGCACCCATCATCGTTACACACAACGCAGAGAGAGGGGGGGAGGGGGGGTGAAGGGGTCCGGGGTTACGAGCTATTCTGGTCAGAGCTTATCTTACCCCTTCGTACCTTTTTCTCCTCTTGCGTATTCGGCCGCTCCTTCCCGGTCATGCGTCACGGGTAGCCGGAGTATTTTATGGCTGACGAACATCGATCCTGTGATACGTGATACGGAATGTGATCATGGTCGTACAGGTATATATACCCTGCAGCACAGGCTTCACAACAGGCAGAGATCTAGAAGCTCAGCTGCTCCTCAACGTTAGCTTGCTTTTGGTCGAACTGAGAAGACGTCCGAATAACAACGCCGATTAACACAAACCCTTCGAACAAGATCCATCCTCGAACGGCTCGACGTAACGGAAGTAAACCATCATGAGCAACGTTTCGAAGACCTCCAACGACCAGCCCGGGTCGACCTCTGAACGTGCGAACGATCATCAAAAGGGGGACACCAGTCCGGCTCACAGGAACGCCAGTTCGGGGTCACATCACCACAGGGGTCCCAACGCTCCCAAGAATGTCGAAGAGTTTATCGAAGGTCAGATCCGGGGGAAGCAGAATGAACAGGAATTGATGGAAAAGTTCCCGACCGATGAGACCGTATGGCATGGGTTCGTCAACGTGAGTCGCATGGTAGATTGATGATGACCCGAGATGCCAAAGTGCTGAGGATGGACACTGCTCCTCAACTTAAAATTATCAGTGGGAGAAATATCCGGATCGCAAGGAAGAAGCGGAAAAGGTCCTCAAGTCAGTCCTACGCCTCCCTTCATTCCGCATCCATTCAAACGCCCCGCTAACATCCGCTCGAACCGTTGTAGACAACACACCTTTACCCCGATCCCCGAGTTCCAACTCATCCCGTTACCGTCGACCAACCCGATCTTGCTCGGACATCGGTGGAAAGAGTACCACCTGGCTCTCGGACCGAACTTGAACAAGATCCACGAGGAGAGTTGGAAGATCTTCAAGGAGGAGAAGAGGGAGAACATGCTAGTCGTCCTGGACTTTCCTATGAACTGCGAGCCGAAGAGGTCCGACCTACTCAAATCGCACATCACCCCGAATGATATCCACTTTGTCCGCAATCACGGTGGTGTCCCCACCGTGAGCGACGTCAACAAGTACTCTATCGCCATCGGTGGGCTTGTCAAGAATCCGGGGGAACTCTTGTTCAACGATTTGAAGGATCCGGCCAAGTTCGAGCAGGTGGAAATGACCATCACGCTGCAGTGTAGTGGGACGAGGAGGATCGAGCAGATCAACCTCTACCCTGGAGAGGGTGACGGTACGCATTGGCGATTTTGAGTACAAGAAGTGGCCGTGAGCCTTGCTGATGCCTGCATCTTTACATGTTCATAGAGTTGTTGAGCGCGTAGGTGGCGGTGCCCCTATCTATGTCTGGTCGGCTATGAGCTCATATCCATTTCATCAGACCCTGGGCCGAAGGAGCCATTTCCACCGCTCGATACAAGGTGAGCGTCAGGCTTGCCAAAACTACAACTTCTCGCTAGCTTACGTGATCATCACATCATGCAGGGAGTCCAAGTCAAGGATGTCATCGCCTACTTTGGGGGTGTCCTGCCGGAGGGGCTTCACATCGAGGCTATCGGCGCGGATACCTGTAGGTCCCTTCCTGTCTTTCAACGTGATTACGGCCGTTGATGTTCCTTCGAAAACTGGGCAGATTTCAAGAAGAACAAGGTGTTCAACTGTGAGTCCGTCAAGGGACTGCGCAGCCGGGCGAACAGGAAATGCTGATCCTGTTTTCCCTCTCTATTTACTATAAGACACCGTGTCGGTACCCTACCGAAAGGCCAAATACGATGAGGCTTTGTTGGCTTATGAGATGAACGGAGAGCCGCTCCCTAAGATTCATGGTGGACCTCTCAGGCTGGTCGTGCCGGGTGTCATTGGGGCCAGGTAAGTAGGATCGACAGGGAGACGTCAAGCTGGGTCGGATGATGCTGATGATGAACGGTGATTTGCAGGAGTACCAAGTGGGTTACCAATATCAACATCTTGCCGGAACCCAGTATGGGCCCGGTGCAGCGCCAAGAGTATCTGTATTACACTCAGCAGGTACGTCGACATAGGGATGTTCGAGAGAAGGTCCCCCCCACTGATGACATGCCTTGCAGGTCGGAAAACACAACGCCACCTTCGCTCGAGGGTTCTCCATCCAGGATATGCCTGTTTCGTCGGCGATTTTGACCCCGGGGGACAAGGAAGCCATCGTCCACGACGGATTCATCCATTGTGAAGGTGAGCATAAAACAAAGGCGCTGACACCACTCGCGAGATCTGGCTGAAAGGTTCGGCATGCCTCTTCTAGGTTGGGCGTACTCTGGCGGTGGTTCTTGGGTCGAGAGGGTCGAGATTTCCATCGATGGCGGTTTCATCTGGAACGAGGTGAGCAATTGGCCGATGGCGCTCGGGGTGACCAGAAAGTAATGCTACCGGCCTAACCTTGCTGCATTGATGCGCTGTAGGTACCCGAGGAAAACCTCTCTCCCAAGCACTACTACGCGATGAGGTTGTGGAAGATGGACGTTCCAGTTCCCGTTGAAGGTTGGATCGAGTTGGTCGTGCGATGCTGGGGTCAGTCTTTGTGCGAGATAATACACTTGACGATGCAATCTGACCTGTCCTGGCCACTTCATTAGATTCTCACATCAATACGCAGCCGACCTACGTCCGAACGGCCTGGAACTGGACTTTGCAGTGAGTCCTGCTTCTCTATCTCGAGCTCGAGATCAACTGGACTCACCCGCCTTGCTCGCTTCAGCGTTACGTCTTCCGCGCACCGTGTGCCGGTTTACTCGATCAACCGGTCGATCCCGGCAACAGCCCAGCGATTGAAGTTGCTCGAAGAACATGGCGAACCCATCGTACCCATCACTCACCCGGTTGAATTTGCGGTCGAAGGCGAGGATGAGTATCTCGACGCCATGAGACTCAAGGGCTCGCGTGAGCCCGTCGAGTGAGGAGCGGGATGGATTTGGTGTTGCACATCTCGCTCTTCATTCTATCTTCATGACGGACCTGCTGTGTAACATGTAGTGGGATAATCATAAACGTCCAGATCATATGAACGTCAAACATGAGCTGGCTCGGCAGCCAACAGGGTTCGAGGTACTGTAATGCACAAAGGCTTCCCAAGCGGCCCAATCTACTACGTACCACGCTGTCTCACCTGCACGAGCGCCTAAGAGTACGTGCCTGCCTGGCCAAATACGCGATTTGTCATCATCTCTTGCATCTACTACATGGGGTAGAAGCCGCTGATCCCGCCCGCCTGGACCACATTTATACAAATACCCATGCTACCCTAGTCTTGACAATCCACGCTCTCATTCGTTTACCCCAACAATACATAGGAACGGCAAAAAGGCACATCGCCTTGGAACAATTTCGCATCAGCTGTGACATCGGATACGAGAAGAGATCGCGCTTACTAGGCTGATAGCACCGGTCACGTAGAACCAGGAAAGCGGACCGGAGCTAGTATACCAATCCGCCAGAAGAGTGTATTTCCCCACGCGTACAAGGCTTTAACCAGCCTGTTCGAAAGGAATCGGCCATTGTAAGTTGCCGTGCGGGTACCGATGTTCCTTGGAGACTTACATGATGATGCCGAACGTGTCCCCTCCTCGAGCGGGAAATGCGCTAGAGGCGTAGGTGATACCACAAATAGTCCCGAATGCTGCGCCAGCGACTAGAAATGCGAGGAACTGGATAGAACTCGATGAGCAATGGTTTAGGGAAGAGTAACGAACTCGGCGCAAGAGCTTACCACAGCAGTGACGAGGTAGTGTGCCCCATGTTGGACGGTATAGCCCATACCAAATGCGCCTATATTTCCCTCACTTCTGAGTAAGCATTGGTACTATCCAGGCAACAGCAACCTCGTGTTCACCAATAGCAAAACATATCCCGCAAGGCATCACCAAGACAAGTCTCATCTCGGCTTCAAAGACCCCCTTGTTATGCTTGGATAAGATCCTTACGGCATGGTCGTTGATGGGTCCAGCGGATAGCAGTGCTAGCATTGTACCTATGAAAGGGCTGATACCTCCAATATAACTGTGCATGTAGACCAACCTGGTCGCCGATGAGTATTCACACAGCGCGCATCCCGGAAAACCCCACTCACCCGATTTTGGCCGTGTCGAAAGAGTAAGGGGGAGCGCCATATATCTGGCTATACAGCGAACTCTGTCCGAGGAACATAGAGATGTGAACAACCAGTCTGCCAAGATTTCATGCTCGGCTCTTAAGCCTCGTGCCCACTTACGAGCTGGACAAACCAAGTGAAAGTTGTCATGAACAAAAAGGCTGCATACAGGACGTTGGGCGACAAGAGAGTTCTAATGTGTTACGAAGTCATCCATCATTAGCTTCGGCCTGCGGAAAACTCTGGACTGTACCATATCCACCTACAAAGCCGGCCGACAGAGTGCAAGCGTTATGCTTTTATCACGGCGAATCGGTCTCCAGGGTCGTAAATGGTAGCTATCGAAGATGGCCCTTGGGTGTATAGGCGCGGCGGTTTCCAACGGTTGGACAATGGCGGTACCAGATCCTTTCTTGGTGTCGTCATGTACTACGGTTCCCGTCTCGCCGTCCCGATGCACAAAATCACACGACTCAAGCTGCCTATGATAAACAGTCTCGGGAACGAACAGGATGGTGGCGAAAACAGGGAGGATTGTAGCCCCGAATAAGACCCAAAAAGCGATATTCCTATGTCAGGGAGATTTCCCCACCTGGTCAGCACCTCTAAGCGTCACGTACGTGCAAGCGCTAATCAAACACGAACCTGCCAAGCCTCTGAATAAGGATGCCCGAAATCACCGGAGTCAAGCAGATACTTCCATTGAAGGCGAATTGCCAGATAGCGATGCGAGTACCCTGTTCGTGTAGAAAGAAGATATCCGTGATGCTGGAATTCACCAGACATCTTGTCACGTGGAACGTCCAATCGGCAAGATTAAGGCCTTATTCCTGGAATGATGAGATGCGCCTCGACTCACCCGTATGCACCCATACCAAATCCTTGAAGGATCCGGGCTCCGAGGAGAGAACCATATGACTTGGCTAGAGAAGTTGAGCCCGCGAAGCGATCAAGGGATTTTCAGAGCTGTGATCATCGCTCCCATTGAATGATGGACTGACCGAGGGCACCCCAAATCAGACCTGCGAGGAGCAGTATGTTGCTGACGAGAAATGTCGGGCGTCGGCCGAGCGAGTCTGAGACAGACACGCACAGAAAGGACGCTATTCCATACGTCAGAACGAGGTCGCCATTGATCGCAATAACTTTGGTCAACGAGACATGGTACTCGGTGAGGATGTTTCCAAAGTCCGGTGTCAAGACGGGGCCGACTACACCGACAGCTATCGCTCCCAGCAGGAGCGAAGCATATGCGACCTCCTTGCGAAACCGGGACCTGCCGCAGGGAAAATGAGCACAATGTCAGGAGCTCGCAACTAGACATCTTCTAGGATGGGAAGCGATGGGTACGACACCCTGACTCACCAGTTCAATGGATCATCTCGATGTTCGCTTGGTTGTGGCTGCAAGATCAAGCTTGCATCCTGAGCGTGCCGCTTCAATCCGAGAGCCTGCTCTTCGCCGCCGTTCGATGGCGGGTGGAGTAGACAGGTACCGGGGATGTCACCGGACACGGCTTTGGCCTCGAAAATCCCTATTCCCATTGTCGAAAGTGTGCGTCTGCAAATAAGATTGGGCAATCGCGGAAAGATGCTGGTCGTCAGCCATTAAGTGTAGGGGTATATATACACTAATCGAACCCAGAACCTCCCGCAGTATGAGAAAACAGAGTGATGCTTGTCGACAATCGTGGGTGGTTGGTGTGTGTGAGAGATATGTGCGTAAGAGGAAGTCAACTTCCGTCCCGCACGCGGACCGACAAGGATGGCAATCGGACTTTGGCAGACAGGACACCTCGATATACGTTCCGTCGCACACGATCTCGGCGTTTGCTTTGATGTATCATGACTCTGCTAATCTTGACTTGAGGGGCTCTTATCTCAGACTTATCTCGAGGCAAAACCCCATCGCAAGGGAATAAGAGGCACATCGGATTTGCCCCACCGGAAGTCATCTTCCGCGTCCAGGGCTTGCCACGCGCGGGATGGGTCAAGGCTGAAACGGGCAGGCCATTTTCATGCGTTAGGGAAGGAGTATATAACAAATAGACACATCAAGGAAACTGGGGCGAGGGTGTCAGTGTCAAGCCCATAGGGTACGTATCAAGGATAGACCGACTCAATCAATTTACTTTGATCCGATTTTGATTCACTTAGCCGTTCGCGCCATGACTCCTCTCAGACAAAAACCGGCCTACAAGGTGGCGGCGATTCAAGCTTCTCCAGGTGAGTACCAGACCGCCAGACGTCAGTCACAGTCTGATTCTGGAATAACGTTTTCCGTTGCCCCAGTATACTTTGATCTCGAAGCTACTTTGGCCAAAGCGATCGCTCTTACCCGCGAAGCGGCCTCCAATGGGGCTACCCTCGTCGTATTCCCCGAGCTCTATCTTCCAGGCTACCCCTTCTACATCTGGCTTGATCCCTACGGCAAGTGGACGGAAAGAACCGAGGGATATTACGCCAACTGTCCTGCGATCGATGGACCAGAACGCGACATCCTGGTCTCGCTGGCACAGGAACTACAAATCACCATAGTGATGGGATGCGGGGAACGAGATCACGGTAGCCTCTACATGGCTCAATGGATTATTGGCCCAGAAGGACTGATCGCGCAGAGGCGCAAGTTGAAACCGTCCTTAATGGAGAGGTGAGTACTTGTACGATGAACACCTGTTGCAGTTACCAATACTAGTTCCTGTCTTTCAGGGTCGTGTTTGGCGAAGGCGATGCAAGTCGAGGCATCAGCAATCTCGAGATCGACGCGTTTCTGAGACCTCACATTGTCATTCCAGGGGTCCGACATCCGAGTACATGATTCGCCTCTCGGAAGGATCGGCGCTTTGAACTGCTGGTAGGCACCGCGAAGGAGACCATGTTGAGCGATCGAGCTTTGGCTGAGCTTGTCGAGCGACACTGCAGGGAACACAACGTGCCTCTCATCAAGCATATTATGGCGTGTCAACATGAAGAGGTTCGTTGGAACTGGAATACATCGACCTGGTCAGGCCTCTTAATATTCGATGACGACCTACTCGCTACACAGGTTCATTGCGCGAGCTGGCCCCACCTACACGACAACATGCCTCATCATTCTCTAAGCCGTACTGCCAACGTCGGATCCAACCGGGCTTATGCGATCGAAGTCGGTACTTTCGTCATCATGGCGACTGCACCAATTAACGAACAAAACGCCCAGCACCTGTGTGGCGACGACCAAACCAAGCGGGAGAGTTTAGGGATGGGAGGCGGTTGTTCGATGGTCTACGACCCCGAAGGAAGGGAGATTGCGGAGCCTTTAGACGAGTACGCTGAAGGGATCGTGTATGCCACGGTGGACCCGGTCAAATGCAGCTTGGCGAAAGCAGCTCTGGACACGGTCGGTCATTACGCTCGCGAAGATGTCTTCAGGGTAACGTTCGATGCAGAACCTCGCCAATCGGTCAAATTACACACCTCAGACCCCCGCAAAGATCAACGGTTCAGGATTTCGAGAACCGAAATGTTCTCTACGGCGACGAAGCGGTTGTGCGAGAATGCCGGGGCGGCAAGTGTTATCCGGCCATAAAAGGGGTTCTGACTGAGCGACCGACCGGAGGCTTGCTAAGATCGCTGTAGAAAGGTTGATAAAGCCTCTCGTCAGCTTGTATCTCGATGTCCTTGTACCTCTTACACCTGGCTCCATATCGAATGAAGATCATCTTTAAAGTTAGATTCCGTGGGAAGGGGGGGGGGGGGGAAAGCGACGCGCAACGAGTATCTCCGATAAGAGGATCCACCTCGGCGATCGCCCCCCGGACAGCACGTCAAGATGGCGATGAATCGTCTCTCTCATCCCAAATGATAATATGTATATGCCTTCTTCCCTCAATTGTTGAACTCGGTCAGAGCCATAGAAACCCCGTCAAAGCATACTTGATCACATACACCATGGGCCCGCTCAGAAAGAACGTGACAACAGCTTGCGACGCGTGAGTAGCTTGCGGATTTCGCTTCGATCTCGACCTGCACAGCGACCTAATCGTTCGCTAACGCTGTTCGTGCCGGATCTACTCGGGTTTGGCAACGTGAGAAGTTGTAAAAGACGCCGGATCCGATGTTCTGGAGGACGACCAGAGTGCGAGACTTGTCAGAGATTGAACAAAGTCTGCGTCTATGCAGAAACGGATGGAAGGCTACTGTGAATATGCCGTGGGTGTGATCCGAGTCGACTCGTTCTGTACTCATTTCGCCACGAGTCTTTCCTCTTTCAGACGAGCAGCAACAAGAGAAGAACTGTTGAGGCTTCGGGAACATGTTCGACAATCGCGCGGATCTTGCGAGATCCGGGATAGTGATGCATCCCTACCGAGTGAGGCTGATCATATACAGCCAAGATTACCGCCCTTTGGGACAGGAGGCATGACCCTTGATATGGATGGAAGATTGCATTTGACATCGAAGGCCACATTTTATCGCTCCACCGAGGAAAATTTCAGACCGGAAGAAGGGCTCGAAGCGGATGTGCCAACAGGAAGGACGACGGTACCGACAACCTTACCGGAAGATCGATATCATCTCGAGGCATCTTCGCTGATCAGCCTCGCTTTCCGAAACACCGTCACTTTCGGTATAGTGGACTTTTCCAGCGATTTTTGGCAAGAGCGACGGAAAGATCCGATGGGACGGACGCCGTTCTACTCTCGGTTCCTGTACATTGTGCTTTTGATAATCGGCTGGAGGCACCAAGTAGATATGGGTGTCATCGAACGGTTTTACGACCGATCTCGAGACCGAGGTTTAGATCTGATCCGCGTGGCCAGGAGAATGGTTGATGAAGAGGCGGAGAATCCCAAGCTGAGCACAATACTCGGATTGTATCTCTTGTGCTCCTGCTTGGTCGGGATGGGTCAAGAGTGCGTGTCGGGTCTGTGCAAAGGCAATCTTGGATCGCTTAGCTGAATAGCTCTATTTCTGTATCCTCAGCCGAATCGCTTCCGTATACTACTGTGAGCATTCGAACAGTTCAGGTAAAGCACATTGACCCTTCTGACCGGATCATGGTATTCTTTTGCAGCTATTGGTATATCCCTGGCACAGGATTGTGAGGATATGTTCCTTCGCTCTTCTGAACCTATAAGTACTGATGGATCGGCTCATAGTCAATGTCCATTTACGATGCGATGACCAGCTGACAAAGCTGGACATGCACGTCGGCTGCGCTCTGGATCGGGGTCGTCGTTCTGTTGACGCGGCTACCAGAATCATCAGTGCGTCTCTTCCGAAATCCGAGCCTTCATGATCGGCGTTGACTCTGTCTATTACCGCTAGCGGCTTGGTGGTCCTCGTACTTTGCTCGTGGGAGTGTCGCCGATTGGCAAGCTCGTACCCAGAGACCGCCGTTGACTGGCGGGTCTTCTGCCGAGCTTATTTATCCATATCATTTGGAGCTCAGCACACTTGGCATCCAGATATTGCACTGCAGTCATTCGGTGATAATCGGCGACGCCGAAAGAATCGTACGTGCTAAGAAGGTGCAAGACGACATGAAATCATGGTCAGTCTCAGCGGGCCAAGCAATGGGATCAGCTAGCTGAGTACAGAATACAAAGTTTATAGGTCTCTTTCGCTTCCTGAAGCCTTGAGATGGCCCAACGTATGCGACACTGAACATGCGTTACCAGGGTGAGGATTATTCTGGGAAAACCCGCAGCCAATTCGTATTGGGTAAGCTCATGACGATTGAATCTGACAGCACTATAGCTACGTTGGCACTGTTCGAGGCCTATCACATTTTGCTCTGTCGGCCGTACCTATTCGGAGGTCGACCTGATAGCCTGAATAGCTTATCGACATGCATCGGAGCAGCACGAAATATCGTGTCACAGATTCGTTATCTTCGGACTCGATTCGACGTGTGGACGTTCCCCCTCACCGTCCAACAGTGAGTCAGTCCCTGTGATCGACGTTCGTCAGATATCGGATGTCGGTTCTGACGCGGTTGGTCTTCGACAGTATCATTTACGTCGCTGGCACCGTTATCATCGTTCGGCTCTCGGGCGTTGCCCCATTGGAGGCAGGGGATTCTTATCGCCTACAGCAAGATCTAGATTACTTATCAGATGTCCTAGAGGCTATGTCAAGCATCTGGCCAGCAGCAAATCGTAGCTCTTTGTCCTTACGGCAGTTGGCGCAGGAATATTGCTATGCCGCTTAAGGAAGAGGGGAGGCGTGGAAAAGATTGTCCCGCGCGGGAAGTTATCTTCCGCCTGTATGAGTCCGAACATCGCGCTATCGAGAAGCTCAAACCCAATAAATATAAAACGCCTCCGTTCGACACTCCGTTTCGACAAACGCCAAAGTCCAGAACGGTCAACAATCACATCCAAACTCGATATCATCATGATCAGCCTTCCGAAACTCGTCGGCAGTCTCGCCTTTCTTATGGGCACATCGCTCGCGTCTCCTATTGTCAAGAGGAACGGGACGCGTTTTGATCCGGCCGATTTTGTGGTCGCTGCTGTTCGTGCGGCGCCTCCGTGAGTATTTGGGGTGATTGGAGATCGAACCCATGTACTCAGGGCTACGATGCTCATCCATCCTGTCCTCAGTCAATGGTCTTTGCCGTTGATCAATTATACATACGGTGGCATGAACCTGGACGCGACCGTCGCCTATGCTGCCGATCTCATTCAGCAGGCTTCTGACGATGGCGTCGGACTGTTGGCGTTCCCCGAGTTATACTTTCCTGGGTCAGTGAGATTGTCCCCGACCTGTCGATCAACGCTGATGAAGGCTGCTTCTTAATCATCATAGCTACCCTAAATACCTCGATGCCAATGCTTTTGTTCCCGACTTAGTAGACAACTCCCTGAGTATGGATGGGCCTCAATGGCGACAGCTTGTGGCGGCGGTTCAACACGCTGCCATCTACGTGGCTATCGGTTTCTCCGAAAGCGATGGTGACAAGCTGTACATGAGTCAGGCACTCTTGTCGCCAGAGGGCGACGTGTTGATACATCGGCGCAAGCTCCGACCATCTGGTGGAGAGCGTACTATATGGAGTGATGGGAATGTCGGCGGATTGGAGGTAGTCGACACGCCTTACGGGAGGATGGGCATGTTGGAATGCTGGGAGTAAGTCTGGCTCAAGCTTCGCCTAGAGTTTGCCCTGGTTCTGGGAATTCAAGCCCCCCCCTCCCCTCCCTTCTGCAGACATTTCCATCCGTCAATGACATTCAACGTCCAGGCTCAGCTTGAGGACATCCACATCGGGGCCTGGCCGTACACGCCCAACTACAACGCTACCGGATGGGCATACTGGCAGACTGCCGATGTCAACCTTGCGGCAGCTCGAACCTATGCCGTCAACTCTGGTGCCGTTAGCGTAGTGCCCAGCATCGGCAAAGCTGTGATCTTTAGCGCTCAGGGCCTGGTGCTCACGGAAACTCCGGACGCCGAGACGAGGATGTCCGAGGAGCCATTCATCTATACCTCCGTCAACACCACTGCGTTCCGTAGGACGGCATACAACGTGAGTTGGTAGGGTTGTCTCGATTTTCCAGAGGCGCTCAATCGTCTGTAAACGTGTGACAGATCAACGGCGAGGAGAGTTGGGGTACGCTACAGCAGATTGTGAATTCCTTTCCCAAAGGTAACCCCAAGGCGCAAGGCTCGTTTGTTCTACCAAAGGAGATCCGGGTCGACGATCTTTTAAAGGCCGCGCGTAACGGATCCCTGTACCACGATTGAGAGCCGCAGATAGCTAGGAAACGGCTTGAGAGGTGCTGGTGGCCGTGCTCAATCATGGACGTGATGGTCACGGTTGCTGCTTGAGCGTCTTCGGCCGTATACTGATTGGGTGTTTCGAAGTGTGAGGATCAATCACGCGTATCGTAACGGTCGAAGCATCATATGGAAAAGTCTCCCCGACATGGTCATGAATGACGTTGTTTAATTGTTTAGGATGTGCGGGAGGTCATCAGGCGATCTCGATCGGCAAAGCCCGTCAAGTACGGGGAATCGACCGAGTTTACGGATGGTCGTCTCGGTGTTCGTGTTAGTGACTCGCTGTCGTTCAATGATGTTCAAGTAGATTGTGAGCCGTGATGAATGGTCAGACTCGCTTTGACAAGCGCGTTGTTGCACGTGCTGGCAACGATCTGTGATAGTTCACACTACTCGTTGCGCATCCGATAACTAGCTGTCATGGCATCAGGAGTCCATGCATGTGTCTGTCACGTATTGGAAGTTACAAATTGTTGTCGAACAGCTCAGCACGGTCTTGTAATTAATCATTTCGTCCGGTCAGACGTTGTGCGCTTTGTCGCCGATACTCCACACGCTTAGGTCGAGGAGGGTCCCCTCGGTGAGTAATTATGAATGACCTGAATCGAGACGGCTGTGCAGACAATAACAGAATTTAGAACCCCGACATGCCATAGCTCCGGATGATGGCAATTTCGAAGAGGGGTCTGCCTGAGCGATAAGAGAGATGGCGGAGGGCGAGACGGTTTATCGTGTTTTGAAGGCGTAAAGCAAACCGTAAGATCTATTGCTCTTCGCTGTCGGATTTTTGACATACATATTTACTTATAAAAATTGAAAAGCATCACTCGCGATTTCGTATAATGGTTAGTACACCAGATTCTGATTGCAATATACAATCTTCTGGTAATCTGGGTTCGATTCCCAGAATTGCGTCTTCTTTTTACCTTTTTTCCAACCCTATTGATCTCTCCCTTCCTCACGTGACTTTGCTATGGTTAGCCCACTATGACTTGGCCCTCTCCAGTATTATCATTGAGCTACACCTAGGACATCTCATTATCCGCTTCAGTATTTGATCATTTAATATATTCACCCATGCCCTCCATCAGTTCCGACAGTGAGGATGACCTCCTCGCCATCTACACCCAGCTCATGCTGGACTCGATCGACGTCCCCGATCGCTCGGCTGTCGAACCGGCTCGACCGATGTTGGTCGACAGCAATGTCAACCCGAAGCCAGCCGAGATGAACGCCAAGAAGCGCAAGCTCGAGAAGAAGAAGATCAAGCGTGAAGAGAGCAAGCGAACCAAGGCTGATCTGGTGGAAGAGGCGGGTGAGCAAGACGGCTCCGATTATCAAACACATCGATCGCCTGCTCAAACGCTATCTCGCAGAGTTCCGGCTGTTCTCGAGGCAGCCTATCCGGGTCATCTCGCTCTTACCTCCAAAGGAGGATATGACGACGGTCCCGTGAGTTTGCGATTCCCACAAGATGACTATCTTGACTTTTGACGTCCCGACCATGCCGCAGAAACCCGCGTCATATCGAATGGACCAAAGGCGAGGTCTCGACCCGACGGGCACGGATCAGGTCGACCGTAGTCAACGGCGACCGACTGATAAAGACCAGACTCAGGGCTTCCAAACTGCAGGTCAGTTGCCCGGGATTCTACGACTAGTACCGACCTCTCACAACCGCTGCGTAACAGCCAATCTCCCCGTCGCTGTTCCACACCGAATCGTTCCCCTCTGACCCTTTACCCAACCTTCTCCTCGCCGACCGATCCAAGATCGGCTTGTCTCCTATGGTACAACGAGCGAATCCACCTTCCAAGCCGAAATCCAAACGACCGGAACGACAGACGATTCCCACTGTCACCTCCCCCTACCCTGCCGATATTACCGCTCCACTGCCCCGACCTCTACCAGAAACCCGGGCCGATCAACGCCGTCAATCGCGAGAGAGAAAGAAGCTAGCCCGTCGTGAAGATCGCCTCGGCTTGCGCTCATTCGAGACGTCGTTGTCTGGCAAGACACAAAAATTGATCAAGCGACGGGAAGCTCGTTACTGGGCGCCTGCAGTCGGGCTGGGAGGTGCAGCGAGGGGGTATGCCTATGGCTTTGCAGGCAGTCGAGAAGGGGCAAGGGACATTCAATCTGGTTGGATACGGGATAAGATGCGCAAGGGGGCATTAGACGAGTGAGACGCTGGGTGATACGAGCGATCAGACTGCGGACCGATCCTCTGGAAAGGGTTCCTCGGCCGCCGCACCGAAGTCGACCATGGCGTATGGGTCCTGGATGGAAGGGTTGCACCATGTTTTCACACGGCGCACGTCAATGCCCCGCCTCCCACCGCACGACTCTGCGGATCTGTCACCAGTCGAGCCTCCGCGCTAGCAATAGTCACGCAAAGGCGGAAGATCAAGATTTCAGCGAACACCGTCACCAAGACAACGCCCTGGCAAGCGAATATACAATAGGCGAAACATGCAGAGGTAGTGAATATGGCATCGCGTCAAGGCCTTTTCGAGTCACCAAGAAGAATTCGCCAATCTCGATTCTTTACCTGATACGAGCAACAGCGTTTCGTCGGGCACTGAAATCTATGTCTTCATAATCCTGGAGCTCTACAATTTGGCGAATGTACAGCCTGATGAGATTCTCCAACAAATTATGGCATGCCATCCGCCTCGTCGTCACCGCTCAACGTCGCAGGAGACGGCTTTTGCAGACAGGCAGGTTCGACGCTCGACATGTCTGGGCGGCCACATAATTCTTTCAAGACGTGAAGTTATCCAAGATGTTCAATCTATGCAATATTGATCATCACCGGCTCCCACCGCCTGCGGGGTTCACAATGATATCTCTTATCAGTGCAGCTACAAAGTGTCCATCCACGCGGATTGATCCCTGAGCATGTCAACGGACTCTGTCAGCCGCCCAACTCTCTTCTGTCTGATAAAGTAATTCGTACCGCATCGAAACCTGGGGTCGTCACCCGCTTTTCGGGCTTTTCAAAGACATGATCGTTGTGGATCGGGTAATAATAGTGACCCAGCAGGGTCGAGAACACATACCAATCGGCTGCAAAGTCTCATCACTCAACTGAAGTGAAATGTGGTCTTGAGCTGATCGACCTGGACTCACGTGCGAAACCCCCTTCATCCAAGATTTCGATGACCGATGAAAAGGTTGTCGCAGGCATCCACATCGCCTGGATCAACTTTTCATCATGAACAGACAGGATGATCTGATGACGACGCGCTTGGTCAGTAATAGGTTGAGCAGCTTCAGCGTGATCGGGATCTTTACGCTAGCTCTAGAAAGCAGCTCGAGACGGGTCTTGGGATCCATCTGCTTGAGTTGGCTGACGTGCACCTCTGCGACATCCGTCAATGTATGTAGGGCTTCTATAAGGGTTTCGTGGTCGCCCTTTGCGAGTTTTCGATGTTCTCCCTATCGTAGACCGCAATAAGCTCCGGAACTCGCAGCAACCCTACTGCGAAGCGCTCACCTGGTTGTCGACATACACGACGACCGGTTTGTCGACAGGCGCGATATATGCTTGCAGTCCGGCAATCACGTTCTCGCGGACGGGATCCATAAAATCAAGCCGAGCTGGCATTGGTGCGATTACCGCATTCATCTGTTCTCAAAAAAGTCGTTAGCACTAATGTTGCGACCTACGAAGTATTTGACAGTGATCACGCACCTTTCCCCATTGATCAGCTAAGCCCCTGGCGGCATGTGCAGCCTCTGAGGGACAAAAATTCATCTCAGCGTCGACGTTGAACGACCACAGACGTTCACTACGACCTTACTTCGGTCCACGATGACCGCTCGATCGAGCATGACCGTCTGTCCCGCTAGCGAAAGGAGTTTCAAGACGTTACGCTCCTCGAAAGTCGCTCCTGGCGCAACACTAGCCAGAAACCGTACGTCTGTGGACCACACGACAGCTTCCTCAGAAAGCTGCTCGGTCTCGGCGGAACCAATACTGCATACTGACTCTTGCTGTCCCCGTCGTTCCATGTCGCGTCTTCGCCGCATTTGGGGAACATCCATCTCGAAGGGAGGTCTGGCAGGTTCCCGGTCTGCAAAGTATTGAGTTCGACACCAGGTTCATTGAAAGCAGATTTTGAGCCGTTGATGTGAAGCGAATGGGGAGGAGCGAGCGATAATGCTTTCCAGCCTCCGGTGAAGAGCTCGGTCAAGAAATTGCTGTTGTGTAGAAGTGAGAATCTGGAAGGAAGTCCTTCCTACGGCTGGGAGACTCACTTGTGATAGACTACCGGCAAGTGATGAGGTCGGATAAGCTGTCAAGAATCGTCTATCTCTCTTCTGCTGGCACAACTTACTCATATAACCATCTACAGTCCGGTAGTTCAGAGACAGCTATCAGTCGGTACTTCTCTCAAAGTGGTAGCTCGAGACTAAAAAGGATTACCTGGTCCTGGCGGATCGTTGAAGATGAACTAGATCTTTCTATCAGGATGTCGGTCGCCTGAGGCATATTGGAATGACATACCGTAGTTCCTGACAATCTGCCGACCACGGTCCCAAGATCGTCTTCGGCCTCGGCTGTGCCGATCCTGCTGAACGTCACCTCGCCAGGTCCTACAACCTCTTTGTGATCAGGAGTGTTCTCCAAGTCGTCCGAGACCGCTATATATGAGCCTTCGCTGATGTATAGATTATCAAACACGTTATATCCCCAAAGACCTGAAAACCAAGTATTGTAGATGGCTCGAGCCGGTTCGCTGCGGATACACGGCCAAACATACCGGCCACACGTCTTGTTGTTGGAATTAAACGGGACAAATCGATGATGGGGTCGATATGTGACGCATCTGATTGTCCAGGATGAGTTCCAATCTTTTCGCTTGCCTGCGAACCGTTCCGTGTCGAAGTGTATAGGAAGACGAGTAGTAGAACGAAACCCAACACCCCGATCACCGGAGTGTTCGATCTCGGTCTGACCATATTATAGACACACTATGCTTATGCGAGCGGTCTGGATGGACAGACGTAGCTATATGAATCAAGATGTATTGGCAAAATCTAGCGACTTGTGCCAGTTGCACCTTGCAGCGAGATCATCGTCCAACCGCCGGTCGCTCAATATTGCTTCCGATAATCGGATGTAAAGGCGGGGTCCATGCATGATCTAATGGTACGAGTATATGCAGTACATCCTGACAATCACCTTCTACCCCGCTTCGTACCCTATGCCAACACGACCTGAGAACAAAATACACACATCTACAGATAAATTCGACCTCATGCAGGAATGGGCAGCGCCTCGGCCTCTGCCAACTTGTCTGCGGCATTCTCCAGCGGGAGCGGCTTGGTCTCGCCTGGCACAGGCTTGTCCCGGGAAGGCAATATAAAGTCCATCTTCCCACTATCCCGATCCGGGCTCATCAGTCGGGCGTACTCCAGGTACATCCGGAACATGTATGCCTGCATGTCCTCCCGTCGCCACGCTGAAAGATTGCCGCACAGGTTTTAGATTCTCGCTTGTGTCACAGCATCGCCGTTTCTACTCACTTCGTTCCACCCAACATTGCCCGTTGCTAGCGATCCTACGCGCAACCTCGTCATGACCGCCTTTACCCTTGGGAGAACCTCGGAAGCTGCGAATTACCGCAGCACAAGCCTATGAGCTTCCGTATCTTCGACGTTACCTTCAACGATCACTTGCCAGCCAAAGCACTCACAACGCAAGGATGGACCATAGATCGGAATAATCCATCTTGGTCGGCACATAAGCGTACCATTCTGGCAGATGGTGCGTATCTATAATCAGAGGACTAGGTCAGCTTTCCAATTCCATTCCAGGTCATTTCGCATGTCGACTGACTCCACTCGGGGAAGATGGTGGCCTTGAGAACAACGCTAATCAAGTAACGCGATCAGCCTGGACTGTTACGGCGATAGGCTGCCGGCCAACTCACTTTCGAGCGGCCATCAACCGGGGAAACCTAGAACTCCACGAGTTGCCATCCGTCTACACCAAACGATTGGAAGATACACGCTCAGTAGCCGGATTGGTTTCGGAAGCCTCGCTAGTACTCACGTCAAAGACGAATTTGAAAGCGTTGGATCGCTCGGGGTTGTCCTGAGGAGCAAAGTTGAAGTTTTCCCTAGCAAGAGCCAGGCTGCAATCAGCCTCGTCGCATCAACCAGGGGCGAAAGCTGTAGCGGTCGGTACCTACTTCATCTCATCGCAAGTACCGTCACCCCAATCGCACTGCCAAGGCCCACCGCTCATCGCCACATCCATGTAATACTCGCCCAGAGTGCTCCCGCTGATGTTCTGAATCTCTGCCTGTCCCGACGTGCCGATGGGCATTAGGACAGGTTTCCGCTCAAACGAGACGTCGTTGGCAAATTTGTGGAGACGTTCTCGGTGCGAATCCAGCCACTTGGCACCGCCCTTTTTGTTATGCATGATCCCGGTGGCCAGACCTCGCTGGATTCGAGGGGGAAGAAAAGAATATCCGGTTAGGCTGACCTCGCAGTATCGTCTCACAACGATGCATACCCAATACAGTTTCCCGCTCTTGGCCTTCCATACCGGATCGTCACCGACATCGTCCCGTCGGCCGTCCTTTCCGACCGGGGTGATGGGAATGTCCGCATGGAGCGCAGTTCGCGAAGGCACGAAGATGGGCAGTAGCCTAAGCAGATGGCGTCATGTTAGCTTGGCTGAAAGGCAAGATGATAGATCGACATGGTATTTGCCTAGTGTGTGGCTTGGGCTGGCTTTCGGGCCCCTTGATCTCGAGCGCGATCCCGTGATTCTTTAAGATCTGCGACGAAAGATGATTCTACGAGTCAGAGACCGTATCGAGCTGGTATATGAGCGTCGTCCGACGTACCGAAGGGTGCTGACAGAAGTCCATAGCACTCGCGTGCGACGAAACAAAGGTATCGGTGGCAGCTGAGACGTCCGCGCAAGTACTTTGTCAGACCAAGCGAGATATGTTACAAGACTGAAAAACCGAGCTTACCCTCCTCGACATGTCCCTTAACTGCAGGGCTATCCTTAGCACAGGCAGCCAGCCAGTTCATCTCGGCCTTGTCTTTCTCATCCACCTTGTTGGTAACTTTGGCAAGATACAGCCCCAATTTTCAGCCCGGTGAGCCCTCAGCGGTCGAGGATCTGCACACTCACCTTGCTTCTTCTTGGCTAAGGTTGTCAAATCTTTCATCCGATCGTGATCAGGCAAGATGCTAGGCTGATCGTGAATCGTAAACGTGGCCCTGCGTTTCCGTCGGGTTTCCGATCAGCATCATGCATCATACGTAAACACAATCTCGTAACAAACCTACCTGAAATCATTGAGCATGCCCAAGAACGGCTCCATCAGGTTGACCTGCGCATCAGCCCTCGGTCTGGAGGACCACCACTTGTCCCTCGAGTAATCGTCGTTCCACTGAAGCACGACCTTGCCGTTCTGAACGATGAGCGTAAAGGTTTCGACAACCTTTTCGGCCTCGGCGTTACGTTTGGCAAGTTCAGCAGGAGAAAACGCGTAGAATGGGAGGAGGGCATTGAGGATGCTGTTCGATGAGTTGTAGATCCAGACACCAGCAGTTCAGTGGACGCTTGATAGGCAAGTGATAGATTGCGAAAGGCTCACGCATCGTATTCGTCGGGCAAGAGTACCGAACGATCGCTGATGAATTGCCACCTACTCCGCAACCGTGAAGCTCTGTCAGTGGCCCGCCCAGAAACTTGTATTCCCATTCCCGGGTCTTTGGTGACAGGGAACCCCTGCACTCACCATTGATCGAACCCCAACGGCGGATTCCTATTCCACCTCGTCTTGTACTCTTCGACGGCTTCTTCCAGCGATTTGCTCTGCTTCGCTACCATATCCTTCCATTTCCTCTCTCCATCCCTTAACAATCCCAAGATCGGGTTCGTCAACGACTCACTGACCGGTTTCATGGATTTCGCGCTCGACGTCGAGTTCCCATCCGAATGCGTCAGGGGAGGGTGAAAGACGGCCTGTTTGGCACGAACGATTCCATCCGAGACTTGCTCCAGTTCGACCTGCTCGGCCCGTTGCTTCTCGTGTTTACTCAGGGCATCAAATGGGCTGATGAACAGGCACCTCCCGAATTCATCCCACTCTTCTGGCGAGTCGCCAAGCGAGAACCCAAAGTTGTTGGATATCGAGTCCGGGAACCAGTTGACCGGGTGGATTCGAGATTCAGTTGACGGACTGACGAGACTCCGGGTCTTTGGAGTGGAGAAGAGGCTGATGAGGATGATGATCGAGAGGAGGGCGAGGAGATTGAGGTAGCGTTTAGGGATGCCGAACGTCGCTCGACCGCTAGGCGATGCACCGGCTGAGCTGGCGTTTCTGAACATGGCGGCCAGAGCTGAACGCCGGCTGGTGCACGGTTGCGATCTCGGTGATGATGTGGTGGACTCGATTTGTCCGATGTCTTGAAGCGAAAGAGTGTCGGTGTATGTCGACTCGAGAGCTGACAAGAACAAGAAGGTCGGAGAATCACTACAGCTCTGGCGCGTTTTCCCTGTAGCGTTACGTCGATCGGATCGTCGATGATCGATGAACACACGCTAGGTGCTAGGTGAGGGGGTGGGGGTGACCAAACGCAGTTTGTACCTTACTGCTGGCTTATTCTGCTCTGTCGATCAGCTCTAGTTTCTGATAATGAAAGAAGAAGAAGTGGAACATGTCATCCATCCCATGCCGGGTGGTCGCACAATCGATGCCCCATGCCCCAGCGCCCAGGTCGCGTTCTGGGAAGTAACTTACATCCGTGCGCGAAAACACGGCGATCACGTAAGGGATAACGGCAGCGAAAGGTGTGACAAATGGTGAACTGCGAGTCTCAGCCCTGACCTGATCACTACTCATCTACCCCCTCGGAACGCTGTCGTAATCGAGGCAACCTCGACATCGTACATCGTCTCAAACAGCAGCGATATCAGGTTCGAGTTTCCTGGCTCCGCTACAACATCTACTTGTCACATATAGATAGGATATTATCAACGACAAGCTCTGAACAGCGATGGCTCCTGTTAAAGAGTGAGTACCCAGCAGCTCGGGAAACAGCAGTTCCTTTGGAGCGAAGGTTGACGAAGCATACCCTTGCTTGCTTCGTGATGTTCGTTCACCAGGAACTGGGAGAAGTGTAAGCACGCAGATGCTTAGAATGTATCTGAGATGAGAACAAGAGCTCATCAAGTCTTGCACGTGCCGGATCAGACGAGAAGAAGGTGGACGACAAGCCCGAGGAAAAGATCGTCGCCCTGGATGACACCGACATTCAGATCCTCAAAACCTATGTGAGCCGGGCGACATTTCGCCAATCATAACCAAAGCTGTCGACTCATTCTGTCCCGAATGCTATTCTGTTTGTCCTACCAAACTGATAGGGTCAAGGACCATACTCGTTGGCACTGAAACGGATCGAAGCCGAGCTGAAGGACATTCAGAAGCGGATCGACGAGAAGATGGGCGTCAAGGAGAGCGATACCGGTTTGGCCAGGCCGGATATGTGGGACTTGATGGCCGACAAGGTGAGTCGCAGCGTCGTTCTCAGCAATTCCACGATGACGGACAGGCTGACAATCGGGCAATTGACGATAGCAACGTCAAGGAGAACATCCCCTGCAAGTCGCCCGATGCTCCAAGATCATCAAAGCCGGATCCACCAAGACTGGTCCAGGCGGGACCGAGACTGGGGAGACTGACTCATTGGCATCCGCTCTCAACCCTCAGGACGGGGCTGGCGCGGGCAATCCGGAGGGTGACAAGTACGTCATCAACGTCAAGCAGCATGCTAAGTTTGTGGTTGGGTTGAGCGACAAGGTCTCGCCCACCGATATCGAGGAGGGTATGAGGGTCGGGTGAGTCGATAAAATACGTCGTATGGTGCAAGATAGGGCTCGGCTAAACGAATTTGGGTATCAACATAGCGTGGACCGAACAAACTACAAGATCTGTATGCCGCTCCCGCCCAAGATGGACGCTACCGTCTCGTTGATGGAGGTCGAGGAGAAGCCCGACGTAACGTGAGGCTCACAAGGACTGCCGTATTGCAAAGACAACACCAAACTCATACCATTGAACCCTCCTCCTGCAACCTCGACAGCTACGACCAGATCGGTGGATGCAAAGAACAGATCGAAAAGATCAAAGAGGTCGTCGAGACCCCTTTGCTCGAGCCCGAAAAGTTTGTCGCCCTCGGAATCGACCCTCCCAAGGGAGTGCTCCTGTTCGGACCCCCAGGAACGGGAAAGACGCTCTGTGCGAGGGCTGTAGCGAACAGGACAGATGCGACATTCATCCGGGTGATCGGGAGTGAGCTGGTTCAGAAGTATGTCGGTGAAGGAGCCAGGATGGTCAGGAACATCTTTGTGAGTGTCAGAATCTTGCGTTCAATACATCCGGTCGACGTCCTGAATTCTGACGTCTTGTCAAATACGTAAAATAGGAATTGGCTCGTCAGCACAAATCATGTATCCTCTTTTTCGAGTGAGTCGAAATCTTCTGTACGTAGGGTACAGGAAAGGGATTGACGTCTATCTCGATGTTACGTTTTGCCAGCGAAATCGATGCTGTCGGAGGAGCTCGATTCGACGACGGTGCAGGCGGAGACAATGAAGTTCAGCGAACAATGTTGGGTGAGTTAGGAGGCGTTCGTCTTGATGATCGTTCATCGTTCAAGAACCAACACGCTGATATCTTTCGATCGATCTCTGATGCATACAGAATTGATCGTTCAATTGGATGGTTTCGACTCTCGAGGTGCTATCAAGGTGTTGATGGCGACCAACAGGTGAGGGTCGATTGTCACACCTTTGACGAGGGATCTGAGCGAGTTTCTGACCGGACCTCTCCATCGCTCTCTATAGACCCGATACCCTCGACCCTGCCTTGTTGCGTCCCGGTCGACTCGACAGGAAGATCGAGTTTGGTCTCCCTGACCTCGAGGGAAGGGAGCAGATCTTGAGGATCCACGCCAAGACGTGAGTAGCTTTCGATCAGGCCTATCAGAGATGCGCTGGATCTAATTCCTTGAGGCTTGATCATTGATAGGATGTCGGTGGCGCCCAACATTCGATTCGGCCTGGTCGCCCGTCTATGTACCAACGCTACTGGGGCCGAACTGAAGAGCGTGTCCACCGAGGCTGGTCTATTCGCCATCCGGGCGCGAAGAAGGATCTGCGAAGAGGGAGATTATTTGAAGGCCGTGGAAAAGGTTCGCTCTTCTGTCCATGCTCTTCTCGATCGCAACTGGCGCAGCAGCTGACACAGATTTTGGTCTCGCTGCAGGTCATTAACCAAGGAAAGAAGTTCTCGTCGACGTCCCTGTACTCGACTTATAGTGAGTCCCGACGTCTTTCGGCTCTACAAACGAACGGTTTCCTAACAGCGCGTTTACTCGACAGACTAAACGATGACCTGACGGGAGGACCTTGACCTTGATGACGAAACGACCTATACAGAAGACGTGTTGTATAACATGGAAATGAACATGCGATGACGATCGTGCTCGGGGGTTGGTCAAACGGATGGTTCGGTGTGATGATGATGTGATGACAGTTCGATGGAATATGCAATGGATTTGGGGTCCTCGCCCTGGAATACGCCCCCGGTTCTACGCCACATGCATGCGAACGCCATCGAGCTCATTTCCGAGGATGAATCTGCAGCCGCCGCCCATCATCAGAGCCTGCCGGTCAATGTCCTGAGCCTCGTCGTTGACCGCGAATGCTCCACACAAAGACGTTGATGGATCATGAATGCGTTGGGAATGTCGACCTCAAGACTGATCAATTTGCATGAGCACACAGCGAGCGTAGGGCATCATTAACTTTGCAGCTGAGAGCTGTACGGCCGTGTAGCTCTGATCTATATTTGTTGATATGGTCGTGTACGAATGCCGTGTTGTGTGTGGCCTATGGGTGTGTGGGTGTGTATCTTTCGCGTGTGCCGGCGTCGGGCGACCGAAACACAGCCAAGACCAATAATCGACGTTGTTCAACTAGCTGCCAGCGTCCGCCGTATGGTAATGTTGTTCGTCCATAAGCCTTGGATAACAACAAACACTCGAACGGACAGCATCCCTTGCCTGGTCACCTCGTCGTTGTCGACCCAGAATCCGTCGACCCTCTCCCTGCCACACTCATTATTCCCCGCGCCCAGACGAGCCGACGAGCGAAACGGCCAAGTAGCAAACTAGGACGAGCTCGAGCTGACAGGTCACATTGGACGTCGACACCTCCCTGAACCTCTCGCAAAACAACTACGACGGCTTCAACCTCGCACCAAAAAAGCTCTCTACTCTTAGAACGAAGCTTTATCACGATCTATAGACCAGCAACCACCCGACTAAACAAATCAGGACAAACGAGCAGGAAAACAAGCCATCATAAGCGCCTCTAGGTCGGCTTGTACACCTTCCTCTTCCGCAAGACGTCGCCGTCGCCATGGCGGTCTCTGATCAGGAGATCCAGAGGGAGCTCAAAAACCTGAGGTGCGTCGTGTTGTTAGCTGTTAGACGGACGACGCAACCGATCTTGTGCTGATGTGACTTCTGTTCATCCATTGCAGATCATTCCGTCGTCTGTCGGCGACATCACAAGGCCCAGGTGCGACCCCTCTCGATCCGGACCTTCCGCCGGTTTCCCCACCCTCTTCTCAGTCGAGCTCTGCTGTACCGAGACAGCATTGGCAGGATGCGAGTTACCACCCCAACCCGCCCGTCTCGCCGACGAGGTCTGGTTCCCCTGCTAGCGTCTTTAACCGGACTCGTAGCGGCTCAATTGAACAACTCAATACTGGCAGCGGTAACAGCAACAGCAACCAGTACAACAGCAACACTACCCCCATGCAGAGACCTAGTATGAATGACGTCGAGGACCGGGTAATAGGTGCAGGTGGAGGCAACGAGGAGGACCAATCCCCCTTGTTCTGGTTACCCGCTCGACTTCATCCCGAGCTCGCTCCTGGGGAATTCAGGGCTTTCCTCAAGACCCATTCACACACGGATTCGGACGGAGTAGTAGACGGAGTCGGGGAAGCTACAGGAGCATTGGCAGGGACCTCGTTGGGCGTAGGGAATGCTGGAGGATCGGGACCCGGATTGGCTAGATCTCCGTCGTGGTTGGCTCGGAGCGGACAGAGTGGGTCAGGCGGCGATCTGGGGAGGAAGAGGTCGATGTTATCCCGGCAATATCAACCTCGGGTGAACGATGGCGTCGAGAGCGAACCTCCACCATTGCCCTCGGAAGCCTCTCAGCTTCGCAGATCTGGGTCTCAACGGGCCAACATTTACGGAGGGGTCAAAGGCGATCAGGGGGTCACGTTGGAAGAGCTTCAGAGGTTGGAACATTTGGTAGAAGGGGCTGGGATTGGGGACGATCCGGCGCATATGAGAAACTTGTTGAAAAGGAATCTGAGTTTGAACTCGACGCCCGAACGTGAGTAGTATGAGCGAGTTGGGAATCACCGGTGACGTCGAATACTGACCCCTGTTTCGTTACCACAACCTAGTGCTGGAAGGTCGACCCGAGTCAGGCGAGTCGGTGGACAACGATGACGCACCCATTATCGCAGCTTTACCCGGTCAGATCCTGCGTCGAGCGGCTCGTACGAGGATCAGGAAACCTGGCGCACCCGCCGACGGACGGTTCGGAGCGCCAAGAGCGGGACGTTCGGTCTCGGGGACATCGTCCAACGATCACCATATGAGTGAAGATGGGTTACGGGACCCAGCGTATGAAGAGGACGATCGTCGCCGAGGTCCACCTTCTGACGAGAGCGACGACATGTACTCGGCCGAGAGTGGTCTTGGAGTGGATGACAATAGGGACAGGATGGCTTATCGTCGACCTTCGAACGGCTCGACCGAAGAGTCTGCCATCTACGACTCGTACGTAGACTCGTCCAACGAGACTTCGATCGAGTCCTCCACGACATCATTGTCGCTGGACGACTCGAACGAGTATGGAAGCTCGCACTATGATGATTACGCGCGGGACGAGAGGGACGCTGCCGAGTGGGAAGAGGCTGAGAGGACACCGACGGAGAGCATGTATCGGGATCCAGGACGGGACGCTATACTGGGTGATGCTACACAGCGGTACGGTAACAACAACAATCCGCCCTCGCCGCCCGAGACGGTCCGGCGTGAGGACTTCAAGGAGGAACGACGGCAGGAGAATGCGTATGCCAAGTTGTACACCAACCCACCACCTCAGACTCCCCCGAGCCCGGTCAAGCAGCAGGCACCGCCAGTCAAGGTCGAGGCTCCCCCTCTGAAACGTATGGAAAGGCAACAATCGACCGAGAGCCTCAAACGGGCCAAGGAAGAGGAAAAGAAGAAGCGGGGCGGATTCTTTTCGTCGAAAAAGGACAAGGACAAGGACTCGAAGCCCAAGAAGGAGGGCAAGAAGGAGAAGGAAGGTTTCCTGGGGTCTCTATTCGGTAGCAAGAAAAAGGTGGAGGAACCGGCGCCGCTCAAGTTTTCTGCTGCCGGACCGGCCGCGGCTGCAGCTTTGTTAGGCACATCCAAGTCGGCCAAATCGCTGGGTCTCATTCCGATGACGGGCCATTCGCCTACCTCGCCTGGGTTCTCGCCTTATGCGCGTTACCCGATCCACGTCGAGCGGGCCATCTACCGGCTGAGTCATATCAAGCTAGCAAACCCGCGTCGACCATTGTATGAGCAGGTCCTCATCTCCAATCTGATGTTCTGGTACCTCGGTATCATCAACAAACCTCAGGCCCCTCCTTCGCCGGTCCCGGACGATAAGGCTAAAACGACGTCGGAAGCGGCCGAAACCAAAGAGAAGGCCACGGAGCCGCCGTCGCCCTCGATGATCACGATGTCTGAAAAGTCGCCGGTCTCCAAGTCGTCCCGTTCGAGCAGTCCGGCACCGGCACCTCAGCGGACTTCTTCCCCTCCAGCTGCACCAGCTCCTGCTCCAGAACCCGCCCCGGCCAAGAGGACGGGGCTCAGAAAACCAGAGACGCAAAGTCGAACACGCGCCGCAGAGACGCCTGTCCGAACACCTCAATACGGTGTGCAGAACATGCAGATGCAGCAAGAATACAACCGCTCTTCTGGTGTCCCCGTCGGCTCACCTTCTCGCTCACAACCGCCACCAAACGCCGCTCCGCCTGTACTAGGAGCCCCGATGCGAACGGGTCTGCAACCGAGTCCTCGTCTGGTCGAGGAACCGCCACGAGGCCAGATCCCTCGTTCTACTCGATCGCCAGATCTGCCACACGCCCCTCAGGGTCAAGGCGCATCGCCCAAGCATCAGGGGTATCGAGAGCAACCCGCTAACCTCAGGGTCGATGTCGATCTCGCCAGAAGCTCCGTGCAACACCGTCACGAAGTCCAAAGGTCACCTGAAGGGCCGTATCCGGTGCCGCATCACCGTCCCGAAAATGCCTACCGCGAACGAAAGAGCGTCGAACCCGACAACAAGCCTCGATCACCCCATTCACCTCACTCGGGTATTCAACCTGGTCAGATTTTCCATCATTCCAGCGTCCAACCTGGTCAGGTTTTCTCAGCACAACGGACCTCGCCTGGACAACCTGTTGGGCAGATCTTCAGTCACCCTACATACCAGTCACCGACACAACACCCTCAGGGCGCTCCTGAGCATCATTACGGCCACTACACCGAGCTCCCTCCCGGCGCAATGCCACCGCGCAGCAGTCAACAGCCGCAACAATGGCGGGCGGCTCCTCCGCCGCAGTCCAGGTCGAACAGTCAATACGAGTATGACCAGGCCAAGCGGTCGACTTCGGCAGGCTACGCACCCAACGGAACCGTGCGGGACATGCCGCCGGCCGGTCCTCGTTCCTTTTCGGCTGGCGATCCGCGGTCTCATCCTCAACCACAATACCACGCACCTCCCAGCCCTGGCAGAGCCCACGATGAAACGCCATATAATCCCTACTTGCGTCAACCCGCGCAACAAAACATGGGGTATGCAAACGAGAGACGATAGCAAGGGCAGCAGAGAGCGATGTCACGACCATTTACGGCGAGGCCCAATGAGTATGCGATTGTAACTACATAACAAATGTCACGCCCTTTACATGCAGATGTTTAATCTCGGTGCGCTTTTCTTTGATACTTGCGGGAACCACACAAGTCTTATATACCCCCACCGCCGCGTGCTCGTTCTCCCTCTTGACGTCGTACTCATCCCGTCCTACAAGACAAGCCACAATGATTCCTTACAAACAGTATACGGCAGTCCTGGTCGTCTCTTCGTGATCATGTCATGAATGTCTCATCATCAAGACAAAGAGCGACAATTCGTGTATACTGCGTGTCGTCAAGGTCGAATTGAAGTGATGCTGCTTTCGATTATATATGTGTATATCTATTACTCGAATAACCCGGCCATCCGACCCTGCCTTAGAGTCCGACCTTTTGCCCAACCTTTTCTCTGACCTTTCTCTTCATCTCTCCCTTGATATCTCCTAGATTTTGTACCAACCCGCTCAGAGTGGTCGCCCCCTTGAATGTATGCTCCGGTTCGAGTCCGTATATGCCGAGGGTGATCGCTCCCATATAGGAGGAGAGGTATAGTGACGATTCAGGAGTTTCGTCCCCGTTCACTAGGGGCGCATTGAATGACCCAGCGCTACGCTGAGGCGGATTGGGGACGTTTCCCCCTGGGCCTGACGTGGGTATGAAAGTCGAACTGGCAGAATGAGCCATCTGGGACGGTGATGGCATCCTGAAACCATCGACGTCCATCGGTGGCGGGGAGTCGTACATCTGGTTTTGGTTCTGGTTGTTCTGCGGGCTCTCGGGCAGTTGCGTCAAGGACGATCCACTGGGCCTTTCGCGTAATCGATTGGAGAATCGCCGTGGTGGAAGCAAGGGCGGTATGTTTCTCGTCTTGGCCGGCGGGGTACCGAGGTAGCTGATTCGAGAAGGAAAAGGTCAGTCGGGTTTCCGCTCACCCCTCGGAAGACTGCAAAGGTCAGCTCACCAAGTGGTTTCCCCTCTGTGTGTCGACAAGATCTTTGCCCGTTGTCGCATCGACGGAAGCAAGATGGTCGGTTGGGCAGCCGAGGTCGAACAGTGTATCGGACCTCGAAAGTTCTCAGGACTACAGGTGAAAAGTCCAACTCAGTATAGATATCGGTTTGATTGTGCATTTGGGTCGAACCGACTTGCATTTGAATGAATAGGTTCCCAGCCCTGCTGGATATCTCAACAGAGGCGGTCCTGCCTTTGTCAATCTTGACCTATGATGTCGAATGAACGGCAACGTCGAGGGAAATAGCAGCACTGTAAACGACACGAGGTGATACTTTCAGAACCCCAGAGAAGCTCACCAGATCCACCCGGATATGGCCCCTAACGGAATTCACCTCGACTCTCGCTTTCTTCACCCGCTTTCCAGAGTCTTCTGCACTGCTCCCCATATCATCCCCCCTCATCGTCTCCTCGTTGACCACGCTCAACCTCAAGTCCACATCCCCGCCCTCCGTCTTGAAGATGGCCGACGGTCTTTCCCCATCGATCGATCCTCGTTTTCGCTTGGTACCTCCTTGAAGATCGCTTCGACTTTGGGAGAGGTCCACAGCGTCTTCGGGAAGAGCAAACGGGAGCGAAGGATCTAACACATATTCCCCGGCGATCCCTCCCCTGCTCGCGTCCCCGAGACCGAGAATGTCGACCTTGCCCTTTCCTTTTCGATCCTTAGACCCCCGCAGACTTCCTCCGCCTCCGCCCTTGGGTCCTTCTTGTAGGACGACTATCCCGTTCACAGCGGGTCTTCTCAGCATTCCCGCCCGGTCTCTTTTCGGATCTTGTCGAGCATCGATCGCCGTCCGGAGTAAAGGAGGAGGGTTGCCTTGTTGGGCGTAGGCGGCTTGACGGGAGTCGAGCGTTACGTTCGGGGGGATGTGGGCTTTGACGTCGGGTTCCCATGCTGGGATTTGATCCAGCTACGTGTCGAGACAGTGCGTTCGAACTTCATATGAGTCATTCAACTGGTTCGTTCAGGGTAAAGGATGCTTACAGCAGGAGGATGAGGTCGAGGTGGGAGTGGCCGGCGATTCGTGCGCGACGAGCTCGTCCGTGCCGAGTCTTCTAATTCCATGGGCGCCGCTCGATCTGTCGAGGTGGTAGCATGGCTCAAAGCAGCAGCTCTTCCTGTATTACTACTACTCTTGCTCGTCCCATCGTTCGTCTTGGCTGATTCATGACCCGAGATCGAAGTATCTGCTGGAGTCGGTGGGAGTGCGGTCAAGTTTGTGCCTGGGGGTCGAGCTGGTAAAGGAGGCCCCGGATATTGACCCTCCGTCCACCCCGGTTGAGGTTCGTCTATGCTCATGTTCCGAGCTCCGTCTTTTGCTGAGGAGGCTGGAACCGGTTCTTGGCTCCCCGAAGTCCGTCTCGATGGGTTTGTCGAGAAACGGGGACGCGAAGTCGAGTACCGGAATGAAGCGGTGGTGGAAGTCGTTTCGGCTGGCTGCGAGGTCGACAGTGACGGTCGACGTGGGCGTTGTGCGTTGAGCATCGTGGGTATGATCTTATGCCAATATGCTCTGAGAATATCCTATACGTCACGAAGGTGGTGCAAGTACAATCGATTAATCGATCATCTCGCACTTCTCGATCATCAAGCTTGCTTTGACTGATGATCTCATCACAACTTGCTTTCGGCTGAAACCGCCAGTGCCGGCATCATTTCACTTCCGAACAGGCCTTACGTCAACCGGAAGTAAATTAGCAGCAACCGCGATCCTCACCTTCTCTAGCAGTCAAAGGTAGAAACCCGAATCATTCAACCTCATTAGCTGTGTCTCGATATTGCTGGCAGTAAGAAATACCAAGCTCACAGTACGGGAAGATGTGAGTAAGGATCCCCTATCGCCGTGGTTTGATGCTAGGGACTGAGCTCCCAACCGCCCCTCAGGCCGACAGCCAAGAAACCACCACCACCGACACGGAAATCGGCCGTATCCGCCGTCGTCACACCTCGAGATACTCCTGAAGGCACACCTGGACCCGGTAACGTACGTCTCTTCAATCATGTGTCAAAGCTTCGGGACGAAAGAGATTGACTGAAGAGGCGATCCTCCATCGGAACTTGAACATGCTAGCCCAACGTGATCAACCAGTACGAGTGGGTGCACAATCCATTACCCTTCAAGAACCCCGCCTACGCTACCATCAAGGCCAAGAATTCACGGTCGAAGAAGACGGTGAAACAGATCCTCACCTTGGAACAGACTCGGGGAATGAACCTGCCCGAAGGGGGTGAAGGGTCGGGGACGGCGACTCCGGACAAGGTCAAGCGGCCGAGAGGAGCGAATCTGATCGGGAGGGGGAAGAGGAAAAAGGTCGAGATCGAGGAAGAGTCTGTCACGCCGAGCGAACCGGATGTGGATGTGGATATGGACAAGGAGAAGGATCAGGCGACCAACGCACAGGACACGTCGGAGCCTGCAGTACCGAAGAGAGAGGTCATCTCCTGTGAGCATCCTTTTCCCCTCACCTCATTTCGTACTCGCTGACGCGAGGTCCCGACCCCCCTCACTTTATCTTTCACCAAACTCTTAGACCTTACATCCCAAGCTCCGCCATCACTACTGCCCGCCAAAAAGTACTGCGACATCACCGGCCTCCCAGCCAAGTACACGGACCCGAAGACGAGGTTGCATTTCAGGGGTCTCGAGGTGTTGGACGTGATCAGGGGGATGGTGAGTTTTCTTCTCCCTGCCTTCCTTCTGTTCATGTTGTGCTCGTAATAGGAGCTCTCCAGCTGACCCACTTCGTTTACTCGCACGTACAAAGGGCCCGGGGCAGGAACAGTTGTACCTGGCATTACGGGGAGCTCAGCAGACGTTGATGTAGAGCAGGATGGAGAGAGCTGCACAGAGATGCTTTCGGAGTCAAGCTGTTGTATATGGGATCAATCACCATGGTATACGCCATGACCGGCAGGAGGAGGATACGACGATGTATGCCGAGTGCTAACATCTGACCGAAAGTTGGGCAAAACATTTTTGAATTTGTTGCATTAAAATTTGCTAACATCGAAACAATAGTGGTGTAGTGGTAACATTAGCCGTTGCCATCGGCTAGCACTCGGTTCGATTCCGGGCTATTGTATCGTCAAAATTGCTTTTTGCTCTTTTTGCGACAACCTGACATACGTCACTTCCTACTTCCAGGAGTCCGAGGCTGCCGGTGTGATTGCTTCCGCGAACACAGCCAAGGCACCGCGATAATCCCCCGATCAGGGTGTGTGGGTGTGTGTCTCCGATGTTGTTTTGTGGCTGCGCAACCAGGATTTATATTTACCACACACACACACTCGTACCATTTTCTTCTCATGTATATAGATGCCTGGCTCGGCTCCTGGTGTTGCTCTTGTCAGTCGGTACGCTCTATTGTTTCACTCAACGATCCTGTTGAGATCCCCCTTGATCTCGGATGTTGGGCCCCTTCCTGGCGCTATGTGCCCTGATCGACATCGCGTTCGCCCAGCTCACACCGAGCGTCGTCTATCAGCCACCCGACCCTTCCGAAGGCGCACAGGTAACCAACGGCACTCGTCCCAATCAACAGTACTCGGACTTGCTGGGAAACGCCTTGTGGTTCTACGAAGCTCAACGGTCGGGAAAGTTGCCAGACAGTAACAGGGTTCCGTGGAGGAACGATTCAGTGCTGAACGATGGGTCTGATTGGGGAATCGATCTATCGAGGGGTTACTTCGATGCGGGCGACTATTCCATCAACTCGTTCAACCTGGCAGGGGTGAGGACAAGGTTTCTTCCCAATTCGAACAGGACATGGACTGACTAGGCAATTCTTCGTGGTCCATACAGACACTATTCGAGATATGCTGGGGTGTGAGTCGCATACATCGTATCACACGAAAGGCTTGGCACTAGCAACTCCGACTGAGATGTTGAAACCCTTCCTTTCAGGCGACGATGTATGGAGCAGGGTATGATGCTGCCAATCAGACGGCCTATCTGGACCAGATGCTGCGATGGGGTCTTGATTGGGCGATGAGGGTGAGTGTCTGTGGATACGGCGGCTGCGCATGGCTTTAGATATGCTGATCTAATTGGTATAGGCTCATCCGCAACCGAACACAATCTATGCTCAAGTGGGAAACCTCAGCGACTCTGGAACGTACTGGGGTGAGGATGAGACAGATCGCTCGAAGGGTGGAACGGCAACGACAGCAAGCTGACTTGGAACGATGCTGAATAGGTGGAGACCAAAATATACCCGAGCCTCGACCTGCGTTTCCGATCAACGAGACACAGTAGGTCTCGCTTTCAGGGATGGAGATTCTCGAACAACATAAACTGACACCGGACGTCCTCCTCGCCATAGCCCGGGAACAGATCTCGCCAGCGCATTTTCGTCGATGTTCTCGATGTGTTCCCTGCTCTATTCTCCTGGAGTCACGTTGAACACTACGACTACCGCTGGATCGCCCACCGGAATGGGTGATGCCGAACTCGCCGCTCAGCTTCGACAGCATGCCGTCGATTCGTACAGCTTTGCTATGAACACGACGATGGTTCTGTACCCCCTCAGTATCCCTGAGGCAGGAGCGGGTTACAACAGCTCGTCGTTCGCGGACGATCTCGTGAGCAAAGAACGCTCGTCTTGGGCTGCAACATCATCTGACTTCTGGATATTGTATTAGACCTTGGCTGCCATCTCCTTGGCGCTCTTGACGAACAACTCGGCATACTACGTCGAAGCGTTAGACCACTACAACACATACGCGTTGAGCACCATCTCCGGGGCGATGAATTGGGATGGAAGGAACCCTGCCGTCTTTATGAGCTTAGTCGAAGCCGCTCTTGCTCGGCCTGCTCTGGCTCAGGGAGCCGGTCTGGCTACGAACTTGACCGGGTGGCAAACCCAAATGGAAGCTTATCTTGACGGGATCCTGGAGGGGAAAAAGTCGAGGCCGTACTTTACCAATGGTACGTCGATCGTGTTGACGAGAACGGGCGAACGTTGCTTACGTCGCGACGGACAGGCCGATTATTGTGGTACGAGGGCGACTCGAACTCTGCAAGTCTAAACGTGGCATTGAATGCGGCAATCCTATTTGATCGCTACGCGCCCTACTCGAACGTCTCTTGGAAGCCGCAGCAGTATCACGTCAGTAACAATGACGACCGGAAAGTCGACTCTTGGCTAACAGAACGGCTACGTATTACTAGGACTTTGCTTTGACTCAACTAGACTATGCGCTCGGAAAGAATCCCTTGAACGGTAAGTCGCTCGGCTGATACATTTCCACGACAACCGCTGATATCCCCAATCACTGCAGCCGTCTATGTCGTGGGTACCCACAACAATTCGATACACAACCCGCACAGTGCTCCGGCGAGCGGGGGGAACAGCCTTCAAACGCTCGATACGTACCCTGTGACTATGGCGCATACACTGTACGGCGCATGTGTCGGAGGTCCAGATGCAGAGGATCGCTATTGGGACTTGAGGGGGAACTATGAGCAGAGTGAGGTCGCCATCGACTATACGGCACCCATCCTCACCCTTGCTGCATACCACGTAATGACAAGCGATCGGGACCCCTTCTACACATCCTTGGCATCTGGAAGCTACACGCCGACTCCTGGGCATCCTTGTAACGAGGATTACCCTTGTGGCGGAGACGGCGGCGGAGGGGGCCTCAGCAAAGGTGCCAAGATTGCGATCGGGGTCGTGGTCCCCGTAGTCGTCCTGGCCGGGATCTTCACCGGAGTATGGCTTTGGAAGCGCAGAAAGAGTCGAAGGTATTGAGAGGGGAGTTATAATGATGCTATGTTGTATCACGTTACCAAAAGGGAGATATCTTCGAAGCGACGATGCGAGAGCCGTTTTCCCGAACATCCCACTGCTCATTCTCTCTGTAAGGTATCTTGTAAGATGATATTTTCCACATATGCGAGTGTCGACCACGATGGATGTTTGTTGTTATCAAGGGTGATGGCACCTCTGCTGCCGTTGATATCATCGAGGCCGAGTACATAGGCATCGCTCGTTGGAGTTTTGCGTCGATTCTGTGCTACATCTTATGGGGAGGGCCTATCATGTACGGTACAGGGTGCTCTTTGCCAAAGGGGACGCCTTCAAATGGATTCGAAGAAGGGAAAGGCCCAGCAGGCCGTGGGCTTGGAAGGAAGACAACGCTCCCCTCAAGCCAGACGTAGGAGCACAGGCAATCTTATGGCGATGGTGTCTGCGTTGACTCACCGGGCTATATTCCGCCAGGTCCAACCGGAACCCCAGTCCAGTTTGTGAAACGAGGCAGAGATCCTCCTGATGTCGAGCGTAGCTTGTAATCACTACACGGGTCTGACAGGCGCTATCCGACGCAATGTGCATGATGAGCGCGGCAGCTTTACAGTCTCTACCGATCTGAACGTTTTATCCTACGAAAGTCCCGACATTCGACGATCCCTGCTGTTTGAAACCAGCAACAACGAAAACATCGTATGCCGTGCCATCTGAATAAGTGTAACCTTCAACGAAAGGCAACAAGTTTCTTGATTTCACCTGCGGTCGCATTCTCCACGTTAAAACAGGGAGCTCCGCCCGTCCGCCACTTCCTTTATCGCTCTTGTCTAGACACGATCATCAAACGCGTGGTTGTTCCCTCCCCTGCTGATACCAAAAGATCAGTTATATATCGGCGATACCCGAGCGAATTCGCATGTTCCTGCCAATGATCCTTGTCGATCACCTGTCTACGAAGGGCCAACCTGAAACGCGCGAAACCTAGGCGATTTGAATCCTTTGCGCTAAAAAACGCAAAAATGATACAATAGCCCGGAATCGAACCGAGTGCTAGCCGATGGCAACGGCTAATGTTACCACTACACCACTATTGTGATCGATGTTAACAATTTGCCTCAAAACAATAGACCATAAACAGTGATCAACCTCGATTGTGCCCTCTTTCGCTCTCATTCATCTCGACTCCTCGTCTGCCTTGTCTTAAAACTTCCCAATGCTGCACAATTCAAATGTTTCGGTTGACAAGGCATTCGTCATGGATCTACTATCTATAGAGAGTCTTTCGGGATACCCGCCAATTCTTCGTAACCGAGCGCCAAGTTCAAGTTTTGCATGCACTGAGTCGCAGCTCCCTTGAGCAGGTTGTCCAAGGCACCCTGATATGACGAGTCGCAACATTGAGGTCAGCACGTCAGAACTGGGGATGAGAAGGTTCAGGACAGTACTTACGACGACGACCACTCGCTTCAAGCTGCTGTGCACTTGAACACCACCCATCCTCCATCCGTGCTTGCCAGCAGCGTCCATGACGTCGGGCACGCCCTTGGTGATGTGGACCAGAGGTTCGTTCCCATACTTGTCCTCGTAGAGCTTCCAGATATCGTCCGCTCGTACCTCTTTCTTCAAGGGAGCGTTCAATACCGAGATGATCCCCGAGAACCAAGGGGCGACGTTGGGCACAAAGGAGAGTTTTAGAGGTTCCGAAGTCGAAGACATGAGGTTGGAGAGCTGGTAGCCCGACTCTCGCTCGTGAATGTGGTCGGTCAGCGCATAAGGTCGGACACCTCCTCGGAGGTCCTCGCCAGTCTACATGGAGAAGACCGCTCGTCAGATCTAGTTATTGCGCTGGAAATCCACCTCGACCCGCGACTCACGATCTTGGGCACAGTTTGCGGTCGGCCGTGCTCATCGTTGGAGCCGGTCTTGGTGCCAGCGCCCGAGTACCCGCTGATTCCGAAGATGGTAGGCGGGTTCTTGACGTCGATCAGTGGCAGAAGAGGAGCCAAGAGCATCTGCGTGTTGGTAGCGTAACATCCGGGGTTGGAGATTCGGGTAGCCGATCGGGTCACCGAACGGTCATACAATTCTATAGCATCGGAGAATGAGCTAACATTTCAGCGTCGCCCTCCTCACCAAGGCGACCTCGCGAGACTCACCAGGCAACCCATAATTCCAACCCGCTTCGAACCGATAATCGGCGCTCAGGTCGACAATGACGCTCCTCCCGCCCTTGGGCACGGCAGCATCGATCGCATCGACAAACGGCTTGCAGACCCCGTTCGGCAGTGCCATGACCCAGGCGTCGACCTCGTTGTTCTCGGCCATCTTGCCCACCTGTTCGGGCGAGAGGTTCGAGTACGTGACCTTGTCCTTGGTATATTCCGGGAGAGGAAGCCCGGCGAGTTGACGGGACGAGACGTGAGAGAGTTGGAGGTGAGGGTGAGAGTTGATGAGGGAGACGAGGTTTTGCCCAGTGTATCCGCGAGCGCCGATCAAGGCGACCCGTTTGGGCTCGGTAGAGACGGCGGCGGTGGCATAACCGCGTCGAGCATTACCGAGCCCTACCTGAAAAAACGATCGGGCGGTGGCCGAGGTAGAGTACGCCCGGGTCTGTTGACGGTGAGGCGGGACCGAGGGTCCGACGGGCAAAAAGACCCTCTCGATCCTGCCCGTCTGCTCGAACCCTTGAATAATGTTCTCGACCTCCTTGACGTCCTGGACGCCGTACCAGAACAGGCTCCTTCCCGCTCGGGTAAACGAACCGTCGGCTCGCTCAAAGTGCCAAGCCCTGTTCTCGTCGTCCGACTTGGCCGTCCAGAACAATCGCTTGTGGTCCTTCTTGACCGCGTCGAAAACGTTGTCGACGACCTTGTTCAGGATCCCGTTGCGCGAGGGCAAGAATTTGGTCATGACCGGGGTCTCGCCCTCGGGGTGAGAGACGACGGCGACGCAGTCGAAAGGCTCGTCACCATAGACCGTGTTGGGTCCCGACTTGAACTTGTTGAAGATCTCGGCGACGCTCGTCTTGCCCGATCGGACGTCCGGGTCGCGCTCCTCGAATACCTGTCGGAGCGAGGTAGCCGACATGGCCTCTTCAGCGGGCTTCTTGTAGAGCTTGTGTCCACGTCGGATCAAGGTACCCGCACCGGCGTCGGTGAAGAGTTCCTTTTGGAGCATGTCGGTGGCGATGATGGCGACCGACGAGGTTCGGGGGAGGGTGTCCAAGAGCTCCTTGATCTCCCTGAGCTTGAGCTTGGTCCCGTACTTGACCCACGATTCCTTCATCAAGCCGTCGTACTCCTCGTCCAGGTTGATCGTGCTCAACTTTTGACCGGTAACACCGTGGAAGAGCCCACCCTTTTCGTTCAGGTAGACGATCTTCATGGGCTCCAAAACCCTGGCCAACTCTCCAGCGGCGACGTCGGCATTGACGTTCAACAGCTGACCCTCCTCGTTCTCGGCCAGCGAGGTCAAGATTGGGAGACATCCGGCCCTGATGGCAGCCTCGATGGGAGCCTTGTCGACCGAGGTGATCTTGCCGACGAGCCCGTACTTGGCCTTGTCCAGGTAGGTCGCGCCAAAGACGCCGGTAGGGATCGGTCGGGCCCGTGTTCCGAGACGTTCGAGAGCCGAAGTGAGCTTGAGGTTTTCTTGCAAAAAGACGCGCCTGGCGATCTGCAGGGTCTTGGGGTCTGTCGTCGCGTACGTCAACCAGCTCACATATCAGCCACGAGCGCCCTACTCGACCTCCACCTCGCACTCACCGGTGATCCTAATTCCATCCTCGTAATCAGGGACCACACCCTCCTTTTCCAGAATCTCGTTCAACTGCGGGCCAGCACCGTGCAGGACGACAGGGTAGAGTCCGAGCCTGTTCAAGAAGGAGAGCGAGAGGGCGAGGTCGTCCAACTCGTTGGAGAGGATGGCACCGCCGATCCTGAAAGGCCATACAGGGGGAGTGGTAGGATCAGCGAGATGATCATATAAAGCAGCCGTTCATCACGGGGACTCACTTCAGGACGGCAAACTTGGCCTCGGGCAAGACGCCATTCGACTTTCCTCCCTGAGCGGATGCAGAGGAGGAAGAAGACGAGCTGAAGATTCGGAGGTATCTTTCGACTTCGTGACGAGATCCTAGAGAGTAGAGGAGACGGACGATGGTGTCCTGCGGGAAGATAGACCGAGAGAGAGACCAGAAGGATTTGCCGAAGTAGGGGTACGATTACCAGGGAGATTGAGTGGGAGGAAAAGCGAATGAACAGGGAGGATAACAATATAAGCAAAATCGTTCGGGTGAAAGGGAATGTCCCATCTCCGCAAATAAAAGATCCTCCGAACTCACCCTGTCCATACCAGCATCCCTGGTCGCAGCGCTAGTCAACCCTCGCTTCCTCATCTCTCCCGCGACCGACTTGACGTCAAACTCGAACATCTTCGCCGAGGCCGACAATGACGGCGAGGTGGTCGAGGCATTCTGTTGGGTGGTAGAGTTCGGGTTGACGGTGGGTCGGGCGGTCGAGGTGAGCGAGACGAGTGATCGTCGGCCGGGAGCCTTCAGTGCCGAGGTGGGGATACGTCTGAGCATGATGTGCAGTCGACGTCTGGCTGGTGTGTCTGTGTGATGTGTCTGTGGGAATAGACGAGGTGCGAGGTGTAACCACTACTACTCTTGTTGAATCTGATGAGCTGCTGCCTGGTCGCAACGCCGTTTGACTCGCTCAAAGAGAGAGAGAGCGCGATAGATTACCATTTTTGCATCCGAGATAGCAGCGCCCTCACCCCCATCCCCCACGCTACTGCCGCTACGGGATTAACACGTCATTTGGAGGATTAAAATGATAACAATATGCTAGCCGATGATTATTTTGATAAGCCCTCGCCCTCGAGCTAGAATCGTCACTGAACCATCAAACAACAAAAACAACAAAACAAACAACTCTCACCTACTCGTACAACTCTGGTTCATACTAGCTTCAGACTCCACCAGAGGGTCATCAACGACAGAAGACACCCGGCCACATGTCGACGACGACACCCTCCAAACTCCCACTCCAACCCACCAGCATGAACAACTTGCCGCCAAACTCCCCTTCCACAGCGACGACACAACCCTTTCACTCTGGCATCCCCGCACCGACCAGCTCGAAACTACCTCGGTTCCTCTCTTCCCCGCTGAAACCCGTCGTCGATGCCCTGTCAGCTTCTGTCTCCAGCTTGACCTCTTCGACCACCCGGAAACCCAAGGTCGAACTGGGCGACGTGGATGTGGACGTGAAACCGAGCGCGAATCCGGGCAAGGAGAATGGCGAGGCCGAGGAGGATGTGACGGTTGCAGGAGCCGCAGGTGTCGGGGCGAGGAAACGCAAAGGACCTCCTCTGGACGATCAAGAAGACGATGTCAAACCTCGTCTCGACCGACGACCTGCCCCACCGGGAACTAGACGACCGATGATGAGCTCCTCGACTACCGTACGACCGGGAACTTCGGCCTCGAATTCCAGACCGGGGAGCTCGACGGGGTTCGTGCCCACCTCTCGTGCAGCTTCTACTGCCACAGCGGGTCGTCGTCCACTCTCCGCATCGATGTCGACGACGACGACCACGAGCCGGCCCTTGCCGTCCTCGTCCGCTTCCTCTTCAGCGCTTCCCGGTCGAAGACCACTCAATGCGTCGACGACCACCTCGGGAGCACCGGGGTTGAATAGGACCCGGACGGCATCCAGCTCCAACCTCCGGGCGGGTTCGAGTATCGTCACCACTGCGGGTACGAGGAGGGTACCGGCTGGTGCTGCTACCGGATCCAGAGCCGGAGCGAGAGCTAGAACGGCAGGGGGAACGGGTGCCGGCGTGGGTGTGAGTGCGGTCTCAGGGTTGGGTGGGAGCGTTGCGGGTGGGAGGGGAGTTGGACAGATGCAGATACAGGTCAGTGTCAATCTAATATCTTCGATCGTAAAACGAGGGAAAGGAGATGACGAGATGAGTGGGAAAAGGAGTTGCTGATCGTGCTTTTCATTCTCATGCTCTCATCCCGAATTTGTGTTGGTACTCGCTTTCCTCTCATCCCGATCCGACCCTTTGTGTACTATCAAAAACCGCGACCCCCCTCACATCATGCTACCTCGCAACGTGAATCGTTACTCGCTCAATCACTCGTCCTGGATGACACCCTCTGTCTCCGTTCATACCGACAGTATGACACGGGGAGGATCGATCAGGTGGAGAATATGGTAGCGAAGATGCACGAGATGATGCAGCTAGAGTACGTCATTTTCGGGCGTCATTCCCTGGCTTTGAGCTAACCGAGAATGGGTTCGGTTCGGTTCTGCGCTTGTTCCTGTTCGTCGTGCGATTCGTTTACCACTATGACTGTTTTGTATCGACCAGGCAACAGAAAGGTGGGTCATGAGACGTAAATTCCCGAAATCCAGAGAAAAAAGCGTATAAGCTGACCCGCTTTTTGCCTCGATCGCTAGTCTCAAAACTCCACACATCACAGACAGAATTACAGACCCTGCTTCAGTCGACCCAGAACACCGAACGTGAAGCCCGCCGGAACCTCTCGACGGCGGGCGAGGAGATCGCTGCCCTGCGTGAGAAACACAGGAGCGAGCTGGACGATGTCGAACGTCAGCTCGCCAAGCGGGAAAGGGAGCGACGGGACCTCGAGGACGATCTGAGGGCTTGTCGGGCCGATCTGGAAGAAGCTAGGGGACAGGTCAGGGACGTCAAGGCGGCTCTGAACGCCCAGGCGACCGCTCAGATCACAATGACCGCCGAAGTCGCCACGTTACGTGAGCAGAACCGGGCTTTACAACAGGAGGTGGAGCAGAAGACGGGATCCATGTTGGAAATGAAGATCAAGGCGGACCAGGCGGACGAGCGGGTCAGGGAGATTCAAGAAGATCTCCGGGCGGCCGAGACGATCAGGAGGAAGCTTCACAATCAGGTCCAAGAACTCAAAGGCAACATTAGGGTGTTCGCCCGGGTCCGACCGGCTATTGGGTCCGAGCTTGAAGTCGAGGACGCCCTGGCCGAGATCGAATACGCGCAAAAGGGTCAACTCACCTCGTCTGGTCAACAACAGCTCACGATCGCGAAAGTGAGAGATAGCGCTGTGGGAGCCACGAGAAAGGAGACGGTACCCTTCTCGTTTGACAAGGTTTTCCAGCCGAACGATGGGCAGCACGAGGTGTTTGAAGAGATTTCGATGTTGGCGCAGAGCGTGTTGGATGGGTATAATGTGAGTCGCCGAAAAGATGAGCGCGAAGTGCGACTTATGTCGAGCTGACAATTTCTGCGCTTCAGGTATGCATTTTTGCTTATGGACAGACGGGTAGTGGAAAGTCGTGGACGATGGAAGGTGGCAAGGTGAGGGTCGACCGAGATCTAGACTGTACGCCACGTCGCGCTAAACTCCGCTCTCGTGACGAAACAGACCGCCAACACGGCCGGGATGATCCCCCGTGCAATTCACATGATTTTTACCGAAACCGAGGCCCTCAAAGAGCGAGGGTGGAGGTACCAGATGTACGGCCAGTTCGTCGAGATTTACAATGAAAAGGTTAGCTTGGCATCCGTTCCGCCCGGTTCGCGCTCGTTTCTTACACAGCCGACTCTTTCAAGATCAACAACCTGTTCGGGACCGCCAACGATCAGACCGAACACAAGATCGAACATGATGAGAAAAAGGGAACCACGACGGTGACTGGAATCAACCCTAGTGAGTTGCCGAATCTACAACTATTCTTGTCTTGGAGCGGCCCACTGATGATTTCGGCCATCGGCTAGTCCGCCTTGAAACGCCTGACCAGGTCCATTCGCTTCTCGCCCGAGCTAGCAACTTGCGATCGGTCGCAGCGACCAACATGAATGAGCGATCGTCCCGATCGCATTCCGTCTTCTCGCTGCGGGTGAAGGGCGATAACCCGCTCACGGGAGAGAACTGCGAGGTGAGTCGGCGGGTCATGCGAATTTTGACGATCTTTCAGTGCTGACTTCTAAGCACAGGGAGTCTTGAACCTAGTCGACTTGGCTGGGTCTGAGCGATTGGACAAGGCCGGAACGGGAGAGCACAAGGACAGGATGAAGGAGACTATCAACATCAACAAGTCATTGTCCAGCTTGCAGAACGTCATCCAAAAGCTTTCCGAGAAGAGCACCAATGACAAGGCGCACGTCGGGTACAGGGATAGTACCTTGACCAACCTCCTCATGTACTCGTTGTCAGGTATGTGCATTGAAAAGACGGTTTGCTCAAGAGACACCAAGTTGATAGCCAGTTTCATCACTCCTGATAGGTCATAGCAAGACACTCATGTTCTGCAACCTGTCCCCGATGGCCGCTCATACCAACGAGACCTTGAATAGCTTGCGATTTGCTACTAAGGTGAGCTAGAGCATGCTCGTCCTTGCATTGTGCTCGGACTAATTCCCCCGTACTCTGCTTATACAGGTCAACAGCACGACAATCGGTACGGCCAAACGACAGGCGAGGTCATCGTGATCAAACATCAGTCTTCGTCTTTTCGCTGTTTCCGTATAACAAGGTGTCGAGTCTTGCTGAGAAGCACCTTACAGAGTCATCTTGATCCGATGTAGACATTTTGTATGACAATAATGAACAACAGAGTCTCATAGAACTGGAAACACAGCCTCATTCATGTCTACCGACACTCGTTAGGAAAAAAAACGTCTAGGCCCAACGCTGGACTACGACAGCGTTCTTGAGACCGGCAGCTTCAACAGTCTGCGAGTCATCCTCGAGGACCTTGGTGGGGAACGTGGTCTGCAGGACAAATTGTCGTCGATCCGTTTGGGCACTGCAAATGTGACGACCCGGGTCAGCCGGGTTTGACATTAATCGGAAACGGAAGGTTCAGCTCACGCCGACACGAGGCCTCGTAAATCGCCGACAGTATGAGTCAAGTTGAGCTTGACGGTTTGCCTGAAAGAGCATACTCAGTCAGTCAAGGTCAACGTCATAGACGAACTTGCTAAAACTCACTTGGAGCCGTCTGCCAACCTGATCTGTACAGATGTCACGGGCTTGCTCTGGTCGACCTCGAACGTGGGCACAATGTTTCTTGCACTGGCACCGCTGGCAGCGGCAGCAAAGCTGCTAGGGAGATTGTTGATTGCGGCAGTGGTCGAGCCCTGGATGACCTGAGGAGCCGGTGCGCCGAGCCTCTGACCGGATCCGTCAAACGCCTGCATAGGCTTGGGAGGCGCAGGTCGGTAGTTCTCGGTCATGCGCTCAGCGACTCGAACTTCAACTGCCTGTCCGTTCTTGACATTCAGCAATGACAGTGGTGCCCGTCTATCATGATGAAGAATAGGCCATCATGAGTCAATTCGCACAGCGACAATCCTTTCTGTACTCATGACTCACCCAGACTTGATCGCCTCCAAAATCTCCTTGTTATGGGGATCGTCGTAAGTCATCAACGGTCCATCCTCGATACTGAACCCTTCTCTCCAAAAGGTCAAATTCCTGATCTGCACGTCGTCGTCGTCAAACTCTTCCTCTTCCTCGTCTTCCTCTTCCGACGGTCCACCGAAACCTAGAGAAGCCATCAGGCCACGAGGACGGTTCGCAGGAGGAGATCTCGATCCAGAGGGCCGGGAGGACGGGTCGGGCACGGCAACGGAAGGAGCTTCATCTGAGCCAAGCGTCATCCCTCCTCCACCGAAAAAGCCGGAAGTTTTGCCATCGGATCCCTTGAGTCCTCCGAGGGCAGCCGCGCCGCCGCTGCAAAGGATTGTCATCAAGCAGTCAATCGCTTGATCCCTAGCAGAACCTATAGACGCAAACTTACTCTCGAGCACGCTTCAAGATGTCTTGTACGACACCCTGGCCCGGGACGACCCTACCACCAGGTCCGTCAGGTCCTTGGATAGCCATTCCGCTGTGGTCAAAGGGAGAAAGTCGTTAGTCGTAGACCACCAACTCGAATACGAATGGACCTCATTCTCACCTTCCACCTTGTCCACCAGCGTAGAGCTCGGCTTGCTTCTTCACCTCATCCTCGTCGTCAGAGTTGGCCGCCGAGTTCTGTCGGGCGAATCCTCATCAGCGGTCTTGGCCATTGTGTCAACCGGGAAGTCCACCCACCCCCAGGCTACCCAGGGTAGCAAACTTCGACGAACTAAAGGTTTATCACTGTAATCAGACCCTAGGATGCAGCTCTGTTCAGTCGAATGAATGCTCACCTCTTGCTCTTCGTGGCAGGTCCCGAGCTACTTTGGCCGACCCTTCCGATGCTTGGTCCTCCTGAGGAACCTCCGGCACCCCATCCGGATGGCAAGGCTCCTACAGGCTGTCCACTCAAAGTATAGGCTCCAGCCGCTTGAGAAGGCGTGCTGGTACCCGTAGCAGCGGTGTTGACAGGAGGTTCTCGCTCGTCCTGCTCGGTGTCCATCTCTTCGGGGGCTTCTCCGGCTTGTTCAGCAAAGAACATTGAGACGGCACCCTGGGCAACGATATTGAAATCAGCGAATCGGTTGGCTCGAGGTCTTGTTACCAGGCCTACCATACCTGAACATCAGGGTATCTGCTCAAGTATTTCCGGGCATCGCCATCGGAGGTACCGGTGATCGCCATGAAGGATGCGACATCTGACCATGTAAATGTGGGTCGAGCATGAGCCACCGTTTCAGCAAGGGTCAATATACCAAGGCCTTTTTACCTTCGCTGTTAGCTGACATGGTGTATAGCTATAGTGTAAAGCTGTGTTGTGTTATATAGCTTGTTGGTGTTGCGAGCAAAGCAAGTGATGGTGGTCAAGGTATGCGAAGCTAAGAACTGCTGAATGCTCGCTGACGCAATCGGGGGAACGCCGTCTCGCACAAAAACAAATATTCGTTCTCTCGGAACGGGAAAATCTCGATCGACGAGGTCGTTTCAGGTTGACAAAGGGAGGCCCGCTTGGCTCAAGACGACCGACGGGGGTTTGAGTCTAGCTTCGCCTAGCAAACTTTGCACTCGTGATCCGATGAGACATAGACTTGGATATTCGCTGACAAAGGAAGTAACATCAGGGTTCTGATCGGTTAAGTGCAGGCAAGCGCTATAAGAGCAGACAAGAGGAGCATTATTCTCAAGAGGACATCGGTACCCATAATCTGTAGTTGTTCTTTCCCACCAATCCTATAGTCAAGTAAATTCCGATACAGACCATGAATCAAAGTCAATTCGAGCTCTACAAAGCGGATTTTGAACGAGTCAAGAGCTGGGACGATATCAGACAATTCGTTCGCAAGCGGAATGATCACAGATATCTGGCCTGCAAACGATGCACCAGGTGTGAGATCTCCGAACTGATGTGCACCTTTCATCATATGATTGGTAAAGACGCCTTCACCATAAACTGCGATAGAAAATCCTGCTACAAAAATGATGGCGGTTGCCATGGGATGGAACGTTCTCATATATGGCCAAGCCATTTTGTATCTTCTACTCCTTGTGATCGCTGCCACCATATCGGCCAATCTTGCCGATTACAGGTGCCAATGAAGGTCCTCACGGAAGAAGTGGATTGGAGGCGGACCTGTACCGGTTCGGCCAAGTACTGCACATGGACCGGTCGACCGAGACCGATAGATGTGGTCACTTTCCTGACGGGTTTCGAGAAGACACACCCTCTATACCGTCATCGATCAGAAGACGTCTATTACTTCGGACGTCCAATCATCTGTCCCGGAAATGCGGAGCTTTACCAGGTTCCATCAATGCCTATATTAGATCCCTCCGTCAGAATCGAGACCGCTTCTGTCGCGGTCGAGCCTTCACGCTTGAGTCAGGTACCATACTCTTCAGGATCAAATTCCCTTTACGAATCCGAACCTACTAGAGTGTCTCGTGATGGTAGAAGATCGATGGATAATCATGCTGACGGAAGTCCCGCTATCACAATTCAAACACGGGTAGAAGAGGGCGCCATGCTGGCTCACGACCGTGAGAGATCTGCCCAGACCAGCCTCGGCGAGGCAAATGGAAGTTTATCAGAGCTGGAGCTTTGGTTAAGAGAGCTCTTGCCCATGTTGATCGATCATCGTAGAGAGAATGGTCCTGTTGCCGTTGACCAGACAGGCAATGATACATCGGTCACAACGTCCACCGATAGCATTCATCAATTTGAAGGATCATATTCCACAGCATACGGAGCGGTACCATCCAGTGTCGTGACTTCGAGCTCACGGAAGAGGGAGCGGAGCATCGATGCACCAGATCCTGAATCGAGAGGAAAGCACAGGCGGCAAAGGCGATAGTGAGCGATGCGACTCAGGAAGGGTCCGTGAAGCGATCTAATTTCCGATATTCAACATGAATGTATAGTAGTGTATAGATAGGTAACGGGTATCCCTCAAGCTGACCAGTATCATGCCAACAATTGACTATATATCTTGAACGATGCCTGGAGACCACAACGATCGAAAGACCAGTGGTAAATCCCGTTGTGAGGAATGACTGATCGACTTAGCACAAATCCTCACTCCTCGCTACAGGCCTACAGCGGACGCTAGGCGCTGGAATATGCCAGTCGAGAAGCAAAGTAAGCAGATTATTGAAAGGAAGCACAAGCATCCGCTCGGCCGCTCAACAGTTGCGCCTCGCCCAAAACGTCAGGTGTGTGGCTCGTGAACTTATATGGGGAAATCAGCTTCTCAGGCCCGAGTGCATTTGCCTGAACTGCGGTACTCTGGCATGCCGTGCACTCGCACCACCGGAGGAAGGTTCGTCGACCCGGCCGAGATAGGCGTTTGTGAGTTTAGCGCGCGACCGATCAAACATCAATGGAACGCCAGCTTCCCACGCTTGCAAAGGGCCGACTGGCTATTTAACGTATAATAATATAATAACGGACATATGCCACATTTAGTCACTGGAAAGGATCTCATCAACAAGGCAAATTTTCGCTCGGCATTATCGTTTCGGCCGCCAACTTTCGAAGCTACTGTATCCCAACAGAGAATGTCAAATCAATCTGGATCGGTCGAAGAACGCTTGGGATGCACGTTGGAGCATTTTCTCGCAAACAGAGCCGAACATCCTTACCGTTCCCCAAAGCCATGTTGGTACTGCGAGAAGAATCGCAAAGTTTGCAAATACAAGCTAGATCAGGCGTGGCGTTTCTACGAACGAGAATGCGTCAATTGCCTGAAGGAAGGGAAACACTGTAACGGCGAGCCTCCTTTCGTCTGGTCTATACGAGCAACGGTGCCGGGAAGGAATTGTTGGAACCACTTGACACATGCCATCTCTCTTACTCCATTCAACACTCGGTACGACATATCTCCGCTACGGTGGAGGACGAGGTGTGAAGGCTGCTATGACCAAGGACTTAGATGTACAGCAAAGGACCGTGGTGGCCTGGTGGATTATCTCAGAAGCAATCCCCATCTACTGCCGATCTGGGACGGGCTGGAAGGAGCATACATCCTCCCCAAGACCTGCGATAAAATGGAAATAGGAGAGATAAAGGACTTAACGCAACCCCCCGAAGCTGCATGGTTCCTCCACCCCGGCTTCTCGGTCATGGAATTCAGGAATTCTGGCTCGGCGGATCTATGCGAAGCTGGTAGTTCGACAAGCTCATACCACAACTGGTCACCGACCGGCTCGTCCAGCACCGCCCGAACACTGCAGTTTTGGGAATCGGACGGAGCCGGGTCTGCCTCTGGAACCGAAGTATCCACACCGCTAAGTGTTCCCCTTTGGGATGGGATGGCGCACGGACCGCCACAGCAAGATATTCCAGATCCTAGCATGCTGTCACAAGTTGACTCCGGATCGCAGCCTGGTGTCCTGGATTTTCGCGACGTCCTAGATCTTTTTACCCCTGAACATTCGGTTACAAATTTCTCGTTGGAAGCATACTTTGCTAATCTCGCGCAATCTAAGGAAGGATCGAATCGATGATACCCTTCCCGCAGCCCTACCCGTAATTTTGATATGTAACAGAGTCGATTGCTAGAATACAACGATACATCCTATTTTCTGCGACCGGTCTATTCCGCACTCTTCGCTTCTACAGCTTCCTCACCCGCCTGCCTCGTTCGCGGGGTAGCATCCAACGGTGCTGCCTTACTCAAGCTATAGTTGATCTGATCGTCGTCGTCGCTCAAGTCCTCGTCTTCGTCCTCGTCGTCGCTCGCATCGCCAGTGTTCTCCTTGAGCATCTCGAGCAGTTCATGCGCCTCGCTCAATTGTGCCACCAGGATGGCTTGACCCTCCGGTATCGAGCCGTCTTCTGACAAGAACTTGCCGTCTTGTCGGAGCGAGTCGATTTGGTGCAGGGCGAGGTGATACTGTCGGACGCAAGGTGAAGCAGCAGATCAGTATAATTACTACGGGTGCCAAAAAGGGTCGCGCTTACCGGATAGAGATCTCGCGCGCTGAACGGTCCACCGTACTTCATGACCTCGTTCAAGCACTTCTTTATCGTCGACAACTTGTTGGCCTATCGAAACGACGGGTCAAAAGTGATCACGGGGCTACTGAAAATCGTAAACAACTCACGATCGGCATCAATTCCTCCGAAATGGGTTCCGACTCGGCAATCAACCGATAGATGAGACCGTGACATCGCCTCAACAAGTATAATAACACGTATTGACCCTCGGCCTGCGATCGAGATTATAAGGAGATAGTCTCGAATTGCCCATTGCGATAGGGCTTACCTTGTTACCCTCAGTATCGACAAAGCTCCCGTCGACTCGCATACCGTCGACTTCTCTTAGGGCTTGTGCGTAGCTAATGCAACGCATAGTATTAGCTCATAGTTCTCGCTGTATTCTGGTGACAAGCGGGCTCACTTGTACAAGTCCGTCTCCCTCAAAGTCCACCGGTGCGTCAGTTCTGTCGCGTTGAAACACGGGACCCAGACATCGTTATCAGCAATTGATTGCCTCCACCGTTTCCTGAGCTTCAAGTACCCACGCAATCGCTCCAACTTGGCCCTCATCTCGGTCAATCGCTCCCAAACCGGCTTCAAAGGCGGCGAAACGTTCTCCGCTCCCTCCCTCGCCCGGATATCCTGGATGATCTCGAAACACTCTTCCAACAAACCGACCAAGATCGCCTGACCCGCTGGAACCGAAGTGCCTCCCGGTCCCAAAAACTTGCCGTCGACACGGGAAGAATCGATCTTTCGCAGTTCCTCGACGAGAGGTTTTAGTTCCTTCTTTTCATGTTTCAACTGAGCGGCCAAGGCGCTGAGCTGGCGTCGGATGTGGACGAGGCGTTGGTGGATCGGTACGAGCTCGACCGAGAGGACCGAAAGCGATTTCAGAAGGGTCTTCAAGAGACGTTCTGTGCGCGTAATGGATTTGCTTCAGCCACCTCTCATCGAATTTGGCGGTCAAACGAACGCGAGGGACTTACCACAATCCTCCCACTTGCGCCACATCAGCTTGACCACTCCCGTATATTGTTTACCCTCCTCCTTGTCCTTTTTGATGATGGACTTGACGACGTGCAGACGCTGCACAAACGGTTGCAAGTCTTGCTGCGTATAAATCCCTGATTCTTGCATGTGGTCCAGGAGTTGCTATATCGTATCGACCATGCGGGGTCCCGTTAACCTCACAATGGTATAATACGCCATTCGCCGCAAGCGGACCCACCCTCATACTAGCGATCTGACAGTAAACCCCTGGACTCTCCTTGGTCTTGCCGATCGTCAAGAAGAACAAGCTCAACAGCCCAAAGACATCGTTCAGGACCTGATCCACCCGGTTGGTTTCGCTAGGCGGCTTGACGTCCACTTGAGACAGGTGTTGCTGTTCCATCTGCGCAGAGACTTCGTCCACCGAGGGGTCTTCCATGGTAGGGGTGTCTAGAGGCGCGGCGGACGCTCGGGGAGTCTTTGGGTCGGTCTGGGTCGAAGTCGAGGTTTCTTGTTCATGTTCCTGAACTTGATCCAGAGGAGGGGAAAGCGCGGGAGATTGACGAGCAGAGGAGAACCTTCGAGGAGCTGGGAACCGGTCAAGATGGTTGCCTCGTTCTTCGAAGGGGGTCGACATGGCGGAGACGTTCCTGGAAGATCCACCTCCAGAGACCATATCATCCTCGTTGTCATCTTCCTCGTCGTCGTCTCCATCAACGGACTGACGAGCGGTCGAGGAGGACGCCGTGCTATCGATCGAGATCGTCCTTCCATCCAGACCCAAACCCGGTCGACCCGCAGTCGCAGAACCCACCTTCAATTCCTTGTCCTTCTCGGTCTCCTCCAGATTGGGCGTATATACTTCCCTTAGAGCCGAAGTCGCCTTGGTAGCCCCGGTGCCTGCCACGCTTCCCCGTCGTGATTGAGATTGAGATCGAGCAGCAGCCGGGGGAATGTTGGCCTCGTCGTTCGTGATGGCGGAAGAACCGCTGATCATCCCTTCTTGAGTTTGACGGTCCCGGACTGCGTTGAGCTTGTTGACCTCTTTGGCCACTTGAGAATAGATGGACATGACATCTTTGGCTCGGATGAACTTGGTCGTGTCCTGCGGAGGGCAAAGACAGGTGGGAAAGACGTACATCGTCAGCGATTGTTGTGAACGGGAAGCGGCATGGCTTCCAGACTATCGAACATTTACCTTTTTCAAAGCCGTCAAACGGTGCTTGATGCTGCATCAATGCGGAAGGATTGTATCAGTCCTGAAAGCCCCAGAACAACCAGACAACATGTCGCCGACATAATGACCCACTTGACCAAGGCTTCCAAGATGGGCAATTCCTCTTGCGGAAGCATGGTGGATGGAGGCTGCGTTTCTAGGTGATCGACTGTCGAGTCGTAAAGGCGTGCGGTCAGTCAACCGGATAGGTGACCTATTCCTACGGACTATTTGTGTTTTTGAATGAGAGATGGCAGAGGGTGATGCACGTGCAGACATCATATGGTACATGAATACATGAATAAATGATTAGCAAGTGTGAGCATGTGAGAGAGTAGTATGGAGGGGGTGGGGGTCACGGCGGGATGATGATCGCTGGAAACGTAATCGATTACGTAATCAACTAACCTAAGCACCTAGCCTGCGGGAAATCAATAACAAACCAACCCATATCCATAGCATCATCATCATCATCATCGATACCTCTCTTTCAATCGGCGGTATACTGTATATCATCTGATAAAAAATATAGAGGCAGAACTCGCCGTCATTCTTAATGTCCACCGAGATGGCCGGCGTGACGGATCAAGCCGGCATCACGCTCAACCTGGCACAACAGGCTCAGCTAGCTACCGATCTACGGAAAGCCATCAACGAGTGTAGTGAGAGGGGCCTCTACAATGCGGCCAAATGGTTAGTCCTGGGAGAATGCTTCAGCGAAGTGTTCAACTGAAGGTTGACTTGTACGATTGGATCCGTCGTCTTGCAGGGCAAACGAGATGCTAGTCTCCATCCCGGCTTCAGGGCGAGCCGCCAGTACCTCCAAACCCACCTCTTCCTCTTCAACCCGATCCCGTCGTCCTTCTGACATCAGTCACCGTGCACGCCCGGAAAAGGAGTTTCGTACTTCAACACCCATCAATGCTCATCGGCTACAGAATCATCTTCCCGGATTAGGACTGTCCACCCCGAATTCTTCTTCGCTACCGAGGTTCCCCTCTCCGATCCCGAAGATACACAAGCGCACGAAACCCAGGGTATCGTTGGGTGATTTCCATGATCAGCCTCCTAATCTCATCGATGTGGAGCGTGATTACCCTCATGAACACGGTGGAAAGACGGCAGGTCCTCGGGTCTCGTCACCCTTTGCGCCGTTCAAGCTCGAAAGGAATGACCAGGACGATCCGGACCTAGACAACGACCACGACCTGGACCTAGATCTCGAATTAGATTTAGGGGTGGACGAGAGCATGCTAGATCCATCCTCCATCCTCTCTCTCCACCCTCACCCTTCCTCCAAACGAGGTCAACGCGGACTCGAGCCCGAACTCGAATCCCAAGTCGAAGCTTCGGAATCCGACATGTACGCCCTTGCGAAATGTTATTTCGATACGAAAGAGCTGGAAAGGTGTAAGAGGGTCTTGCAAGGGTGTAGGAGCAAAAAGGCGATGTTCTTGCGGTTGTATGCGGTCTACCTTGTGAGTAACTCACGGTCGAGGTTTCAGATGAACGAGGGCAAGAGCTGATTTCGGTGAATGCTGTATGGCAATCAGGCGGCGGATAAAAAGGCTCAGGAGATGATGCCTCACTTCATGGGCGAGTGCATACTCTTCCACCTTCCTCTCGGAGGAAGTCCAGGCTGATGTACTTTATACTTTTCGCAATCGAAACAGATTTCCAGAGCGAGATCAATACCTTGACTCCGCACGTCGTGCCAATCCTGGATCAGCTCGAGGGAGAGGACGACTCGTACCTCTTATACCTGTAGGTCTCAGTCTTCCTGATTGGCTACCGTGAGGGATTATCTGCTCACGATCGCGAAATCGACTGGGTCATGTAGGAAAGGGATCCTATATCAACGCATCGGACAGCGAGACCTGGCGCTCGAGTGTTTCATCCAATCTACTCGAGCAAACCAGTACAACTGGAGTTGTTGGCTCAGTATCGCCGCTTGCGTCTCTTCCACGACCGAGGTGGGTCGTCTTGCCCGGCCTGAAGGGCAAGCGGGAAGAAGGCAGAATAGCTGACGATGTTTTATTGCGCGTCTAGTTCTCAAAGATCAAGGCGCTCTTGCCGCAAGGCCAGATGTTCCTTTTCTTTGCCGTCACTGTCATGCTCGACTTGCACTCTGCCACGGAACACATGCTCGAGACGGTCGAAGAGCTTCAAGCGAATTATCCTACTAGCGTGCATTTGATGGCACAGAGAGCGCTGGTATTGTACCACATGCGAGGTGAGTCGGCGAACACTCCAGCCCAAGCGATCGATTACGATCCGCGCTGATGATACTCTGTTCTGTAGACTTCGAAGCAGCAGAGAGAGCGTTCGACGAGGTCCGAAAGATCGACCCGTTCAGGTTGGACGAGATCGAGATTTACTCGAACATGTTGTACGTCATGGGCAAGAAGGCCAAGCTAGGTCAGATGGCGCACGAGTATGCGCAGGTCAACAAGAATAGAGCCGAAGTGTGCTGTCTAATCGGTGAGTCATGTGGACATGATGCTTCTACAGTTCTGGCCATCGATGTTTACCGGTAATGTCGCGGACGTGTACAGGAAACTACTATTCTGCCCGAGAAGAGCACACCAAGGCCATTCAGTATTTCCGCCGGTCCCTATTACTCAATAGGGATTACTTGCCCGCCTGGACATTGCTGGGCCACGAATTCGTCGAGTTGAAGAACAGTCATGCCGCGATCGAGGCGTACCGAAGGGCGATCGGTGAGTCGCTCAGGGCTGCATGCATCCGCTTTACGACGAAAGATTCGTTGACCAGTGGTATTCGGGCCTCTAGACATCAATCCCAAGGATTACCGAGCTTGGTATGGTCTGGGTCAGACGTACGAGTTGCTGGATATGCCTGAATATGCTATCCAGTATTACAATCGGGCAACCGCGCTCAGGTGAGCTTGTTACTTGATACGCGTCGTAAACATCATAGGCTGATTGTCAAATTGATAGACCCTACGACTGCCGAATGTGGAGCGCATTGGCATGCGTTTACGAGAACCTTAAGCGGTAAATCCTGTCTACTACAGCAAGCTGGGATCGAGGCTAATAAGACCTGGTTCTATCAGTATTCCGGATGCCATTCAATGCAGTAACCGAGCGCTTCTAGGTGCAGATCCATCTCAGACGCTCACTATCCTAAGAAACATCGCCAAACTCCACGATAGCCAGGGGCACTATGCAGAAGCCGCCAAAAGTAACCGCCAGATCATCCAGATCGCAGAGTTGCAGGAACTGAACCAGGGCGAGATCGCGGCGAATTACCTGTACGTCGCGCAATACGAGCTCGACATGCTCGACCGCAAGCGAGACGCAACGGACATCAAGCCTGGGGTACCGTTTGAGAAACAGCCTCGACCGACGAACGGGAAGGGGAAATCGATCGAAGGTACCAGGGTCAACAGGGATCTGGCGAGCGCTCTAGTCCTATTTAAAAAGGTCATCGAGAGCAACGCGCCGGAGAAGGAGTTTGCCGAAGAGGATCTGCGATATATACGCAGACGACAAGAGGCCGTCGATTTGAATGTCGAAATGGACGGCCAACCGGATCACGGGGCTACATGAGCTAGACTGTTTACGACTAGTCGACGGAAGGATTCTCTTCACGACCATGACGACTATTTAATGACGATCATAACGATCTCGTTTTGGGCGCCATTTCTCTGTTGTCGACATAGGTCTATCCCTGTCACGATCGCGGGTCGGCGATCGAGATCTTGTCCGGACGGAGCCGCCGCCTCGTTCTGGGCTATGCCGTCGTGAATCTCTGGCGGATGAACGGCCATTTTCCTCGACCCGCTCCGATCTGACTAGCATGTCCTCCCGGCCAGCACTCCTATTCCTGGAGGAACGTTCTTCTTCTCCAGGTTTGAAGAGTAGCTTTTTGGCACATCGATGACAGACTTTGACCTTGACTAATGCCGTCTTGGTCTCCCCCGCCTCGGCATACGTGAAAGGCAATTCAAAAGCCTGTAATTGCGGCATCCTTGCACCTTCTTCCACCAGATGTTCTGGGAGTGGATTGTGATAGGGGCAACGAAGCGACCCGCAAGTCTCTTCGCCGATCGCACCGACGACCTCCTCAGCGGTACGCCATCGAAGCGCTATCCGTTTCGTCTTGTAATGTTTGAGGTCTATCCTGTCCCGTTGTTGTCATCGTGGTTTCACGTCAGCCTGATGCTTTACTCGCAAGATGAAAAGGAAGCTTACAGGGCGAACTCCTTGAACAGCTTTGATTCGTATGCTCGAGCTATCCGTTCTTCCCACGTTACATCTTTCGGATCCTCCCCTTCGCGGATAAATCTGTGCAGCAGAAAACAACTCGGTCAGCTTATCTGCCGGGTCCCTTGTCATTAATCTGTGCTACTTGCCTCAGATTCTCTTTCAGGACCTCGAACTCTGTCTTTCCCTTGTTGTGCTGGCTAATTTGACTCGACGGACCGGTGCCATACGTCACTGCTCTCGCCTTTTCCCTCTGATACGCTGTGCTTCCATAGAGAGTATTCCGAGTTGCTCGGGACGAGCTGGATTCCGCCTTTGGAAATTCTCGACCGTATTTAGGGGGGAAAGCTGACATCTTGCAAGGATGGTCTGGATAGATATTATCTGGCAGTAACTGTTCTAACTGTCCAAATCACCTTGATATTGCTTTCGAGCAGCTAGCAGGGAAGGGTAGTCTAGCCTATGATGCGATATCAAGTCTGGTGACGAATCTGAAACTTGGTTTATGCGATTCTGCGTCACAAAGTGCCTCCACACCACTTGTGCAGCGATCAAAGTACGATCAAATGGTTGTATCTTGTCAGGCATGTCAGGTCAAGTACATTCCCTTCGTAGTCAAGTATTGCGAACAGATCCTCCGAGCTACGAAAGCCAGCAGGATGTCGTTTCAGAACCAGCGACAGATATCGCTCCTGCTCGTCCTGGCAGGTCTAGGTGTAGCCCTGTTACTCTACCGACTTGCATCGGCTGGCCCGAAGACCTCCAGGCGAACACCCATCTATGATGCGCCGGCAGAGGGAAACGCGCCCAGAGTATATCCTTATGGAAAGCATATCTGGAACAAACGAGTTGTCGCTGTCGGAGATCTTCATGGAGGTGTGTCGCAAGAAGTGGCCTCAGATTGTGTACATACTAATGAGAAAGGCACTCTGTCAGATCTCAATAACGCTCAGACCGTCTTGCGCATGGCTGGAATCATTGACAACCAAGTGCAATGGAAGGCGGGAGAGACAACACTGGTTCAAACGGGAGACATGGTAGATAGGTGAGATGCCTCCTCGTTCGCTTTCGCACCTGTCATTACCTGATGGAGCGGACGTGATACCATAGAGGAACAGACACAATAGCTCTCTACAGGATGATGCAGTCGCTACGTTCGCAAGCACCAGGACACGGCGGTAACGTCGTTTCTGTGCTGGGAAGTAAGTCGCACACGTTAACCACAACCTTTTGACCGGTCGCTGATCGCAGAGATGCCGTCAGATCACGAAATCATGAACGCCATTGGGGACTGGCGGTATGTAACGCCAGACGATATCAAGACTTTTGGAGGTTCGAGAGCGAGGCAAGAGGCTTTGTCATCCGACGGATGGCTAGGTAGGGAATGGCTGGCCAAGTGAGTTCCCGTTCTCGGATAGACTGGGCCAAAATCTTTGCTGACGTTAGCTGCCTCGAAGTTATACGGTCACAGCCAGAGTCCCGTTGACACCCTACGACTCGCCTGAGCATTACCTTGCCTTTTCGCACGGCTCACTCAAACCCAACTTGAGCCTGCTCGAGCCTTTCCCTACACGTCCGAACGCAATCGGGCATTCGCTTCTTTCTGCTGCATTGACAAAACCGATGCCGCTGCCATATCCACCAAATTCGTATCCCGGCATGCCTCGAGGAACGGGCGAGGAGGAAAAGGTTCTTTACGGTGCAGACGGCCCGCTGTGGTGGAGAGGACTCGCTACGGAGGAGAACGAGAACAAGGTTTGCGCATGGGCCAAGACGCTACAGCAATCACTCGGGGTTAGGAGGATCATTGGAGGTGAACGACAAGCGACCGTCGTGCGGCCTGTAACAAACAATCTGATGTCACAAACTCTCTCCATTAGGCCACACGCCGAACTTTGATCAGATCGTGAATCGATGCGATTCTGAAGTCATCATCATTGACACCGGCATCTCAAAAGCCTATGGAGGCGTTTTGTCCGCCCTCGAGATCACGTACGACCTGTACGAAACGTCACAGACTTCCTTCGGCGGACAGGGTGCACAGGATGTGCTCGTCGAGGTGAAAGTGAAGAGAAAGACAGAGTTTGTCGAGGTGGAGGTTGTGAGCGCTTTGTACCCCCGGGGCAAGGTCCAACTAGACCGCAGAGAAAACATCGTGGCGTTTGACACGTCGAGACCTGCGATCATATCTTAGTCCGATTGTAATCGCTACATACCCTTTATATTGCACGTCCCGTCGGAGCGTTACCATAAAGCTGTTGGAGAGGGTTGCCAACAAGCTCATCAAGCATATCCAGCTCGAGCCACAGCCCGACTGGCTTGAGAGGACTCAAGCAAGGCTAGAGATCCTACCTGGGTAGGGTCGTAATTTATTGGTGTGTTCTGTATCTCATCGTAATACAATGCGTCGCCGGGGAAGAAGCCGTACACCCCGGCCGTCCTCGACAGACGCAACAATCCCCAAGTCTTTGCTGATATGTATCTTGAATGGTACTGGGCATCTAGGTCGAACCTCCTCGTAGCGAGAGTACCAAATGGATAGTGCTTCCTCCCTCGAGCTTGAAGTCGGACAGCTTCTTGTCGTCTTGCCTAATATTTCAGAGTGACAGATGTCAGTTTTTCCGTTCTCATCATTTATGGTGGACAGTAGGAGGGTTAGATGAAAGAGCAACCCCGTCACTCACATGGCCTTTCCAGCAAAGATCAACCTCTGTTGAGCGGGAGGGATTGCTGATTTGGCCTCTACTCGCTTTTTTGCCTCGGCGACCTAGTTGCGGCAATCATGTCGCGATGGTAAAAAGGTCATAAGCAACACTGATCTTTCTCCTTCTCAGACCCGGAGCTGTCGGCGTACGGTCATGGAAGGCTCGACGTCGATCTCAATCTGTTGAAGTCCAGGGCGGTCAGGTGAGTCACCTGGTCTGCAGAATGGTTCTTGCTTCTAATGGGGGCTTACCTCTCGACCGGTAAGAAGCTACATACATAGAGACTGTCAGGTATGGATCTAGCGAGAGCGAAGTATTGCTGCTCACCTTGACTTTGAGAAGCATGATGAAGTGATGTAACGGCTACGAAGGTGATCTGCCGAACGAAGATACTACTTTGGTAAGCAGCGTCCAGGTCTGCTTCACAGCATCGCCCTTACTAGGTTCGGGCGTAGATCAGATCCTTGGCAGTCGACTATCTGTTGGACTGGCTGTGTGTCTGGTATAACAATGCTGGTGGAAGTCAAGTCGCACGGAATGTACATGCAGGTTGATGATATGATGATATGTTGATGAATCTCCCTCACCGAAGCAGCTGCTTACCCGCGATCTGGCCGATGCCGTAAGCGCCGATCCCCACCCACAACCTTGGACCTAGTTTAGTAACACACTGCCGGCTTGAATAAACCTTGGTCAGAGTTGTTAACCCAGGTAGCAAGTAGCAGGTAATGACCGTGATGTGTATGACAGCCCGAAACATAAAGTATTGTAAAAGGAACGTGTTACACCTGTACGCGCACATCTAATAGACCTCGAAGAGAAGGAACAAAGTGATCGTTTGCTGATCTACAGGCTGATCCCACTGCCCGCTCAGGCGGTACAAGTGAGGGTAGCCTTTTCGACCAGGGCGATACCGGCTCCGAGAGCCCATCCGAGCTCGACACCTCGAAGCTTCTTCTCGACAACGAGCTCACGCTTCTCGGTAAGCTCGTATCCTGACAAGACGAGAGTAAGGATCAGCAAATCGATTCGACGTCCATTGGTGAGATCAACTCGTCTGATCCAGATACTCACCAAGTCCGAGCAATCCATGCATAAAGGTCAGATCCAAGCAGTACTCGGGCCTTCCTTCCAGCTCGGCCATGGCCTCCTTGTCATGTCCCCACCTCCTCTTCCAGGTAGCAGGTCCGGCACAGACGTCCTTCGCCATCAAGGCGAGCGTCTTTACCGACAAGGTCTTGGTGTCGCTGACATCGACCTCGGCTGAAATGGGTTCCTCGGAATCGGAATCATCAGACTTGTAGTGTTTGGGCCTGGACGCGTACGGTGCGAGCAAGGGCTGAATGCGGTCGGTAAAGTAGGACAAGGCCAGAAGTTGACCGTTGGGGAAGGTGTCCAGGATGGAGGGCTGATAGACACCGTTGAACGAGCAGGGTTTGACTTCGCAGATACTGTAGGTGCCATCCCAACGATTTTCTATCAGCAAACGTTGCTCAACAAAAACCCTACCCCACCGCGTCTTGACTCACGCATCCTTGGCCAAGACGAGCTCGACGACACGCTTGCACGATTCGAAAGAGCTCTCGGCACCGACCATGGTAACGTTGACGCTCTTCCTGCCAGCCGGGTCGAGTTCGACCCTCCTGGTCATCCCCTTGCCCAGACAAGGGTTGGGCACCTCGACGTTCTCGGCCAGATCGTCCCATTCGACCCCCGCCGCTCCGCCGGGCTGCAAGAAGCTCCACGTGAAGGCGACGAGATTGTGTACGCTCCTCCTGGCCCTCATGAGCCCGTAACCGAGGTACGAGTGTTGGTACAACGTGTAATCTTTGCCACCGAACGAAAGGTCGTACTTGTGATCACCATCGGCGAGCTTGGTCTCCTTGTCAGGGAAAGTAGGCTCAAAGACGATTTGGGTCGAAGCGCCCCCGAGGTCCATGACGGCCATCGTCTCGGCATCAGGGCTTCCGGCTCCGATCTTGCCGAGAAGGTAGTTGGCGGTGATCCAAGCGTAGACACCCTCGTCTTTGCCGTCCATGATCTCGATCGCGTGATCGTCCTTGGAGACGGCAAAGGGATAGTCGGATTCGAGCCTGACCCGGACTTCTTCCAGGATGGCCTCTCCCTCTCGTCCGGGCAATAGACGCAACCCCGCGGTCGCCTTGACCTCGACTGGGGTACACTTTTGCAACGACTCGGGGACGACCCTGAGCGCCTCTTTCATCAGCGGGTCCAGGCTCGCCGCCGCCGCCGTGGGGTCCCTAGCGAAGGAGGAAAGACCAGGTTGGATCGCCTTGAACGTCTCGTACTCGAGCGCTGGGGTCGGTCCACAGTTGTTAAACTTGTAAACGTGGATCCTCGACCCGGTCGACCCGGCGTCGATAACGATGGCGTATTGAACCAACTTGAGCGTCTCGTCGTGAGGCTCTTCACAGAATTCGGTTGACGTGGCGTCCTTGTCGGATTCAAACGAGTCGGGTCCACGGGAAGGAGTCATCTCTTCTGGGGCTGTCAAGCCGGCGTCAGAGTCGTGTTCCTTCTGTGCGGCCTTGTCTACCTGGATGTCGGCGTCACCGTCGTTATCGTTGGCCTGCCCGGGCTCGTCCATCTCCTGTCCATCGAGTTCGGCAATGTCCTCCGCCGACCACTTGTCCTCGCCTTCCTTTCCGGCATTGTTCTTGTGGCCGTTGCCATGCGGAACGGGAAGGATGTGGAACATCTCTTCCTCCTCCTCGCCCTCGCCGTCTTCCTGCGGGTTGACCTCGTCGCCCTCATAATTCAGTTTATCTTCAGGGCTGAGCACGCCTTCGGGCAAAAAAGGAGGACTTTCGTAATTGCTCAGATCGCCTGTACATCCACGCCATCATACACGTCAGATGTCGGACCAAGCCGTCTCTTCACGTAGAGAGACAATTTCTGACTGACCTTTGATTCCGGACCACTCTCCCTCTTCATACCCCTCCAAACCCCCCTCTTCGGCCGGGGTAGACCTGGTGACGTGTTTCCCACCCATCAGGCCGACGAACAACAAGATGACCACCCCTCCAATGATGATCATCTTCTTCAACGGGCTCAGGGAGGAGCCTCCTCGACGCTTCCCGCCCGAGGAGGAGGATCCATTAGGGTTGGGGAGTGGAGAGTATTTCTGTCGGGACGAGAACATGGTTGAAGAATTGGTCGAGCGAGTGTTGATCTGATCGTTGTTTTTACGAGAGAACGGTTCGGTAGTAGTAAACGCAAACGGGTCGTCCGAGTCTATCTGCTCTCCAATCTGCTGCTCCTGCTGGTAATCGGGTTCCAAATTCGATCTCGGTAAAGAGCGTTTGCGCAAAGACCCCTGGCTAGTGCTTGTAGACGTCGAAGCCGATGTAGAAGCGACGGTGTTGACGGTGGTGGTGCTGGTGTTAGTAGAGTCGAACGTATCCTCGAGCGAGTCCTTCTTCTTGTCCTGCGATGTCGAGTGTAAGTGGCGAGGAGTGAGGGTAAAAGGACGCCTGTCGACGTCTGGCCTCATACAATTGTAGGATTCGAGAAGGGTCACTTGCTGGCCACTCGAATGTTCGAGCTGTGATGGGAGCTTGGTGGTATCCTTGCCTCCGGTGCGCAGAGATGATAGGACGGAAAAAGAGCAGTAGTGTCGACCACGACTCCACCCCCCAACGACCTCTCTATCAACACCCACCACCCTCCTCGCTAGTAAAAGAAACGCGCTGCCTGCCTCTCCCGCTCCCGTGCCCGCCGTCGCCCGGTTGCAAAATACAGCACACCCTTCTCCCCCTTCCCTTGTCCCGATTCCCCGCGTGGCCGAACCTTTTAGAGTTTACTTCCACACTTTTTAGGAACCGGCTCAAATCACCAGCGCTAGCGACCAACCAGCAACCAGACCGGAAGGGAGACACGTTCGGAAATGTCAGCATCGGTTTCAGCTCGAGCGCATCAACTATGGCTTGACGAGGCAAGCTGAAAGCTCTCAGTAAAAGGAGAAATGACATGCTGATGGGCTCATATGCTAACAATATTCGTTCGTAGTTCGTTCATCGTAAAATAAGACGTAAATCCCGCGTCGTCTACGTTTCCCGACTTGACCGTTTGTTCAAGACGATCATCCGCCTGCCTGCTTGTCGCCGTCACTTCTAAGGCTCATTCGGGGGCGTCGCTAAAGCTGATGACCATGCTCTGCAGCTACATCCGCCGCCCTCACGCCGTCCTCCCTGACGGCCATCTCGACCCCACCGGCCTTTTCGGCTGCTTCCATGTTCATCACCCGCTTCTCCACCAGGTAGACGGATTCCAACGCTCGCACGCTCCATTTCTTGAGGAAAAGGACGGCGAGGTAAGAACAAGTCCTGACGAGGTAGAGTGTGAGAATGGTGGGGTAGATGAAGCGGACTATAGGTGCGAACGAAATCAAAAGGCGTCAGCACGAGGTCCAGACGTTTGTACGTGCGGGAAGATGCCATGACGGGGACTTACACAGGAGCGACCCTTGCCTCTCGTCTAGCCCCAACCCGACCGACCCGACCAATGCCACCAACGCCGGTCCGAGCAACGCGACCGCAGCCCACTTGACGATGAGCAACCCGGCGGGCTTGAGCCCATACTCTCCTTGATGCGCCCTTTCGCACCAGGCGACGGAATCTTCCCTGGCCAGGTCGGCTTCGCCATAAGCGGTCGCAAGGAAGATGATGAACCGTTTTCGGAGAGCCGGGCGGTAGTAGACGATCGAGGAGACGAGGAACCCGAAAGCCCTGCGGGAGATCAAGGTGGTCAGTAACGCCCGGGTGGTGGGATCCGAGTCTGTGACCAAACGTACCAAGCTTCCGAGGCGTAAAAGACGGGCGTCATGTCCGAAACGCCATACTTCAGGGGAAACAAGACGTACAGCTCCGAGGACAACCCCACAACAAAGGGAAGCGCGACGAAGCATGAGGTATAAATGGAGACCATTCGAACGAATTTGCGGACGGTCCATTCGGACCCGTTGAGGACCCGTTCGGCCTCTGCGACCCGGGCTCGTACCTGTGCCATGGTCGCGTGCGTGCCGGACTTAATGGATCTGCGGCCGAGGAGTTCTTGACGCAGAGCTATGATATTCTGGATCCCGGTCTCCAAGATTGTAAGACCGACAAACTGTAAAAAGACAGGTGGACCATCAGCGTCGTGTCCCCGCCACCACCCTCTCGGCTATACTCACAAAGCTGTATCCATCGTGCACTTGATAGCCAAACCACAATGCCGTCGCCCCTCTTCCCACCACAATCGGGACGAAAAAGGCCAGCGCACACGTCCATGCGATCGAAACCCAGAGGGCCATCCCAAAGATCCAGAACCGCTGAGGATAGAGCCCGGGCATATAGACCTGGGTATAATCCTCCTTGACGCGTCGATGGGCTTTGCGGCCCACACGGTCTTGCAACACGGCGGTGATCTTGCCCTCGTCCGTGACCGGTACGCCAGAATCGTCAACCTCGACAAAGACGTTGCGCCGAGGTTTGACGAGCGCGACGGAGTCCGCATAGGGGACGCGCATCTGCATGCCTTCATACTTCGGCAGGGGCGCCGAGCTTCTCGTTACCGCCCGTTTCAGCGTGATCCACTTCTTGTGAAGGGCAAGGAGCTTGCGCTCGATCGGACCTTCGACCTCCTGTTCCTTATACCGTACGCCGTAGAAGTACGAGCTAAGGCGGAGCATCCTGGCCAAGGTACGCCAGTTGTTGCGGAGAAGGTAGCGCAGACCTGCGGCGGGGCGCAGTTGACGCCATTGCGCAGGTACAAAGAACAACACGAGGATGAAGTCGACCGGTACCGTCGAGGTCGTCTCCCTGAAGTCAGGATTGAGCGTCAGTGAACGTCCGAAAAGTCGTCTCGCGAAGGCGACCTACTTGTAGTACCAACGCAGAGGCAGCAATTGTATACTGGATGGTAAACATCGAATGGCCATGAATAGACCACCTATGGGACCGACCAGCACAGCAATGTACATAAAAGCGCTGATCAACAGCTTCTGCAGCTGCAAAAGGGTCGACTTGTCCAAGATGTCGCGGACCTACAGTTTGAACGGTGAGATCATTCCGAGAAAATCTTTCTCACACCGGACCCGTTAGACTCACAGGGCTGAAGTTGGGATCCTGAGGGTCACGAATCATGTACATGGCACCTCGTCGACAGACCGCGCGGCACATCGAAAGGAATTTTGCGAAGGCAAACCTGTTTTGTCGTACGGTTCAGCGCTGGAGACCGAACGTGCCACTGCGGGTCCCGGTCGACATACATGAAGAGAGTCCCGCAGAGCCAATGGGCAAAGAAGCTCAAGAGAGGATGTCTTTGTTGTACGGCCAATCTTGCAGACAAGGTACCGGCCGGAAACAGCGGCAATGCGCAGAGGTCGACAATGTAACCCATCGACATTGGGAAAAATGCCAATTCAATGAGCATGAAGAAACCGAGCTGTACGCGCAATATCAGCGTCAATCGGCCTCTCCGGGCCACACGGTCACGAACACCGCATGCTTACTTTGAGTACAGTACCGTGCGAAATAGCAGTCTCGGAGATTGCTTTCCCAAAGCGGCCCAGAACCGGCTCTCCCAAACCGGACAGAAAAGCCACGGTACAAAAGGCATCAAAGTATCCCATCGCAATGCACATCAGCCTGGACGTCGAGCTGTTTCCTCGAGCCAATTCCCTCGTGACCTGCTGGTAGTGCAGATAATTGGTGCCTAGTGACGCAAAGCCTCGCTCCGTAAGGTCCATCATCTGAGCGATCCTGTTTCCAATGAAAGCTGGAGAAACGTTCTGTACGAAACTCAAAGCCTTTTTCAGAAGACCGAAGAAGGTGACGAGAGGTCCCGCTGACTTGCTGCTCCCGGAGGGGACGCCGAGATTCACAGCCTGCTTCGGGGACAGCCCAAGGATCACGCCGAGCGGGTGAATAAGCATGTAATCCAAGATCTTCGCCAATCCGGTGATCATCAAGTCGGTTGCCACAGTGATGATTTTGGCGACTGCGAAGAGTCCCCGAGCTGGCAGATCGAACATGCTGATGTCGCCCTGGGTTTGTCAAACCATCAGCCTCAATCGTGCGTGAAGGTCCCTTGGACTGGAAGACAAGAACGTACAACCAGATGTATTCGGCCCAGGACGTATGGTACGTGCACAAAGACCGTCAACGCTGCTGTAAGAACCAGGACTACTATAAAGGTGTTCTGAAGGAGTACGACGGGAGGTCCACGCAGTCCCACCACTAATGCGGTGGGTCGCATCCCGGTTAGTTTTCATACCTAAAACCTCCAGATCGTCGACCTGTTCTCACCTTCCATTGCGCCGTCGATATCACCTTCGAGAATGAAGCCATCTCCTTCTCCTTCCCCATCGACGTCGCCCTCGAAATCGTTCCATCGCTCCTCAACTCCCTGAACGACTTCATCTTGTTCTCGTACCACCCTCCGAACTCGTTCGCGACGTCCAGCCTGCCTCAGACGCTGTCCTCCTCGTGGTGGGGCATCTGGCGCCGCTGGGTCACCTGCCCTGTTACGCAATTCCGGAGGGAAGATCGGCTGCTGCACCCCCGCTGGTAGATCTTGCCCCACGAACGGATGAACAGGTTCCAGCCAGGGTGGTCTTTGAGGCGGCGGTCTCGGCCTCGGATCGAGAACTCGATTGTACTGCTGATTGAAACCTGCCGGCAAATCTCCATTGGTATCATCCGGGCGCCACTGAGGCACCCGTGGCATGGCGAGCGCCGTATCGCCGCCACTAGCTTGCTGTTCACCAAAGCTGGCAGATCCAACTCTATTGACGTCATCGACGTTGAAGTCGAACGTGAAGTCCGACTGATATGTGGACCGGGGCCGGGACTCGACTGTTACACTTCTCGCGGACGATGCCTCTGGAGCCTCAGGCGCCTGATCCGCAAAATGTCGGTTATGATCTGCCACTGCGAAATAACGGTTCCTCGCTTCCCTCATGGTATCCAGATTGGGAGAATCCGGCTGATCTACGTCCATCGGGAAGACATCGTCAACCTGTGCTTCATCGTCGTAATCCTGGGTTCGAGGGAAAGCCGCTCCTTGGTCCCTCTCCATCATGGCAGTCACGCTTGCGTCGTCGTCAGACTCGTCCTCCCACTCATCGTCATCCTCCTGATCGACGACAGGAGGCTCCAGAGGCGTATTGTTCCCTCCATCAGGCCCAGCCCGTCGCTCGGCCACCCGTCGCTCAACCGCCGCCATGAGCTCGTCGACTCGGGCCTCCAACTGGTTGAGTTCAGCATGCTCAGCCTGGTCAGCTTCGTCGATTGGATCCATGTCGGTCCGTGGCTGTGGACGAAGTCGCCACCGAACAGCCATCTGTGGTAGAAAATCTTCCGGACGAACCGGTCCTCCCATTTCTGGCGCGTCTGCCGCTGGGTTGTCGATAGGTCCGTTCTGGATGACCCACTCCCGAACGAGAAAGATCCCGAGAAAGGTCAGGACGATGACGACGGCGAGGATCTGTCCTTGGAATACGTTGGACAACAAGGTGTCTCGACTACGCAAACAAGTCGTCAGTTCTGGAAGCAGTCGATAGGGGATGACCTGCAAATCGCTTACATGTAGTTCCGAATTTGGTATCTCATCGTCTTGAACATGAGTGACCTCACCTTCGGGTCGTTGTAGAATATCGTGCGCACAGCCCAAACACCGTCCCCCCAGCCGACTCTGCTTCTTGGCACGCGTTCCGTCTTGGACATCCTCTCTGCTACCTCGGCGGCGATATCGTCCGCATCAATGTTGGCAGTAGCCAGCCATGCGGAAATGTCTTTTAGATCTTCAGCCGTCTCTGTACGGTTGAATGCCGGAATTTTGGTTGAATTGGTCTGACCGCCAACCATCTTCCCAACCCTGTAATCGGATGTCAGGGATTTAGCATGCAAGTGCTTAGATCAGGACAGACGATCATTCACTCACATCGAATCCCCTCCTGAAAATAGTCCCCCCCAAACTCCCTTTATGATCAATGGCAAGAATACTAGCCATACGAAAGCCACGAGGATCGCCCAACCTCCATATGCTATCACCCGTAACCCGTCCTTGAGAAATTGGAGAACAAGAGTCGGAAGCGGCAGTGATGGAGGCATATCGGCCGGGTAGACTAATGAGGAAACAAGGTTAGCTCCGGTGGTTGAAAGGAGTACCATAGCGGAGTGACAGACCTTTCTTGAAGGAGAACGCATGGCCACAGAGCTCGCAAGTCTTTTTGTGCGAGTGACCGAGCCACTGTACCAGACTATGGGGAGACTTGTGTAAGCCAAAAATCCAAGTATGAGATAAAAGAAGCTATACTGACCATTCAGAGTGCACATATCGAATGGACCCGGAACACTTGCATGGGTGATACAGAGGATTGTCCGGCTCGGCTTCAGTTCTGCATACTCGACAGACCTCGCTGTCGTCTGATTGGTTATTCATTCATGGCTTAGCATCAGGTCTGCGAAGGATTCCAGATTAGTTTTCCAAGCTTACCGTTATAGTCTGCCATGATCCCTCTCGCAGCTCCGGCTGCCAAATTCGTTTCTGATCGTAACTTTTCAAAGCGAGTTTCTATCTCGTTGGTAATCCGATGCGTCGTCCCGTCGTTAAACCGGAGCCAGTCTCGTTACACCGCGACTTGTATTAGGATACTATCTCAATTGTGATCCCTTCCAATTCCGATTCCGTCGTTTGTCCTGGTACAGGTGAAGGTGTACAAACGGACAACCTATAACTTGATGGTCGTTTGAGCTTCACTTCATACCTCATCGCGCATGCTCGGCGGGGTTGAGGCGGGCGGGCGGCGTGATCGTCATCATACGGACATCTACAACAACTGAAGATGTCCGTCGGTCGGCCGTTCCGTTGAGATTAGATCTAGCGACCTGGGCTTGCGCAGGTCTGGCATCTTTCTTTAGTTATATCTTGACAACACCTTTACCTTGGAAACACGTCTTGCATCTGCACCTATCTCCCCACTAGACTTCACGATTTTGAATATCCAAGAATAGTTACCGCTTGCCGCTTGCGAATCTGACATGGTCCTCTTTTACACCTCGAATGGTAATCGTTGTTACACTTCGGGACAAGTGTTCAACACGATGCTGAACCAGAAACTCCTCCTGCAGCCGTGTCTCCTCCAGCTACCATCTACATGTGGGCATACAGATTGAGCTTTCTCGGGCCTGCCGATATTGTAGAATACTTGCTGACGAAACAATGCTTCGGATGATAGGGGAAAAGACAAGGTCGAAAGTGAGTGCATCCTCCCACATCGTAAACAAAGGCGGGGCTTGCTGATAATTCGGTATTTCTTCACTTTCAGATGAAGACCTGATCAAATACGGCCTCGAGACAGGTATCTGAACACGACATACCATCTTCTTGTCTTTGGGGTCGCTGATAGTCGACTCTCCGCCTTCGCGACAGACGTCTGGTTTCACGTAGAGTAAGCGGAATACGAGTGTACATGAGGACCTTCTGTTATACTAATCATCTCCAGCTACGTCGTTTAGCAAACTCTCTTCGGCGCATGTATATCTTCGGCTACCTCCCGATCTACCTTATGGTGATTGGCAGAATCTACCGCCGGCGCTCGTGATGGATCTGGCTCAACTTGTCAAAGCGAACAGTATAGAGGGTGAGTGAGAATTTGGTCATTGTGTTTAGGGCGAATGACCGCTCATGAAGTTACTCACAGGGAACAAGAAGAACAATATCACGGTCAGTCCTTCTCTTCCTGGAGAATCATTGAACCGGTACTGAAGGTGATATCTGGTTCGCGACAGGTGATATATACACCCTGGAGCAACCTCAAGGTACGTACGGTAGACTCGACCATATCTTCCCTGATATCGACCTGATAAGGCTTGCTTTTGCTGCAGAAAACCGGTGATATGCCCGTTGGTCAGGTCTCCTTCCATCGTAATGAGCGGGTAGGTCGATGTCGCACATGTTTCTCAGCCGAATCTGACTGAAAACCCCGCTTCACCCGCAGGTCAAACGAGGTAAACTTCAGCATACGATATCCATAGTAACAGTAGGTCTTTTGCTGATCACTATTGTTCCGCCGACATACAGTCCATGTGCCAGCTCGAGAAAACGCCATCGTCAACCGATTGAACAAGACCAAGGTCGAAAAAGAGGTGGACCACGAGGCAGAACGACAAGCCCGGCTCAAGGCGGAAGGGAGAGTCAAGAAGGCCGCGGCGATTGAGCAGGTAAGCATGCGCGAAACGGACGAGGACCATTCACTAACGGGATTTATACATATGACGGCGGCCTCCCGTAGGAGCGTGAAGCAGCCGCGCAGCGCAAGATATGGGAAGAACAGAAGAAGGGTAAACGATTCGAGGGTCTCTTCTCAGAAGAAGCTTTCGAAGAGCGGGCAGCGCAAGAGGACGAGGATGGAGACGATTTCATGTGAGGTATATGACTATATCTGTTACTTGCAGAGTGTTCGTGCAGGAAATGACAAGAAAGGTATAGAAAGATATGTTACAATACATAATGCCTGTGTGAACCTGTCACCTTCTTGCGGTGAAATGATGACAAGGTGTATATTATTAAATGGACGTTGGATGTTCGTAAATGGTATGAGGGGCGGTAAAGGCCGGCCTCATACCGTAGCCCTTTGTGTGCCCCGATAGCAGGCCTCGCTCGTCCCGTATACAGTTGCGGTGACGGCTACTGTCTGATGAGTCGAGCTGTCGGACTTCCAGCCCAGCCATAGAAGCTGGCTCCCGAAGCGCGGTCGAGCGAGACCGACCCACTCGACGTGGATTGACGGACCGCAAGCTCATCGAGCTAATATGAGCGAGTGCCGATCCGTTCCTTCATTTTGCGGTAGTGGTCGTGACATATCGTTGATTCTCGTAGACGAGCGGCTTCATATCCAGTTCTCCTTCTTGTTCGCCATCCCTTTTCCGTTGGGTGACACGTTCCACCTGAGCCAGGAAGAGCATACTCCCCGTACTCCCCTCATTTCCGCCGTCTTTGACTGTGCTCGAATTTCCCTTGGCAAGGAGCGGTGCCCTTGATGCTGGCCCGGAGACTGCTCTTTCTCCATTCTTCATCCCATCCAGTGTGCCCAATGAAGATTCCAGCTCGTTGAGCGGTAACCATCCTACTACCCGGCATTCCAATGCTCCCAATCCGCCTTTCACTACAGGCAATCCTGATTCCCGACTACTATCGGAAAAAGGCTCCCACAGAGAAGTATCCCGGACCATATTCTCGTGTTCCGACCGAGCTTGTGAGAAGGTGTGGGCGAGAAGTTCGTTGGATTTGGAGAGGAGGGAGACTGTGAACGTCTGACCAGGGTTGGTTTGGCCTGATACTGATGATGCTCCGGTACGGGTCCGTGATAGAGCCTTCTCCGGGCTTTGTGATATTGTATCTGATCCATTGGATTGCAAGGCGGTAGCTAACCTCGAAGGTAATCTCAAGGAAAACGAGACGAGCGGTGGGGAGAGGGATATCGAGGTAAAAGACGACAAGGTGGCCCCGTGGTGCGTCCCATCTTCTAGCCGAGTTATGACGATAGCTACGGGCTGCGAAATCGTCGAATTGTAGGTTGGATTGGAGAGATCAGCATGAAATTCGGAGGGAGTATGACCAGCATAGAACCCAAACTCACCTGAGGCACGGATCGCATGACGTTACGAAGCTGGTCTCCGACGGTATGTAGCGAGCGCCTGGACCATCTCCCAGCCGCCGGAAGCCTCGGTAATATCGTTGTCCGCAGGATCATCTCGGGTTATTCTACTCCTGTATGCTTTTATGCGGGCGGATTCTTTGAGGTTCGATATAAAGAAGGTTGCTGAACGAGTACCGAGTATCGAGTAGCAGTTTGTGAACAGCACGCTCGGATGCTTGAACTTCTAGCTCTTCCCGGATCCATCGGAAGCAAATCTAAAATGACGAGAGAGTTGATTACGTAAGCGCGTGGCTTCGGCCAGTCAATCGTCATGGACGCAGCAGCAGCTTAGGGCGAACGAACGACCCTCATCGTGCATCGTGCGATCATGAGATCATGCGTGATCGATGTCGTCCCTTGCCTGACAGGTCAGACCATATCAAAGTAGCATCGAATCGAGAGTCTAAACTGCGGTGATATCGGTGATCTGTCGAGTACGAGACGGAACCTGGCAGCCGACATTGCCCGCATCTCTTCACCGCCTCTGCATCAATCAAGCTCGCACAGCGATACCGGTCTCGATCCATCATGTTGTGAGTCAAGCACAGCCCATCAAGGTCATATAGAGCTATCTTTGAGCGACAGACTGACTTATGTATGTGGTCTGAATTCAATTATGACGCCCAGTAACGCACCTCGGAATCGACCGACGGCGTTCCAATCGACGTTCACCTCGTCCGACTTTGATCCGCTCGCTTCTTCCACCGCTTCATACATGCCAGATGTCGACCCATGGTCTGGCGTACCCAGTCCTAGCGCTACACCAGCTCCGGCTGCGGCCAATGTTGGCACTAACAATGGCGGCAACAGCTTACCCAGCATGACCGCTTCGACACCCAATTTGGGGTCGTATGCGCGGCCCGTACAGGCCATGATGAACAGGATGCCGAGCGGGTTTGCTGCGGGTGGGGGGATGATCTCGCCAGGCGGCGGTGCGGCTGGCTATGCTACGATGGATAAGCCTGCCGTGTTGGCCAGCGGGATGAATATGCTATGTGAGTCTTGTGCGATCTTGACTGCCCATCCCGGATCATTTGATGAAACCTTACTGGAGCAGCCGAGACCAACCTTCCCAGCCAATACATCATGTACTGGGACTCGCTAGATACGGACGGATCAGGTCTCGTCTCTCTCGCTGCCCTCAACCGACTGCTCTCCACCTCGGGTCTCCCCGCATCGACCAACGAACGGATCATTACCCTCCTCTTACCCTCCACAGCCCAATCGGTCAATCAAGAACAATTCTTCGCCGCCCTCGGGCTCGTCGCGCTCGCCCAAGGTGGCAAGGATGTTTCGATACAACGGCTGAACCAGACGTCACCGGCTGAAATGCCTATCCCTTCGTTGAGAATGTCCTCAGGAATCACGGGCACCCCATCGACCTCGGCTCGACCTCTACAACATCCTACCCCCGTGCGGGCGTACTCGCAGACATCTTCCAACGGATTCGGAGCGCTTTCGACACCCACGTCCAACTTGTACAAGGATCCGGCATCCAGCTCGGCGAACAATCATTCCCCTTGGGACGTCGGTCCGATGAAAGCTGGCTTACCAGCGACGATGGAGAACGTACTCGAGAGCGAGACGAATGGCAATGGGTACGAGGTTGGCTTCAGCCAGGACGCGGGAGGCGGAGCGGGGGCTGGATTTGATGAACAGGGCCAGATTGAATCGACTCGAGGTTGGTGGAAGGACGTAGAGACGGTCCAGGTGACCATGATGGCGGACAAGGAGGGGTGGTTCTTGCAGAAATACAGGTTGGAGAGTGATGTGAGTCGATTTGGAGGGCGTGTGTGAACTCAAGACAAGCACGAAGTTACTGAAATTTGGAACTTCGGTGAACTGTCGGGTAGAAACGGACACATGGGACCGTAACGAGAAGGTATTCGGATTTCGTCTGGCTGCTCGACTGTCTAACGAAACGATATGTGAGGGGATGATTCGACGTGTATTACCCCATTCGGCTGCGAGCTGAAACCTCTTATCCGGCTTTCGTAGCCCTTCCGTTTACTACCCTCACTTCCGCCCAAACGGATGAGTCCCGATCAAGCGTTCTTGGAACAACGTCGCAAGGGACTGCAACGCTTCATCAACTTTGTCGTCAACCATCCGATCTTGAAGGAAGACGGTTGTCTCGGAGTCTTTCTCGCCGAACCGAACTTTGAAGGATGGAGGAAACGCTCGAAAGTTAACCTCGACGAAGAGTCCACGCAAAAGAAGTTAGGACCGAATGCGGAGGCTAGTATCCCCCAGGATGTCGAACAGAGGATCGATGCGATGAGGAAGCAACTCCCTACCCTGCTCGACGCGCACGCCCGACTGGTCGTCTTGGCTGAAAAGAGCGTCAGGAGGATCGAGGCCAACTCGGCCGATCAGTCGAGGATGGCCATGACCCTGGCAACGTTGAGCGAAGCTTGTCCGCAATCCTGTTGGCGTAACGCAGATTCGAGTGCGAACCCTGGAGGTATTGGAGGGGCTGGATGCGACCTGTGCAAAGGGGTTGGGAGGGGTCTTGCGGCCGTCGGGGATGCTTGGGGAAGGGAGGCGGAGGATGCCGAGAGACGGACGATGGCCTTGACGTTGGGTACGATTGAGTCGCTGAAAACGCAGAGGGACCTCTACGCCGCTTTCCGGGAGTTGCTGTCGAGGCATGACCGTAAGTAGATTCGGTGTACCTGGTCGTACCGACTCTGACGAGATTACGGCTCTATACAGGTCTCTCGAAAGATAATTCGGACTTCTTACGCAAGTCCGTCGATGCCAAACAGAAAAAGCTCGACGTCGTGCGTGATAAGCGCAAGGTCAATTGGGAGGTCGAGGAGGAGAAACTCTCGAGCGCGATTGCACAAGACAATGCTGCCATAGAGGCGCTCATGACCCGTCGCGTCCACATCAAGCAATGTCTTTGGCACGAGCTCTCGATCGTGCTGCATTCTCGGCAAGCAGCTCAGGCCACTTTGGGCTGGCGGAAATTTGCCGAGGAGAAGACGAGGGCGCACAAGGGCGTCGCAGGATTATGGCAGGCCCTCGCGACACGTTTGGACGACATGCCCGTAGATTGATCGCGCTGCAGATGCCTTATAATATGTAATTCTTCTTTTTCGTTGTAGCACTCAGAGCATTTCTTTGCATTCCTCATAGAATATGATACGTCACTGAGCCGAAGCAAGTCCGCGAGAACACGTCCACCTTACCGTAAGTGCATCTGACTCCAATGAGAATTGTGTGAGGTCATGCAAAATCCAAGATGTACGTACAACCTGGTTGATGGCGCAGCTTTTTGCCAATGTTAGATTTTGGTTTTGATGCGAGTTCGCAAAGTGCACAATAATGCTATCAGAACATAAAGATATTGTGACAGAACGCAGATAACGCTACCAAGGCTGATGGCTGTCAGCTTTAATCCGCATGTATGGTCGTATCAGGTCATCGTTACTGATTCGGTCGTTACAATATGAGGTGTTGAGAGTTTGGCTGGGAAGATCATGAAGTACGTTGCCTCGAATCGTCTTCAGGGTCCATATCCCCGTAAGGGGAATGCAATGCAAGCTCATGCTCATGGTCAATAGGAGCCCCTATAATCTGTTCGTCTTCGGGCAAATTCTGGGGAGCGCGATCCCGGTAAATCAATCGTTGTGCAAGTACACCTGGAAATTGGTTGAGGCGTACAAACAGATCGTTAGTGGGATCATCAAGAATCGAGACTTGGCCACTTACATAGATCCAGCAAGACAGTGATGGCGCCGCATATTGTGAACTGCATGGGAGAGTGCCTGGCAAGGTAAAACCCGGTCTTAAAAATGTCCCCTCCTAGCCATCTATAAGATCAATGAAGATGCGTGTCAGAAGGAGGATTCTAGATGAAGGCATCGGCGGTTCCTTTACCCTGCGAGAACGAGATCACTGAAACCCTCGGTAGACCGTCGTCGATAGTTGGACAGTAGTTGCGGGATGGGTAATGTAGATTCGAGCCCCAAAGCGATCAATCCGAGACTGCGGCAAAGGGGTAAGAAAGGAAATCTTGAGGTCAACACACGAAAGACTTACCTCTCTACGACGGAAGAGCTCCAGCCGAGAGCGAAGTGGATGATAACCATAACAACGATGAACCCGGCGAGAAACTCTAGGTAGCTTCCTAGCCTATCCCATTGCCAAAAGTTGAAGGGTCGTTGCTTGAGCATCCTGCTGGCAAAAGATTGTTGCTCATTGTCTATTCGCTCTTGAGAAGATCTTGTCGGCCGATTGTGGATACACAGTGAGAGCAGGAATAGTTGAGAGGTGATAAGTAATATTGATTGCACGATGAGTGCTGGGATGTGTGCTATGGATCAGTCTTGGGCTGCCAAGCAGCAGACATCCCAACGAGAGTACTGACAAGTCTCAAATCGATGTCCGAGATAAAAGAAGCATCTCGTAATGTTGGCAATGATCACAACGGCACAGATGTCTGCAGCGGATCGAAATAGGGTTAGATCATAATACTCAGGTGTGTGAGTCTGTTCTTGAGCTGACCGATTGAAAAGCCAGAAGAGTCCCTGACATCACGACAGATCGATCAGGTCAGGATACGAAACGCCACAGCTCGCGGTGACAGGACCCACCTGGCTTTCAGAATCTTCCGGACCTGATCTACATAGATCAGAGGTGGGCTAACGAATTGCAGGATTAGCTTCTTTACTGCCTCTCAAGCGTTCTGGTAGCTTACCCTACAGCCATTCCGACGGCTGCGAGATCGCCTATGAAGCCCATGACGGTATCAGGATAACGTCGCTCTCTTGGTTTCTATGACGCGAGCTATCCCAATGCAGAATCCACTGATCCAGTGACCGCTCAACGGGAGGTTGTGCAAAATGTAAGATTGATGAGCTCTTGCATGGCATTTCGTGACGTTAACGTCGAATAGCAAGAAGCTCGGGGTTGACCGAATCCGAGGTTGATGAGAAGTTTCACGTGACAAGCCAGAGCGATGAACCTTGTTTCAAGTGTGCGGACGGTGTATGTGCCTTTGATTTGTCTTTCCCTTTCACGAAACAGCGTCTCGCCAGTCCTCTCCGTAACAAAGGAATGGGAAAGTTTGAGTCTGGCGGCTATGCCATATATCCGGTACGGTGACATTAAACGTGCGAAGCATGGCAGGGAAACAGCACATGCAGTGTCTATCACCGATAAAAGTGCAGCACCCACATGATAGAAATCCCGGTCGACATCTGGAGCCTTATTATCGACGAGGTGGCGCGACTGCCAAGCGGCAACTCGGAAAGCTGGTCCAACAGGACTTCAGAATTAGCTAAAGTCGCTCAGATATGCAAGGCTACAGAGGTCGGTCTATCTGAAATAACTACGCTGTGGGCAATCACACAAGCCGTAACTGAAGCAGGCTGCCGTGAAACTTAGCCATATGCAAACAAGCTCTTGTACGAGAACGTCCATTTTAGTTCGGCTTCCAAGGCCAGAAAGTTGGTCGATTTGACTCGAGGCAAGGTTGGGATACCTTTGGCGGAACGGATTCGCCAGGATACACGAGCTATCTCGATCGGATACCGTTTTTCCGCGGTGCCTGAACTCGAGAAAGGTCTCATGATCAGCGACGTCTCCTACCTGCTACAGCTTGCACGCGGTCTAACATCCTTCGTATGCAAGGCCGCTCATCTATCAGTCCTCCCGCAAGCGGTGTTACAGACCCTCTTCGAAAATCACGTAAATAGCCTTAAGGTTTTACACGGGTTTGCCACCGGATTCTCCTTCGGCGCAGACGTCTTGCCCTTCTTTGGGGCACTCGACAACATTGAGTGCTTGACGACCGGTCCAACCTCACTACCTAGTCATGCACCGTCATGTGCAGCGATAGTCGAAGGATTATTGTCGAAGTCACAAAAACGCCTGTTTCCGAAACTGCGCAGCCTTTACACGCCCATGGTGGAAAACCACAACGTGCTATTTGACCTGTTGGTCCAGTGCGAGCTTCCCAGCTTACGCCACCTTCAGGTATCAAGCTGGGATCGTAACTCGCTCCGCCTTTTCCTGACGCAACATGGGTCCAAGCTGAATTATCTCGAGCTGAAATATTCGTGGACGGAGGAGACGCTCGCCAATAAGTTCATCCACGCACGACCCCCCAAGAACGAGCCACCGGTGTTATTAAGCTTGATCTCACTCTGTCCGAATCTGGAAGAGTTGACTCTGCATGATGGCTATTCGTTTGGTCTTGTCGGGCAAGCGGGACCAGCTTGGGCGCATCCCCGACTTCGTACTATCCGAATGGGTTGCAGCTCCTTGGAAGGATGTGAGCAGGGCTTGCGTCATTGTGGGCTTTAGCCGTTCTTAGCTGATTTGATGTTACAGCATGGGCATTCCCAGAACATCAGCCGGAACCAGCCTCATGGTGTCTCACCACACGCAGGACAGTCCAATGCAGCACCGAGGTCTTGCAGAAGTCGGATTGGCGGCGCATACTGCCCAAGCTGGAGAGGTTTGTGGTTTGGCCACCGACGAGGCCCATCCTCCCTGACGAGGAAGATGTCGACGGGGACGTACATGACGCAACACTCCGCGCGATGAGCGGCTGGCAGGTAGTAGATTATTGGAACAGTTTCCTGCCGGCTCAAAATCTCCGTGTCGACGTACAGAGCCTTCTGATACAGGACTCGAGACTGCCCCGATAGACAGCGACAACAGAGGGGCACGAAATCTATCACAGGTCATAGGCGGGATATACTTGTACAACACCATAGAGACTGGGCTTCTTGCAAATCCGTCATTTTCATTTCCATTGCTCTCGTCAGCCCCGGCAAGGGTATCTAGTAGCCCGAAGGCGGTTGTTGCTGTTGCTGTTGCTGCTGCTGTTGTCCGTAATAAGCCTGTTGTTGCCTCGCCGCCGCTTGCTGCTGCGCAGCGAGTTCGTTCATATGCTGCTGTTGGTGTTGTTGCAAGAGGCGCTGCTGGTGTGCCGCTGGAACATGTAGATTAAGACAAAGTCAGATCAGGGTGCGGACCGTAATCCTTGGGCCAAAGAACCTGACTCACACTGCTGAGCGGTCGACTGTTGCTGTTGCTGATACTGCTGTTGAGCAGATTGCTGTTGCATTTGCGCGCGGATGGCCTGGAGGACAGAGTCACTAGGATCAGCATGGTGACGAGGACACGAGTCGAACTGCAAGCTGTGTCTCACCTGCTCCTGTTGCTGTCTGATAATTGCCTGCTGATGCAGCATGGCTGCCTGTTGTTGCTGTTGTGCCGAAACGGCCCCATTACTGGCCAATCCGGGACTGGCCGTGTTTGAGAGGAAATACGGATGACGCAGTGCCTCGTGAGCTGTCAAACGCTGCGATGGCTCAAACTCCAACAGTCCCTCGAGCAGATCGATAGCCTCCTTCGGAGCCCTCGGGATCAGGCCGCGAAGGTCCTGGCGGGGGTATCGATGCAGAGCTCGACCTTGAACCTCGGGCTACAAGCGATGTGTTGTAACGGGACTCAACTAATCATACGCTTGGACCGAGCGAAAGGCTTCACAGCCACTTACGGAATCCTGCATAATCTTCCTCATCGTCCTATCGTCCGGCGTTCCCAAAACCCGGATGATCTGGTTTAGCTGGTCGGTATTGTCCCGTCCTCGGAAGATGGGCACCCCCGAGATCATCTCGGCAAAGCTGCACCGATAGCAGAGGGTTGTCAGCGTGCTTGACTCATCCGCTCAGGGTACCCAAGCAAGAACGACTCACATGCAGCCCGCGCTCCAAAGATCGATGCTAGTGCTGTAAGTTCTCGATCCGAGCAAAACGTCCGGCGCTCGGTACCACAGCGTGACTACCTGTTCACTCCACGGTCATCCGTCATCAGCTCCGTACTCCTGGATCCGAGGGAGATATCGGGCCGGACTGACCTCGTTACTAAACGTATTCACCGGCACACCAAACGCCCTGGCCAACCCGAAATCCCCGATCTTGAGCTCTCCTCGCTTGTTGATCAACAAGTTCTGCGGTTTGAGATCTCGATGCAAGACCCGGTTGTCGTGGCAGAACGCGATACCCTGTCGATGGAGTAGAGTAGCGTGACAAATTTATTTAGCATGCGCCAGTCGTGAATAATTGTTGTCCTGGAATTATCAGAGGCAAAGTAGCAGCTATGGACTAACCTTGAGCAGCTGGTGCATGAAACTCTTGACGACCTGGAGATCCAGCGCACCCCTATCCCCGTGCAGATCCATGTGCCGCTTTAAATCGTGCTCACAATACTATAATAATCAAAATCATCAATATCTGCCATTCGGGATGGCTTGACGCCGGCGAGAACTCACCTCGAAGATGAGAATCAACTTGGTCTCGGTGTGTATCACATCGTGCAGCCTGACTATATTCGGGTGCTTCAACTCTACGATCGGACCACCCATCAGCCTTCTCAATCTATCGTATCGCATCAAAAGACACGTCCAGACGTACCCTTCATCAAGCTGATCTCCCTGATGGCCGTACTAGGCGTGCCTTCCTCGGCATCCAGGTGAATCTCTTTGAGCGCGACAATCTCTTGCGTCGTCCGGGAACGACCCTAATGATTCCGACATGCCGGTCGAGAAGATGCCGTGTAGAAGAACGAGGTGAAATAGGAGAGGAGCAGCAAGGCCAGCGAGTTAGCAATCGAGCGTCGCCATATGATTCAAGCCAGGATGGAGGAAGAAGAACGGGCCAAAGGATAGCAACTCACCTTGTACACCGTCGCGTAGGTCCCTTCGCCTAACTTCTCTAGCTGGATATAGTTCCTATCGATATCCTCCGCGAAGTTTAATGATAGTCCGGTCGTAGCAGCAAGACCAAGTACAGCAATGCAGCCGGGTATTGGCGAGGTATCAAGTATAAATGGTTCAATGCAAGTGGTTGTACAGCCGGAACAATCGTAGAGCAACGTCGAGAGTCGAGCGACAAGTATCAGCGAGACATCCAACGCTTTTCAGAAGGGGTCGACTGCACTGACATGGTATCCGACCTTGCTTTCCCCTCGCTACGAGCTACAGGTCAGATGAGACGATCGGACCAGATCTGCGAGTGAGCCGAAGTTGGACGACCGTGCGTGGAGTGTCGAAAGCTCGCTCGTGATCGTTAGATCGCTATTACCTGTCAGGGGTGTCGATGTCCTCGAATCGGTGAATTACGGAAGAGGGGCGGCTCGAAGGGAGTGATCAAGATGATCTATGGCCTATTCGAGCATGTGGCGAGGCAGCCTGAATGTGATCTAGTAGCTAGTACCTAGCAGTTGGGCATCCTGGCAGCTAGCAAGTCGAAGTGGATGTGGAGGTTCAAGGAGGAGGCGTTTCGTCACGCGCGATACAAGTTCTGGATGATCGGATGATCGGATGGATGGTAATTTCATGTCAAAGTGCAAGATACAACGACGCAAGATGCCAATAAAAGAAGCTGCACGGATAACGAGTTGTGAGGACTGTGTCGACCTTTCAAAGTAAGACCAGCACCGGAGAAAAAAAAGCCCAGGCCCAACTCTGCTAAAAAGTTCGACGAGATGTTTCGATCGGGTCCTCTAGTTTATCACCCAGATGTGATGACGAGGAGGAACGAGCCTAGAGCGAGGAACTCCCTGAGACGTGACTCCCAACAGAGAGGGCACGAGACCGGCAAGGCGAGAGAGCCCAGAAGGACAGGGACGAGGGAGGAGGATGTGACCTGCAACTCGCCTCGACCCGTACTAGTCATCTGGACAATCTCGCGCTTCGTTCCGATCTCGTCCCACTTCCCCGAGACGCCCCGTCCAAGGGGTTCCTCTTGAGCGCTCTGGTCTTTCCCCTTCGTTCGAGTAGGTTGTGCAACCTGGACGAAGATATAAAAAGGACGTAATAACTTGAAGAAGAAGAAGCAGAGAAGTGTGGCACGAGGGAGAGGAATGGTGATGAACAAACGAGTTTTTTGTAGGGAGGCAGCTAGCAGCAGAGGAGGGTGACTGCTTCTCAAATGCGCGTCGCTTCTCGCTGCGTGCTGCCGCTGCTGCTTCCCACGCGAGTGTTGTGTGTGTGATGATGAGCTGTACATACCGGTCGGTCGGTAACAAGGGGAGATCGTCGTCGTCGTCACCTCGTTCCAAACCTTTTCATATCATCGCCTCCATCCACAACGACAACACTCGACCCGAAGCCGACCGCCAAGAATCGCACTATCACATTCACTTGACCTCGTAAACTAATCACGACCAACGCAAAACAAAATGGTAAGCTCGCAACCCGTGCATACCGCAAGAGCGTAACTCATACCTCAGATCCTCCCTCGTTCTGCGTTGCACTTCGCCTTTGTCGACATGTAGGACCGAATCAAGGAGGTAAGCTTAGATTCCTCAGTCATGTTTCAATAGGGCGAATGCTCGAGCTGATCTACGCCTTTCTTGTCGCTTCGCAGAAAGTCAACCAGCTCAGCGCCAAGGTCGAGACGGCCGAGAAGCGTGCCGAAGAGGCTGAAGAGGCCAACAAGAACGTGAGCTATCTCTCTCTCCTGCTGATCATTCGCTATCCACAGGAACAAGACCTGACATGTCTGTCCTTTTGCTCAACGCCTTCATTCTCTACAGTTCAAGCAAACCATCCTTCAACAAGAACAAGACATCACCTCTCTCAAACGACAGCTCGAGGTCGCCCAGACCAGCTTGGACGAGACCGAGACCCGGTTGGATTCTTACAAGACGAGGGCGGACGAGGGTGAGAATCACAAGACGACGGGGGAGAACTTGACCAGAAAGGTCGCCATGCTGGAGGAAGAATTGGAGAGGACCGAGCGAGAGTTGAAGGAGACTCACGAAAAGTCAGTCCAAGGCGTCTGACCGGACGGAACTTTGTGCCAGAACTCTGGACTGACCCCCGATCGCTCTCAGGCTTCGAGTCACCGACGTCAAGGCGGAACACTTTGAGCGTGCTGTGACCCGAGCGCAGGAGGAGAGGGACGAGCTCGAAAAGAAGCTCGACGAGGCCAACTTGAAGCTCAAGGAGAGTCAGACCGAGTTGGAGGCTTTGGTCACCGCCATGGACGCTCTAGTGAGTTCTATTACAATCTCGACTGTGGTCCTGCGAGCAATTGGCTGATGCGGTTCTAAACAACGTCCGTAGTGAATACCCACGACGCCCCCGGTCGACCGGTCACCATCCTCATCTCCATCACCTCTCATCACCGGACCTCGACCGTCAGACCCTTGCATCGCTTCCGTTTCCCATACTTCTCTTCCGCCTGAGCTTGAGCCTGCTATCAGTATTACCACAACTACCAATATACAATCGACGCCATCATACCATATATACGACGACAAAGAAACGCTACGAGGACCAGAGAGTTCGGGTCGGACAAAGCGGGATGAGAATGCACAGACAGCTAGCCCTGGATCAGAGAGCGGGATGGAGGGAGAAGAAGAGGACGATTCGCTGCTCTTTCCGGCAGCTTGGCGACCTACATTCTCCCGATCCGCCTCGGCCGCACCTGGCTCGACCCGTACTTCTACCCCTTTCAGACCTGCCGAGCCCGCCTCTTTACGATCATCTTCAGCATCCTCGATATCCCGCACATCTCCTTCTTTCGTTCCTCCCTCTTCTACTTCTGCGTCGGACAGACCTAGCCGGTCATTCTCGCAATCGATCCCGATCTTGAATTCGATCATGTTACTCTTCTTCTTTTGGTCGTCCGCTGATGGAGATCGACCTCGGTCGACCGTATCGCCGGAGCCAACGGAAGGACGTGTTGAGCAGGATCGGGAACAGGACGGGGATGACGACGGGAGGTTGATCGATGCTGGAATTCCCGGATCTTGGCGGACCGCATGACTATTGGTGATGACCACAACGAATAATGGAAGTCAGATCGTTTCTTTTTCACTTTCGCGTACTTCTTCTCCTTCTCGTTGTTGTTGTCACGCCTGTCCTTTTCTTATTCATGTCAATTTACGTTTACTGCGGGTCATGATCGTATACATCTCATGGTATATCATAAGCCGACACCGTCTAATTCGCCTCACAGGATAAACTCTACAGCTCTCTATACTCGTGGATTGGTAGATTGGGATAACCTCGTCACACGGAGAGATAATGCTGCCTCTGCATGACGAGCCAGATCATGCTTGGAACTGGAATTAACGGAATGTCAGCTCTAGGAACCAGATACTTTGAAACGCAAACTCACTGGCAACCAAGACTGGACTGAGTGCGGGAGCCTGCAAGCCGGCCGACTTGAAGATGAAGAGTTCGCTCAAGAAGTGTCCTCCCGCAAGGACATAAGAGGCTAGAGTAAGGTTGTACAGTCTGATGTGGTGTGGGCCTGAATCAGTTTGACAAGGCTTAGTATCGCTCGGGCCTGGCGTGCTTACGCTGGATTGTTAATCTCATAAGCAGCGTAGATTCGGATGCACGCAGCCAAGAGCGTCCAGACCCCAAACGTTCTCCTTCCAATACCCGTCACTAAGATATTTGTTTAGCGAGATCGATTGAGCGTTCAGACAAGGTCGGTTGGGTCAAGGTCACTTACCCTCTTCCGGCTTTCGGCTGTAGATCCTCTTGGTCAAGGTTGGCGTAACGAAAGCCTGGATGGTGTTGTAGACAGAGACCACGGCGACAAAGGCCAACCAGTAAGGGAGATAACCTCCATTGCTGGCCTGGGGAAGGACTGCAAGAAGACTGGTAGTCAGCAATAACCCGATTGCCAGTGGAAGACTGTGCAAGTACCAAAGGCCGATTTGGCGTGCTCAATCAAGGTCGGCGGTGGGCTGTGTACGTCGGGTCCAGCCAGTTGCATATTCGAAAAGATCTGTGGTACCACGTTCCATTCCTCTGCATGGACGATTGTCAGTACTGGCGATCAACGCATATGTCCTTTCACAACTTGGTGAGAAACCGACGAACCTCCTTTGAACAACCTTATCAAGGTGTAACCCACGCCTCCCACGACTACAGCAACCGGAACCTTGATGAGATCCCATACATCTGATTATTCGCGATCAATCACAACATATGAGTTAGCTCTCCATCCTCCCATCCGCAAGCTGATGACTCGGGATACCCACCACCGAGACCAGTCTTCTTTGAGCCTCCTAACCACTGTTTGTAGTTGATTCCGATCCTGTCAGCCCTGAATTGACTCCGGCGGGTATTGGTAGAGATGAATCGATGCGACGGGATGTGGCTTTTTAGAAATCCCAGAAAGTCAGCCAAGGCGTTCAACGGGGACATTGTCGTTCCAGTTCCTCACTAGACGGCGAGCGCAGGTGTTCCGTAGGAGTGGGTGAGTTGCGTGATGGCGGCTCTCGACAAGGGTCGAACATATTCCGAAGCTGGAAATCGAGGCTATCAGAAGATCATCATGGTGAAACAAGTTCAGTAATCAGACGTACCATCGTCTTCCTTTCCAAACGGCACATTGACGCCGCCTGCACCGTATTCCTATTACGTTCCTGTTATGAGTCGGTTGATCTTCACTACATCCCGTTTTTGCTTCACTTACCTCGCCCGTAATAAAGTCCTCGTCCCTAAGCACTTCATCCATGGCGACCCGCTTCTTCTTGTCCAAGTTGTCCTGACTCTCCATAACGGCAAAGTCAGAGCTATCCAACAAGCTCATGCGCAAGAAGGGCTTGTTCTTGGCCACCAACTCGATGGCCGTCTGAGTGGAATCGACCGAGACGTAAATGACGGAGCATGTCTTGGGTTGAGCGAGTGCTAGGTTGACGAGGTCCTAAGTAAATGACAAGCGGAGAGTTTCAGTTCGCATAATGTTCGAGTGTTTTCTGCGTGAGTTTGAGGCACACCTTGTTGAGATCGGTCAGGTTGTCTACACAGAGGGGATTTATCGAGCGCAGCGTCGGTTTCGTTGTTTCGCCGTGAGCATCGACAGCTTGCTTACCATTTCCGTGCATGCTACCGATATAGAAGATCACGACTTCCTTCCCGAGGAAGACCTCTCTCAGACTGTCGATAGGCCTTCCATAAGGATCCTCGAGTCGGAGACGACGGATGAGAGGATCAGAGTGGTTATACAAGGACGATTTGCCCTGCACAAGAGTAGGAATGGGAACGACGGTATTGGCCATTGTTCTTGGTTACTGCTTCTCGGATGGATGAAAACCTATTAGAAAGTCCAGGTGTGCTATCTCGTTGTCACTTGCTGAAATGCACAACTCTTTGTACGACCAAGGTACTTGTCAAACTTTCTTCTATAAATCTACAAGCTATTCGTTGATCGCTGAACAATCGTGCTTCTTGATCTCGCATGCTATGCAATGATGTTCAAGCAACTTCCCCTTCCCCGGGCGGTCGGCCGAAGTGATTAGTCAAAGGTCACGGACATCGTCTCATCGGTCTCCTGGTGACAAAACATCCTGATGTCCGTTCGCCGAGATCTCGGAAAGCCCGAGCGAGCAAGTTTATTATTCTCTTGCGATTCAAGGCGATCATTTCAGCAGCGTTGTATGCAGGTCTCGACCGGGTCAGGAGATTTGCTTGATTCACAACAGCCACATCTGCATTCGAAAAAACAATGGGTCGTCTTAGAAGATCAAGGTCGGTCAGAGAGGTCATTCGCCTGGGGCGTCAGGATTGTGCTGAACCAGCTCGACTTTTTGTCATCACAGAGTCCACAACGCTCGGCGAGATGTCCGTCGAGCGACCCGTACCCGAGCCAGGGCCAAGGATATCGATCAGATCCAGCACGAGGATATGAAGCCCGAGAACAAGAGCAAGCTGGAGGCTCAGGAGCTCGATGAGGAAAAGCCTGGTCTCGGTCAACACGTGAGTCTACACGGCTTTTGATGCTTCGAGGCGAGATTTTAGCTGAATTTTGTCTGGACATTACAGTACTGTCTCGAATGCGCCAAGTATGTTTCAATTGGGCTACTTCGCATACGCTTGACTTCCTAACTGATTTATGTTTGCACCTAAAGATACTACGAGTCTGACGAAGCTTTGGTCAACCACACCAAATCGAAAGTGCACCGGTACGCTCTACCGTGGTTCTGATCGCCGGTCTTGCATTCAGTCTTGATACTAACCTAGTATTATGTCTCACCGGTCATCACAGACGCCGTCTGAAGGAGCTCAAATTCGGATCCTACACCAAGGAGGAGGCCGAGCGTACCGCCGGTCGGGGTGTAGACAACAAGCAACGAGGGGTAGAACCCATCGTGCTCAAAAAGAAGGAAGACCAGGATTTGGAGATGGAAGGTCAGGATTCGAAGACGGCCTCGACAACAACGACGGCTCAGACGACGGCGGTCTCGAGCTGAGAAGCATTGTTGATGCGTGTGGGCGAGATTCGGTATGATGAGTCGGACGGGCTTCGGAACCCTGTCTCGGCTCTGTAACATTAGCACTTGTTGTTCGGGTTGTATACCACCTTCTTTTCCCTCTAGACGACGTGGGCACGTGTAAATCATGTAAATTCTGTTTGGCGATTCACCCGACGGAATTTTCCTGCTTGAAGACGTGGTCTGCACTTGGCCGAAGGCATTCATCATTTTCGACTCCGACAAGCTCGATGTCGAACAGATGATGAGGTCGGCACTGTATATCCTTGGCTGGGTGCACCACCACAGTGAGTACTGGTCTATAGATCTCTAGGGTATGGCACAATCGAAACGTCACGAAAGTTCGTAAATTGTCGTCAGCTGTTCATAGCAGCCGCTCGGATCTGGTTGACATCAAGGGCACGGTCAAGTGAGTATGAGCAGTATGCACGTAGCTGCTATCACACTGACCTTTTCCGGCAAGCGGCTCCAGTAAAGGCTCTCCCGCTCCCCCGCAAGCAACTCGACTTTGCTGTCGCCCTCGAGTCGACCTGGCTCCAGCATACCGGCCAACGCTTGTTCGTCGATTGCCTTGCCCAAGCGGATATGTGCCTGTATTCCACCATGTCAGACATTCCGCCATACAGACTAAGACAACCGCTCTGGCTCACCGTATCATGCCCTTTTGACCAATCCACATAATCGACGCTGCTGCGCTCGGCGAGAAAAGCCGTCATGTCTGCCCTAATCGCCGTCTTGTTCGTCGTAGTCGATACGTTCCGCAAGAACAGGAGTCGGCCTGGAGGATACGCAAGATTATACGAACGAAAGGGCAGGGTCGGAGGTGGAGGGGCTGCTTGTAGCCTCGACGGCGCTGTCTGCGGTGGCTCGAAGGTAGGCTGCTGATGCGTTGTGGTTGACGATTTCGTGGTTATTTGCAGGTTCAGCGTGTTTTGATATGTCAGATATTCCTCTCTTAATGAAGCGAATCGTTCTCTGTGATAGGCAATGTCGATTTCAGACAACGGGACGGTCAAGCTAGTAACAAGAACAACTCACAAAGAACAGGCTCTTAAGCAAGCGCAGAAAGCCGGTGACCGGTCAGAAGATGCTTGGTCATGCCAGGGTATTCGCTCCAGGAATTCTTCTCGATCCAGGTTATTCGAGAAAGTGACCAGGACTTGTTCGTAAGACGGTTCATTCTTTGCAGTAAGACCAATAGGGGTGATCCCTTGTAGCCGAGATGCAGCTGCAGCGCCTATGTCGCAGTTCCGGTGCACTAGGTCGACTATCCCGCTTATCGACTGATACGGAGCGGGCACGGATTCCTACGAGAAATCGGTCAGCTACTCAAGCTTATGAATGAGAGGGCACACATGGAGAAGTGAGCCCACTAGATAAGCGACATGGCTGGTCTCCTCGACGATGTCAACCCCGTTTGTGGCCAAGAGTCGAAACTCGAAAGCGCTGCCTGCTGCTTCCTCTTGTTCCATTGCATCGAGAGCCAGCCTGACCTGAACATGCTCCCCGCCTACAGCTCTTATTGCAGCCACCAGATTGACTGGCGGCATATCCGTCAATCTGGCTTTCAGCGCGATGCTTTGGCATTTCACGACTGGCATATTCTTCAGCTTAGCTCTGCCTAATCACTGAGCCGGACACGACAACTTACAGTCAGTGATAGGCCGCCGTATCAGCCGCAATGTTTCGGAGGAGAATTCGGTTTCGAACAGCGAAATGTAGACTGCACTCGACCAGACTACTTGTTCCAGCCGAGAACCCGCTTGCGTCGAAGTTGTGTCGTCCACAAGCTGGGAGTCTGCTGCTTGCCGGAACGGTCGTTCTTTGTCCTCTATCCTTCGTTTTTTCGCTAACACGACGTCTCTCTTCTTTTTGGTCAGCCCTCGTGGAAGGAGCATGCTGATATGTCAATCGAGGTATGAACCAAGCTGCCATAAGAGATATTCGGAAAGCGAAGGGGTATTCAAGTTCTCAGTACACTCATGATGTCCGCTCGATCGGCGCGGAGGCAGATGCTCAAAGATATAGTTCCGGTCGTCGAGGCTCAGCACGCAAAGACATCCCATATAGCAAGCAGCGAGCATTCACCAAGCCAAATGCCATTCATTATGTATAAGAGCGTACTGGGTCGTCAAGAGCGAGTGAAGGTGATTACAGGTACAACGATTTATCAGTTCAAGATGTTCGGTCGTAAGAGCAAGATCTAATTCAGGCTCGTCGTTCTGGTTCTGGGTTCTCTCGCGGACTGATGTCCTTGAAGCATACGATCTCGTTGGGCGACTTCGCTGGACCAAATTGAAGCAGCTCGTCTACAACATCGCAATCAGCTTATGCGACTCCGATAGTCATGGAAGTATAACACTCACTTCATTCTGATGGTAGAGCGGACAGCGAGTGCAACTGCCTTGAAAGAGCGCTTGACAGGGGTCTCCGACTTGATGGTTGAGGGATAGCCCATGGAGGCGATCAAAGCCAGGGTCTCTCGTTCACTGTAATAATGCGGGGTGAGCGGCTGTCGAGCTCATCAGTTAGGTTAGAGTCTGACTCACCTCTGGCGGAACTGGCCGACCAGCCTGAGCAGATAGTGCTTTTGAACGGTCAATCCGTTTTTGAAAGTGTTTTCTCGCGCAAATTTGGCCCGCAAGTAGCGGACTTGAGCCGTCAGCTTCTTGCGATCCGAAGTCAGGTCGACAATTCGAGTCTTCAAGGCTTCAGATTTGTCATCGTTCCTGCAAACCACAAATGTCTCGCGTTAGTCTAAATGCCGTCGACGGGATTGTCAACAGCCCTCTGCTTACCCAGTCAAGCGTTTGAGCAATTCTTGCTCCTTGTCGCTCAGGCTGGTTTCCAACCTGCGAATCTCCTCCTCGAGAGATTTGATCATCGAATCCGCGGAAGCTCGCTCGCTTCGCAAGGTTTGCATCTCTACCGCATCTGCGGCCATCTTGTTGCTATCGGCTTGCAGAGCTTGGACCGCTTGACTGAACTTCTCAGCTTCGCATTTGTGTCTGTACAGAGAAGCTTCGACCTGTTTGAGCTCCTGTCGGAGCTCCGTAGAGTTATCCGCCCTGGCTTCGAGCTTGGATTCGGCTCTCGCCAAAGCTTTGGACTTTTCCTGGAGCTGGGCCTTCGTAGCCTCGTAATCCTGTGCGACAGCGGTGACTTTAGTGAACGGTTACCGCCAAACTGGCCTGGGCGGTAGACTTACGCTTTGTCTATCAGTCAAAGCTTCCGTCAAGCGCCTTTGTTCAGCTTCGAGCTTTGCTTTGGCGGAAGTCAATTCGTCTCGTTCCTTGCGGGCTCGAGCTACAAGTGATGAACAACAGTTAGTCCTGTCTCACAAGGCGGTTCAGTACTGCGACATACCTTGTGTTTCGGCTGCCATCCTTGAGTTGCTCTGTTCTGTCTCAACAAGACGTTTCGAGATGCGTGCGATATCCTGTTTGGCTCGGTATTAGTGACATGCCACTCGACCTGCTGCCACTATCGCTTACCTCTTTCGCAAGACCATGCTCGGCCTCGATAGAGCGGCATTTGCTCTCGGTCTCTTGAAGTTGCGTTCGGGTCTCGCGCAGCTGTTGTTGCACCTTGCGCACTTGGGTTTGCGTCTCGCGCAAAGTGTTCTCCGTACGTTCGAATTTCTGCTCTCGCAAGCCAAAGTCAACACAACGTTCGAATATAGCAACATGTCACAGAATCGCTCACTGCTTGGAGCAACTTTCGTTCGGTCTCGAGAGACTGTTTCTCTCGTCGCAAGGCGGCGGATTGTCGATCGTGGTCAGCCTCTGCTTGTCTCAAGGCGGTCGTGGCGGCTTGCTCGGCCATCTTGGCATTCCGCTGCAAACGCGCTATCTCCTGCTCCTGTTCCCGGACCCGTTCCCTGTCGACCCTGACCTGCTCTTGCAGGATGGTATATTGAGACCGGAGGGATGCGATGGTCTCCTTGAGCTCGTCGCGCTGGGCCGTTCTCGGACGAGGGGTGAGATCCCTGCAAAGCAGAACATGTGGGTCAGTCGGTTCCAGGCGACAATTGGCACAACGCCAGTCTTACAGCAGGGAAGTCTCGCTCCGGTCGAGGTCAGCGAATTTGCTGGCATCAAACTGTACTTCGCAGTCGGGACATTTAACCCGCTCCAAACGCTGTGTAACCGTGTCGAATCGCTTTCGGAATTCCAGCACGTTCTTCTCGAGTGCGACGACCCTTTCCGTTTCGACAGCAAGGCGGTCCGCCATTTGGAAGGTGGTCAAGTTTGCCCTTTCCAGTCGTTCGAAGTTGCCGTCGAAGCGTTTCTGGGCCTCCTGCAGCTCGATCTGAAGTTCGTGATATCGCTCGACCATGCTCTTCTCCGTGTCATCCTCGGACATGGATCGGTTCAGGAATGAGAACTGTATTCAGAGGCACCACGTCAGCATTCATCGTTGCAAGCAAGTTCAAGTTCAATACACCTACTTCTGGCATCGTTCCAGGGGTTGCGGGTGTACGAGGCATCTTGAGGTTAGCGAGATGCTTGTTGAAGAGGGAAGACCGCGGGGCAGGCGATCCCATCATAGAAGCAGTAGTCCGCATAGGCCCAGGTGTAGTTTCCGGATCGGCCAGACGAGCCTGGGTGACTCGCAATTCCTCTTGCAGTTCCTGCTTTTCAATGACCAAGGCGTCAATCTTGGCGTCGCGAGCAGCAACAATGGCTTCTTGTGCGGGGCTCGACTCGAGTCTGGCATGCTGAAGCTCAAGAACTTCGGCTTGAGCGTGAGACAAGCGGGTCTTGAGCGAGTCGATGATGGTAGCATCTTCTCGGGCTCGCAAAGACGAAAGCCTGTCGATGAATGAGGTCGTGCTCGCCCTCGAAGGACTTTGTCCGGCTAATTCGGCTTCCAAGGCGGCAATTGTAGTCTTGGATGCGCTCAACGCGGCTTCAACAGTGTTCAACTTGGCTTGTATGTCGGCTACAGAGGTGGCCTTGTCGTCCGTTGCGCGTCTCGCCGAAGCCAACTGATCCTCGAGCTCTGCAATGGTCGCTTGCTGCTCCAGCGAAGCCGCGTCCACCAGGGCTTTAGCTTCCCGTATCTGCTTCTTGTCGTCACCTTCCTCTTGCAGCGCGAGCTCGCAGTCATCGAGATTCCTGTAGCACTGCTCGAGTTCAATCTTGCATGCGTCTAGGTCTCGAGTCAGCCGCTCAAGCTCGGCCCCGTTGCTTTCTTCTACGTCGGTGAGAGCGGCTTCTGCGTTGATCTTGGCGTCCTCTTCAGCCCGAAGTCGCTGCTGCAAGTGATCCATCTCGGTCTCGCGAGCCGACAACTGCTCGTCGCGATCGATAACCTCATTCCGAGCCTTTTCGACTTCGTCTTCCAAGTCGGCGATTTTGGCTTCACGTCGTGCAATTTCATCCCCCAATCGTTGGACCTGCCTCTCAAGATCCCCAACCTGAGCCTGAAGAGCTCGCTCCTTTTCGTCCGCGTCGGGGCTCTCGAGAACTTGCCTGAGCCGTTCCTTTTCTTGCTCGACAGCGGCCTTTTCCCATTGCAGGTTTTGGACCTGTTGAGAGAGTTCACGTTCTTTGGTCGCAGCGAGGTCAAGAGCTTCGACCATCTCCTCGTGCGGAACCTTGTTCGCCTCCTTCACATCCTTCAGTTCTTCCCGCAGCCTGTCAGCTTCATCTTCATGCTCCCTGAGCAGCTGGCTCTGAAGATCGAGCTCGTCCTCCAGTTCTTTAATTTTGGCATTATCCGAGCCGTTCGACGCCGCCGCTGCCTTGAGCTCGGTCTCGTGCTTGAACTGGGCATACTCATCCTCAGTCTTCCGAAGCGTCTGCTCCAACTCGCCAACCTGTTCTTGCAGACGGATGACCTGCTCGTTCCGCGCGCCTGTCGACCTGACGAACGAAGAGTCCGCCTTCGACCGGTCCAGGGAGACAGAGCTCGAACCGGTCTCCCGAGTTTCCCGTTCATCCCTCTCCCAGTCCGCCTGTTGCAACTGATCCCGAAGCAGATTCATCTCTTCCGTCAACCGCTGGTTCTCAGCCGTCAACTGCTCGTTCATGTGGTGCAAATGTCGAGCAATCTTGGGCGCCTGGGCCCGGTCTTCGTGCGTGCCGATATCGTCCAGTCCGATAGTAGGCAACGATGTGTTCCCCTTCGACCTAGACGTGGCCCCTCGCTTGTCCGAAGTGAGGTCCGCCGAGGAAGCGATCGAGACGAACGACTGGTTGCTCGCCCCCTCATCCGAATCCCCTCCACGCAAGACGCTCGCGCTCAAGTTGCCTCGAGTCTCCATCAACCGCCTGTGAAACGGTCCGATCACGCTCCTCTGCATGCTACGGGCGAGCGAATGGTCCATCCTGAAACTGATCCCGCTAGGTTCATGCTCGTCTTGCCCAAGCTCGGGCGTGGCGATCAGCTCGTCACGCCCGGATCCTGATGTCGTGCTCGACCTGCTTCCTGAGCTCCACCTATTGTTCGGTCGGGTAACGCTCATCCCCAAGCTCTGCCTCGCGTGTGACACGTTCATAGATACTGTCGATTTGCGAACGCTAGTTTCGAGAGCGGTCCGGACGTAGTCCTGCATAAAGCTCTTCTCTACCCCTCCAGCGGCCGATGGCGCAGGCGACTGGCTCATGAACCTCCTAGGCAAGGCGGCTTTCGGCGTAGTCCCCACATCCGCCTTGGACATCCGACTTTGATCAAGGTCAGGAAGACTCGCCTCGACGCTATCCTCGTCCCTGAGATCCCGGTCGAGGTCGCCTCCGTACGAACGGTCCATAGGAGATGCATGTCTCGACAAGTGCCTAGCAGCTCCAGGGGTGGTAAATTGACTGCTCGACGTGGCCGCCGTGAGATCTGCCATCTTGTTGGCAGCCATTGGAGTCGTCAGTTCCTGATGGGACGACACCCTCCGCATGGTTTGTCTAGAAGAGGCCTCTTGCGGCATTCCACTGAGGTCCAGGCTCAGATCATCGTCGTCATCGACCATCTCCATACTTTCCCCTTCCTCGTCCACAACGCCAAGTCCACCGGGAGTCATTCCAACCCCGAAGCTGACGCTGCTCCTCATCGAAACCCTGCCGGGCGTGGTGATCTGGAGATTCCCGTCGTCTTGCTGTTCTACTGGAGTCTCGGTCGCTCGCCTAAACTCTCCCGAATCTTCATCACTACCGTCCGCTTCTGTTTTCGAAAGGGAAGGCACACGAGGCACATCCTCTTGCGGCGTGGTCGATCTCATCTCTCTAGAATCTTCATCCTCGACAGTCGATTCCGGCCGCCTGAACCCGGCGGAACTGACGCTCTGATCGTCCCGCAAGGGGGAAGGCAAGTTGCGGAGCTCGACCGGTTCCGGGCTGCCCAAAGGCGAAGTCGAAGTGTGACGAGGAGCTCGAGAGTATCGTTTCCTCGTGTCCACCCAGTTACCTCGGAGGGCCGGCGATGATTGTCTAGACGCCTCGTCCTGTTCGTGAAAGACAAAGACAAGTAATCAGGTCAACGTACTGACATCACCAGGATTGCCCATCGCTGCATAAAAGCACTAACTGGCAAATCGTTCAAGCTCCCTTCGCGCGAATCAGGCAACTCCCTCGAATCGAAACCGTAATCTTCTTCTCCTTCCTGCCTATCTCCCACATGTTGAATAGTAGCGATCGACAAGCTCCTTTCGTCCATCAACGAGACGTCCTGTGCGAACGATCCCAACCCTGACCCTGATTTCTCCCTCGTGCGGCGGCTCAAGGACGAAGCGAACCTCCTCGTCTGGGCCGATTCGGCCGGTGTCCCAGCGCTCATGTTGTCTGACCCGGGCGGGGGAGACCGGAGTGCCCGCCGTGCGGATAGAGCAGGTCGGATGGTAGATATCGAGGACAACATCCCCCCACTCGAGGATCCTTCCCCTGGGCCTGTACTCCCGGCGCTTTCGTTCAGCGGAGATCGGCGGAAGGGGCGATAGCTAACGGGAGTAGAGGTGATAGGACCGTTCCCTGCGGAAAAGGAAGAAGAGGAGCCTGAAGTATCACCATCATTGAGGGGGACGATGTAAGATCGATGGGAGGGTGGGGTGAAGGTCTGTTCTTGCGGGCTGGTCGCGTGGAGGGTCTTCCGAAGCATCGGCGTGACAAAGTTCTGCGAGAACCAGCATTGCTGTCAGCCGATCATACCCTAAGCCTAGAGCTCATACTATGACCCCCAGACTCACCTCGGTCTTGCCTCCTAGCGACTTTTCGGACACATTTCCTACGGTCGGACTCTGATTCTCCTTTCCCCTATCCCTCCTCCCGATCTCATCCTTAGAACTCTCCCCTTCACTCGTAGTATTCGCCCCGCTCGTCGTGGCCGGGTAAGATGAATTGCTCTCGTCGATCAGATCGGGAAGGCTGCCGAGCGAGTCTTCATGTTGCTCGTGTAGGGCGATACGTTGTTGTAACGCGGACCTGTCCAGGTTGGCTAGGTCGAAGCCTGCCATGGCGAGCGGGGTGTTGTTTCGTCGTCGGACTTGAAGTGATTAAAGAGAGTTAAGAACGACTTGACTGGTATGGGAAATGTGCCACTGCGTCTACTATGCAAGTTGAACGAGCAGGTCGGCAATTCGGCAAGGATGCAAAGGGTTCTGTCGTCGATTCCAATTACCACATCCACCTAACCCGCATTTGTTTGTTGTTGTTGTGATGCGATGGGTTTCGTTGTGTTGGTTGTTTTTGTGCAAGCGCCAAACGTTATTACGTCACATACATACGTAAATTACGTACCGCCGTTCTCTTTCCGGTAGAAGCGCATCTCCCTGACTAGGCGCGATGAGAGATTAGCGGATGAGAGCATCGCCGGGGAGGGGAAGGAGCGGATGCAAACGCGGTAGAAGGGAGGGGATGACATGGGTGGGTGGGTGGTCGGTGGTGGTGAGTGAGTGAGTGATATCGAAAACAGCTCGATATCATCGGACCAGATCCGTTACGATCGACCTTGTGAATCTGCTCTGATCATACCCGCTCATAACTGTAGCCACTAATCGCCGCGGACGGTATCCGGAGCAGCATAGCAGCTCTGGAAAGACAGCAACCTCGACGAAGCAATCACGCGGCGTAAAAGGGAAGAACCGGACCACTCCGACCGGCGACATCTATACAACCATCCAGGACTGGGCTGATAGGTAACGGAGAAAAAGCAGCTCGAGTGACATCCTCTTCTTTTCTGCCTTTGCCCGCATCCTGCAGCTCCCGGTCGAGATAGAGTTTCGAGAAGAAGGCTCGACCAAGAACCGCGGTCCCCTTCGTCATCTAAACAAATCTTCGGCTCAAACCGAACCTCTCGACGATCTCTCTTCGACTTTTGTTCTCCTCTCATCACCGCTTCTCCAGCTATTATATCTACACAACATCGCCGCCTCGCACTTCATAATGACACCCTCGTCGCCTCTGACCGATACAGAAGCTCCGGCCGTCAAGCGAGCTAAACAAAGCTCGAAAGATAGATCAGGTGTTGACGAGACCGTAGAGGATTGGCAGAACGGATGGGTAGCCAAAATGTGGGGAACCGCCAAGCCCGGTACGACGGCCGATCCTGACGGCCGTACCGACGCCATGATGGTCGACGAGGACCAGGCTCGAGCCGAGGACTCGAAGCAGCCCGGAGGAGAAGGGTTGAACGCTTTGGTAGCCGCCATCCCAGACGACGGGGAATCCGCCCCCGGATACGATGCACACTCGGTGCCATCCAATACATCGGCCACCGCAACGACGAACGGGAACCGCATCAAGATCTCCCTCAAGGTCCGGGATGCCGCAGAGGCCGAGGACGACCAGCCGGAAGAGGACGACGTCTCTTCGATCACGAGTACGACTATCCCGTTCAACGATAGCGGGAGCGAGGGTTCTGATCCTGCCGGTGCACCTGTACCACCAGGATGGGATGAGATGGAAGTGGAGGAGGATGGAGAAGGAGAGGCGGATGTCGAGGAAAAGCCCGTCAAGCAGGTGCCGATAGTCTTGAAGAAGAAGCCCGAGGGTCCCGCTCCGGGGGCCAACTTTGATGATGATTCCGTGAGCGAGTTGACGGCGTTCACGGACGAGTCAGAGGGAGAAGCTGAGGATGACGATGATGACGAGGATGATGACGAGGATGAGGAGGACGAGGAAGAAGAGGAAGAAGCCGGACGTAAAGATGCTGGAGCTTCGGTTCCCCCTCCCAACGCCAACGCCAGCACGACGACGGGGTCGAGCAAGACTTCCCCTACGCAACCTGTCGCTCAAAAGCCGCTCAGCGCGCGAAAGCCGAGCATATTCGGGACTCGGTCGGATGAGCCGGAAGGTCAGGATGATGGCGAGGAGAGCGAGTTGACGGATAGCGATGTCGAATCCACGACGACGGCGACGACAAGGAACAAGCCCGCTGTCAACCATGTCAGCAATGATAAGAGTGTCAAACCGATCTCGATCAAGGTGACCCCAGCCAAATCGACTACAGGGGATGACGATGACGAGCCCACCACCCCGACCGCCACGACGGCGTCTGGAAACCCAGCATCGAGGAGGTTGTCAAAAGCAGGCGATGACGAGGAGAAACCGTATTCCCCGCCCAAGACCGCGAAGAAGGGGATCCTGGGCAGGTCGGCGGCAGGTGCAGGAGAGGGGGAGACGGAATCGATCGTGTCGGACGACGACGAGGAAGACGATGACGAGGGTGGCCAGGGTATGCTGGTCAAGGACGCTGTGAGGCGGGAGAGCGAGGGCAAGGCGAAGAAGACCAGTGAGGATGAGGATGATGACGAGGACAAGGGGGTCGCTGGGGAGAGGTCGTTGGAGGAACGAGGTAAGTTTGCGGTATTCACAGTCTGGTCTAGCGATACCTTTGTTGACTCGATTCTCTGCTTGTCTTTCGATGGCAGCCGCATCGCCCAGCTCGACGAAATCGAAGCGGATCTCTGCCACACCAGTGCCTTCGGCCACCTCGCACTTGATCACCAATAACCTCTCATCGGCGACCACGCAGACTACTTTGGAGGCCCTCCAAGCGTTGCTCCAGATCGAGGTCAAATTCGCCGCTCTGAGGGACCAGCTATACGTCGAAAGGATGGACGAGCTGAGTCGGGAAGAAGAGGTCATTGCGGATGGTAAGCCGATAGTATGCTTACATGGCAGTCTGCTCGACATATCGCTGATCATGGACTTATCTCCGTTGCTCAACAGGCTCCCATCCGTCCTTGTTGCACTTGCATCAAATCCTACAAGACCGACGAGAAAACTTGCTGCACCTGGCTGAACTGCGGTTGAAGCAAAATGAGCTTGAACTCGTTCGAGTCAGGGAATCGGACAAGAAGGCCGTCATGTCGTGGTGGCAAGTGAGCTAAATGGGGTTTCGGTCATGTGGAGGTCGGCGATAGGTAGCTGACCATCAGACTTTGAGCAGGATGCGAAGGATACGCTCGTACGGGATGAATACGAAAATAATGCGAGGAAGAAGCGAAGGCTGGACAAGGACAAGGCGGATTACGAGATTGTCAAGCCCGGTGGGTCGCGCTGGATACTGATCATGCCACTTTGAGTACAGCACTAAAGCCGTCTTCTAGCAGCTCCGCGACCCCTGCCACCCAAGCAACCGACCCGCCTCGATGCCGAGGCTCGGACCTTCGCATGGGAACGTGGCCCGAGCATCACAGCTCTCATGCAGGAAGAAGTCGCTTCCGATCTGGCCAAGATAGGGGTAAGCAATGGTTGCTATCTCTTTTTATCGGACAGGAACCTGACCCTGTTGATTTTCTATTCCAGGCGGCGGCACGAAGCCAATATCGGCAGTTGCATCACGGTCATCGTCAACAACACGTCATGGCGGGATACGGCCGGTATGCGGGAGAAGACCCCGCAATGATGGCAGCCGATACGGGTTCGCTCATGTTCGACCCGACCGGGGCTCGCCCTGTCGTGAACGGAGCTGGACACCATCATCACGTCGTACCCACTGCCAGCAGCTCCTCGCACCCAACGGGGTCGAGACAACGCCATTATGCGCAGACGCCTTCGGCTTATGATTTGCATGCCGGAGGTGGGTTACCGCGTGACCGTGACCGGGAACCTCGACGTGAAGGCAGGCAGGTCCCTACTTCGAATTCGGAACCGTTCGACCCTCGGCGGCGCGACCGTGTTGAAGACCCTATCCTGAGCGGTCGAATCAGGCGAGATATGGCTGTCGAGGATACCCGTGATCCCAAACGGAGAAAGACCGGTAGCGATAGTCCCGCACCGCTCAACGGGATGGGACATCAATCATCACACGTAGTAACCCCCGCTATACAGGACGATCCTCGACGGATACCTAGACGCTCCCAATCGCCACCGATACAGTCTGCCAAGGTGAACGGCCTCAAGGTGAATCCCAACGACGGACCTTCCGCAGGATACGGCCATCTAGGAGGTAATGGCGCCATGGAACGGAATCGAGCTTGGAACTATCGTTGGGGTAACCTCGGGACTTCATCCCGTCTCGCGAACAGTCAGCCCATGCCAGGTATGGCCGCAGCGCGGAATTGAATTGGATCAGAGTGTTTTTCGGAGACCAAGCGATCTTATAATGAATGTAGCGACCTGGGTCCGAGAATTAACGTTTGAACTTTATGATTGATTGTACTCCTATCTCTTGTCATGCTTGTCATTGTATTCAGAGGTAGACCCAAAGCCGACCCTACGCGGCTTGATACCCGTTCTATTGCGCTACGCTGACTACTGAAGATTGGTTCTTGGAGGCTTGTTCACCTCTTCACTCGCGCTCGCCTCGGATGATTCGGATCGATCACAACCGAACGAAGAGAACCCTGTCTCGTCTGGTTGGGGAGTTTGTGCGAGCGCTGAGCAAGGAAGCCGCAGCGATATAAATTGGGTTCGGCCCCGGTAGTCGATCATTCGGTCGACGGCTCGGAAAGCGATGGCTGAAAGTGGCACTTTCTACGCCGCCACGCCTCTCCTTTACCGCAAACGATGGGAAATGAATGTCTCGCGATCCCCTCGCTCTTACACCGCGTTCTTATTCGATCGCCATCTCTTGGCGGGATTAGCGGATGGGGGTATCCGACGGGGGGCAACTGGCAACTGGAGAATCAGTCTCACAACGGCGCATCGGCACCGAGATTGATCCTCCTCCAGCTCTTCTTACATCCTGCCTCGCGTCGTGCCAGTCACCTCCTTTCCCTCGGCCGAGCTGGGATTGCCGGAACAAAGACGCACTCGCGACCCTGCACTTGGGACCCAGAAGTTGCCTCGCGAGATCTGAGACCTCTGGGCTAGGGGAGTCATCGGACCGTACCCACTTGACCACTCGCGACGACACAACATGGCCAGTGGCCAGTGGGATAACACATAGACACTCGAGGCCTGACACCGGGTGAGCTGCGTGCGCATGTGCATTCTGTTGGCATCGCAGTTGTTCTTGCTTGCCCCGCCGCTACCGTAGTACCGTAGTTTGTGCGATCGGGAGATCCCGGGCAACGTGAATAGAGCTGGGGGAGGCGTAAAGGTGGAGGCGAGGTGACCGAATGCGAGGATGTGTGTGTCTCAGATCCCAAAAGCCCAACACAATCCCCATGACTTCGATCCCGGACCCTTGCGGAAAATCTCTGGTCGACGACGAGGCTGCGAGCTAGAAGCCCGAACGTCTTGCTAGTGCAGTGCGTGCGTACTAGCGTATGATCCTATGAGAACACACTCGAGCACACGCTCCGACCGGCCGTTCCAGCACTAGCTCTAGTTACTAGCTTACTAGCTCGCTCTGAGAGCGACCAGGACCCACGACGACAAGCCGAGCGGACCTGAAGAATCCTTTCGTCCGGACGTGGGATCCACCTCGATGTACACAACCTACACACAGCCCGTCCAGGTCTCGCATTCGCCGAGGTCCGACACGAAGTTGTGCCGCCCTTAAACTCAGCGAGTCCACGAAGCGCTCACTTCCCACAAAACCGATACTCGTCACTCGCACTCGACACCACTTTGTGTCACAGCTTCTGCTGATAACTGTAGCATCTCGGTCGGTAAAAAGAGGCGGTCCTTTGGCTGTCCTTCCTTGTATGAGAATATCAAGACGGGGGTGACTTGCAGCTTGCAAGGTCAAGGTCTTTCTCAGCGGTCGCTTCAAGATACATCCCATCTTTTACCGGAGAACAATAGGACAAGTTATCGACGCAAATCTCGCAGATCAGATCCACCTTGTCGGCTGGAAGCTGGAAGAACGCTTCGTCTCCTGAATCCAAAACGGGCGTAGAAACGTAGATCAGATTCATTTTACATCGATCACATCCGATCACATCATCAACCCCGTCCGGACCATCCATCATCATCACCCTGTTGGACGCCAAAAGGACACTGCGCATCGGCCACTCGACTCATGGACGAGAGTCTACCCCTATTACCATCAAGCTCGGCCATGGGGTCGGGCACGACTTCCACCTCGTCAATTCACCGAAGAGATAGGTACGGGCAACCTTCATCATCACCCTCGATTGCGGAAGGACCGCCCCATTTGTCTGACAACATCACCACTCGACGACCATCCCTCGCATCCCCCTTGGGCGAATTTCGCAAAGATCCGAGTTCGCCTTGCATCGTCTCGACCTCGCAACCACAACAACCAGCCACGACCGCGATTGATCCTCTCATGTCGGACGATTCTGGATCTGAGCGTGGAGTCAAGAGGAGGAGGAGGTCGAGTGCATTCGAGAGGTGTGATGAGATGAGGAGGATGTCGATGAAGCGATCTAACGGAAGTGGATCCTTCTCGGCCGGAACAGGCGGATCAGCCGCGACGAGCGGCCGTGACGTCGAAGGTCCAGATCGACCTCACGAACAAGATGGAACGCATCACCCGACGCCGACGACAAATGTCACGGGATCCCTCGTTTCGTCGACCACGTCGTCATCATCGACAACATCAGCATCGGCGTCGACCTCCTCACTCGTGCTCGACCTGCACGCCACGACCTTGTCATCCTCCCCGCAACCACTGCCTCGACCTCGGACGCGACCACAACCCGTCTTCACATGTCCTTTCACTTCGTATACCAAGGACAGGCAAGACCAAACCCAACCTCACCCGTTACACTGCTCTGAAGATCATCCGCACGAGATTTGCGGTCGAAATCGACGGAACAGCAGTATATCCTCTCAATACACAAGACGGGATTCTGGATGGTCCACCGCGGAGAGTCGACGTGGGACTCTGACGAGCGGATTCTCTTCACCTTCGACGTCGACCTCGGCTGTCGACATGACATCGCAGCACAACAAACAAGAGTGTAAACCTTTTCCTATGGACAGGCTGCCGCGAGATATTCTCAACTTGATCCTCGACCATGTATTGAAGTCTCCAGAGTTTGGGCACAACGGGAGGTGGAAGGATAAACAAGGGCTGGACGAGGACAAGGTGCAGATGGTCAAGGCGTTGAAGGTGAGTCGACCTGTACCTTCATCTCGACGTCGTCGTTTCGGGAGAAAGGGTTCTGATCCAGGATAGCTTGTGCTTCGACCTGTGCACAGGCCTCCGCGTCCATCCATCTGAAATTCTCCCTCATACATCGCTCGTGGACGCCCCACGTGATCAAGTCCCTATACCGATTTCCTCGATTGACAAGCAAAGACGCCATCGAAAAATTCGATCGGGCTATACAAAACCCATTATCCCTGTGGGGTTCAGAACTGATGCCAGACGGACAGATCGGAGGTGTGCTAGGGTTCCGGGGGAGATACGTCCGTTTCATCTCGTACTGCGTGGGAAGTGGGGTGAGCGACAGCGCTGGGAAGCTTGGTGGGAATTGGCCTACAACCTGACGCATCTGTTCCCGTCGTACCATCAGAGACATTCTGCGACCGATTACCTGATGTGGTCTGGAAGCTGGTTCGCAGATGTGGCGGGAAGATTGGTGAGTTTCACCCCGCACTTGAACCGAACGAGGACGGAGCAAAGGCTGATGGTGAACATGATGTTGTGCAGATCGCACAGTTGACAAACACCCAGGGCTGGGCGTGCGAGGGATGGTGTTCAAAGGGTTGTGAAGAGTCAAGACAGATCGAGATATTGTGAGTGGAAACGGCGTCTTGTGTTTTTCCTTACACTCGCCGATACTGACGTGGATCCGTTGGCCGCAGCAAATATCCGGAGGAAGACCGGATCGTACTTGAGCGTCTCACCATACTGCGTAGTCCTCTTCCTGCGGATATTCTCGCGCTCACGTTGTCTCAGACCAAAGGCATGCGGGCGCTCGAGCTGCTGGACGTTCAGAAACACTACCTTATCGATGGCAATCTCGAGCTTGTGAAGCGGGGATTGAAGATGGCTACCTGCCTTGAGACGTTTGCTATAAAGGTGGAGGGCGGCGTCGAGCAGGAAGGTCCACTGGATGACGTGCTCACAGTCAGTTCGCGATCGAGACGTTCGTATCACAAGTATAACAGGACTGTCGACGCTGACATTGCGCCTACATCGCAGATCGTGCCGACGCTCAGACACCTCTCTATGCAGGCCGATCTACTATCCCTGAATTTCTTCGCTATATCAAGGACTTCAGAACTGCAGTCCATCTTGATCGGTTTTGCCACACGATTACCGGTCCTCTTCCACGGCCGAGAAGCCCTCGAGACGCTCTGGTCGGAGGCTCAAGCAGAGACCATATACTCTCGAGCTCGGCAACAGGCGCAATTGGTCTTTGCAGAAGGTACGACGTTTCAAGGGGCCGTCACCCATCGTATGACTCTGAACTCGACAATGATTTCGATCAACGGCGCAGCCAACGCCAGGTCTTCGCCAGCCCCAAGTATGGTTTTCAATCAGCCACTCATGCTGAGTTCATCATCGCCTCGGCCCGGGCCTTTCCTCACAACGAATGACATGGAAGGTTCATCGCTCTCATCGATGCCCCAATTGGGTCTCGAGTCTTGGTTATTCAGGGAGCTAGGGAACCCCAACAGCGCCATCTCCAAAGCGTCCCTCACCGGAGACGACGCCATGGCCGTCTACGCGTCTTATACACACCATCCCCCGGTTTAGTCGTAGTCTTGCAAGACCGATGTATCTAATCTCTACTTATACCCATCGAAGCTAGAAGTTGTATGCCTTCGACTGCGCTTGTACAAAGTAGAACTTGTAGCAGCGTGCTTGAAATCCTCTTGCACAGCATCGGAAGCTTTTAGCTCTTCGGAAACAGATCGCCCATGTCCGACGCCGACCTTCAGCAAAGTGCAGGTTGATGTACGATTGACCACGGAACTACGGATCGCCTCGCCAATAGGCTGGCTGCTATTGAAGGGTATCACTTTGATCTTCCTGGGAAGTAGATGTCATGGATCACAAGCGAGATAAACAAGAAGAAGCACGGCTCAATAGCCTGTTGACAACGGACGAAGTCCAAGGGGTGGCGAGCGGATCATCTTCGAATTGGCAACAACTCCCCTCATACGAAGAAGCCGCATCGCATCTCGAACCGCCCGATATCAATGTGGCAGGAGTCCGTAGGCCACCAAAGGAAAATTGGCACTTGTTCAGCTCGCCTGATCATGCAGAACCCAAGCTGACGGACACAGCAGAAGATCATGCGTTCGAGCATTTCAAGCATCGTATCACCTCGGAAGGCAATGTCGTGATTTATGCCAAGGAATTGCATGATCGTTCGTCAAAGATGCTCGCGGAATTCAAATCTGCCCCTTTGACTCACACTGTATCTTGCCGCTACTAGCTGTGACTTTGAAGGCATACCTACGACAACAAGCCTTGGCTAGACCCACCTTGAAACTGAGATGCAAAGGCAAGTCGTTATTGATCTTTCATAGCCCCTTGGTGTTCTGGAAACTAACTGTATCAAGCTTTTGTAGGAGAGCATACAGAAAATCGATATGTTCAAGTTTCCGACGGTAAAGGAGGATGGAGAACGGACACCCAGACGGACACCATTACCGATTTCAACTTTACGGTAAGCTCGCACGAGCCACTTACCTGCTCTCTTTACAATACGCTGATGGCTGCGCCCAATACTCAGATTGACCTGACTCCGAACTTGAAGCAAGTGCCTCTCGAAGCGATCGTCATATCCACTGTCATGCCACACGAACCGGCATACAGAGGCAGTAGCGACAAGACGTATGATCCCCATTTCTCGAGTGGGAGTGGCAAGGTCAAACTCGATATCAAGGCAAAGGCCACGGATCGAGGCAGGAACAGCACTTGGAACGAGCGGAAGACCTGGTCCAAATGGAAAGCCAGACGGGTTGCCAAAGGGTATCCTACGTGGACTTCCATGGCGGACGATGATGGAGACTCCCCATTCGCGTCGCACTCGGGCTCTGCGCAGATCCGCGATGTCGAGAATGCCGACGAGGAAGGCAACGGGATAGATCAAGCCGGTCTTCACGAGTGGTGTCAAGCATACTGTTCTTCCCTTCAGCCGATGCGGGAATTCATCTTGAAGAAGGAAATTTGGGGATGGGACGAAGAAGGTGTCCTGTTGGGTATGTATCGTAGTGTCGTCGTTTCAAAACTGTTGTTCGCAAATCGCTGACTGCCGTGTCTGGCACCGAAACAGCTGTCCGTGCTGCCATACAATCGACAGGATACGGGCATAGTTTTGCGGTCACGTTCGAAAAGCAGGCGCGAAAAGTTATGGTCCATCCTGCCAATCTGTTTTCAAGCCTTACGACTGAGGTGAGCCTACCGTCGTTCCGTGACCGCTGCGCACCTCTCTAACGTTGGTTCATAGCCGATCATCGTGTTCCTGTTATGGATCACCTTGATATACCCTTTGCTCTGGATCTAGTAAGTCCGATCGCTCACGCGGCGGACCGCAGTTGTGCTGAAACGCCACTTCAAACTAGCAAACGAACCATCGCGGGCGGCCGCTATGAGGTCGTGACCGCAAGCTGTCCGTATTTCGCTATAGCTGTTCTTGACAAGACGACTGCTGATCCAAGGCACTCTGTGCAGATCCCCTCAAATGCTACTTACCAGCAGCACAGTCAACCTCGGCGTTTCCGGACAACAGAGATATTCGACACGGACCGCCCAACTCTGGATCAGCTCTGTTCCGGATGTACGGAACTCGTGAGGGAGATTTCGTTCGAGAATGGGAGGGACGCATTCGTTCGAGCGTGATCGGACGATTTGTAGGGGATCTCGGGTCATCGCATAGTCTAGCAGTCCTGGATCAACAGGCCATGGAAGTCGCTCGTCGGCTAGATGGTTATTAATCGGTTCGCGGCAGGTGAATGTCATAATCGCTTACTCATATACCCAGCTTTGTGAATTTTGTGCCGATTCGCGTCTACTGTGTTGTACAGGTATACAAGATACCACTCTGTTGTGTTATGATACGATGTTCTATGCTGATGATGACTGCCATATCTTGGTTGAGGGCCCGATCTGCAATTCGTGCGTGCGAGTGTACTCGTACCAGTCTTCCGTGGCAACGAATTGGGGTTTGTCGGTGACCATACTGGGCTGCGCGCCGTGACCTTGGTTGATGTTTACTTTGGGAGATCGAGTCGGTGGCTTGTAAGGCGTGTGATCAATGACCACATGGTGCTCATCGGACAGCCGCTTCACAAACCCTTCTGGCTGTAATTGGGCATACGCATGTGAAGATGGTGAGAGACCGAGATCCGAAGCAGCTCCGTGCTGTACTTACATCATCTTCTGGCCATTCGAAACACATCATAAGCAGATAGATAATAGCTCTCTGAAATTCAGGTAACTGCTGAATGTATTGGGCTTCTCCAAACGGGGCGATCGTGATCAAAGCTCTGCAAGGATCCGACTCAGCCGTCGAACGCGGTTACCATCGGACTGACATAGCTGCCAACGCACTGATGATACCGGTACGCCCTCCACTTGCCATCTTCAGGCTCGAACTCGCGTTCCTGCCAGGGCTTGCTCATTTCCTCCTGATCCAGGTCTTGCGCTTTGAACATGACGTCCTGAAACTGTTCGCATGTCATACCCGCAAGCGCCAGCGCGCGGCAGACTTCTGGCTGAAACAGCGCCAACTCCGTCGTCACATGTAGCTTGTGTGAGACCATCCCGATGACGCGCGGGAATAAGCTGTACTGGGTGTTCGAGATCGGTAGAGCAGATGATGGCCGGGGGGGTGTCTCTTGCGGGTCAAGCTGATCCTTCTGGAGGATGTCGTCTTCTGCCTCACTTGCACGCCCTTTGCCCTTGTCGAAACGCCGCTTCGGTGTCGCTGGAGGTGTCAAGGGACCCTGAAACATATTTCGAACTGCTTAGAATGCATTGATCTACCAGTAACAATCTACTGACTTACGCTCCTCCCCGACAATATCTCGCTCATCTCAGTGAGGCCGTCGTCGGCTTCCATCTCGGGCGTGGCCAGGTCTCGTCCCGCCATGAGCTCATTTTCGATCTCTCTTGTCAGCTCCTCGTTCGGCTGTCGATGGAGATGGCGAGGGTGAACCATACAATAGCCAAGAGGGACCGCGCATAAGACGGTCGATTTGCCTTGGATTGCCTGGAGGGTGGACTCTTCCCTCTACAACACCGGCGTATGCTAAGAATTAGTACGAGCGAAAGTATCGCCTTGAACCATCTTCAACTTGCCTCTCCAAGGTCTCTACCCGTTCCAACTTGAACCAGAGCCAAAATCAAAGCTTGCAACGTATCACCTTCTGCCTTTCTCCTCTTGAACGTAACCTTATACCACCTAGGACCGCAAGGTGTCATCTTCCAGCCCGCCAGACTCGCTAGATGGCGCAATCGCTGACGACTTACGAGTACAGATCGTGTAAGGTGTAATGCTCTTGATACAACGGACCTTGCGTGGCCTCCATCATGATGCCCATGACCGCCTGATTAAAGTCGACCTGCGCGACGGCGACGATCTTGGCAAGCACCGGATGATGGATGATCTGCTCAGGTCTGGGTTCGCCGAGGGCGTTGGCAGCAAGATGAATGATGTGGCGATAGTCGATGGGTTTCCGAGGGGGAGCGACGGCAGGGAGTTCGACCGGTTTAGGAGGCGGAGGTACATCGGAGATGGTCAGGTCTTCCAAGAGCTGCAGATGTGGCTCTTCGTGCTTGCCGATCGACTACGTTTGAGAGGACGATTAAGTACACGAAGCTCTTCCTCTTGAAGAGTTTGCTCGCAGTACTCACCCGATCCTGAACCGTATCCGTGTCGAAAGTTTTCCAACCGCTTTGCCCACCCTGGAATGGCTCTGCGAGCCCAAGCGAAAGTCCTAACACGGTCTCAGAGCTATCCTCGTTCATCCCCTCCCCTTGCTCCCGACCCTCGCTGGCCGCCTCGATTTTCAAGGCGTTGTCATTGGCGATCCTAGCCAGTACCTCCCTCGGGTTCTCATTCTCGTCAAGACCGTCATCACCTTCCACTTGCTGTTGTTTCTCCCTCCAATCTTGTCGGATTTCGGTATCGTCCTCCCAGCCTATCCAGCTCTTTCTAGCCATCTCAGGATCGTAAGGTTTCCCTCCCCAGCCTCCATCTTCTCCCTCGTCGACCTCTTGCTTGTGGCTTCTCACCTTCTCCTCTTGCTCGATTTTCGTCTTCCTTTCGCCTTGTCCGACCTGGGAAGGAAACCTCCTAACGACCTGTCTCTCTGGAACACCCGACCCGTGTCCGACGACGACGAAAGTAGCGGTCAAGGTCGATGTGGTGTTATTGTACGTCCGTTTCAGGGACTCGAGGAGGTTGGAGAGGGAGCTGCGGCGAGCGTGTATCTGGGGTTGAGGATTGCTATGGGTCGGAGGTTTTCTGGGCGCAGCGGGTGGGGTGTTGGTAGCCGTCGAGCCGGTATTGGTGGTCGCCTTTGGAGTAGTTGCGGCAGTTTCAGGTTTCGGCTTGGCGACGATCGTGGTGGCGATCGAACGGCGAGGAGTCGTGAGCTCGGTCCGGTCAGCGGCATCAGGACCCGCCTGCTCGAAACAGGTCATCGTCGCCGGGCTTTCCGGGGACCTCGCCACTTTTCCATCGCCGCCCCTTCGCGGTCCTTCTTTGTCAACATTGTAGTCCAATCGTCTCGCGGTCTTGCTCTTGGGTGCAGGACTTTCTGGCATGAGGCTGGATTTGCTGACATTCCAGCCGGTCTGGCCCGTCGTGTCGATCTCAAGGGACAGGTCTTGCAAGTCCTGCAAGCTGGGCTTCTTCATCCTCTGGACCGCAGGACAAGGGGTCTGTACCGGACTGTCCATCTCCGCTCGTACAGCTCTCGTCCGAACCGGTCGCGGTGTATCTCGATACTTGACGTTCTCTTTATCTTGCTCCCCTACCTTTTCCGCCCGATCAGGGGATGGATCCAACTCGTCCATCCTGACCTTTCTCAGACCTCCAGACTCGACCCTCAAACCCCCACTGACCCTTCTCGTGCCCTTCCTTTCGACCATGGCCATCTCCTGAGCTCGAGACAACCTCCTACCCTCGCTGTTCGTCCGAGATCCTCGTTCCAGGAGGATCTGATAGGCGGGAGAAGATGGAGTGAGGTAGGTGATGGTAGGCGAGTCGGGGTCGAGGTAGGTGTTCTCGTCGGATTGCCGAAAGTCTTCTTCGTCAGAGACGCTCATCGGGGGAAAGAAGGGTCCTTTGACTAAGGTTTTGAACGGTCAAGGTCACGTCCTTCGCTGAGATGTGGACGATGTGGCGACCAAGGGTGTTCGTATGATCGTATGATGATGCGAGGCAAAGACGACGATGACGATGGTACGATACAAAGGTGATGGGACGGTCGAGTCGCGAGTCGAGATCGGAGTGGAATGGAAAAGAAAGAGAAGTCGCAAACGGATCCGAGAAACAGAATCTGGCTCGATCCACCACCCACCCTCACAGCGCGACCGCCTTCTGATGAGCTAAATGCCATGATCGGATCATGAGACGCTTGAATCTACGGTCTGTTGTTCTGGCAAGACGACCTCGAATCTCACCGTACCACCCAAGCACCGTTCTGCTTCTTTCTATCTGAGGTGGACCTGGAAAGGTGATCGACAGGATCAAAACATTGCGCATTGCTCACTCTTCCCCGTGATCTGGCCCTGCGCGCTTCCCCGTCCTTGATAAGCCTGATGCCTGATGATCATCCTGAAACAAAACTCGCTCTACTTCTCTCGGCATCTCCCTTCGATGCGCGTCGCTTTCTGGGCCCTCGGCTCACCTGACCCCTTCGGTCATTTGCTTCCGCTGTGGGACTGCCGGATCAAGCCGATACCGAGCGATGGCGAGCGATTGATATGGCTCATCAGATCCATCAGATCAGCTAGTCAGGTCGAGTTGGGCTTCCTCGAGCTGATTCGCCTTTCAGACCGATGACGGATCAGGGTCAGGTCAGACTAGACCAGACCAGACTATATCATCTTCACTAGATATCATACCAACCGCAACACGACGCCTTCCTTGCTCCCTTGGACGAACAAGAGGACGTGAGCAACCCAACTTGCCAAAGGGATTCGTCCAGCTTCTCGTCGGAATCGACGTAATCTCTGCTCTCGTCCTCTCACCGTCCGAGGGGAAAGGGAATAAGGAGAAGATTGAAACTCACATCAACTACACAGCCTTCAACGAGATTCTCGCCAGACTCTCCGTCCTCCGGGATAACCTCAACCGAGGACTTCACTCCGGTTGATCGGGTTTCCAATCCTACCGTCATCTAGGGATTTGACTGTCGACCCGGGACTGTCGCACAGCCCGGATCACCAGACTTGCTCTCCTATCCATCCGTCCCGCATCTCGTTACGCTTCATCACGTTCCCAGTCTCCAAGCATATCACCAACGACCCGTCAAGCACCAATCAACTCACCTCCACGACACAATGGGCAAGACGTACCGGACCTACCTCCATGGACGCAGGGTGTACGGGTGTAACAAGTGCAAGAACCACTTGACGCTCGTCGAATGTCTTATCAGCAAGGTCAGTCTGGGGGTCGCCGCTTTCTTGCATATTCCTCGGTCCGATTGACTGATCCTCATCTCGGTCTCGCATTGTGATTGAACAGAACTTTAATGGACAGTACGGAAAGGCCTTCTTGTTCGACCTTGTGTAAGTCCGGGTCTTTTTCGAGGGTTTCTACATCTTTGATCGGACGTTTGTAGTGCTGATGGCTGGTGCCACCTTCCATGATCACATGCGGGTCTGAAACATCACCGTTCGATGCTGCGAATCACGATCTGTTACCACCTCGAACTACAATCTTCCGTACGAAACGAACGGCATGACCACCTGAATTTCATGCAAAACCCACGGTCATCTGAATTGAAACGGAACCTCGTCTTGATCCCCATGCGACACACGCGCAATAGCGTCAATATCAACTTGGGCGACCCGCAAGATCGTCGGATGACGACCGGGTTACATACCGTGAGGGACATTCAGTGTGGAAAGTGTAAAGCGATCTTGGGATGGAAATACGTAAGTCGTGGTGAATTCTCGAGCCAAGGACAGGCGAGCTGATGTGCCATATCCCTTCTACCTCCTATGTCATCGCTACGACTCCATAATCCCATCATTCCATCACGACTTCCCCCCTCCTCTACTCACTCTGATCGTCCCGACCGCTGTTCGTATGCGGTCTTCATACGTCGTTCGCCTTTCGCGCTCCTCCCCGGTTAGGACAAGGCGTACGTCGACGATCAGCGGTACAAGGAGGGCAAGTTTATCCTGGAAAAGAACCTCTTGTGCGACGTGTGAGTAGGGACATCCCTTCGACTTCGCGTTTTCGGTGGTTCCATAGTCGGCGATTGTTGGCTGATTGGAACGTTTGGTTTATTCGCATCACCGGACGTTTTCATGGGGGGGGGATGTAGGAATTGAGCGGAGAACACGTAGCCCGGCGCCTTCCTCACTACCTGGCACGGCCAAACTCGCCTACCCTTTCCTTGTTCCCCCTAAGCGGACGATTTCTCTCTCCTTCTCTTCCTCTTCCTCCCTCTGTGTTTCTATCTTCTAGCCGTGACCTGTCTTGTATCCTCCCACCCTGTTTCTTCTTCTCCTTGGTCGACCTGCCTTTTGAATCGGTCTCTTGTATCCCTTCTTTGCTTTTCCTTTCTTGACCTGCCTCTGAACCGAATCGAACCTTGTAATGTAATCGCTCTGCGTCCTGTGTAATTGTTGTTGTTGTCCGATGTGAGATGTGATGATTTAGTCGTGACTGATGGTTTTAGTCGGGAGAAGTAGGATCTTGGCGAAGTGACATTGTGCGATGCTAGGATCACCGTAGTGGAAACGCATGCTCATCTCGCTCACAAAAGCCGTCTAGATGTGATGCGAGTGTCGAGCTCCTACGAACATCGAGCTGGAATCTCGCGAAGCCTCGAACCCAGCCTCGGATATAGACTGGAAGAGGATAATAACCAAATCATATTGCATGAGCTACGGACTTTTGGCTCTTGCTTGTAAGCGTCTCACTGAACGTGCTGTTTAAGGATTTCGGTATGCCGGACAAGCTGAAAGGTTGGGACCAACTGACAGGTATGTATCACACATGCCACACACGAACCCGTCGAGGCGAGACCACAAACCGGCTCCCTTTTGCCGGGCGAAATGCTGACGACGAAAGATGAAACACGATGATCCCATCGATCGCGAAACCGAGGACCGCAACTTTTGTTAGGGACGCGATCTTTTTCTTAGAGACGCGATCTTTTTCGGAAGCAAATATCGAGGCGTGAGAGGGAGGGGAACTCAGACCTGCGCGCCGGAAGCAAATAATCCGTGATTTCGCGCATCTCAGGCCTGTGTTTCAGACAGTCAAGTTGCTAGTAGCAACCTCTTCAAAATCCGTTCTTTTTGGAGATTCTGGTACATTGGTCGCTTAGTGTCATATCCTCACAGATTCAAGTGATTTGAAGCCATATTGAAGGTCGAGTTTTAACTTGACAACTTGTATCATATATGCTGCAGAAGCCGTGCGCAAATCCGGAAGTAAATTTGCTTCCTCGTGCCCTTGTGCCGTCAAAAAATCGCGCCCCTAAGAAAAAGATCGCGTCCCTAACAAAAGTTAGGACCGCGGGAATCGTCGCACCCCCGCCCGTTTGTCAGCTCTTCGCAGTCAACCGGTAAACCCACGGCGCTAGAACGAGGGGGCGTGGGTGGATCGAGATCGTGGTGGCTTGGAACGCGTGGTCAGGGGCCGCGGAGGGAGGGGGAGATGGTTTTGTTTTGTATTTGCCCGGTGGGTGGCGGCCGACGGGGACGAGCGGGAGCGGCGCGTGGAGGGGGAACGAGAGAGAGAGAGAGAGAGAGCGCGCGAGAGAAAAAGGTGGTTCGATGTCTTTCTCGAGATTTGGTAACACAACCTACCGGGGACGAACGACGAAACGTCGATTTCAGCTCAATCGATCTCCACTCGTACCGACGGACGATACCGGCACTTGGAGGCAAAACAGCAGCGATCCCAAGAGACTATAGTTGCATAGTTGTCGACGTAGTTGTCGTCGCCCGCATTCACATTCGTTTGATCAACACCAACAACGGCCAATAACCATCAACTTATCAATTCTCAACCAGCACATCGATCCGATCGAGAAGAGCAGATTGACATATACTCTTGGTTTTATCACAACCATCACTATCGGAAACACCTCGACCTCGCAATAGAAACAACAAGTACCTCTATCTCCTTTTTCTCCGCCATGCAAAACGTTTCGCAAGCGGCCACTCTGGCTACGGCTACCCCCAACGCTCTCTCCTCTCTTCCCCTCCCCTCGCTCGTAGCCGACTCGCTGGCCAAGTTCGGATTGTTTGCAAGTACCGCCGACGAGATCAAGCGACACGTCTTCTCCTCGTCCTCTTTCTGGCCCGGTTCGTCATGGTCGGCCGAGGGGAGTTCGAGCTCGACCTTGGGACAACAAGGGGGGTGGATGAACAAGCAGGTCTTGGGGAGTCTTCTGGCCATGATCGCGACCCTGTTGGTGCTCGAGCAGGTGAGCACCTTGTCCTCGACACAACCAATTGTTTTGGTATGATCACTTACAAGTGTCGCTACAACCCCCTAACTTCCTCCCGCAGGCCGTGTACAGGTACAAGAAGGCCCACCTCCCCGGTGCCAAATGGACCATCCCCCTCATCGGCAAGTTCAAGGACTCGATGGATCCGAGGTTGGAGGGGTACAAGCGGCAGTGGGCGAGTGGAGAGTTGAGCGTGACGAGCGTCTTCAACATGTGAGTCGCGAGGCCCGGTTTGGCCGGACACTCTTCGGAATGGTAGAAGGACAGAAGGCTGATATCAGGTACACCATTACGAATTCGCAGCTTCATCGTCATCGCTTCCTCCAACGAGTATTCGAGAAAGATCTTGAACTCGCCGACTTATGCCGAGCCTTGTTTGACTTCGTCGGCCAAGCCCATCTTGTTGAAGGAGAACTGGTGCGTTTTCGATCTCAACAGCATGAAGTATGCAGATCGATCGGAATACTTACAACCCTCGATTCGCGTTCCGTAGGGTGTTCTTGCACGGCAAGGTCCACGCCGACTACCGTAAAGCACTCAATGTCTTGTTCACCAAAAAGGCCCTCTCGATCTACCTCCCGATCCAGGAGAACATCTACCGCAAGTACTTCAAACAGTGGATGTCGGACCCCACCCCGGAGCCTAAACCTTATATGATGGCCATGCGAGACCTCAACATGGAGACCTCGTTGAGGGTGTTTACCGGGAACCACATGGACGACGCTGCCGCCGCCGAGATCTCGGACAAGTACTGGTTGATCACCGTCGCTCTTCAGCTCGTCAACTTCCCCCTCGCGCTTCCGGGGACTAACGTGTACAATGCCTGTCAGGCCCGAAAGGTCGCCATGAAACACTTGACCGCCGCCGCCGCCTCTTCTAAGAGGTACATGGCCGAGGGCAACGAACCTACTTGTTTGCTCGACGCCTGGATCGGGGAGATGATCCAGGCTCGTCAGGGATCAGGGGAAGAGGAACAACGTCGGGTGCTCTCCCGGGAATACACCGATCACGAGATCGCCATGGTCGTTCTCTCGTTCCTGTTCGCTTCGCAGGACGCCATGACCTCGGCCATCGTCTTCCTATTCCAGCGCATGTCTGAGCACCCAGAGATCTTGGCCAAGGTCAGGGAGGAGCAGTACAGGATCCGGGGTGGAGATCTCGAGCAGGCTACTACGTTGGACATGGTCGACGACATGGTTTACACTAGGGCGTGTGTCAAAGAGTCGTTGCGTCTGACCCCCCCTGTCATCATGGTGAGTCCACCTTGCCAGGCCAACATTCAGCGTAGAGAGAGAAGAATGTGATCACTCACCTGCTTTTCTCGCCTTCGCACCGCTAGGTACCCTACAAGACCCGCAAAGCCTTCAAGCTCGCCGACGATTACACCGTACCTTCAGGGACCATGGTCATCCCCTCGTTCTGGGACTCGACGCATGACGCTACATCTTACCCTGAGCCGGACAAGTTTATCCCGGAACGATGGATCCCCAAGGAAGACGGAGAGCAGGTCTTGGCCGACAAGTATCCTCAGAACTATATGGTCTGGGGAAGTGGACCTCACAAGGTGGGTCGAGAGCCGAGCTTCGTGTGCAATAATTGGGAGAGAGGCTGATCAGACGAGTTTGGCCCCTCTTTTCCAGTGTATCGGTGTGCAATACGCTTCTATGCACTTGGCTGCCGTCATCGGAAGCGCTTCGGTGTTGATGGATTGGGAGCACAAGGTGACCCCTGAGAGCTCCGAAACTCAGTGAGTTTGAACTGGAAGCGTTTAGCACCCAAGCTCGATGTCAGAACGCTAACCGTCGGCCCCTTACGCCTCTTCAGGGTGTTGTGCACTCTCTTCCCCAAGGACGGGCTTCAGCTCAAGTTCACTCCTCGAGCTCCTCCTTCCTAGACGCATTCGCCGGATCCTTAGACGGACCCGTACTGGGTCGCTTTCTTCACCTCTTTTCGAACGTTTACCATTGGACTATCATCAGCGCATCGGCCTAGAATCTCTTCGTCCGCTTATCGACCTCGAGACGGCTCCTCGTCCTCACCATCATCATCACCTGTCGCCGTCGAGTATCAGTCCCCTTTCTCATCATTTCCCTCGACGGTGTGCATCACATCAATCACCCGCTAATCGTCGCTTGCCGAGCTCTCGCGATTTTACGATCATTCTTCTCCGTTCCTGCTAGATTATCCTCTCCTTACCTCATTGTCCCGGGCTTTTTGGTTTCTTTATGCGCGATGAAATTACGATAGACTATTGCCGACTCCAAACAAGCAGCATTCGAGCTGATATCCCGCCCGTGAGAGTAGCGTGTGTACTTGATACTGTACTTTGTGAAAGGGTCTGTGGAAATGCGTGGAAACGAATCACGTGACTAGCTGGCTCTGGGCCCTCGGCTGTGCACCTATCCCTGGCGCGCGTGAGAGATTGACAATCGCTCGGGTTCACAATTTTTCTCTGCTTTACTAAGCTAAGAGACGCGCCCACGCATCGTTCGCGCGAACACGAAGCGAATGATTCAATCCCCATCAAACAGTAAACAAAGTCTCCCCGCAAACACGAGATGACCCGCGAACAAACAAACATAACAAAGGTAAAAAACAAAAAGAAAACAAACCTACATTCGCACAACAAAAGACCAACTCTGCCATACAATAGACATTACACCATGCATGCTTGAAACATCCCACGACAAAAGAACTCTGCCATCGTTTCAGCCAACTGTACTCCATCTTCGACACCTAGAGGTCTCGCTGTTCCCGGCCCATATCTCATATATGAGACGCAAACTTTGATATACTACACCATGCGCACCGCTCCCTCTCGTATGTTCTGCCTTTCTCCTCCTTCTCACCTTCCGCATCTACTACTCGTAATTACAACCTAATCCAGCAAATCCATTTACTTCTACCATGTCTGTCCCCGCCAACTCCTCCAACCCTGTCACCCCCGACCAAAGTGCTCGCATTACGCTGGCACCCACCCCCACCTCTTCCTCCCTCCGCGATCTCCTCAATGAAGAAGATAAAGAGGTCACCAAGTTGGCAGGCAAACCAACTGATATCATAGCCGCCGTCATCGCATCTGCGACGGGAACCGATCAGGATGCACCTGATGATCTCTCATCCGTCGGGTGTAACTGTTTCGCCTCTCCATGCCTTTGTCCGCAAGAGGAATTTCCACAACTTGTCCCCGCGAACGGTCCGAAATTCTGGCGCGACAAGTTCGCGGGTGGGCGAATCGACTTGAACCTCTCGCGTACACCCTCGCCCCGCCTCGTTCCAAACGAGCCCCCTCTTCCCCAGGCAGGCCCATCTGCCCCTCCACCGTCTCCACCTCATCCTCCCTCTCCTCGCACGACGCTCAATCACCACATGCTTATTAATGAGCTGGACAAAAAGCACCACGACGAGAGGATGAAGGACCTCGACGAGAGTCACCTCATGTTTATTAATGAGTTGGACAAAAAGCACTCCCACGAGAGGATGAAGCGCAACGACGAGAGGATGAAGAACTACCGGCAGCAGGCTGCTGAAGACAAGGCCCAGTTTGAGGAGGATCTTTTGCTCCGCGATGCCGCTGACTGGTCCTGGACTGGCCTTGACCTATTGCCTGACGACGACGACGACGACGATAACAGTGGCCTTGGCGGCAAGAGGATCCCCGCCCTGACCGCTCGTGATAAGGGCAAAGAACGGGAGAGGGGTGCTACTCCCGTAGTCACATCCAGCGCGGCGCGGCCACCTCCCGTTGCGGCTACAACTATCCCCTCCCGTCTTTTTGCTGGGCTCAAACCTCCCGTCGGATGGGAGTCCGGTACGCGAGACCTTCCTCAACCTCCCCAATCTGCCCGCGAACAGCTCGCTGCTGCCTCTTCGGCTCTCGCTGCCGCTCTAGACGCACCGGCCAACTCTGCCATTCCTGTAAGTCACATTGCTCGACATGGCTGTCTAGAGATCACGCTCAACTTGAGGACTTCTCTCTCCCCTCGTATCTGAAGCCTATCGACCTCACACGCAGTCTTGCAGATTACCAAACGGTCATTACTGCCTTAGCGGCTGATACTATGGGTACGTGTTCTGAACGATGAGGCAGCATCCTGTTCTAATCTCATAATCTCATCTCCTTCTTCCTCCTCGCGATACAGATGCGGGACTTACGCCAGCTGCCGCCGTGCTGATGTACTCCGAACAGGAGGAACGACGACGCCGAGAGGCCATCGCAGCCCCTGCCCCGACCCCGATTCCATCACTTCCCATGGGTCTTCCCTCCCTCCTCAAAGTATCTCAACCTCCCGTCCTCCAGGCCGCCATGGGTCAGCGTGATCCAGCTGCCCCACTTGCCCAACTAGCCAACAATCGGGCCTCGGTGGCTGAAGTACCGCTCGTTCCGAGCTCTTTCCGCTTCGAGGATCCACTGAGTCACGCATTGAAGACTAGGGTAGGCGAGCTCAAGAACCCATAGCGTTGTTAACTTTCGTTTAAACTTTTCTCTTCTCTTTTACAAATTCTAGGCTCAGTCCATCATGGAGGCGAGCGCAAAGCCTCGTGATTGGGATCCGGAGGAACACTACCCGCCTCTGCAACCCGGCCGCTCCCAATCTAATCACTACGTTGACCCGCCGGCCACGATGCTTACGGCCTTTCCCACCGCGAAGTTCTACTCCCGCTTCCGGCCTGGATACTGGTTACACGATGCAGCAATTGAGTCGTATCTGTACTTGGTCGAATGCCGCGCGAACACCCCCGCGAACAACGCTCCCAATCATTCCGGTAGCTCCGCGAAGGTGATCGTCGGCCCGACCGTGATCGGACAGATCCTCACATCCAAATACCAGCAGGGAGCGCGTTATCTCGGTGCCGTAGATGGGAGTCCCACCCAACTTCCGTACTTCGAGCAGGTGAGCAAATACTTTTACTACGCCGTCAATTGAAACTTTCAAACTTACAACATACTTGTTCGCCATCCCTTCTTAGAATGGCATCGACCTGTTCGAAGCTAACCTCTTTGTCATGCCCTGGAACGTCAACCGGGAACATTGGTTTGCGGTTGCAATCGACATTCCCGAGAAGGCTATATATATCGTTGACTCTGCACGGTATCAAGATGCCACCCGCACGGATGTTTTCTCGGTATGTCTTCCCTCCAGACGCCCCGTCCTTTCGTTGCTCACCTTACACCTTACCCCTCGTGAACAGTATGTCTTGTGCTGGCTTGCGGAGACTCATCATGCCCTTCGCGGTACCGCTTTGGATACTTCAGCATGGACGTATCACTACCCGGTGAGTTTGTCCCCTCGTTCCTCCGTTGGCGGTTGATAGGTATTCATACGAACACCACCCGACATACAGAACGTCGCG